AATCGTGCCTATGCAAATGCTTTACACAACAATGAAAAATCATTGGATTTTTTTCGCAAAAACTATGCCGTTGTATGTATTCACACGTGAGTTGAATTAAACAGTTGACAGTAGAACACCTTTGAAAATATTTTAAACGTGTGCATTTGAGCTATAAAATTGGAATTAAATCCTGGAGTAATATGGAGTATGCTTAAGTCACATGTGTCGCAGCTGCAATTTTTCGTTAGTGGTATATTTGCTCGATTAACCTATTTTATAAGATCGACCCTATCCTGACCCTAACCTAACTGAAGTGGGTGTGTGTTCCAGACATGCATATTTTGCCATAAATAATATAGCGTGACCTACTGAGGCAAAGCCATTCTCGTAGATTCAGACCTCGTATGAACGTCATTACGACATTGTACGAAACATGGTTTGCAAAGTTGTTGTTAGTTTAGCTTTCTCCTAATTCATAAAATCTTTGGTAGGCATACAGTATTGTTATATGCGCTGGTTGTCTTGCGACTTTTTACTATACCATTAGCGAATATCCAGATTTCGGAAAGTGAAAGTAGGACGCCCCATTTCTTTAGACTCTTATGGAACTATTGCTGTAGTGCAAATGGAGAACTGCATGTGTGCTAATTATTTAGCGTTTCTTTCAACGTTTGTATATGGCCACATCGTGAATTTGATCAATGCACTTTCATTGCTGGATTGCGTGTCGAGTGGGTTCCGCATTCCTGGAGTCTTTGTTTTATTTATATATGTACATATATTCATACAGCTTTATGTACATACAATTCTCTCGTGAAAGCAATAACTTTCACGGGCGAATCTCATTGGTTCCATCGCATCGTTTCTCCTTTAATCTTCACAACTGAATTTTTTACTTCCACCTTTTACGTAAGTTGCATCAGGCGTTGAAGTAGGCTCAAAATGTGTGTAAGTTATGCATCATATCGTGAAAGTAGGCTAAAAATATCTGATAGGAATATTTTTGTCTCACAACTTTTGTATGTTGCACATTTTGGTAAGTTTGCTTGTGTTGTTGATGCCGTGTATTGTTAAAAAAATATTGTGGGTCATTTAGCACATGGGCCAGTATAAAAGTCAGTAAATCCAGCAGCAACCACGCCAAGTTCAATATTTGATTCAGCCTTTATACGGAATATCACCGTTGTCCTACTTTTCCTTTTGTTGTGCTCTTCACCTGCAAAATAGGATTGCAAATGGTTGGCGTTGCTGCATACATTTGGGCACAGCAGACATAGCATAATATGGGTTGCAGGTATTTCGTACTGATATGGACTATGTACGTATTTATGTTTGTTTTGACTGGACCATTTTTTAACCTACAACTTACCTTACTCCTCACTTTCAATACACTTCACTGCTACAGGATACGCTAACTATTATGATAAATGTAAATGATTGGTGAAAAATTCCTCAAATGCGTTAATAAGTATGTCTTATCTTCAGAAATATAAGGTTTTTTATTGTCGAGGTATATGCCGGATGAACTCATCCTCAGCATCAAGATGGACGTTGGTTGAATGTAAAATCAAGTCATCACTGCGACTAATTAGACCAGACCGGATGATTTTAATCAAAGAGGATTTGTTCTCACTTTGTATTAAGTTGTATGCGAGGATTTGCTTGCGTGTACATATTTTCAAAGAACCAATGAACGAGCCAGTAGTCTCATCAGAAGCGACAGTCCCACTCTGGGATGTGTGAATTGCAACCGACTTGGTTTATTTGAACAAGTTTTGCATTTTAGTATTGCACTTAAAATTGAAAAGTAGGTTAGCAAACCATACAAAAATAAAAACCAGAAAACGAGTATTATTCGTAGCCGGTTGATTTTTTGTACTTTTTCTCTCGTCTCAATCGTTACTTGTGATTGCATTCCTAAAACGCATTACAGTGTGTGTATAGTCGTATTATGTATGTATGATTGCAATATGAAGAACGAGTCTAGTGTGTGTAATATCGCATTGATTGATGAGACGTTAGAAGAGTACGTGTGAGTGCTATCAGTTAAACATGCGTTCATGAAAAACTATACAATAGTCGAGACTAGTTTTGAGAGGAAATATGTTCCCTCTGCCTGAGAATTGGATGGGATTTTCTATATTGTTTTAAAGTCGAGTATTATACGTAGTTAAGTGATTGGAGTTGGCAGTTTTGGTTACTCAGATATGTCAAAGGTCGAATTATTTATTTACTTATTTCGTGCCTGTTGTTGCTCCTGACTCACTAACATTATTTCGTTTATTTCTTTCATGACGGGAATTTCCTTCCGAATCACTTTACGCGATAAAAGCTCGTTATTGAAATTTGATCTAACTGCAGTTTAAATATTCATTTGGGAATGAGATTTTAGTGATGGATTCATTAATGCATATGTAGAGCACAAATTCGTTACAGTATCTCACTCCTTAATCATTTCCGGATAATTAGAGATATCCAATGGTGTCGTTAATGAGGCGAGTGATCTACAAGCGTTAATTAACATGTATCAGTGGCTTTGAACTATTGGCATTGTATTGTTTTCGTGCTGTTGTTCGTTAGTTGATAGTTAAATAAAGCGTGTAATGAAATGGTTTTGAATATGAAAACAATTATTTATTAATGTTTTTCATTACTTGTGAAACAGTACGTTACATGCATAACGCTTGCTCAACTCTGCACATTCTTCTGGTTAATATAACTGTAGGCTTGTGCATACTAAGTAATAAATACAATTGCAAAATTGCAGACAACCCTGGATTTGAACTGATTCAATACAATCAAACGCATGGCATTTAAAAATTCAGGGACACTTTTCATCCCATGTTTCCTTCCCTGACTTGGATTTCACGCCGTCGTATAGTATCGTATCGTATGTATATGCGTGCATACAAGCCAGCCATTGTCAAGGACTTGCCAAATAATAGCAGAATGACAAGCATGGGATTTAACATTTGATTGCAGATTTATCCTTTCATCATTACTGGTGTAAAATGCGAGGATTTGCGTATGTACATGCACTGACTCGCTACCATTATGAATTATGTACGTCTCTCGGCCAACATCGACAAACCCTGACGAAAAGTAGAAGATTTTATGTACTTGCTTTACTACAGACGTTAAACTATTTTTGTCTGCTTTAGAGCTCTCACGTCTATCTGTACATATCGCATTTACCCGTTTTTTCTTGTTGGAGCTCTGTGTATCTGCGAAGTAAATAAATCCTAATCATTTTGTGCATACTTGGCTGAGACTGATAAACCCATGGCCAATTGTCGTGTGAAATGCAGTTGAAATTAATGGAATACAGTGTGAAGAGGATCCTGGGCTTTGAGTTAAAATCAAAATATTAGTATAATTATGTTTGATTGTGATATCGGTGTTCTATTTGCCCTCTTAAAATTAAAGAGTTTAATTTTATTAGTTACAAATTTGGTTTCTCAAATTAAGATACATTAATTGTACCGTTAGATGAAATTATGCAATCATATTTGTCAGTACAAGGGGTTGACCGCCCTCTTGAATCTGCATACATGGGAGTTCATAATCTGATGAGCACGATATCATAATTGCAAATTAAGGCTGGCTCCTCCGAGAACAGGTTGTTGCGGATCGTTGACTACTTGACTGTAAAGGTGGCTGCTTGCCAAGGTCGTTCATTGGACGCTGGAAGAAAGCCGTTGACTTCGTCGGTGGTTTTGGACGGATCGTCGCTGTTGTAAACTTTGGGGGCACTGAACTTGTTCCTTCTGCAACCCGGACGGTGGTTGGTTTCGTTGCTCCTTCCATTGTTGTGGGTACATGAAATGATGACCAATTTAAATCTGGATGATGTTTACTGGTTAATTGTCATTGCCATTGTTGTTATTTTTAGTGTGTTGTTGTTTTCTTGAGAGCAACGCGACAATAAGAATACGTAATAAAATGTATTTATAAATGATGGAGTTGTGTTGTATTAACCGATCATAGTCCGAAATACGATGGCGTTGTTCTATCCTAAATACAAGTTCGGTTTCTTCCTATTCCAACAATACATTTATTGGTATTACAAATATATTTGAGTTTTGGTGCATCATTATTAGGATAGTGAACCACCAGTAGCACTGATTATCTCAAAACGTCCCCCTGATAATGTATCTCGTTTACTTCACACGCTATTAGTAATATTATCTGATTGAGAATTAGTCACTCGCTCACGGAGGACATACTTGCGTACATATTATCTCGCTATATATCAGTATTTTGGTTTTGGTGGTGATTGGCAGTGATCAACAGCATGTTCAGTAAATGCGAGGATTATGACTATTATTATTCAGTTTAGAACCCTCTTCATTATGCGCAGTGCTAATGGACGCAGTAGAAAATAAACGCACCTAATCTAACCAATGAGCTACTACAAGACACGTTGAGTATCACTCGTGATATTATTTTGTATATGAAAAATGTCTCGAGTGAGTATATTATTACTGAGAAAATAATTAGTCATCAATATGGATTTCCATTCTCATGAAATAATTGGGGGGTCCTTAATGTTTGCTAAGTTGGGGAGGAAAGGGTTCATGCGAAGGGTGTAAACAATTTCATGTCCCATTGATCTGACAGCCCAGTGATTCATCGATTCGACCTTTTTCACGTCAGTTCCATTTTGTGTTGTTCTCTGGGTGTCGTTTAAAAACCATATTCGAGGTATTAAAAAGAATATCTGACATTATAAAATTCAAATTTCTTGAAATTGTTATATTGGTTACATTTTTCTAAAAAATGCAAATTTCACGTCCTGATGAAGAATCACCGAAAACTTAAATATTTTAACGAAACTGTAAAGTTATACATAGATTTTCTACTTGATCCCATAAAACTCTCGCAATTTTTATTATTTTTGGAATTACTTTGTGACAAGTAACTGCATGCATACTTATTTCTATGTTATAAATACATACCTTAGCGAAATTTGGTACCTATTTACAAATACTTACAAATTTGTGTATTTTTATTTTCAGTGAACCTGACTGGGAACAAGGGTCGAGTGGACATGTCCAATTTCGAGCTGCTCAAAGTGTTAGGAACTGGAGGTAAGAAATTATTTCGAGTTTGTCCAATTTCTTAAAGCTTTTAACCAGTTTATACTTGGTTTGTATCCTCTTTCCATTATCTTCACCGAGTTTGGGAAAGTCAGTTGCTGACTAGATGACGATGGGACGGATTGAGAAATACACAGATAAGCCGTATTTGGAATAAACAGGATTATGCATGACAGTTCAAGTATTATTTCATGAGATGAATTTTGATGGGAAAATGATGAAGAGTTCATTTTTCATCGACGTCTCTTCTTGCGGACTGGTTAGAAATCATGCACATCCAACTCAAATCCATACGAAAAAATTTGCATATCAAATAAGCACCCGGAATACAAAAGATTTAGTTTACAGTTATTCGTTTTTTTTTGTTTAATGGCTGCATGGATGGAGCAATAAGCAGGAGTTGGTTAAAGAAGCTTCTGTCAAAATAGTGTGGTTTTGCTGATGACAGCGGCAGTTCTAGAAAACACAATAGATTGAAGTTTGTTTGGAGTAAGAGTGATACAGGAAATCTTCTCAAAATCCTGGCTGCTAGTAAATATATTCAGATGGAAGGATGATGGATGGAGATGTCACATTATGTCGGGGAATATTTCGTGTGGGACTGAGAGAGTGAAAAACGAGAGGAAATTTTTAACGGAATTTACAAAGACATTGAACTTAATATAAGTAATTCCACTGTTATAATACAACTTAAATTCAGTTGACTCTTGTAAATCTTGGCCCACACATTTACGTCAAGTGGAGAATTTCTTCAAATGTATTGAGATCTATTTTGTAATGTCAAATGTGTGCGGTAGCGTCGTGGTTATGTATTTGTACAGAATGATTATGGGCTGTTCACTATTCAACAACTGAAGTACATGTTTTCCTCTGATTTTGTCGTACGAGTTCATTCCCTTGTCATATTCGAGTTTTGTTTTGACTATCAATATCCGTTATTGACTTCAAACAGTCAATATATGTAAACTATTAAGCAACGCTTCTTGTAACTTTTATTAGTGTAAGACGTAATGCATCCACTCTTGTTTAATCGTATGAATATTTGTTTACCATAATATTCAGTGATAATAATACTAATTTATAAAATCGTTTTCTATAATCAAGCCATTTTACATTATTCGAGATTCGTATCGATCCTGTTTTTGGCATTCTTTCTCCATATTCTCATATAATCAGGGACCGGAAGAGGAAATACTGGGTGTTTTGGGTGGAGATCAGGAGACTCAAGTAAATACTTATGCGTAGTTTTTCAACCATGCCATGAGATTATGAGCCCGGCAGATTTTTATATCGTTGCCTCAGACGAATTTCTTCGTAGTATGTAGTAAATTTTGGCGTTGAATTTTATTTTTAGCTGGAGATGCTTTTGAGAATTATGCAATTTTAAGTATTTGACTTTACATGCAATACAAGCATAATTTATTAATGTACCAGTACCTAACTTTTGTTTATAAAAATTCAACAGGTAACATCAAAAGCTTATGAACAAAAGATTAGTTTTGTGAGAGATAGTGCATAAGAATAGGACGATAAACATAATAGTTTCCACGTTTGGCATTCGACTTCCTCACTGCAATTCGAGTAAAATTAGATTTACAACCTACACATTCAAATATTCGTAGTCGAGTATGGATGCATGTGGTATGGAAAAGGTACTTGAAATCAACAGGGCAAGTGCTTGATGTCAATCATTTTATTAACTATTACATATGAAGGTCACCAGATACATTCGTACGTACGTACATAGACTACCTCACGCTTTAAACATGATTTGCAAAGTCAAACGAGTAGAGATCCAGGTAGCAGCCAACCCAACACATCTCATTAAAATGCATTATATCTCTCTTATTGCATTGTCAGGGTCGAGGCTTCAGTTGAATTTAGGTTTTGGTTCAACACTTGGAGATTTAAAGCCCTCCCACTGTATTCCCCATACCGACTTATTTTTCATGTTTATGATCGACTGACAATTACAAAAGTTATGGCTGCTTCAGTCTTGCTTTATAAACTAATGTAGGTTCAGAAAAAGTAATTGACTATTAGAATCCAAAGCTTAGTTGCTGTACCAAACTTGTATCTCATATACTAATATATGTACACATGCACATGAATACATACACATGAACGTTAAGATTGCATACAGTGTAAATAGATTTTTAGTAAGAAATTGGGTATTTAACTACTAGCGTATAAGCCCGTCTCCCGCCGAGCTTATTTGATTTTCATGAAAATTGAGTGGAATTTTGGAAAACTCCAATCAATTAAATATTTTAATCTATATAATAAGCTCAAATTCTGTCACCGACGGAAGTCAAAGGAATTTGTAAAGAACGTGAAATTGATTGTTTGAGTTGATGATAGGAAAGTTGATGATAGGAAAATTAAGATATTTAAGAAATCTAAACAATGCTCATGGCATTCTATATATTCTTATTTGGCAATAAATATATGGTCACAACGAATGGATCCATAGAAAATCAACATCATATTGTTGTACCCGATTCAAAATCTGTTAACAAAGAGACGTTTGACGTGTTCGACATATTTTACTTGGACCACACGGTCACTGGTGTGTCGAATGTCACACCACGTATGATATGATATTCGTGCTCAGATTTCAAAATATGTTAAAGTAGAAGATTTGACTAATTCATCTGAAGCCTCATTCCCTTGATTAAGGGAATGAAAAGGGAACGGATTCAATTCATTAAATCTACGTAGTCTGCGTGTATAACATGGGCAGCCGATGGGAGCATCGAATAACCGCGGGAACATATTCCCTCATCCCTGTCTTCACCCTTCCGCGGCTACTGTATATTTTGTCTGTCGTTGGGAGCGGCATCTTCCTTATGTAAAGCTGCAGTGAGAGCTGGAAAGAAGTCTTGACAAAATATGAAATAGCTACATCGTCTGAAGTATATCCAACGGGAAGGGGGTTCCGTTCCCTTTCCTTTCCCTTCATGCAAAGATGTCACTACTTCGTATGAAGTACATCTAACGGGAAGGGGATTCCGTTCCCTTTCCCTTTATGCAAAGATGTCACTACTTCGCCTGAAGTATATCCAACGGGAAGAGGGAAGGAACGGAACCCTTCACCATCGTTCGACGACTTCACTGCGGCTCCAGCCCGCACACCCCTACCAGAGTGATAGCCACATCCCATTGGGGTAAACTCAAACAGAGGTAGTGGCCGGTTAGGTGCGCTACCCCACAAACAGATCACACCCAACACTGGGGGTGTAACCACTTTCGATAGGCAAACTCCTCCTCCTAATATCCGGCATCCCCTATGCCTATCAGCATAGCGATAACTGTGTAGTCCACACACGAAGGGAATGGAATTCCATTCCCCTTCCATTCCATCGATGTGAAGATTTCACTACTGCGCCTGAAGTATATCCAAGGGGAATGGAAGAGGAAGGGAATTCCCTTGTGTGTAGGCCAAGTAAATATATTTTGTAATTTAAACAATTCAATATAAATATGGTCTACCCATGAAGGGAACGGGATTCGTTTCCGTTCTCCTTCCCGGCATCCATACATAGATAGCGAAACTTATGTCACTGGTTTCCGAACGGGCCTTAAGGGGCCTGAACGGAACAGAATGTTTCTTAAATATCCGGAACAAAGGAACAAATGTCCCTTCGGAAAGTGACCTCACCAACATTTCACACCCAGCACTGGGATAATAGGCAAATACCCATGATAATGTCTGGCATACCACTTCCCCCTAGAGCGATAACCACATCCCGAAGGGGCACACTCTCGCATCCCCCCAGCAGAGCGATAACCATATCCCAAGGGGGCACACCCTCCCTTTCCCCCCAACAGAGCGATAATAATATCCCAATGGGGCACACCCTCGCTTCCCCCTCAGCAGAGCGATAACCATATCCCAGGGGGGCACACCCTCCCATTCCCCCCAGCAGAGCGATAACCATATCCCAGGGGGGCACACCCTCCCATTCCCCCCAGCAGAGCGATAACCGCACTTAATGATTTTGTTAACTTCCCTTCCAGATAAGCTAACCAGCAAATCCTGGATAACTGACTTATCGACTTTCCAACCCCTTGCTATAACGCAGTTGATATGCAAATCACTTTCTCCACTTTCACTTCCGTCACGGAAAATTACTTTCACTTCCGTTGCCAACAAACATTTCCAGCTTATAAGATAGATTTTAATTTCTTCGAATGATTAAGATACGACTGAAATTATCACATTCAATGAATAAATTTGTTTGGAACTTTTACCTAAAATTATCCAAGAATTAGTTCTATTCTTTCAACTTATTCTTGGATCATGCATGTTTATGAAACAATGCACGTGGAGGAAATGACCTTACAATTGCTTTTATTTAGCATCCTACTACACTGACTGAGTGTTCGAAAATGTACATATTGTTAAATATTATGAATGCCTAGGTCAATGGTATTTAAATTAAAGGCCAAACATTTTTATACTACTAAACGATCAATACTTTAGAAAAAGGACAATTAAAAATAAATCAAAATCAAAACTTTTTATATGAGGAGCGTAGAATGTCAAATTAAGAGTAAGTTCGGTATTTTATTGTAGTAATTTCGAATGTGTGTACGTATGCAATATAGATTGATCGGTATTGCTACATATTTCACTGCTGGTGAAGTCTTTAATGTTGGCCATTAATTAAATATCAAAGTCATCACGTTATTTCAGCATTGGGAAATTCTGATCTACAACCTTCAACCAGTTTTAATCGTTCGTAGACAGCGTTGCATCAGTCTAAAAGTAAATTGCAATGTTACTGCAGAAAACATTGGGAGATTGGTGATACAGGAATGTAAGCAACCATAAGTTTAATACATGCATACGGTATGCAGTATACGGTGTTCAAAGAATCAGCCAATGTTCACATGATCTGCAGTGCTATCGTACATGTGTATGTGCAGTACTATGATGTACACATGTACGTACGTACTTTTTCTCCGTAATCTGAATAAGTAGCATGATATCAAAGACCGTTTAAATGGGTGTGTGTAAATATGAACTGCACACTTCAAGTGGTCCGACCCGAACAGGTACAAATTCAAACATTTTCCACTACTTAATGATACATTTAAATATAAATACATTCACAATGAAATGGTACATTTTATAAGGCTCAAACGTATTCACAATGGTTCAAAATGCTATACATATCTTTGATGATTAAGTTTGATTCTGTATTGCAAATTGTAGTTTTCGCTTTCTAATTTCCCGTGCAATTTATTTTAAAACTATTTGTTATCAACTAAAAAATTAATTTGAGTAAAATCTGATATTCTGGAAAGTATAAGTTTTTAGTCTGAGGTTTTTTATCTGCAGATTCAAACCAAATAAGAATTAGGATTCGGATTCCCTCGGCTCTTAGCATTTATTTACTTGCAGCACGATCTGCTTTGGAATTTAGAAACCATGCGATAATGAGTTGCGTTCAAGCGCCAGCAGCCACAGACAAACGCTAACCTAAGCCAAAGCCAAAACATTTGACCCACTTTCATAGAGTTGTCACTTTATTATTATTATGAGGATTTTGTACGTATGGCATATTACAAAGAAACGGTTATCCTTAGTTGTTGCTAGTAGGTTGTCTACAGGAGAATGATAGATATGCCTATAAGCCAACGGAATGCAGTCTTGCAGTAAAAAGGGGATTGCGTGTGTCAAAATAATTGCAGAATTTCCCTGGGAGTCAATGTGCTCGACTTATCGTTCTGACCTACGAAATATGACTTCAACTATAACTTCAATACCACTTTATGAAGAATATTCTGGACTTTGAATCTTGCAAATAAAACTCAATGCAATGTCTCACAATCGAAATACATTTGAAACCAATGAAAAATGCAAATAGTTTTTGGAAGTATATAGAATTTGAATCAGCTTTTTGATGTGAGCTTGGCTCCGTTTTACTCTTTAGTTGCATAATCATTAAATCATCTTGCAATTTATATGGTGGTCGCTGAGGGTACATGGAGATCAAACAAAAATGAAAGCAATATGGGTTTTAAAGTGCGCTATTAAAACTAGACTGCTTATTTTATTTGATCATTAGAGCCGTTTGATGAATTATTAATTTGTCTCATCATGAAACTGCATTATTATATAATCCTGATTACGCCGACTACGTAATTTAATGTCACTATGCAGGTGTATTTTCCTTTATGTTAACCCTCTGCTTACTCGTATATATGTATAATACGTATATATAAATATTTGGAACATTTTAAAGCGAATCATGTCCAGATTTCCTAAAACTAGTTCAATGCGCTTCCACTTTCAGTTTGATATTGATTTTATGTGCAAGATAAACCGAGCATTTAACAACATCTATCAATGATTATTGTTCCAACAAACCACTATTGAAAAAAATACTCTGTAGTTAATGCACGTTTAGAATACTTGCGAACAAAAGTAACAGGATTTGAATTTAGGCCATTGCATTTTTCATTCTTGATCAAATCTTCTTTCTTGTGTACGTATCACCTCAACCAACCTCAAGATTACTTGTTACACGTTTTGGCTCACTCTAGCTAGCCCATTCATCACTACAGCACGGAAATGATGAGCTGCAAGTGAAATTGATGACAGGTGGATTTGAAAAAAATACATCATTCAGCATCCTCTCGATCAAACGGAAAAAAATTATTAAAGAGTATCTTCAGCAATTTTGTAAGTACAAAATCGAACGTATGATCTTCTATTACCTTCATTATCAAAGGCAGCTTAGGATTAGTATTGAGAGCACAAAATCTATTTAATGTAAATATGTACCCATGTATCTCGACAATTTTGCAAGGTTAACACGTTCCATTGATCACGGCTATTACAGTTTGTATGCCATTGCTACAGAATGTATGTATGTGGTCTTCTAATTTCGTGTCTGTGTGTAGTGCTTCTATTTATTTACCACTATATGATAAAGCCCTTGCGTGGGCACAAAGTGAAAAAATCCCGTTGGATTTTCACTGGGGATTTCTTCCTTCACGGTTTGATAAGTTCGTTTTTTCCAAGAAATAAGATTCACCCAGGCATGGACACAGCTACTATGAATTAGACAGCATTGTGTTTGACGGTGTGCAATTATTTTAAAGAATGTGTGCACCGATAGCTATACAAATCTAGTTATATAAAATAGTGAAGAGGTAATGCACATAAGGTGGAATACTTAAGTTTTTGGTAAGAAGATGAACTCGCCCGTCTTAATTTTGCTGATTGTCGTTGAGTATGCACATATTTCGCAAGATTTACGAAATGGTAAACTCCCAGCATTGAATTCTGACTGAAGTTTGCTTGATTTATTTAATAAGTCTACATTCCTAGAAATTATTTAGATCAGGCATTTGTGCTATTCCTTTCTCTAAACCGATTACAAAGTACAAGTGACTTGATCATTTCGATTAGAATGTAACGTGCTACTTTTATGCTGAAAGAACTGGAAGTTGGTCAACTGAAAACGTATGTATGCACTTACGTAGATTTTAAATGGGAAATAAGTTAAAGGGAAATAAGTTAAAGGAAGCCTTTTAAAAGGAAACAATACTTTGCGATAACGGTGCAGGTAGGATGAAGCGAAGGGGTTTATTCGCCATAATCAGCGTTGAGGGATGGCACACATTATTTTCATATTATTGCAGACTTTCATTACGACACGACGACTCCCAGCAGAGAGTTGTTTGTAGGCGCACAGCGACTTGATGCATTTTACTCTCAAGGTAGGAATAGCACTCCTCGTGCGAAGTAATGCGAATCCTGTTGAGAAGGTAATGCCTCTGTTCTTGAGCAATGCAATGGCAGGCCACAGAGTGAGGTGGAAATCGCCTTGAGCAATGGAATTCATGGGAGTACCGTTATTGTTGGCTTGCCATTTTCTCCACTTTTTTGTCATCTCCTCTTCATTACCTTAAACTTTGTGTAATATTTACGTTACATCAGTGACCGTCTGTGCCTATACGCACACATTCCTTCAACCCTTACTTTGACTTTCAAGTTTATGTTATTGCCTATTGACAGCAGATGACGAGGTACCTAAACGTTGGCATTCCACACTATATTGTTGATCGTTTATGCACATTGACCCTGCTCCCTGTAAAGGACGCGAGTTTGGTCTTTCCAATGAATTTTGCAGTCAGTTTTAAATTATCCAGCCAATTTCCCATACTCTGGTTAACTTCATTTACTGGTATTACGAGATATTACTAGTTTTGGGTAGTTTCATACGCCTTACACGTGATGAAATGAGACTACACAAGGGACTTTTGGAAATCCTTTCCATCCTCACGATGTTTAATCATTAAATAAAACAGAAGCAGTCCACGAGAAAATAGCAAATTCTATTTAATAGTATGATGACTCTATGCAGTTGGCAAATCAAAATCAGGGTTGCAATTCCTCCTACACAAACACATCCGAAAAAGCTGTTGCATGAGTGCAAATATAAATCAGCCATTTGTACAGTTGAGTCCTTTCCTTCTTTACGGTAATGAGGGTTGGTTTCTGCAACAGCTTTCGAAAGTAAAAATAATTTGCTTAATGTTGATAACGTAACACATTTATTTAGCAACAACTAAACATGCACCTTACAAATAAAGGTGTGGCTGTGGGGAGAATAAGCACGCTTTGCCATTAAACCAAAGCTGGGCTTGTTGAAAATGCAAAAATTGTGATAAATGGAGCAAATGATGATGAGTTGGCTATGAAAATGCAAAGTGAACTTCCCACAGCTCGTTTGTTTGCATTGCCGAGATGATAATAATTACATGAGACTTTTCAGTCAGGCCATTGTCCAATCGCAATGAGCTATTCTTACCTAACAGAAATTTTACATTTGTTGAGGTTGGAGTGAAGGGGACGAAAAATAGTTGTATAAGAAAAACTGCGGACAAAACAAGTGAAATGGAAGCGTTCTTGCATAAAAACATTTTGTAAAAGCCAATGCTTTCCTGACCTGATTTCTCTTCTAGACATTCGTTCAACGTTCCTCTTCGAATGGTGGTGGTTATCGAAGCAGTCGAGACAGGCGATGGAGAGGAGAGAGGTGATCTCGCTTTCGGCAAATCTCTTGATACGATATGAATTCACAAAAGTTGCATTTGACAACAACGCCACGTAGCGATTTCGCCTGTGACCAAGATTATTAATCAGTTAGCAATCAACGAACCTGATTGATATGTATATATAATTTAGCAAAACTAGTAAATTGTAAACAGGACAATGTGTTCAAGCCCATTTCACACAGGAAATTTATTTTAGCAGGTGTATTCACTTGTGGGAATTGTGTTTGACCGATAATAAAATGCAGCATTTTTGCTGTTTACGTTTGTATGCATATTTGCTTATCCGTAGCATATGTAGTTCCAAATAAATGGATTTACATAACAGTATGATTCTGCAATAATTTTTGGATTTTATCGCTAACTTGGTACAGTTTACACGTAGGCGAATATAGTGCGGTGCCCTGCAATAAATTATGTATGACTTGTGATTCATAATTCTATGGGATCATTCATGAACTAATCTTGCAACTTATGCATTCTAATAATAAATAAAATATATTATTTATAGAGTTCTTCCATAAATAGTTTTCATTACGGGGATTTGATGTGGGTTGGAATATGAAGGCCGATGTAGATGGAAATTATGATGAAATTAAATAGAGTATTTTGAAAATATGATATCTCTAACAAATTCTAAATGCAATCTTTCTTTTAACTTTTCAGCATATGGAAAAGTCTTTCTAGTCCGAAAAGTGGGGGGTTTTGACCATGCAAAGCTCTATGCAATGAAGGTGCTCAAAAAGGCAGCAATCGTTCAAAAAAAGAAGACAACGGGTAAGTACAAGTGCAATTGTTAAACTTAAACACCTAAAACGCATGTTGTAACCAAATATAATGTGACCCTTAGAACACACAAAGACAGAGCGACAAGTTCTAGAAGCTGTACGCGAATCTCCATTCCTCGTCACGTTGCACTATGCCTTTCAAACTGACGCCAAACTACATCTCATTCTAGGTAAGTATCCGAACATTTGGGCATTTTTTTTACTCATGCATGCATAAAAGTATAGTTTCGTGTTTATTGATTAGATACGTAGGTATAACCTTGATAGAGATTTTATACGGAGAAAATAAGTTGGATTTTCATTTTTGCAATACGCGTGAATATCTACATGGTTTTTTATGCTTACTTATTTTTTCACCTCGTTGCTTTGTTGGTATATTGAATAAGAGTTGTATGGGCAGTGGTCCCTTGAAGTTTAACTTGCGGCAATACAAAGAAATTATATGTACTGTATCATGCTGTTGTGTCATCATTTAATTAATATCCATTTTCACTGGAATGTGTGACAATGTAACCAATTCCCTAAAATCATAGTTTTTCGTAGCCGCGACGCCATATAGTTTTTGCAGACTTACTTCCTTGTTGGTATTTCCCTGTTCTTTAACTGGCTACCAATTCTTTCGAAATGTTTTTGAGCATTTGTATATACCAAAATGTATTTGTGTGTTTGAATAACCATGCACTGTTCCATTTGGCAAATGTGTTTGGCCAGACGAGACAGACAAGTGTTAAGTTCAGCTTGAGCTACACTACACTTGGCACTTAACTTGGCCTCAATTTCGCATGGCCTAAAAACTATGCTGGCTACAGTACGTGATTTGATTGTAATTATTTACAATTGGTTGGTAGCACTGTAACAGCCAGATTTAGTGCATCTCATATTCCATATAATTAGCTCAAATGCACAATTGTGTAATTCAGTTCCGTTTTGCATATAACTTTCGTTGCACTTGATCTAAATCAAAGAACTCGATCCGTGTTTTAGGAGCTCATCTCATGTTACACTTTATTACGAAGAGGAGTGTTCAAACAATTTACAGTATGCATAATGAGTACATGCCATCCTTTGAAAACTTTTGCATCGCACCTTCCTGCATATTTATATTTACATTTGTACATAAACTTGCACCTGCTTCGTTAAATAATGTGTATCATCCCCACCAACAATAGGAACGCTATGGACGTATTTGCGGAACAAATTGGAGAACAAGTACATACGCGAACGTATAAGGTTCAGTGTAGCCCGAGGGTAATTACGGGAATTGCGTTTTTCTTTTCTTTAATCGCCGGCAGTGGAGCGAAGCTATACGGATTTGCAGTTTCATTTGTTACCGTAATAGTACACGACCAATAGAGCTGTGCAATTTTTACACTGATTATGTAACACGCAAAATTACGGACATAAACAAATTGTCAGTACCTTAAAACCTTAAAATTTCAATTTTTCTTCTGGACAGTGTAAATATGGCATTTGTTTTATAATCTAACTGCATAATTACTGCACTGCTAAATATTTTAAGTCAAATAGCATGTGAAGAACACAATTTAATTGACTTATTTCACGTGCATGGCAGTATAAATAGCTGCTCTGATGATATTTTGTTTTAATACTTGGCCGTATAGCCATGCATATGTATATCTGAAAATATGTAGTTGTTGGTTAGTGGGTGGCTTGTGATTCAACGATGCATGCTGTTTATTTAGACTTGATAAATGTCGTGATCCCCTATTATGATGCTGGTAGTTTCATTGTTGGTGAATTTGTGTCAAGGATACCTTCACTTACCTTACACCTTCCACTTCCATCAGCCATCCGGGGGTTTTATTTATTGACTGAATACAGATCAAATTGAGTGATGAAATAAAAAAGAATGCATAATAATTCGGTATAATCGTGTTTTTGTTGTATTGATGGGACCATGGGAAAACATAACGGGTTTTCTCGCTCGTTTTGTTCATGGTGCTGGCCTAAATTTCATTTCATCTCCGTTTGAAAATAACAGTTACTTGTAAACATTGCATAACAATGACACACATATTTATTTACATGCATGCTCATACCCTGTTCCTTTTCATCCCAATAGGCAATGTTTTTTAGGTTACCACCAACAATTGAGAGAGATAGGATCACGTTGTTTTTTTTAGTCCGGAAGTAGTTTTCACTTGTTTCAATTTCCCTAAACTTTGAGCATTTATCATATTTTTGTCTAAAATGCAGAAACCAATTTCCATTATATAAAGAGATGGATAATGTGAAATTGTTGTACAATACAGGCTCGTGGAGATTATTTGTGTCCTTGTGCGTTTGGCAGTGACACTACTAAATTTCAGCTGACATGCACAAAGGTGACCATTCACGATTTCACCGAACAAACCAAATACATACACACGGATCCATGATTGATTGAATGAATACGCAACGCATTGCGCAGTCTTAACTTTTTTTGTGATGTTTGATTCTACCGACGACTACACAACACAGCGCTGATCAATATTGTTATTATGGTTTCATTCTGCTATTATTTTTTATTATTTAACGACCTTTTTCTCGATACTGTTGATCAAATCATCGATACAAAATTTTGTGTTACTTTTCTCAGTCGAATTTCCTTACGCTGGTGCATACCAGTTTCATACATGTACTTTGAAAGCCATAACCTACGACTCTACTTTAGCCGTTGCTAAATTGTTGATTCACATTATCTGTATTATCGCAAACGCGACACTGTCTGCACTTAATTGGAGGCTTTATTACACAATATCGTCATGATCATCACATAACAAAAGTGAAAGCAACCTTTAATGATTCATTTCTGTGATTGGGAGGCATTTCCACCAATAGTAATGACGCGAGCTGTAAAAGTCCTTCAGATTGGCATTGATTGGGCTGGTCAGGTTTGCAAATGAAAAGAATGATGGTATAATAGTAACCATCAGTCCTTAAATCTTTTCTACGTGCTACAGCAATCTACTATTCCGTCTAGGGTTGGAAATAGTTGCTAGTTATTGGAGAAATCTGTTGACGATTGAGCAATGCATTACGTATTTCATTTCTTTTTTGGTGTGCTCTTGCGAGGATTCGCGACAAATTAGGTAGTCGCGAGTTATATTTATGCATATTACATATTTATGCATGCATGAATTGCTATGATTTTTCCAGCTAAAGTTGTATTTTGTAACAAATGAAACTCATTTTCTCATTCACTTCTTTTTGGGGGATCGTAGAAATTTTGAAATGAAGGCTCTGAAACATAGTCGAATCTTACACTGATGATTATGATACCATAAATTGTGGTTGGTTAAACTCATGCTCGATGCGGAGTGTCATAAATAGACACAAATATGTCAGTGGGTTACGGACTGTTGACAATCTGTGCATTTATTTGCAACAGTTATACATACATTCTGATTACGAAGAGGAATTTATCACGTATGTACATATGTCCACTTTTATGCAGTGTTTCCTGTACTTGCTCATTTGATGGAGATGTGTAATATTTAAATTAGCCAAATCCCTCACCTTTCCTGCATCCACTGCCCCTTCAAACTTCCTCTCATCAACATTTCTTGATTTAGTGGGATTAATAAGTCGGATGCATGGTCAATCATCAATGCACGACGAATTATTCATGTGAGTTTATGGTATGTCAGTTCATTATTGGGTTAGTCCAACAATTTCTACGGCGTTGCTTGTTAATATTTCAACTTGACCTGAATTCATGGTGTTATGCATATTATTGCTTCTGGTCGTTTCCACCATAACAATCGTAATATACGATTTGTCCATGATGGAAAATTTAACTCAAAAAACTAAGAAAACCCCTGAGATTTTTATAGGTTTTGAAACCATAATTAAGATAACGCAATTGAATTTAAAAACATCATTAGGAACGCCATGCATATCGGCAAAAATCACTCATGGGTGACGCATTATTTGTTGTTATTCTACTCCATTGTACGAAGTAAATGCCTTTGACCTCAATTTATTAATAAGATCCAGCTACACACAAACTGCGGAGATCAGTTGGTTTCACTTCCCAGCTAATATATTTTGATGACATGCATCACAGGCATTTTTGTACGCTTCACTACTCACACAGTACATTTTATGTGTGTACTAGATTTGTTGTCATCATTTACATTCTTTCACAGAACGTAGGCCCATATTCGAATTTAAAGACTAAATAAATGACAACAATCCTGTGTATACCGTGGAAAAATTAATTATCTAACTCGATTTTAGCACATTTTCCATGGACTTGTGTCTCAAAATTCGAGCATTCCTCATTCCGATTCAACTATTTATTCGATGATGACCGGAAGTGGTGGTGTAAATGTAGATTTTTTTACTCGAGATTGTATCAATAGTGTGATCTGGTTACATAAATATTGAAATCATTGTCACCGAATCAGTAACAATCTTGCCAAGATGTAAGTACAAATGTTATTCGATGTTTGTCAAAGGATCTCAAAAGTAGGGCATCTGGATATTTCTGAAGCCTGCAGTTCATTATTTTCCGTCTCTATCCGCATGCATAATGGTGCGATGCGAAGTTAACGACTTGAGATGTCATGAAGACATTCTAAGTATTGGTTTCCTTTGTATTAGCATAATCAATTAGCACGCCATTTGTATTCTCTGCGCCCTGTAACAGATTTGAAAATGTTCTCAGGTTCACTCCCACAGTAAAGCTACACGGAAGAGATAAAACCCTACGCTTCGAAGTTAGGTACATTTTTGCATGAAAATAATCTGAGATTTGAGCTCGTACTTTTATGCTTCAATGATACTGATACATTTGTAAATGTATATTGAGTGTGGATTCCCAGCGTTGTTGTTTTTGAAATAATCCTAATAATGGGTACGTTAACAATAAGATGAAGCAGAACCGGAAAGCATAAAAGAAAAGTGCATCAACATACGTTAACTAATTCCCAGTCGAGTATACTTAATTTATATAAACATGTATACATTTTAATTAATCAGAGCAAGTACGTACATACGATTGATTCAAGTACAAAATGATACACATAAATGCGTACGTAAACACCAATGTAAACAACGACAGCATACTTTTACCAGCTAAAAACTAATCAGATTAATTAAGTAGGAGCTACTTCCTTCCATTGAAGTAGGATTTTTACTTTTGTTCAAATATTTTACTTCCTCACATTTTCCTCCGTCATTCGAATTCATATGTACATACGGCAAGTAACAGCACATTTGTAGGGTGACAAACTACTTGCCAACATGCATACCCTGGCTGCTCACTTTTATTCGCTATGGGAATGGGATGAAAAAGTGGGTCAATTGAATAGGCACGGGAAGACATGTAGGTAAGGCAGCAGCATTATTATGAGCTATTAGCAAACCCTGTGCCTTTCCACAAATTCTGCAGAGAGAGAGCGTGCACATACATGATGCATACAATGCAATGCATTTCGTATGGGATTTGGCAGAATAGTGAGTGTGGCACATAGCGAATTTCGTGGGCAAAAGTCGTCGTGGAATCTTGATTTATAATGTCGATGTATGTACGCATTGGTTGGTTTGATAATCGAAGCAATCGATGCGATGTCTGTGACTCTTAAACTGGCGACTTCTTGACTACCTGCCCTTCTGCCTGTCTATCTTCCTTCCTTCAATTTGCTAAAGGAATGGGAGGCTACAAAATTACGCGGAAACGTGCAACTTTATTTATTGTCTCGTATTCATGTTCTATTTGTATGCTAACAATTCTTCTTCGTCTCACCAAATGAACATTTTTTAAAGCTCAATTAATTTGGAAATATATTATGTTGCATTTATTGTTTTTTGTTACTTTTGTACTTTTTATAACGTATGACCATTCGTCCATTTGGTTGGGATTGCTTAATTGTTTCGTACAGAGCATATTTTCATGATATTTAATACTTTGTCAGATTTGAGCCTCATGAGATTATTAAATCCACGTAAGAAAAGGAAAAGAGCCAAGTTAAAGAATGGCAGAATCAAATTTGCGAAAAAGTAGGTCAGTGGCTTACATTTAGACGAAGAGGACAAGACATGCAACCAAAGGAGAGAACTTCCACCACTACTTTTGCGTGTATGGTGATGATGATACGCCAGCAAACTGTTCCGCACCAAAGCACTGCATTATTTCGTAGCTTCTTGCATTTCCAGTTTTTATGTAAGATTTGACCAAAGAGCTAAATATTTGCAACTGTCTGTGTTTGTTGTGGCTTTGCAGTAAAGGGTGTCAAATGTTTTGAGTTTTTGCGTGCCACAATAAATAGAGACGTTCTCAAGCATTTTAAACTTGATCATAATTTCAAGTTATTACTTCCTCTTTCGAAGGAGTCCAAGTCAGCGTCGGTCCACTCCTCCCTCTTCAAGCACGTGATGAACAAATCTGGATGAACAACAGAAAGAAATTGACGTTTGTGTTGGATGTGTGGCCTGACTTTCATTTTATTGGAAGCAATAAATAGGTCATCAGAACGTCGTACGTAGCATGTCCAACTGATGATGGTGGGGATTTTGGCATTAGGTTCATGTTGGAGTTAAACCGTCGGGTTTCATGCATTTCTTGTCATTTCTCCATGTTGCTTGGGAAGCCAGTTTGGTCAGAGAGATGGTGAATTTGTGATGGTGATTATTACTGGCGTTACATGATAATGTTACTCCACTGACCCATTTTTGGTTGTGAACTTTTTTTTACATTTGTACTGTGTTTGAGTTGCCTAATAATAAGGGATTAAATTTATGGCTCACAGAATTCGCTGGTAATTTAGTGAGTTCACAACTCACAAAGCTGCATCCCATTTCTAAGTGCATTTTATAACAAGTAAGAAATATGAAGTAATGTTTGTGTGGTAAGATGAGAGATGATAGCAAAGTTTTGATGGTAAATGTTGATATGAATTAAAACAGTGTTATATATATGCAAAACAACAAACACTGCGATACTACAAGAAGTCATATTTGACCAATTATAGGCTAAGAAACTTTAGTTCTTAGCTCACCCTATGGAACGATCCTAGGTGGCTGGTTTCATAGGTCTGAAAATTTGGATAAACCTGGTATTTCCATGAATTGAATATCGAGTTTGCATAAAATAGATTCAATCGGGTTTAGTAGATTTAGATTATGTAAATGACGTTTCTAAAAAGACGACGTTGAATATACTAGATTAGAGTTTATTACCACTTTTGCTAAAGTGCATATGCAGCAAGTTTGGAGAATGAGGTTCATGTTATTCACTGACGGAAATTTGTATCAAGTGAAAGTGTTGCGTATGTATGTATTTATGTAGTGGATAGTGGATACATGCCAAATATCATAAGTATCCGTGCATGTTTTAATCTGCTGCGAGGTGTTGTTTGCTTGTCGCATCACAGGCAATAACTCCGGGGTAGAAAACAGAGACTTTTCACCGTCATCAATTTGACAATGCATGCACGAGGAAAGAAAGTAAATAAAACTAGGTTCGTGTCATGGCCTCTCGTGGGCTGTAGGTTGACACACTTGACACTGGGGACCATTCTTTTCCGGATTGTATTATTGTGTTGGCCTAATTAATCTCCAAATCCAGTATAGTAAGTGGTTGGATGTATTCATTTCAAGCACAAACATGCTGGTTGGTGCCAAACTCTTACCATCCACACCCACGACGAGAGACAAAACAAGTTTGTCGTTGTACGGGGATCATGTGGTTATTGTTAATAAAGAGATGACAAGAGTCGTGTCACTCAGACCCATGTTTCACTCAATTGTCAGGAATTGTGTCCACCTTGTTTGTATTCTACTTGCTGGGTAGACTTTGACTAGACGATTTCCCAATAACAAAGAAAGTTGTGTAGGCATCTGTAGGTATTAACGGTTGGGTTGGTAAAAATTTATATCGGGTGGAAAGTAAGTACATATATTTATATTTGCAGAGTGGATGAATGAAAACAATGATGTTGATTTCGTTATTGCGTAACGCATGCCGCACATTATTTTATAATTTGTTTACAAGTCCAGCACCATTTTTATTGTCGTCAACATACTTATTATGAAGTGATATGTTTTGATTTTACGGACCTAAAGTAACATTTTTAGTTCTTTGCAATTACAGATTACGTTAGTGGAGGTGAGCTGTTTACACATTTGTACCAAAGGGAGAGATTCACTGTGGACCAAGTGCGAATTTATATTGGAGAAATTGTCCTCGCGTTGGAACACTTGCACAAGGTTGGTACTTTTATGTGTATACTCATATTATCATACATTACTAATTGAAACAACTCGTTTCTGCCAATCAAGTTAAGACAATTTCCTGCTTCTTTGATGAAAATTGAAATATAATGATATTTGTCTGGAATTTATAGACGCATGATTGTAGTATTTAATAAGTAACTTACTAGAGAATTCTGAGTCACAAAGTTGTTATAAGTAAAATTTTACCAAAGGGATTTCTTTGAATGATGATGCAATAATATAATGAAATGCGTTATACCCTATTATAAAACAACAACAAAAACATCTTTACTGCAAGGCAAACAGCTTGTTTTTATCACTCTCGCAAAGGTCATTGTCATACTGTTTGGCAAAGCCAGTTCTGGAAACTGATAGAGCGAAGAATTTTTCCATGAAATTTGTACTATTATTTTCCAGTTATTCTGCAACAGATCCATCAATACTCCATATTTTAATACCTTTTGTTATAATTCAATCCCAAATATTATATGAGTTATATAGTGGTGGTGAAATCGATGTGAACTTGGGCCCAGTTTTGGTTTATGACCCATTTTTATTATTTCTTATTTGTATTTAAAAAATAAAGGCGAAGGTTGTATGACTTACATGTAAGTGTATACAGTTGAGGCTAAAATTATAGGTGGTGGGATTATACAGAGCAATAATCATTCGTTTAAAAATGAATTTTCATCTCATTTTTATTCCCTATTAAATTTTCAGTCGGTGATTCTAGTCAATAGTGGTAGGTGCAAAGTCAGGAGAAGATTTGGTGTAATGTACTTACTGCGATTAATAATTGGCAGATGGAATGAAATTCAGCCAGGCTTAATTTCAAGCTGAATAGTCATGAGTTAGTTTATCATAATGTTCAATTTGGGAGTTGAATTTCAAGTTCACAATTTACTATTGAACGACTTCTATGGAAGAACAATAGTTTAAGGAGAGATTTACCTTGCAAACCATCCAAGCTATGCACGCTCTAATGTATACATATGTACGTATTTGTTTTGTGTTCAATGTCAACCTTCAGACTTTACTACAGCCATTACTACTGGCTGTCGAATCAAATCTATTGATTTGATGGATTAAACTAGTTTGAGGCCGCTGGATGGATCAGCTAATTGCATCCTTTAAAGAGATAAATTTATATGTGCAAGAAATATGTGTATAAAGACTAAACTTTTAATCTCTTACTATTTTGAAATTTGTTTCCCTGATGCTGATAATCCAGTTGAAGCCAAATGATTTATAAAATGCGTACTGTTGACCAATACAATTAGGGACAACGTCATCTTGAAGCTAGGCTTACGTTTTCATTGCAAGACAAATGATATTCAATCTCGTTCTCTCCCGACTCAATTTAATGAAAGGTATCACTAAATATTCTACATGTGTATATGCTGCGATAAATATTTCTGAATCTTCTTTTGCTTAAAGGACGAGTACAACCACTTGTGTGGAAATAGTTTGTTAAATATGGCAACTCATTACGAATAGTAATTATGTCATGAGAGAGGAGTAGATCGAAAGTCTCGCCTCATTAGGTAATTTACTGCCAATTCTAACCTCTGTCATCTCTGCAAAGAAAATAATCTTGCTGTTGGTCGCAAAAAGCGTTTCCTGCCTCAACCGTTTCAGGCATGTAGCAACATCCGGAACGTCCCTCCCCCAATGACATTCAGTATTGATGAAGATCCAGTTTCGACAAAATGGGTTGTTTGACCTTTCTATAAAATGAGTCCCACGTGTAAATCTAGATCCCATTTTGTACTGATATCACCCAAATAATCTTCATACAATTTTATCCTGGTATTCACAAAAGAGACGAAAAATAGACAGAAAATAAAGCCAATGATGTTTCACGGGTAAAGTTTCAAACATTTTCGTATACGCGTTGACAAGTTAGTGCAGCTCATTCAAAAAACACTGAACTTCTGAAACGGAGCTTGTTTTCAAAAGTGCATATATTATCTGAAAATCAGGTAAATTGCGTAATGTCATGTCGTTGGTATGCCCTTCCTTGCTACGATAACAGGGACAACTTCAACCTAATAATGCTAACAGTCTGATTTCTATTTTTGGTCGGAAAGTTACAAAAATACTCGATAATTGCGCAATATGCTAAAAATAGAATTAATGGAGAACGTGGGATGAGACTTGCTAGGAATACAATTCTGAGCGTCGTCCCTTGACTTCACTTCACTGCGATGATTCCTTTGCGTCTCTCCAGCAGCACATCAATTGCCAAGTTGTTGCGTGAATGAATTCTAGTATCCGGTTATGTACTGATACATCTACGTCACTGATACATCTACGTCGAGGAAGGTAAAGTCATTGCTTCGAACGAGTGTCGGTGTATTTCTTGTGATTCACTGTTACGTCAAGCTTCAATATTCCTTTGACATTTACATTAATCAATGAGCAGAAATGTTGTTATAATTTGAATGACGAAAGGAAAGAAATTCGTTGTGGGATTTGGTTGGAAGAAAATTTGATACTGAATCGTTATATCGAGTCGTCTTCTAATTATTATTTCATCAATGAAAACTAACAATAATCCGGTCAATGTGCGAGACTTGAGTTAATAAAAGAATTTATATTCTTCATAGCTCGGAATCATCTATCGAGACATCAAATTGGAGAATATTCTGCTCGATGCTGATGGACATATCGTGCTGACTGATTTTGGCCTAAGTAAAGAATTCCTTCCGCATGAAAAGGTAAGTCAAAATAAATTGCAAGAAGAAACTGTGCAGAGTAAGTAGTTCTACTTTTAAGACTCTTTCCATCCACTAGTCGGTTCCAAACTTTGCTGTAATTATACTGCTGAAAAGCTCCGTAGTACAATAAAATTATACTATTTGCAATAATTTAATCGGCTTTAGAGGAAAAAGTTCACAAAAATTATCTTTGTTCTCGAAGTATGAGTTGGTATGATTTTGAGTCAAGATGATGTCATTTTCTATAACACATGTAAGGATACAGGTGAAATTCTCACCTTTCCATTCTTCATATACAGCGTGTTCATGCCCAGAGACTCTTGTTTTATTTGTTATCTTGGGTATCACATTTCCGGACCACGGCAGAACTATTGTTTTTCTATCCTTTGGGATTCTATATATTGACTTGTATCCTAAGCGTCTTCATTGGGTAATTATTCTCCAGAAGAATCTCTATTGTGTAGTTTATTGGACGTGGCCATCGTCCGAAAGTCGTGTGAGAAGTGTGTCCACAATGCCAATTTCGTCTGGGTGAAAAGACTTAAAATTTAGGTATTGATTAATGTGGGTAGGTTTTCGTAGATGTGATATCCGAATGAGTCATCGGGTTTCTATTAAAATTCTATTATGATTTTCGAGAACACGACCTGAATTCCTTGAATCGGAATCAGAGCACCAAAACGAGAGGAGGAAGAAAAGGGCAAACTTTCTCACTTTCTTCGTTTTCTCTTGAGTCCTTTGCTTCGTATAACTAAATCCACGCGTATCGATTGATGCAGCATACTGCACGGGCTGACATTGACCCAATGCCCAAGTTTTTTCACTGTCCAGAGAAATATGCTGCTGCCTGACACATTTTCCCCTTCAAACACAAATGGAGTGAGAGTTTTATAAGTAGTTTTTCTAATAATGCATTCTTAAATATATTGGTAATTCACAGTACAAAATTTTGTTGTCATTTTAGGAACACCGGACCTACTCGTTTTGTGGAACAATTGAGGTATGTAGCTGCCTAGTGCCTAAACGTTTTATCGCTGACATATGTATGAAGTATTCTTTAATAACGTTAATAATTATATTATTCCTTCTAATTACAGTACATGAGTCCAGAGATCGTGAAAGGTGGAAACATTGGTCATGATTTTGTAAGTTATATGTTTAATTTCTTTGCATGTATAGATACATAAAATAATAATAAGGTGGGTTTAAGTAGGATAATCAGGAACTGTTATTTTGTGCCAAAAACTGTGGTGCATAGTAGAATTTACTTTATGAATGGGCACAGGACGATGCGACAACGGGAAGTGCATGGTTTTTTGTTGGCTCTGTGCCCCTCCTGCATCATTGGATCTCGAGTGTTGTTTACAGCACATTCGTATCTGGAAATTATATCATTAGCAGAGATTGAATTGAAATCCGTAGTAGCAGTCGCACGACGGAATAAAAGTAGCACTCAGCAAAGGCAGTGAGTTGACCTGATTTCTTGGCATTTGTACCACTAGTGCACACACACTGCACATCTTCAATTCATGCATGTAGGCCAACTTGTGGTGGGGAATTACTGAGTGAATATGTAGGTGGCTATGTATGATTTCGTGGTGCTGAATTGCAACTACTTTCTACCAGCAAATGTACATTGTTTTTTAACACTATTTTGAGTGCACTTATGTAAGAACTCCAGGCACCCTACTTATGGGATTTTAAATTTTGTACAAATGAGCATCTTTGCATAGTAAAAGAAGCATTATGTTAACAATTTGATGCGATTTTCCACCTTGTAAACTTTGAGAAAATGAACTTGCATACATTACGGGGAGTTACGTTGACATTATGAATTTATAATTTCATAAGCATAGCGCGATAAGAAAAAATTTCACCAAGTTTGTCGTCACAATATGAACGGTTTTGATAACATTTTGCTTTGCCCATCTAGGCTGTGGACTGGTGGAGTGTGGGTGTCCTAACGTACGAACTGCTCACTGGTGCCTCTCCTTTCACTGTTGAAGGCGAAAAAAATACGCAACAAGAAATCTCAAGGTACGTATACAATTTAAATGCATGTTGATTCTCAAATTAATTCGAGACAAGCTTCAATATCAACTTTTTCATGAAAATTTCAGACGCATCTTAAAAATTGAGCCTCCCATTCCAGACGATTTGTCGCCACCTGTGAAGGATTTTATTTGTAAGATGTTAATCAAAGAGCCACGACAAAGATTGGGCGGTGGACCCACTGATGCGACAGAAGTCAAATCACACGCATTTTTTAAGGTAATGAAGGACCACACAGTTACTGCAAAGCATTCGATAACATCTAAAAGAGAGCCAGTCATGACAAGTGTTACCGCCTTGAATATTACTAATCTCTAACAATTATACTTTTACTATTGCAGGGAATCAACTGGGTTGACATGGCAGACAAGAAGATCAAGGCCCCATTCGTACCCAAAATTCAAAATGAGCTAGATACCTCCAACTTTGCGGAAGAATTTACCAAAATGGTCCCAACGGACTCGCCTGCAATTGCAGTTCCTCCAAACTTTGATAAAATATTTAAGGTAAGGGGAATTTAAAGAGGAATTTAATCTGATGCAAAACACCTTCTTATTGCATGTGTTTATTTGTCTTTATAGGGTTACTCTTATATTGCTCCGTCCATTCTATTTTGTGATAAGAACAACGTTATTAAAGATGAAATATTAAGACAATCGCAAGAAATGAACTACAATTTTCCAATCGCTGTAAGTTTTAAAATTTGCTAGCACATACATATTTCCATGTCCATCTCATTTAACTAATTATGGTTTGCATACATGCATATTATACAATCTAATTGCGTTAATATTTTGCAGAACTCTCCATTCTTTGATTTGTATGAGATTGACCTGAAAAGTGGTATTTTGGGAGATGGGAGCTTCTCCATTTGCCGTAGATGCGTCAAGAAGAGCACTGGGAAGGAGTATGCAGTAAAAATTGTGAGTCGTAAGGTGGATTCGTCAAATGAGGTTGCTCTTCTCAGGCTGTGTCAAGGTCATGAAAACATTGTAAAACTTCACAACGTCTATCATGATGAGGTAAGATTTATTACTTGGATAGACACAGTCTTGCCCGATTGTATGTATAAGTTCAGCCACAATGTCGGATTTTCTAATGCCTATATTTTCAATCATTTAGGCGCACGCCTACATTGTCCTTGAGCTTTTGAAAGGAGGCGAGCTATTGGACCGAATTCGTCAAAAAGAACGGTTCACAGAAGATGAAGCAAGTCAAATAATGCGAAAGTTAGTGCATGCTGTGCATTTTATGCATTCCAAAGGAATCGTTCACCGGGATTTGAAGCCAGAGGTATTCAACTATACATTCTGGTGTTTTAATGATGGATTTATTACTCAAAGTTTGGAATCTAACCTTATTTTTGATAATTCAGAATCTCCTTTTCGTTGACGATAGTGAAGATTCGGAAATCAAAATAGTAGATTTTGGATTTGCAAGATTTAAACCCACGGAGAAAGAAACGATGAAAACTCCTTGTTTTACATTGCACTATGCAGCTCCTGAAGTACTTCGACAAGCAATGAATCAAAACGATGAGGGTTATGGTTCTAGGTAATTACAGATATTATTAAGTAATTAACGATGGGAATAAAGAGTTGGAAACCTGACCTAACTTGGTTCATTGTTTCCAGTTGTGACATTTGGTCGCTGGGTGTGATTCTGGTAAGATATGTTTTTTACTATTTTTTTGTAATAGCCCCAATTTTAGTTCCTGCGCCATATTAATAAATTGTATGCTTACAGTACACGATGTTGTCGGGAAGAGCTCCATTTCAAGCACGAAGCAGAGAGGATTCTGCAGCAGCTATCATGGCTCGCATCAAAGGAGGTCAATTTGACTTTAATGGCACAGAATGGTGAGTGTACAACGCTTTAATAGAAACGAGACATTGATAACCAATTAGAAACATTCTTACAATTCTAATTTTGCAGGCAACATGTATCTCCACAAGCAAAGAATGTGACAAAAGGTAAGTTGCATATTGTTATCTAGTTCAGCTACATAGCTATTTAATTGGTTTGTTCTTATGATATTAAAAAAAATAATTTATAGGGATGCTCACTGTTGAACCTACAAAACGACTGAGAATGGAAGACTTACTTGAAAACTTGTGGTTGGAGGGAGGCATGGGTGGCTTGTTGGCTACTCCCAGTATTTTGATTAGAAGCCACCGTGGTGCTGAGACTGCAGGTATTTACGGTTTTATTGTTACTGCTAAGATTTAGACTTGAAGTGTTTTATGCAATTATCTAAAAATCAATCAAAATTAAATTTTACAGTCGGGAAAACGTTCAACGCCTTTCATATGGCTCAAAAAGAAGGCTTTCGTCTACAGGTTGGTTGACTTTATTTGATTAATGATTAGGTCCATCCATATCAGCTCAAGTTATTGGAACTAATTAATTAATGAGGTTTGGTGATTTATTTATTTTAGGACATTGCATCCTCAAAGTCACAATTGGCTCAAAGACGGAAAATTAAAAAGTCAACAGACGGACGATCGTCATCATCCAGCAATTTCTCATCTGCATCGTCCTTGTCAGGTATTTACAAAATTGGTATTAAATATTATTGTACAAAAAGAGCGAGAGAGTTTAATTGTCAATTAAAACTTGCTATAGGCGGCTCGTGTGGGGTTAGTAAAGGTTCCGATTCCAATGCATCATCCACTTTATCAAAGAGGAGTTCCAATGAGCAAGAAGGTCCAAACTTTTTCACATTTGGCGAAGCCCGTGTTCAAGAAGTATGTTTTTATTGCAAATTTTAGTTGTGTAAATGCATTCACAAAGCAGTTGGATTTATTGTTATTATTTTTTAAATTTCAGTATATTTCTTCATTGCCCGAGCGCAATAGCAATAGCTTTAGTTCTAATTTCCATTCTTCCACGTCGTTTTCTGGGAGCAGCGTCTCTTCCATTTCCAACGCAAGTTCTGCCCGTGCTGTTCATTCCAGAGGCAAGCATCCAGGACCACCTCCCTTGACGCCTGTCTCCACCTTCTCATTTCCTCAAAACTCGACTGACTCTACCAAGAAAGTGCGAACTACTCCGCCCACCTTGGTGGCTATTCATCCGTCGGTGCCCGCTACTCAGACTGTACCTGTTGAGGTCAAACTTCCCGTAACTCAAACCCTTGTCACTCAAACAAAGATACCAACGACTGGACCCTCATTTCCGCCCACCTTCAAATTTGAGCCGATAATGACGAGAGCCAGAAAACGGAGAATAGACCAAGGGGGAAGGAAAGGAGACTTAAAAAGTGCCTACGTCAAGGAAAATCCTGCGACTCAAGACGACAAGTTGTTCAACTGCCCAATTGGTGGAGACGTCCTGAAACCTGTGGATCTGGCTCTTCCTTCTCGTGTACGTCAACAACAGCAAGATTTATTACCCGAGCCAGTCGCTGAATCAATTGGCGTTGAATTCCATCGTCGCCATCACCACCCAGAACTCGCAATATCGCCCACTTGTAATTCCTCGTCTGTTCATGAAGGGCCAACTCAAAAGTATAAACGCAAGCGTATGAAGAATCTGTGATACATGTGGAATCTAAAAGGTTCACAATTTATCCTAGATCCCAAAATCAAGGTTGCGTTAAATCAAAATGTTGCATTATTGCTACTGATTACCTCGTAACTGTATCCGTGTCTTATTCATACATACGCGTATATAAATAACTTTAAACGAATCTAATCCACGAGCATTCTCGTCCCCTCCAATAATTTGTCAATGCGACAAAATAAGTAAGTTACAGTTTATGCAAGACCAAGTATTCTCAACTGATAATTAGTTGCATACAAAGTTGTTCTATTTAAACATCAGACTAAGTTATGCATGTATTCACTTGGTATTCAGTGAGTATTGAGCTCATCAGGAACGAATCTGCGAATATCGTGTTTACATTGATCAATCAGCTTAACCCACTGATTTATCAGTAAATCAATTATTCTGCAAATGAACAGACTAAACTAAAGTCTTAATCGTATAAGTAAATAATTTTTGAAATCGATAGATATATTTTATCACAACTCGGAAATATTGACGAATATATATGTTTGTTTTATATTAAGAGATTTATAGTAATAATCATTAATGAATAGATATTTTATTATTTATCTAGACACATACATATAGATATGCATCTCGATATGCACTTGGTGATTTTAACTGTCAAATTATGAATCTGTGCCCACTTAATCATGTGAGTATTATTATGACGAAATATTTAGCAGTTGTACCTTATACATTTTTATGTGGATCAATGTCAAATGGGAATCATGTACTGAACAGAATTTGATTCCTCGAAATTCTTCTTCTAGATATGAGCACAAGTGTAACGTACGAATGTGATTGAAATTATGTTCTAGTGAAAGACTGGAGCTGAATTTTGACAATTGAGCTACATTTTTCAAATCTAAATCTTACATATTATGTATACAGACTATTCCAAAATCAGAGTTGCACTTACCCACTCCAAAAAATTGGCAAACTTCATGAAACGATGTGCTTTTTAAAAGACTTGAATTGTTCAGTCTTTACACACTTGTGATTGCCGAATCAAAAATACAGCAAATCTATACAAAGTCATTCTTAAGTCTGTTGTTTTTTCTACACAAAATTAATTCGTAACTAATTAAGATGTTTGAATATTATAAGAATATTTGGTGTGGTTGTTCAAGACTGATATTTTTTATAATAATCCATGATGCAGGACCACATTCAATGATTGTTTGGCAACTAAATGTTGAATTCATGCATACAACTTTTGTTTAGATTAAGCAGGTTTTTATTGTATTTTCATCGTTTATTGATTTTTATTATTATGTTACCAGTCCTCAGTCAAACACAATTTTTTTTCTATTTTATCTGTGTCCGAAATATTTTAAATGATTTAATTAGTTAGCAGAATTATAGAGTATTTGCTTTGAGATATTTTTTATCGGTGCAATTTCAAAGTCAATGAAAAACAGGAAAAATGTTGATGATTCATTGAAGCCATTGGCTGTGTTACTATTAACTAAAATTGTGCAAGCACAAACACTTGTGTACGAGTAACAAGAAAACAAAATGAGACAAAGATTTTTATTTATTTAAATGGTGCTATTTGCTATCGAATGCAATATCGAAATCGAAAAAATTGTAATTTTTTTAACGCCCGTAACCCCGCATATTGAAAATTTAGGTGCACTATTGCAACTTATTATTTAGTAACTGGTGACATGGTGGTAGTTTGGAATGTATGCAGTGCATGGTAAATGAGGCAGATAATGCCACTGCCACCAGTAAGTTTGAGTCAGCATTGGAAGAAGATACCAAAATCAAGGCTCTGAAATTGAATCACAAAGCCAACAAGTCAACGAAAATTGAATCACTCATTCACATTAATTGTTTTGTACTTCGAATAGTGCTATGAGGTCATATGCAGTACAGGATTACAGAGTAATTGAATTCATCAAAGGCGAATTTTGTTCCCTTTGTTCACTAATATACCTCGATCTCCTTACTCTTACATACTACTACTACGTATCCATGTACCTGTTTCCCATTGGAAGTGCTGGACTTGAAGAATTATTAGTAAAGTTTATTAGCAAATTTGAAATTCAAAAGATATAATTCCATTGTTTGAGTTGAAAGTTGATGTATTGTTCAAAGTATGGTTTTGATTTGTATGGTCAAGGATCGTGTTCTATTATTGCTAAAATACTTATAAATATAGTGAGATAATTGCCCAGTGTAATTAGTTTTTGTCGTCTATTTAAAGTATAAGCCTTGATGAACATGACTTGGACTCATTCTTAGAGAACGAAATGATTTAATGTTTTGTATCTCCTTCTTCACCTTTTATCCAACTTTGTAAGAGTACTTTGTGAAAGAATATGAATTGAATAGCCATTACATGTCATGAAAGTAATGTTGCGGAAGATTTTAATAAATGGAACTTAAAAATTATTTTTACTGCTTGAATCAATATTATTATCATTATTATTTACATATGTGCATGCATGCATACATACAGCATTTGATGAAGTAAATCATTAAATTAGAAGAAAACAAATATACAAATCATATGTACATACATGCACGATTCACACACAAGGTTCCCTAATTGAGGGCTCAAAGTAAGAAAGTCGGCTGTGATGATATTCAACTTTCACGGAGAACGAGGCATAAATTCTGCTGTTACTTATTGTGGACCCTCGAAAAGATCTCTCGTACGGTCCGTCGCTTGTGTCGTCATCCAGCGTCACTTTCTCCGTCAAGGACTTTATCCAGCTCACCCGTAAACACCCTGCCTGCGATAACCACACCATCAGAATTTTAGAATTATGCAATGTGCTTGCATAAATTATATAAATTGAATGCTAGATACTTACTCGACTCCTGATAAATTGAACCATGGACGATACTAACTTCCACATGTTGGCGTCTGAGGATTGGCTTCTGACAATTATTTTTATATTTTAACCAAAATTTGGTGGAAACGGTTGACTGGGATTGTATGTTTCAGTGAGTGCTCCAACTTTCTCTGCTACAAAACTACGGACTTTCGCATCCTCGGCATCATTTGCTTTTATACCTTCCGACCAAGATCAAAGAGTGACAATAGCGGATCATGAACGTAATGAGTCAACTTTTTGACCATGACATGCTCTGTTTTAAACTTGTAAAAGCTTGTTAATTAATTTAGTTTTGTATGCACACGAGCAATTACAATAATTCATAATTCGGTTTCAAGAAGATGTGGTTTCAATATCAGCATTTGAGAGAATCAACATTTGAACTCTTGGATGAGTTGCTTATTGGCTTGGTTTACCCGTCCCTCCTTTGTTCCTTTTATGCACAAACTTTCATGCATTGTGTGGACTGACTGTGATGCAGAGTATTGCAGAATGCTTATTAAAATCATAGTGACAAAGTTTTGACTAAAATGAATAATGGGAAGACTAATTATCATGTCGTTCAAATAAAATAATAAATCCTTAATAAATCCGAACTTTTGTTTGTGGATGTTTTCACATTTTGAGTTTATTAACGTTATGACATGGTATACAGATGAAAATAAGGTTTTAATAGCAAAGAGTCCGAGCAATCCTCTCCAAAAGTATTGTTTACAACACACCATCATCATCATAGTTATCAATTTGTCGAACAACTCAAACCAAATAGCTAACATAAAAAATCCAAAGCCAATCTGATGGGAAATCCCAAAGGAGAGATTTTATGTAAAAATTTCGGATGAGTTAATTTTATTTCTGCGATGACATGCTTATTCCTCTTCTTCCTCTTCCTCCTCCTCCTCTTCTTCTTCCTCCTGAAAAATGAATACAATTGTTTTAAAAATTTTCTTCTACTTGTGAATCCAAATGCAAGTGTCATATGCACCTCTGCTTCCTCTTCGGCCTCAGCTTCTTCACCAGGAGCTTCGGTCTTGTCCTCCTCAGGTTCTTCTTCTTCACCAGGTTGCTCTTCATAGAATGATGGCTCATCAAGAGCAATAGGTTCCAGAATGTCACGCTGTAATGTAAGAATTTTGAATGGTACGCGTCTTTAATAGCACATTCCTTAAATCCAACGTGGACATGGAACATAACTTACTGCAGCTTGCGCCTCTTCTTCCTCAGGTGTTGGAGGATCATTCTTCTTCTTTCCGGGTCTTTCACCAAACCACTTTGGAAGCCGAGCTAATTACAATGCATACAACTTGATTAACATTTCGGAACAATAAACAGCAGACAATACATTTCCCACAAGATTCCGGGCCAACTTACTCTTTTGTCTTCCATCATATTCTTCCATCCTCTCTTGCCACAACTTGTCATTGACTTCTTTGTTGATCTTGGCGTAACCACCCTCAAAGAGTGATTTCCTTTCTTCGTAGGAACGGGTATCAACACGTCGTTCAAATTTGGATGCAAGACGGATTTTGGGCTTTCATAAAAATATACGAAACCATTTAGTTTACATATACAAACTTTCGTTGCTGCGTAGAAAAATAACTGCAAGTGTCGACTCACTGGGTATTTTCCAGTGAGGGCTTCGGGGTTAAGACCAAGTTTCAGGGCTTTCTGTCTCAACTGTTGCTTTTTACGCTCTTGTAACTCTTTCAACTGTGTAGTGAGAGAGGAAACAATTAATAACCTAATTAATCAGCCAATCTCAAATTTTTTGTGCATACGTACGTCGTAATCCTGCCTTTTCTGTAAGACATTTAATAATGCAGATTAAATATCTCGAGAAATTAAAATTTCCCAAATTAAAATATCGTTAACTTAAAAAAAGTTGCCTACCTGTCGGTCTTCCAAGTCATATTTCTCGGTTTCCAGTTTAACAATGGCTTCCCAAAGTTCATTTGCCTTTTTCTTCAGTGCATCCAAACTCATACCGTCAATGTCCAAGGGCTTGATACGGAAGCTGAGAGAAATTTTCTTCTCCTCAGCCAATTGCTCTTTGGTCTGATTAAAAGACAAGACAATTAGTGGAATTTGTCATGAAAGTGGGGTTTGCGGAGGAAATAAATATAAAAAAAAGTTTACTATATGACTAACCTTTTGGAGCTCAAGAGCTGGATTTGCTCCAACCTGAATTAAATGGAGGAGATATTAATCTATGTTTTTATGCTAAATATACATGTGCGTGTAGTGCATTAATTTCGTAAACTATTTTAGATTATTTTTAAACCTGAGCATTAGCACCAAATTGTTTTCCAGAACCATCCAGAACCATTTGCTGCCTTTTCTTCTCTGCTTCCTGAAGACGTCTCATCTTCTCCTCTTGGTCTTTGCGTTTCTTGTCCTCAACAGCCGCTTGTCGCTCCTTTTCTTCCTGGATCTTCTTAGCCTCCAAGGCTTTCTCTTGTTGTTCTCTGAGAACCTGATTTTCAAACACAATGCATTCACAATTTTGAGCTCAACTTTAAATTCTCTGCACCGAACCTTGCGCTTGGACTGTTTTTCCTTCAAGCGCTTCAGTTCTTCTTCCTCCTTCCTCCGTTGCTTTCTCCTAAAATGATAATGGCGTTAATTTTTAGATGGATGGGTGGTAAGAAACCGAACCTTACCATTCCTCAATGTAATCCTTGAGCTGGTCATCGAGTTCCGATGCCTTTTGTTGACGTTGCTGTGTTTACATGAAATATAAAGAATTGCGATCATGCATTTCTTGGTATCGTACATTACTGTTATATTTTCCACTATACATACCTTGATGAAATCAGGTTGGACGTCTTCCCTAATATATTAAAGTTTGATCATGAAAATGGTTTGCAAGACTCAAATATAAATTAACGGCAATAGTTTGTATAGTTAATGAATTAACGGCAACCTGTAACATCACCATTGTGTAAAAATTTACGAACAGAAGACAAACCGTGAAGACTGGAGGACGAGGGACAAGCTTTATTGCTGTACATTATTATCATTATGCGGGACAAGAGGACAGGCAGCATGCTCAAAATAAATAAATAAATCATAAACAAAACGAGGATAGGGTGGGGTTGGGTGTAAAAAAAAGTATAGTCACCAAAATATATAATTAATAACGGAGTGGTCTCATTTAAGCGGTCCACAATGTTAGATAATCGCATATTGCAAATTCCTTTTTCTCATCAAGTGACATTTTTTTTAGTTGCAATGAATAATCTTGCAAAAAAGATAGCATATTTATGTAATTAAGAGAATATATAACATTTTGGCTAAAACAGTTTCATAATATTTAATACTAATAATAATAGCCCATAGTCGTATATGTATGTAGGCTACTATTATAGATTTTGTAATTCACGGCCGAACGCCACAACGCGTTGTGACGCCCTTCTGAAAACGCAAAATTCAACCAAATAAATCACCAATATTAATGGTGGTGGATATAGGGTCAAACTGTGAATTAATGATAAACTAATTCAAAACGAACAAAAATCTAAGCCGAAAAACGAGAACAAAAGACAAACATTTCTTCAACGTACTTTTTAGAGGGACCGCCTGAGGCAGTGGACCTATAAAATTTATAGGAAATAAAATAATAAAATAATCATAAGGAAATTTAGGAAAACTTAAAAAAACTTAAGGAAGGAAGTAAAAACAGGGAAAGTGTAATTTTATCTTTTAAGATATTTTGGTGGTGATGTTGGGAAAAAGTGCAATTATCGTCATTTCTGTTGACCAGGGTCATTCATTACTCAAGGCGAATCTATTTACTACATAATTTTAATTTAAAAAATGACCAATGATTGATTGAACAATCATTTCAGGGCATCTTATACTGCTTTCTCTAGGAATGACGTAACCATTTGTTCAATATACTGCACTTTTATCAAGGTCTAAAAATATCGTTTGAGATGACGCGTCGTTGAGCGAGCAACATTTATTTTGTTTCGCATCCTCGTTGAAGAAAAAGAGGTTGTCCATCAATATGGATGTGTTTCGCTTACTTTCTGCAATTAAAAATTGACATTATCGGTCAGTATAATTTGTTAGTATGCCATGTTACAAATAAACTTACGGTTCTTCGGCTTCCTCCTCACTTCAGGGACACATGAAAAAAATGAGGACATTAAGCAAATGAAAAATCATAATTAACCAATCTTCGCAATTGCACAATCGAAGGATGCTATGGCACGCGAATCAAATGTGTTGCATTGCTGGGGAAAGTGCCATATTTGGCAGTGCATGATAGCAGATGTGATAATAATGTTGTAAATCTTATCGACGGTATTTTAGCATAGCACCATCTACTCCACGCCCTGTGACGCTCTACCCAGTTCAGCACGTCTTTTTGGTTTATCTATTTTTAACTTTGGAACTAGTAGAATATACAATATCGAATTTGTGCGACAGCCATCGCTTAATCCCGGCGATACCCGCACATCACCGACTCTGAGAGATCATATACCATTTAGTAAATCAAGCGTTTGAGATTTAAAAAGAATGCATTAATATTGTAGAAATGCTGTTGTAGCAAAAGAATTTTTTTCGAATTCAAGCACTCGACATTGTTAAAAAAACAATCGAAATTAAAATTCATTTTTTTGCTCGCTGCTATCTATGCAATTTCTCGCTTGCAATAACGTAGATCTATTTAGAAACATTTATGTCAATTTGCACAATGAAATGCAGTGTCCCTCGTTTAGCACAATTGTTCACATTGGTTTAATCAAATGTCAAATAATCAACGTACGAGTATTCTTCTTCGTCAGACATGATTACAGGTGGTGGTCCTGGACAAACACAAAATAGCTCAAATTGAGTTAATATAATTATGTTAACACGGATTTATGTATGACATCGTAGGTTCACGGGTAAATCTTTTTGCAAGGGTACCAGAAACGAACTTGATAAGAGAAATTGTTATAAGATAATTAGGGAGAAATTAAAGTAAACTCACTTAAACAAATAGACAAAAAATTATCGGACTCGAACTACAAGCTCGCAGGATCCACCCGGAGGAGGACGGATTGCAGAACGGATTCCGGAATGAACTAAAGCAATTCCAACCTTGTAAAACTTACCAAAAGCGAAATGTTTAAGAATCAGCTATTTTTAGAAATCAAGCCAACTTTCAAAGTAGTGTGGGTTTTGTGAAGAGAAAATATAATGCATGTTCTCGCATACTCTTTCCGGCATGCAATTTCCTGTAGGAGGAATAAGTCTGTTGGTTCAACTGGTTAAGCACTTTTTGGCGAAAGGGGATTCGCAACCCAAATCCGAAAAAGTGTATTGGGCCCCCAAAACTAAGAATAGATGTTCTGTCATCCTATACGTTACAACGCTACTGATAACTCTTGACACAGTTTTTAACTGAAGGTCCGATAGTCGGATACATACATGCATGTCATACATAAGAGCGTGTGTGGAGGAACTAGAATATTTTGATTGAGAATCAATGCATTGGTTGAAATAAATTTTCTACTGCCGCAGATGCAGAGTAAAATAATTTGTAACAAGATCAAAATAAATTGTTGCCGACCTATTGTTTTATTTTATTTTTCTCATTACCATTCCTTTCAAGGATGCAACAAATTATGCTAAACTAAATTAATACATACATAGGTATTCATGAGGAGCTGGAAAATAATAGTAAAATATAAAAGTAATACTAAGGATTAGCAATAATAATAAAGAAACAATTGAATACTATTTTCTCAATTCTACTTTCACATTCAGGTGGCAGATATGGCGTCTAAATTTCTACACACGCTGTACTCCTTGAATCCAAAAAGTGGAGAATTAGGTGAAAAGGCTAAACACAGGATCATCCGCAGGTTTGGCCGGTTGCGGCTTCATGAACTGATTCTGAACCGCTTCAGTAATGGATCCTTGTTGACCTGTGGCCCCATCAAAGCTTTGTCCAAAAGATGTGTTTGGCATCATTCCTGAAGACTCCGTAGACGACGAGCGACGAAAGAGTCGGCCCAGCACTGCATGAAAAATAATAATTTAGTTTACATATTTCATATGCATTTCATTCATTAGAATTTTTTAGTATTTTTAATGCATATCTTACGACTTGGGCGACGTTCTGCCTCAATATCCACGGGTGGATTGTTGCTGGTAAATTTTCGTGCCTCTTTTGCATCCTGTGAAATTTTATTACTTAATAATTTCAAGAAAGCCTATAAAGAGTGCCTTCAACCGTATAATTGATTATTAGGACTCACCATGTTGTATGTATTTAGTGAAGATGATTGTTATCGAAGACTGAAGTTATGTAATTTCAATTGAGCTGAATATCCTCATTCAAGCTAGATCACTTATGAACTGAGGTTGTGCTGTCGACTGCGTCCCTTTATGCAGTCCGGTATTTGCGACGTGAACTTGCGAAATGCGTCGCATTTTCTCGTCTATATTATCCTACGGAGGGATCACCTTCAAGCACAATACTCCTTGCGCCTATCTTTGTATCATCCAGACCACGGCGTGTAGGAAGTAAACAAACCAAGGAAAATCAATATTGGCAACCGGGCTGGAGTTAAATGGGCGGTATGCTAGACGTATGTACATACGTACGTAAAAACATTCTAGAAGTGAGCAGTGATGATATGATATTTGCACGTAGGACGATTATTAGTGGAATTTTATAGTTGATAGTTATCCAGCACGTGCATTTGTTTAATTATTTAAATTAAATTCTATGACATAATAATACTTCTATTACGAGCTAGCCGAATGTTAAAAATTAGCACCCTTCTCAATAACCTTTGTACTCTGTGGTATGTATGTAAATTCAATTGTCATACGTAAATACATATACAGTAATTCCGGTTCGCACACCCGGCAACATTAACGCTGGTGATTGCGTAATCGCAGCGTTTCAAGAAAAAGTTCATTGAAATTATAAATTAAAACATTGTTAATAAACATGTATGCATACATACATCACATTTCATTTATTAACACTTTCACCAACGAAATCATGACGTCTTTTTGTTACTCACGTAGTGAGGAAAGGTTTGTTGAAATGAAATGACTTTGAACGTCTGAAACTGGTGCAGGTCTTTAATCTTCTTCCTCCTCCTCGTCGTCATCCTCTTCCTCTGCTGGTTCTAAAATACAACCAGATGCATATATGAACTTCGCTTGTTGCTTTGTTACTGAAAAATGAATCATAATTATCACTAACTTGGCGATTGCACATTTTCATGTTCTTGTTCCTTTTCCTCGTCCCCGGCCGGATTTGGAGGAGCAGCATCGGATGGGGGAGCTTCACCGGTTGCAGTGGTGGGGGCAGCTGTTTCCTCCTCCCCTTCTCCAGATTCCCCTTCTTCAGCCACTTCCGGCATAACTGGTTCTCCCAGGTCGTCCATTGCAGTCAGGGACGGGATTCTCGGTTTACCTCGAGCTAGGAATTTTTCAAGCACTTGTTCCGGCAATGTTTCTTCAACCGGCGGAAGTTTGAGGTCAGGGAAAAGCTTGGATGTTTCCTTTCGACCGAAAACCTCGTCTTTGCTAACGTGCATTGGAACCATTGTAGCTAAGGCAGATTTCAATGAGGTGTTTTTGGGGTTGAAGCTCACCACGTAAACTTCATTACTGGATAAATACATTATTGAATGTTAAGTTACAGTTAAAAACCGACATATATACATTAAAATGTCAGTTTTTATGGTATATTTATGAATATTAATTAATACGTTATGAGATTTGCTTTCTTCGTCATGATATCCGCCCCCTTGACTTCCCAAGATTTGAGCATTTCGTCTGCCATTGGAATAGAAATTTTCATTTTCCCTTCAGCCACAATGTCAGTCTTGTTAGCTTGTACTTCAGCATTGTCCTTAATCGTGTCCATCACATTAGCTGAGAATATAGCGACTGAATATTTCCCAGATTCAATAGTGGTGTACTGCAGAAGTGTTTCCATGAAGGTGGGGAAAAAATTCAGGATGGCAAAGCGTTTATCCTCGTATTTTCTTGGACACCATACACCGCAGAGTTGATCTCCTTTCCCGTACACGCCATGAAGCCTTAAATCAGGTATTACATTTACCTTTATGTTCAGTACGGGCCAGCTGGATTTTTGTGGACATTTGCTACAAAATTAAGACTTACGAGTATGGTGCAATTTCCAATGCGTCGGTGTACTTCAAAGGACCGATTTTCAGTCTCATCCAGTCATCTGCAGTTTCCAATAAGGTGCCGACGGGTTTTTGCTTTTTCATAGCAAGTGCCTTAATTTCTTCGTGTTCCAAAAGTAATCCTACACATTCTCCAACGAGTCCCTCAGGAATCGGAACTTCCAACATTTTTCTTCGTGGTCTTCCACTACTCTTCGTAACCTGAGGTTTGGGGGTTTTGCCACCACCCTCTTCGTCCTCGTCTCCCCCAGCTACGGAAGCGTCATCGTCACCTTTCCCATCATCCCCTTGAAGCGGCATATCAATAAATTCTTGGTTGGGGTCAGGCACCTCGTATGGGATCCGGTACAGCTTTCTAGCCCAATCTTCTGTCATTTTCATGTTTATTTGTTGCTCAATCTTCCGAGAAAAAATAGCACAAATTAAGGACCTGTCTGAATTTGGGGATGACCAACCTACCTTAAAATCTCCAGCCAGGAAATCCACAATTTCTTTTGCTTTGCCATCTTCAACGAGGAATGGCTGGATAATTGCTACTGTGTATGGCTCCAGAGCGGTCATTAAACTTAAGCTGGACTCTCTCCGGATCTCATTCAATGATTCAGCTGTGATTTTTTATAAATCATCATGACAAAAATTTATGCATGTACATTTATAACTTGCTTATGATAAGAGTGTTTTTTAATAATGGTACCTGCTTCTTCTTCGACAACAAATTGGGCCAATTTGGCTGCCTCTGCTTCTATTTTGAGCTTTCTACTGGCCTCGTCATCGATGGAGATCTTACATAAATTGAATTTTACAGTTAAAATGCATTCACTAATAATTTTTTTAATCATTTTGAAACTGTGTAAAGAAAGTACGAAATTTCGTCGAGATTTTCCTTCGATGCATTCAAGCTCGTGTGCGAATTCAGATTTGATGGCATTGACAAGGTTGGGTACATGCGACCCTCTTAAAACACGAATAGGCTTTCCTCCCTAAAATAATTAAGTTTAGTTATTTCATCAAGTCGCTCTTATGGAGTAGATAAATTAATAGTTTTTCACCCACAGCGCAAAATAGCCAACATGGTTCACTTTGGTCCTTAAATCTCATTAAATCATCGATCGAGTCCGAACAAGCCATTCCATACCTAATTTGTAGGTACGCAATAAATAGTGGAAGAGTAGAATATAAAAACGTCATGTATAATAAAATTTCCAAGTTCATAAATATCTAATTACCACAAACGATCATCGTTGACTTCAACTTTGACCCGTTTCAGAATGTTGACCATTGATACGCACGGGCCTGCCCAGCTTGCATACACGTCAATCACTGCAGCCACGAATGAGTTTTTTCATGTTAATTTATAAACGAATTTAGCTTATGCAAAAAGTGACGACAATGCACTGCATTAATACGCATCGTCGTGTAAATCCCCAAAATGTGACATTTTCGACTTGTGACCTACATGTGTATACCCACGAATGAAATGAGGTGGTACGTACCAATGAGTCCTTCTCGTCTGAGCAATCCTCTCCATTGGAGTTCATTTTCAACCTCTATTATTTTCAGTCAAAATTAGCACAATACGACATATTAAACGCAGTGATTACGAAGTAAGTTGACATATGTGAGCAAGTATGTGAGTATATATAGTATGTGAGCAAGTTGACATACCTATTTGAAATTGCATAGAGCTGTCCTGCTTTTTAACTACTGCTGGTTTCGCCATTGTGACTGGAGAAGTTATGCAATGAAGAAATTAGTAGAAGCAAAGCAAATAAGAAATTCAATGCTGAAATATTTGGTTCAATGTCACCGGTGAATTTAGAATAGATAATTCTGACTTTATGCTGGCATGGAAATTTCACACTTTTTAGTTTACGTATCAGTGATTGATGGTCATATAAATCTATGAAAATGGAGCTAATGGATTGCAGGAACGTTCCATGTTTTTTTCACGAATTTCATGAATTCCATGAATCCACGTCAAATAAATCTAATTTAAATCCGGTGGGGTCGTAAATGCACATTTTATGACAACGACAACATTTTACGCGTATATATAATTAAGATCTACTGGGAAGACTATTATGCTGTAGCTAGAAGTAAACCTAGGTTTTCAAAATTCATTCCGATGAATTGGCACGTGTCCTTATACTCAACTTTATTTACTTACATATGGCGTCAATGTATCACAATGTGTGCTGCATATTTTTAAAGACACTGTTTTTGATTATTTCCATAATTTATTATTAGCAAATTATTATAATAATTTTCAAATTCTAAAAAATAAAAAAAAAACATTAATGGATAATAAATCTAATTTAACGAATTTCTGACATAGGTTCCGTAAAGAATGTAACCTCCAGAGGAACTCATAGTTATTTCTGGATGTGTCCGATCAGTTTCGACTTGAATGTTCCTCATCCAGTTATCTACGATATGTATATTAACACCAAATCCACTTTCTTTCACCCACGTGTAGCATTCCATGAGGGGCTAGAAAGAAGGTCAAATACATATTTAGTTTAATACATTAAGGTACCAGAAGAAGAATTTTGCTTAGAAACGGGTTGGGTTTGTCCCCTCGATTTCGACGGTTTGCGTAATTTTAAAAATTATACTCTGGCAAGCAAAGTTGGAGCAAAACAATTCAAGATTTTTTAAAAAGCAGCATCAACTTGGCCAGATCAGTGGTACCCTTTAAATCATGCAATGACCCTACAACGATTCCATTTCATTCAAAAATCAGCAGCGCATGAACCGATCATCCTAGAATCATGATTTTGTGCTTAAATTGTGCCCAGATAAATAACGGAGACATCCATAAGGGTCTGCTTTCGTATACGAACGTAGTATGTAAAATAAAAATGAAAAACTATTACACAAACCGAGAAAACTTTGTTTAAAGCCAAACAAATGGCATTAAAACCAAATTCATCCAATACAAACAGTTATGGATGTCTAGATTGACTAATTGGGCTTTCAATTCCATTCAAATCATAAAAATATGTACACGGAACAATCCAGGACTGATTTTTGAAAACTAAAAACCCACACCAAAAATGTAGAGAAAAATTTTGCGGCTGTAAATTTTCAATTCAGTTAGTAATTTAACACGTGAATAGTATTAGTACCTCAGGGTATCCAGAATATATTACGAATGGAGAGGAAGGGAGTAAATGTGGCAAGAGTCTTTGGAAGACGGACAGTGGGTGCTCTCGTCCACAAATTACGAGTCCATGAAACTTTGTTGAATTCAACATTTCCAAAGATTTTTCATTCTCATTTCTGTTGCAACTGCTTGGTTTTGTACTGGAGGAATTCGTTGTTGCTAATAATGGCGAGTCAGATTTCGGACATTTATCGTCCGAGGTTTCCATTCGAATATCTTCATCTTGAACGCTATCACGCTTTGGTTTCTTGCACAATGGTGAATCGTGATCCTCACTGCTTAGAGATGCTACCATTTCTTCATCAAATTTGTCTCCATTTGCCGCTGATTCTCTTAAAGACTTGTTTATCCCACGTCCTTTTATTAAATAAAAAATATCCAAATTTCGTAAAGGTTGCTTCACGACTTCACTCAAATTCAAGTAGGACAGTGCCTGTTGTTGTGGATTTGTTCCTGCATGACAATGTAATAGTGTTCCTAGTCCTCCCATTCTTTGCAACATTCCAGCAACAAGCAACCCGTTAGCTCCATTTTCATAGACAAGAAATTTTTCATTCGCATGGACATTGGCATACGATAGAATTTGAGAAACTGTGTCCAGACGGAGTCCCAACACCTTCATAGGATCCTTCTTAAAGAAATATTCAGTTACAATTGCCAAATCAGGTTTGAGAAATAGCAGCAAATCTCCGTGAACTTTCTCCTTCTTTCTTAAATACTTTTCTTGAGAATACTCGGTTTTATGGACAAATGATTTTGAACTAGAGATGATAGTAGTTAAAATTTCTTGTGATGTTAATCCTTGGTCCTTCAGATTATGGATATCGGACTGGCCTAAAGGCTGAGAGGATTTGTCGTCAATTATGTTTCTATTGTCTTTCCCCTTTGGAAGAGGTGCTTCTGCTTCATAGGTCAACTGGCTGAATGATTTGGACGCAGGTTCGGTCGCTTTCTCCAACGAGTACAATTTTCTGGCTGGCTTATTCCCTGCTTTCCCTCTGTTCTTATTTCCCTTCTGTTCTGATGAGCTTTCCACTTTGGGAGGATATTCGTCCAAAGGCAGGGCAACAATGCGAAATGCTGAGTAAAATGGTTGGCCAGCAGCCTTCTTTAATAGGATTTCCTGCTGGCTTTGACCTTTCCCAAAGATCATGGTTCTACAAAGCACAGAGATAGGCATTATTGAATCATTAACATTAAAATAGACATTTTTTTTTCATAAAACATAGCTCCATTTCGCTACAGTTATAGAATCAGACTAATTTGCATGATTTTGAAAAAGTTGATGTTTTCATGCAGAGACAAAGGAGGGTGAAAGATGAGACAACTCACTGTTCTTCTTGGAAGAGTATCACTCGTTGGTAGGCCCCGCGCTGCACCACCACAAACTCACCGTTCTTGATTCCCTCCTCCATTCTCCTGACCTGTTTTTCCTCCAAGGAAGGAAAACAAAGGGCGTGGGTGGGTGCGACAATGCCTGGCTCAAAACGAAAGTGCGACGAAGACACCTGGATATCCACGCAGTCAAAAAAATTTAAATGTGGACAACTGATGGCCAACGTGTACGGTTAGTCTGGAAAGAGAAATTGGACTTTTTGCCATTCCCCAACTCTTTCTCACAAATGAACGGGGTTTCATGATCTGCTTCAATTTAACCCCTCCACTAATATTATAAAAATGTTGTCTGAATTTGATAAATTGTTCTTTTTTGTGTAGCTTCGACCCTCGCACAACTTCGAATGGGAGCTAGGAAGGTGTTCAACTCCGGGATAAGTCATCATAATAGCCCAACAGATCAGCATCAGGGCAATCAGAGTCCGGGGTCATCGTCAGCGTTTCATAGTCCACCTTCCAGTCCGCCAGCATCACCTCTGATGAGAGATTTATTAAGTGACGATGACATGAACCCCCCTTCACTTCAGGCACAACTGCCACTTGAAATCTGTTCCAACTGCCGATCAAAAAGGGAAGGATGGGAGAAATGCTATTACTGCGAGAAGGTGGTATGTCACTTGCATAATTGTCAAGACTGTCAGAAAGGATATTGCAGCAATTGTTGTATTACCAAGTAAGTAGGCTGACCATTATATGTAGTATGTACATGCATAATTACTTATTGGTAATGATGATAATATGTCTACAGATATGATAATCCAAGTGGAGATACATATTCCTGTTATAGCTGTCTCCACTGAACAAGATGAAAAAGATGTATTTCAATATTTTATCCTCCACTGTTGTGACCTATTATTGTGAGATCCTCGGATTCTCAACTAAGTTAAATAAGTTTAGGTTTTTTGCAATACCAAAGATTTTAATGATTGATTAAGAAATTTTTATTTCCAGAAATTATATTGTCAATTTTGTGCGTTATGCCATTAAGTTTGTAAATAAACTCGGTATCGTTTTAATCTTTGAATACACGAGTAAATCTTGATTCGCAAAAATCATGCATCAAGAAGAGCTTGTGGAATTGTGGACCCACATTGGCCTTCGAAATGAAACCTATTAAAATGATAACGAATGAATTGGAATACTTAGAGATCGTTTTTAATATTTTCTAACCCAAAATTAATAGTTTCCGGCGTCGACTCTAAATTAAATTCCGCTACCGGAATTCCCCTTGCAGCAACTTGTGGAGCAAACATTGCCGCAGGATAAACAACTGAGGAAGTTCCAACGACTAAACATAAATCACATTTCTCGAGTTCCTGGGCTACGTACATATGAAAAATTGATCATCATTCATGTTACAATCGGTGTCAAGTAAAAATTTGCAAAATTGTACCCGATCTGGTCAAATCCTTTTCTTCTAAGCCTTCACCAAACCAAACCACAGCGGGGCGGAGCAGGCCTCCACAGTTATTTTTTCGACATCGAGGTAGGTCTGTTTCTGGTATGCAGGAATTTTCAACATTTGGGTCTGGTGCGCTGCGTATAGTCAAAATTCAGATCATTAAGACTTGTCATTTCCGAATAATGTCCTTCGATCACTAACAATGATAACATTATTACAGAATAACAAATTCTTCGCAGTGACTCACTCACCCCTTTCCTCGTAGTCCTTCACATATTGGACTATCGTAATTGCTAGAAACGTCGTCACATTTGGTGCATCTTGTCCTAAATAAAGACCCGTGGAGTTCAACCAAATCGGAAGTACCAGCACGGCGATGAAGCTCGTCAATATTTTGAGTGATGACAACAACTTTTCGCCCTTCTCCACTCAATCGCTTTTCAAATTCGGCAATGGCAATGTGAGCCTTCATAATAAATTGAATTCCTGATTAATAATTTGAACTAATTTGATAAACAATGGTAACTTTCCATGTTATGTAACTTTAAGTTGCATATTAAGAAAAAATGGCTGTTAATACCGGGTTAGGATTTTTTGACAACACGGTTTCTCTCCGGTAATGGTAAAATTCCCAAACTAGTCCTGGATTTTTGTGGAATGCAGTGGGAGTGGCCAGATTTTGGGCCTGATATGTTCTCCAAAATCCACCAGCCCCTCTGAAGGTGGGCACCCCCGATTCTGACAATTGAAATAAGAACAACCATGCAATCAGATATACTGTATTATACTGTACAATGTAACAACTTTACCAGCCGAAACACCAGCACCAGTTAAAATTACAATGTGCTTGGCTTTCTTGACAATTTCCCGAAAGGCGTTCATATCGTTGGAGGGGCTCATTATGAAATTCACAACATTGCCCAATTTCAAAGTCTGTGATGTATGTATCTGTATTGGGATTGCTTCTTTTAAGTTATCACGGAGGAAATACTGATATGATTACCGACAATTCAGTGAACTTTTCAATGTCATATAACAATCTGCAAAATGATTCATTTCTATTCTCATCTCGCTCGGCTCTTGTCGTCTTCTTTAGTGCAATGTGCATTTTCATCCTGTAATATTATGTACTCTGCCCAGAGCCTCTGGGCTCTTGCATAGTTTATGAAATTATGCGCATAACGCATAGCAAACTATTTATTATAAGAATGCAATTCTTACTGTCGGCCGAACACCGGTACAGTTTAGCAACAATATAATAATACTAAATAATATATCATCATCATATATATGCATGCATGGGTACTCGTGCGTAAAACCGGACGATATAATTTTCTGTTTTATGCCAGAATTTTTTCTTGAAAGGCATAAAACGAACGACTTTATGCGACTCTGTGTTGATATGAATTTGCTCAACGAACTACCAGAAAGCAACCGATAATAATAAGAAAATATTAAGTACGGTTAATGGGTTACGAAACAATGGCACTTGGTTCATTTTTATCATATGTTTCTGAAATATCACAGGATATATTGTATATAATTTACTTAATATTTTACGGAGTGTATGCATTCGCAGTGCTTCCGTGCAAACATTGGTTGCTCCCCCTTTGGCTGAAGCCTGTGGACAATGAGATTATATTGGTAAGAAATTCTCCACTTTAAATTTATTATTATGCTAATTAAAAAAAAGAGATACAACTAATGGCGTTCTCCAGATTCTAGGCCATCAGAATCCCTTAATGACCGAAATTTGCCAAAGATTGTGTTCAAAAGCAAAGAAATTAGTAGTTTGGACCGATTTGGAATCAGAATGCGATAGCGTCTCAAGTTTTCCAAATGAAGGTGTCCTGAAAAATGTCCAATTTGATGAACGTGAATCCTTGGAAGAAGCGGCTGATCAGCTCGAGAATGAAGTTGGAACGCCCACAATTGTCATCAACACGTTGAATAGCTATTGTCCCAAGCCTGGGAAATTGCTTTGTCAGTCCAATGATGAAACTATGAAAATTATGCAAATCAATCTCACAACAAACTTCTGGGTTGCCAGAAAATTTCTCCCAAAGATGATTGAAATGAATAAAGGACACTTTGTGCAGATTAGCAATTTTCCAAGAATTTCCTGGGGTGTTACTAATTGCGTTCCGTATATCGGCTCGTTGTGCGGTACCGTGGGATTTGTGCAATCATTGCGAGATAGTATCAAACATCACATGGATGGGGCTAATATAAAATTTACTACTGTTAACCATTACCTTCCTAGAATGAAGGATTTCTCAAAGAAAGAATCGACTAAAAGTAATTTAGCAATTCGGTAAGTGCTAATTCTAATTGTACATTGTGCATATACCTAATGGAGTGAAGACTGTTAATATGTTTAAGTAGGAAATACCACACGATGTATTAAATATAATTTTGCTTACTATTTTGGCCTTTTGACATGTGCATATATGTAAATTGTGGTATCCGGTTGTTGCGTGGACAATAGAAACGTGTACAGGAGAAAGAATGGACGGGCGAAAACATGGATGTAAATTTAGAGGACGAAAAAAAAGTGTACAAACTAAATGTGTACAAGGACAAAACCTCGACCTATATTATACATATTAATGAATTTTTTAAGGTATTTAGGGAATTCATTGTCATCTTTGTATTTCTTTATCATTTCTGATGAGTAATTTCTGTGGAAAGATTGCCCAAGATGAAATAAGCACCGTTTCAATCGTGCCAGTGGAAACACTTCCTGTTGCATAATTCTCCCAAAAATTAATTGCAATTATTAGAAAGTCCGTCAATGCACCAAGTGTTCTATATTGATTGATTTGATTCTTTTAATAATTACTCAGTTAACCAAGGTATTTATGCAATAGTACATTATACTCACTCACTTGAATATTTTGCGGAGTTGTAAATATTAAAGTTCGCCGGGCATCGCCAGAGTCTTTATACAGACATATCCCGTAAGTCATTGGTTTGGGATTCAGTGAGAACAATTTCTTTCCGACTTTTAGGATTTGTAGAATTAAGAGGCTGCCTCCAACGCTGAATACTTCTGTGTAGAGAAATTTTGTCCAGGAAAGTTATTTAGGGCGTTATCTTGGTTCAATCTACCTGGACATGCAGAATTGCTAGGCTTCCAATATTTCCGAACACTTGACTTTGGGTTGTACTCGGGTCTAAATTAGTTAAATGTCTACTTACATACAAACATAGTGTCTCTATTATCGCCCTGTCCATGTATTCTGCTGTCCCTCTTTTAACTGTACATAATTTAGGTGTACAAGTTTTGCCTGTACATGGTTGACCCTTGTCCATTATACTATTGTCCGCGTAACCGCCTAGCACCGTAAATTGTTTGCGCAGATTACAGAACATTACCGACTCTGAATTGGCTGAGAGGATTATCACTGGATTTCGGAGAAATAAGGAGAATGTCTATGTCCCATGTTCTTTCGGGATTATTTTATGGTTGGAAAAGTACGCGATTAATTGTTGCCTACATACAGGACTAATACACATACGTGTTTCTGTGTATTAATTAATTTGATCATGTTATGTTTTTATGCAGTTTCCTCCCCCTCCAGTTCATTCAAAAGCTGCAGATGTACTTCGTAACAGAGGCTTAAATATAAATAAATCTTGTGTTCAAAACGAACTCTTATCTTCAGCAATCATTGAAAACTGACAATGTTGATTTTGGATTGATTGATATAATTATTTGGCGAATTATACTTTGCCTATCATTATTGTAACAAGACTGGAAAGATAAATAAAGTTATCACTTTTTATATAAAACATAAATTTGAGCTTGTTTGAATCAGTTATATTTTCGCCATCATATCGAATCGAAATAAAACAACTTTCTAGGCTTGAGACATTATATTCTCTGGAATTGTTATTTTAACTATTCAAAATGATTATAAAGGCAACTATTGTGGCATTCTTTATATTCTCAAATCCATTTTTAATCGCTAACTGTGACTTGGGTACACTGTACGATGGATACAAGCTTCTAAGTCTCGCCCCCGGACGCGAGGAACAAGTTTTAGCATTGAAAGAGTTACAAGCATCCGGAGTAAAAACTATATGCAAACTAAACTTTATAGCATTCAAGTAATTAAAAGTATTATAATTTGAAACGCGAAAAATTCACAGGTAGTTTTCCCAGCCTCGTTGTCTGCAACTATTCATAAGAAGTGTGACATTTTGGTGTCTCCTTTGCAAATGGAAATGGTTCTCTCTGTAATTAAGTTTCATGGAATGGAATATGAAGAAAAAATACCGGATGTTGGGCAGTATGTATAAGAAATAAAAAGCACACAAACAAAATATTAGAAATAACATGAAATGCATAAGGATAGATTCAGACACATTATAAATGCTTACAAAATTTAAATGTGGTCTTAGATTTATCCGGTCCCAGAGAGTGATAAACGGAACAAACAATGGTAGATTGACATGGGATGCATATTATACTCTGGATGCTGTGAGAAGCAATACATATTTATTTAGCGTCTTTCCGTGTAATAAGTTCTACATATATGCTTGATGACTTTTTTATTAGATTACCGAGTATTTAGAAGCACAAGTAGCACAGCATTCGCAAATCGCATCGCTAATAAATATTGGCAACACGTTTGAAAATCGAAATTTGACATTAATAAAAATTGCTTCTGGGCCACAGCCGAAACCAATTATCTACATTGAGTCTAGTAATTCTGTTTTAAGCGTATGTAGAAATGCATTTATAATCGTTGGCACTTGTAAAATATGTAGATATACATGCCCGCGAGTGGATCACGGGAGCAGTGGCTACACACATTATTGATCAATTGTTGAACGGACCTGATGCAGTTATGCAATCTTATGTCGACAGATTTGACTTTTACATCTTGCCAATTGCTAATCCCGATGGGTTTGAGTATACTCATACAGTTGTAAGTCGTGCTGTGTAGCTATATAAAATTTCCTTACTTCAACAAAAACTTTGATTAGGATCGATTTTGGAGGAAAACTAGGTCCAGTACGCCTTCACCGATTGGATGTAGGGGGGCAGATCCAAACCGAAATTTTGAAGCTTACTGGATGGGTAATGTTGCTCTAATAAATAACTAACACAAATTTTTAATAGTTTTGATTCTAAATATATTGTTAACATATACGATGTCCAGAAAACGGCGGAGGTTCTGCCGACCCATGTAGTAATACGTATGCTGGTCATCGTCCTTTTTCTGAACCGGAATGTCAATCTATGGCGAATTTTATGCTGGAACCAGAAATAAATAATAATATCGTTATGTTCTTGAGCCTACACAGTGCTGGGCAATATCTTCTCATCCCTACGGGATTAAATGAGGACAAAATTCCTGAATACGACGACTACGTGTGTTTTTATTTTTTATGCTGTACTTAAGATTTGAAATTAAGTTGTGCGAAATTTTATACGTAGATGCTGAGAGCAAATGATGCTGCACTTGCGCACACCAATGTCTTTGGGAAGAATTATACTGCCGGAAGCATTTATGACTTGATGTGTAAATTATTTATGCATGATAACGTGCATCGCAATAGTCTACAAATTATTTGAAAGTTTTTTTATAAATAACGTAGACCCAGCGACTGGAAGCAGTATGGACTGGGCTTATCTGAACGTGGATGCAAGCTTTCATGTCACGTATGAACTTCGCGACAAAGGTCAATACGGACATCTCCTACCACCCGACCAGATTTTACCAAGCTGCGTCGAATTCCTCGCCGGGTTCAAAGTGTTGCTGTCATATTTATAATAAACATGCCTTTTGCATAATTTACATAGTGTAACTTTTATTTTGACATCTTTTAATTATGATGATATGCCCACCAAAAATCAAAAGTGATGATATTCTTTGGAAATACAAAAATTGCATTTAGTAAAGGTAATTACAATCACAAACAAACAGTGTAGATAAGAAATAACCAACTATTAAACAAAATTCCGTACAAAGTGATGTCATTTAGTGTTATTACTATTTTAGTATTAGGTAAGATCATGTAATTATACAGAGTATTGTCTTGTCGTGAGTTCTCTACTTGTATCACAGAATCGAACAAAATAATACACATCCGTTTACATGGCTGACAATAACAATTTCTAAATTCCAGTGTCACCTTATCAAAAAAAGGCTTATAGTACGTACATAAATTTACTATCCATGTAAACTTTATGATATTTAACAATCGATCAATCATTTTCCAGATATTTTCGTGGACCTTCATTCATGTGAGCGTAAATCTACATAGTAGAATTTCAAATGTTCGATGAATACGTAATATATTTCAGTTATCCATAGATAATCTACTTCAAATGGAAGAGAACGGGTAAAACCAATCAATTTGTCATCACCTCTCAATTCACCACTCATTCATGCATGATACAACAAGTAACATGAACTGTGCAGTCTCAAAATTTTACGTTCCGCATAATATGTAAGGTAATCCAAAGAATCCAAGTATTTCTAACGAATAAGAAATTCTGGTAAAGAAAATCTTGACCAGTGTGACATTTGTAATGCAACTCGGAAAAATCGGAATGTCGTTGATTACTACAACCCTAGTGGTTTTTTGTTGCTAACATTCTTTGTCGTAGTGGATTCGCCACGCTGAGTTTGGTGAGAATCAATAACATTATCTATATCAAAATGACACTTTGAGGCCAATGTCTTTAGCTTATCAGCTACCCTGATAGCCAGTTGCTGGCCAAAATTGTGGGAGGATTTGTCCACGATGAAGGGGTTTTTCGTACACTGGTCACCTCCAAATTCGCACACACGGTAATGGTGTAGCGATCCAAGGTGAGCTGGAACCGAAAGTGTAAAATAACCTGGAATTTATCAGAACAATATATTATTAACTTTTGTAGAGGAAGAATCTACAATCTTTAAAAAACAAAATCGAACATATTAAAATGGAAATTTACCCGTGGCCATTTCCCACACAAAATGATTTCCAGCTTCCACAACCTTATATTTAATGCAATAAAAAATATTGTTCATTCAAGAAATAAACACCACTTTCACTACCAATTGCGTAAAACATTATGTAAATTTTCGAACCTTTTCTGGATCGCAAATGTATTTTGATCTGAAAGATAATTCATACATAATTAACATAATTAACAAACTTCACTTGTTCAACTTTTCCAATGAAAGGTTATGGCGTTTTCGTATATATTGAATGCATATATGACGTACCGTTGCTTATGAGGATGCAACCTTGATCTTCTTCTTGTTTTTCTAAGGCTCAATAATTTTTTGCTGACTCTCTCCGCCAAAGGGTTACCTTCAATTTTGAACAAGCTTTGATCGTCATTCCATTGCAAATAGAAGAAAGCTAGAAATACGTCCCAAATTAAATTATGCAACTCTCTCCACTTCCAATAAAACCAAAGCATCATCACGATCATTTTACCATTTTGGAAGGAATAAGCTCCAATTTTCTTTCTGTTTGAGAGGGTGTCCAACTTATCGAGGAGACTAAACCAATATTACATTTTTAGAAACAGGTTGAACTATCATGCAAATTTATTTTATTTACTTTATTTATCAAGCAAATTATTACACTTCTTTCAAATTCGAATGCATGACCATACCTTGTGTAGTTGTACAACTTGCGCGGAACAATCATTTCATCCAGGTCGACAAGAACCAAATATTTGGAAGACCCCCTAAGGAAGCAGAAATAAATATATTTTAGCTTTTGCGTTACACCACGGCTAGATATTTGACACCATTGTGGACTTTTACCTTGCACGGTAAACACAGTCGTTGAGGGCAGCGAATAATCCCTCTGTCCGAATTTCCTTTTGAGACACGAAGGGAAGGGAAGACCATGGAAGCACTTCAAAGTCTACGTCATCATCCCCGTATTCCCTCATCGCACAACCCACGGATTGACCTATTGTGTGGTTGTAGAAGGTAAATCGTGTTACCCCCATGAGCTTGTGGAACTCGACCCACTCGAGGAAAGGCAGAACGCTGTCATAGCTAAAATGAATGGGCTTTACGCAAACGGAAAAGTTCACCAGCGAGTCCGTCTTATCTTGGCCGTACTGGACTCGAAGAATGTTGGAGGCGGATGCAGTGACAGATGAGCTAGAAATTACTGATACGTATCTCGGAGGGAGTGTTTTTCTATCCGGAATGTAGCAGATTACAAAACAAGCACTGCAATCAACAAGGCAAAGAACAATTCAAGTCATTTTCAGCACAATGGAGAGGTTGAGCAGGAGTAATTTTTTGTGATTGTGATTGTAATTTTGACTCTAGATGGACCACCTATAATATATTTAGAATCTAAATCATAATCACAAAAAATTACCCGTGCAACCTCTCTAATGAAATACATATACATTACATTGTACAAATTGTGTAGAAGTTTGTGAAAGACTTTATGCACATGCATTTTATACATTCGTTCAAAATTATAATAATAGCAGTGAACCAATCCAATCCCCATTTCTATTGGAACAAGTGTTTTATCTGACTTTCACTTTGCATGTGTATAGAAAAACACACACACACTGCACATTAATTAACTAAAATTAAATAAATTGTAAATAAGTGTTTCATAGAGTTTGGGAAACAAAGATTTGCACTCTTCTTGATTGGTTTTGTTGCAAACTCGTTGATAAATTACGAATAATTAATACTTTGCAATACTGCTCAAAATACAGATAATATATGGACCTAACATAACTTGTCACTTAAATGGTTAAAAATAAATCATTGTAGAAACTATTGATTTTATTTTATAGCCTTGAGGACATGAGAAAATTATGCTGAATCGTCGTTGAGTGAGTAGTCCGTCTTTCACGACATTATTCATATGCACATATTCAACTCTGTATTTTCTTCGTTCCTGGCGTGTCGGACACAAAAGTGAAAACCAAAGGTCGCTCTGACTTCCAAATGAGTTTCATGTTTCATTCGATTTACACCCTTTCGTAGAAAAAGTAGTAATTTAAGCAGCATTTTGAATATTTTATTTCACTTCTAAGCCCTCGATCATCTCGGAAACTCGATTTGGCTCAGCCTTTTCTTTCCGACAAATCCGAAATCCAAGTCAAAACTGTGCTGGCAACGTCCATGAAAAGTTTTCAAAGGAAAGTTTTGAGTCGTTTTCCCAGAGTGGAGGATCATACTGTTCGAGAGATAGTTTTCCATGAACCAACACTTTCGCCTACATAAACTACTTTTCATGCGGCCCCTCAATCTCTGTGAGTGATGAAACAATGATTATTTGTTCCACTTGTCGACAACCTTCAAACCCTACAAGTCTATATAAATACATGCTATGTGTAGCCACATCTGTGAACAATTCTATTTTACCATAAACCTCACACACTGCTTCTGCATATGTATACATTCGAAAGATATTCAAGTTAATTATTTGATTTTTTTGTTATGGAGTTTGGTGCCTCTTTGCGGTGATCTTGAGAATGCCCAAATATCGTTAACTTCTACTGATTCTTATGCACAGAATAAACTGGAAAAGCTCCAGTTTGAGGAAACTTGGATGAAGTTTTTCGTCAACATGGAGTTATAAAATACTTTGGATTCCTTTCTCTTTGCGAAATAAATTCTTTTGCACTTCTCGCAGCACATACCGCAATACATGCCGCAAACCGTGTATTCAGTAGGAAAAACCTTGGTAGAGGATAATTCGGTTTCACTCCTTATGGGTTTGGTTTAAATTAGCGGTTCAAGTACTTTTGTACCACCGCAAGCTCGATTTAATTAGAAGATTTTGGAGGTTGTCCGATTTTATAGCCCTAACCCATCCCAAAGTCAATAAAATTAGGGCAACAGAGTTGGTTGGTTTCGAGCAAGACCACGTTTTCATCCTGCATCCAATTCCGGTTTATTTTCACCATAAATCACGAGATCGTAGTCGTTAGATATCATTAAAGCGTCAGATGCAGAAGTAATTAGCAGGTTTTAATTGCAAATCGACTGGAAACTGAATTAAATATTCCACCGGTTCAAGTTTATTCTACAAACCAGACCAGGCCCTCGATCATCACCATTAAGCAAGGCTAGAGAGAGGATGGAACATTGCTTTCGAAGGGAACGGAGTAAAGTTATTCAATTCATGTACCCAAGCATACGTATTCTATGTATGCACATAAGTTGGGAAGGAAGCGTTTCAAAGTTTCGGACTACATTTTCCACATGGTTTGTTCAATGTGGTGTGGGCTTATCAAAATAAGGATCATACCTGAACTTCAAATTCCAGTTTTCTCTAATTACTTTTATAGTTGCATTCACGGTGATGTAAATTCTAGTGTCGTTGTCGTAAAAGCGGCAGAATACATGTTGCTGAGACTTTGTCCTTGTGGCTCCAATGATGCGGATGTGTCTGTACAAATAAGTGAAAGTAAGTACTATTTTTATGCCGTACTTTATTACTCTGGAATTTTAAACGAATTTTGAACGTAGAAACTCGTCCTGGAGTTCAATATGTGCTAATTGTTAGTATGGCTGATAATATGTGTTGGATAATATTCGATAGTATGTCGACCCACAAATGTTGGGCACCGCTAAAAGCAATTTAATCCAACGAGTCGGATTTAAGTGTCGAAATCGATTTCTTTCACATTCTGGGTGTGCTGGGTGTGTACTGTGCTTAAAATGCAGTAGTTTCAGCAATGAGCATCAAATTCACTAATTTTCCTCTTTCCAGCTTCAATTTTGTCCAAGAGTGGTTCCGTAAGTGTCGTCCTATGCTTTCATAGTTATTTATTGCGCGGACTTGTCGACTTATCTCAGGCACTAATTCACATGTGACCTAAGTAAAATTATCACCCTTCCATTGCGCTCGAATGACTTTTCAATAACCACCACCAACTTTCTCCTCTCTTGTGCCGAGCCCCAGAAATTGGACCAAAGTAGGATTTACCATTTCGTGACTGGCAGTGTGGCGAGGCTCATTATTGTTGAAGGTATCCATCCAATGTAATTTTTAGTATATTATGCAATCTTTAGCTGGTAGTATTTTTCTCAATTTCTTTTTCTCTTTTTTCATTAGCTATAAAAACGATTTTTTGGAAATTTAACCCTCTTTAACAAAAAGCTAGAAAAACAATCTCACCGTGTTTCACAAAATGTTACTGAAAAATTTGTGCAAATCACGGTTTAATTGGTGACTGAAGCAATTGCAAATCACCAGCAGTAGATTATGACGTCAATCTTCTAGCAAATTCATGCATACAGTTAATCCTGGTTACTGGGTGCATTTACGCTATGCGCCTACATATCATAAGCTACAAAAATCCACGCCCAAATCAATTTTATCCCTAGCCTAAGCAAACAAAATAATGCATAATATGGGCACAGGAAATTTAGTAGTTGTTATTCTGGCAAAACCGAGACTAAATTTTCACTTACACGTGCATGACATTTCAAATTGATTTCACGCATTCTAACATGTCATTGATTAAATTACTGACAACGGTTTCGTGCCATATTCCCTACCTTTTCAGTTCGTGGCACAATGGTAAATAAATTCCAAACTGAACTCACATTTCGAGTTCGTGCATAATACATGAAATGCACATAACGAGTTCATTTCGAAAATCAATAAATGCTTGAAACTCGGACAACTTAATTTGTTTTCCAAGTGAGACATTCCTTGGAACATGCACGTACATATGTGTATGTATGTAGTATGCACTATGTTGTGGTTTTTGTAAAATGAAAGTATGTTGACTGAAGGACGTTATGTACTTTTATCTAGTAAATAAAACTGTCATATGCAGTTTTACGTTGGTTGCTTTCTCCCATTAAAAACCAGCTCCAGCCAAACCAAAAATACTATAATGTCGAGACGAGATACCTAAATTACATCTGAAATCTGGCTTGTCTTCTTAAACGAGTCTACTCACGAGGCAATTTTTCTTCGCGAAATGTCTGCTGGTGGAATTATGGGAATGTGAGGAGGAGGAGTTGGGATCGTTCCTTTTCTATCCCAAAAACCGAAGCATTGAGAGTGAAAGAGAGGAGGAAAGAAGGAGAAAATAATTGAGATGAAAGGCTGAGAGATAGTACTTACTCGAAAAGTGAATTATGGTAGGCAGAATATACGTAAAACTGCTCCTTTGTTCCCACGACTTTCTGCCAATCCGGCTGAATAGGATTGATTTTTCGGATGCGTCTGCTGCTGATGTTGTTTCCTGCAGGATTTGTTAAAGTACGCGAATGAAGAACCGTGCTGTCCTCACTCCCATCTTGATTGTTGTTATGCTTATTATCATTCCTGTTCTGTCTCTCGGTGGAAACCCGGTCTGCCAGCTTTGTCTTGGAGTAATGAGTCTCTGAATTAACATTGGAAGTAGACCCAAGAGCATTGGAAGTAGGAACTTCTTCGTAGGAGATATCCCAATTCGAGTAGTCTTCTGTCTCTCCGTCTACAACCAGGTCATTTTCGTCCTTCAATACGTGCTTGTTCCCGTCTGTCATCAGGGTACTGAAATTTAAAGTGATGCCAGATATACGAATTGGGAAGCAAATAATGCCCCCTCAATCCCCTCATGCACAGTATCCCGCACTCGATTTACATATGTCGGCTAAATAAAGTATGTACATACATAGCTCGCACAAACAGACGCGTTCATTCCAAAATTCACTTACCAAAGGAAAATTAGGCTGAAAAGGCAGAAGAAGAAAATGACAAAGAGGAAAGAAAGTCGCGATCTTTCCCTTAATCTTCGATTGGCAGATGATATTTTCTTTTTGGTTGAAGAGGCCCCCATCCTCCCCCTTTTGCCGCCAATTCTCCTCCCTGTGCAAACAAAAACTGTAAAAATGCTGCGGTTTCTCTCACATATGTCTTAGCGTAGAATATTCTACGCAATGGGTGTGCAGTTGAGTTCACCTCATTTATAATTTCATGTGACGACTAAAATTTTCACGTTTTCTGGAAATTCGTTGAATTTAGTTTTATCACGCTGTTATTGGGCGCTATGCGTATTTTCATAGTTTGGTACTTTAACTTTCGTACGTTGCATTTGATTTTGTTATCACTGGTACGGAATTAATTGAACTCAAATGGGTAGACACGTCTAATCCATTTATGAATGCAAATGTGTACGTATGCATGTAGTGCGAAAATAGATATGGGTATGAATGTAGTGTTAGTAGTTTTTGAGATGTTCATAATTTCCATTTGCCTTTTATTTATCGGATGTTTGCCTATGCATCATTTATTAATATCATTTGAAGCCGACCGGAAGCAACACTGTGGTATATCGTACGTAGGTACATATGCACATGTATTTAATTGAACTAAGGATAAGCTGATGCGCATATATGTATGTACGTACAGCCTAACCTACAGCTTTCCCACTATTTTACCAGCATTTCACCGACATTGTTAATTTTCAAAAGATATAGATCATTGGCACGGCACCTTATGTGGAGGAGAGCACTTTCATTTCCAAAGGAGCAGCATCTTGCTCTTGCTTTCATCGTCGCTCGTTCCTTTGTCACATTGGATATTATTCAGGCGGCGACAAATCTGCTGATTCGCCATTTTTCCTGACAAGCATTCTCTTCTAGACAGACAGGTTCCTGTCTTTTGAATTTAACATTGGGCGACACATGTCACCAAATGGAAAATAGTGTCAGGGAGCAGGCTTTGTGCTTTCACTGCTTGTGCGTGTGTGCTGGTTAGGAGGAAATTTGAAAATTCAGAGAACCCATACACCGTCGAAAAGTTACTCAATAAATTATCAGTCGATCTCAAAATGCATTATAGACGAGGCAGCCACCGCAACCAAGTATATGTGTAACGATTAGCTGCTGTGTGACGGTGGGATCGAAGGTTGTTGTTAAGCCACATTACATACAATTTCTTCCATCTCGTTTGTCTCTGTCATTCGCAGAACCAATTCCTATTCTTTACTGTCCATCTTAGTCACTCACGTTGTTGAATTCCTCCGACTCTGCCCTCAATGAATTTCACACCAAGACCAGATACCTTTTCGCATTGACCATGTCATCTTGGCAGAGTTGCCGTAAATACCGTAAAAGTATTTATATATCAATAACCTTTACTTTAATAACTACAATTTTTGTTAAAATGTTTAAACTCTAAATATTTCAAAACTATTTGTTTAAACGCAAAGCTTAATGTCAATAATTAACTGTTCACAGATATATTTATGTACATATAAAGAATATTAAATATCAAATCCGGTTTTTAAATGTTCTTTTTTAAATTATTTAAGTACCACAACTCTGCATCTGACATGTTGGCTTAACGGCAGAGCAGAGTGCAGATAGGTATGTTCACTGGTGGCTGGTCAGGTTCACTTAAAAGGTTTGAAATTGGATGGACCCACGCCTGTTTAGTTTCCTTTCAACTTCCTTTCAGGTTCCAAACATTGACGGAGAAATCGAATTTCTCTCGACCCAAAGTAGTGCAAATTTTCACTTCTGTACACATTCTTTGCTGCACTGCAAAGTTATGTATAACTTTCTCTCACCAGGCAGTGGAAAAAACGAGATTATTTATAACTAGAACGCACGCGATCATTATGCAACCCTACTTATATACATTGGGTACGTGTGACCAAGTCCAAGTTACCAGCAGTCACTATGTACAGTACATAATGCACAATGTACATGCCATACCGTTGTGCACAACGCGTTGTGCACAATGATATGAGTAAGAGACTTTTGCTGGCATAAAATATTATGTATGTTTCGAGATATTTTTCTCTACGTACAAACCTAATGGGAATGAATGGGTAAAGATGAATATTCGTACATATTCATGTACGTTGCATTAATTGATTAATTGCGTTTATTTCAGAATTGGAGCTGTATAATATTGGTTATTTCCTATTAAGGTTGTAAGGACGACGTCATCATGAGCCAGGCAATCAATGCAATGATCATCCTCATAAAACTTGTGTGCACACATTAGAACTTATCCATGTAGTAACTATGTAGCTGACAATATTGGCTAATTTCTGATAAAAATCCTCGCACCCACAAACATGTGAATAATGACGAGGTTGATTGCCAGTTAACCTGAATTCAGATTTTATGCTTTTCAAAATGCAAAGTAGAAGACCAATGAATATGATGGTAGAGTTTGGCTGCAACTGCAATGCGGGAGGCAGTTTTAGCATCAAGCCGAGCAGCACAGTCAATTGTACTCTAATCAAAATGTGCACACGTTGAATGAGATGAATGTGATCTGACCTCCAATTCTTAAAAAATAATTAAATAATGAAAACCTCGCTGGCTTGCAGCATATGTTGTTAAGGATTAAGTAGCATTTCCTTGACCGTATTATTTTTGTGTAAAAGTTTCAGGTGCTGGCGATGCCGTTAGCAAAAGTGTAATTGAAATGAGTTTTATTAGATTATTACCTGAAGCACTTGGTCGTTAGGTCGTGGGGAAATTGTCAGCAATTACGCCAGCGCATGTCCTTCCCGTTCAGTTTGGTCAAACTCGGAACCATAGAATCGAAGTCTAGGGTCCTATGGCACCTTGGTCTTCCTCAAACTTGTCTATACATGAAAGATTAAAACGCGGAGCCAACTTTAATCTGATCCTCGTAATCCTCCGATCCTCTTAACCAGCGAAACAAACTTTGTTGTAGAATTTGCCTCCAGCGGTTTTGTAGTCAAACGGAACCACAACTTAAAATGAAGCAGGACAGACTTATCCGATTCTGTGGTGGAAGGATCAGAACAGAAGAAGTATCAAACTGACTGACGGGAGAATGAAGCAGGTCCCGGTGGTGGATGAATATATTGGTTGGCTTGGGAGAGAAAGTGCCTCTCCGAGACTGCAGCAGGGTGAAAGCGGACTGACTCGGTTGGATCGTTGCAGACCGAATTTTATTGAGACTTGCCTGGTAGCTGCAGATACTGGAGTAGTGTCATTACTACGTTGGTTGGTGGGTGCATGAGATTGGTTGATGTAGTCAAGTCACGTTCCGTGTTGTTACAGATATCTGAAATTTAGAACTTTGGACGAAGAAAGAAATGTAGCTAAAAATCCGACCACGTTCCACCTCTATGTCCGTTCCTACGATTGGAGCATGTTACATGGGATGAGCGCAGCATTTTTACATATTTGAATAGGAAGGAGCAGCTTGATTGGCAAAATAAATAATATTCTTAATTTCTTAGACTTCCATCTGATTGATTGGATTGGTCAATAGTAAACTTACGAGATAGAAAAAGTGGAGCTAAAGAATCTGAGTTTTTGGTACAGAGTAAGGAATCGTGTGGTTGTGGAGAAACCAACCTTGTTTGCAGGAGATAAACTCTCGATACTCTGGAGAAAGCAGATGTAACTGGGAAAATCAATAAATGCCCGAAAAGGAAGCCGGGAGAGGTCGGTCTCAACAGAAGAACACTCAAACTTTGCGTTCCTTATGGTGTTGAATATCTATTTTTTAGTGCTATTACATAGTGCTTTGCGAAATAATATGCAGCTTGTTACACCTACGAGTCAAAGTTTTTATATTTATCAAGGCAGAGATAAGTATGCATGCATTTTTGTGTATGCCTGACGTGTCCAAAAATATGCTAAGATGTGAGTGAAGTCCACTCATTTCACTTTCCTCCTCAGTGGAGTGAAACATCACAAAGTTGATGGAAATTCGATTACAAAATCTTCAAAATGCATGTTACATGCAGAGTGCAGAATGAGGGGGGAGGACGAATTATTCATTCATGAGCTGGAGTGAGGGACCCCAATTGTCTGTTGCTTCTGAAGACAAACAGAATACAGAATTATGCACGGAGCGAGATTATAATACAGACTTTTCATCTTACATATGGTATGAAGAAACTAAACTTTGCAAACGCCAAGATCCTCAAATAATTTAAACTGTGAAATGTATTAAACTTTGAGCATGATAATTATTTTCATGTAGCTCAAAAAGTATGTGATGTTTGCGAAATCGGTGTCGTGAACGACATGTTTTACATATTTTCATACACTGGTCATCAAATTCTTGCTGATATGCTTTAACAGGACTTTTAAACTGTTTTCGCTAGAATTAAATAAAAATAGTTGTAATTTGGGAAAATTGGGTCAAAATGCCAAAAGTTTCTATAAAGAACAAAATCCTTGCTGCAATCTGTCGAACAGCCGAGTTCGAAATAGATCTTGCTGATTCAAATACTCAAGTTAATTACATTTTTGACGACACAATCGACAATATTCTACTGCTTAGCCAAACAAGATACGCCATATCACGTCTCCTGTTTCCAAAATCGAACCAATGGTACACGAAATTCTTGCCAATATTTGATCATTTTGCGATTCAAACATTGTGTACGCTTGTCTAGAAATGATTTTGGATACATTTTGAGTTTGATCAGCAATAACAAAGAGTTCTATGGACCAAACAGTCAGAAATAATTGTCAAATGAAAAACACCTATCCGTGACATTACATAAGTTTGGGTTTGATGGATCGGGATCATCAATCTGTAGGTTTGCTGCTATGTTTGGCCTTGATAGTATGGTTAAATATGTACTGGATCCTCTCAGCATGGCCTCTCGAGTAATTTTTCATGCAAACTGCAATTTGATGAAGGACTTGAGTACTGATCATTTACATATTTCGTCACAAAAATATCTCTCTAAGTTCCTTTATTTTGATCTACATTATCTGTAATTTTGATATTATATTTCTTTAAAAAATTGGAAATTATTAACTTGCATTTTCCACCGTTCTACATACTTATGTATATCCATATTATATATGCATATTGTGGTATATGGACTAAAAAATTTGTACATTTGAATATTTTCACCAAATCTGCGAGAACTTATTGAAGGTTTCAGTTCAAGACGTCGGTTCAACTTTATTTTTATCTGACTTTTACAACTGTTTTTATACTTTTCATCTCGTCTCCTCGAAGCGTTGCTGAAAAAGTCTCAATAAAATATACGCGTCTATGCAGCGGTGGCGGATGTACACGAACGAATAAAATGGGTGGATCAAAAGTTACATGTAGGTAGATGCATATTACGATGAGGATGTAAAGTACAATTGGAGAAATGGGGGAGTAACTCGGATCGCATGAATACTATAAAAGTGAGCTTTTATTCTTCAACAATATCACACATGCACACATATTCTTGTTCATGGAATTTTCATTTTCAAAGTTATGTATGCCTCTTTTTCACATACTACAGTTTCCTCTGAACCTTCGCATGAAAGATGCATACTTGGTTGATGGTGAATCCTTCTGGGCTTTGTGTAACAAAGTTTACCAACGAAAATCTGTGAGAATTACATACATATGCATTTCGTCTGCAAGTTTCTGTCTTTACGTTCTCAACCTTTTTTCATTTCGGATCCAGAATTTTTTATACTTTTTAATTCAATGAATCACTTTATCGAAAAAGTACTAGGAATTATAGTTCACGATTTTGCAAATGCTTTAGAGTTATGCTGTTAATCATTGTCCATACGCACGGTGATATTATTTATCAGACTCATACTTAAAATATTAATTCCGGATTTTAGAAGGTCAACTGGACTTACTGCTTTATGAGATATTCCTAATTTCTACAGTAGGCCATAGAGTTGCACGCCTGAGGGAAGACGCTCTATGTATGCATGTAACGAGTAACTTTTTGCATATGCACAGTTCATAGGATTTTTAAGTAAATCTAGAGATGTATGTATATTGCTCTTACTTATGATGCTGCTGACTGAGATCATATACATAATGCTCTGTTAGTTACTTGTGCGTGTATGTGCCTGTGATGCTATTTTTTGCATAGTGGCACAACATGATCTTATTTCGCTAGAGATTTGATTGTATGGATGGGCTATCTCGCCGGTCATTTTATTAACCGTGAGCGTACTTTGCATGCTCTATTAATTTGAACTGTCAGCTGATTACTTATTTGCACTACGTACTTCATCTTCCTTATCGGACGATGTTGAATGTGCCCATAACGAGCAGTAGATGGTAACGAACAGCTCTTATTTACATTGTATTAGATAGGTAAACACTCAATATAAGTCAATCAGTCTCTGATCTTTGGACTATTGTCACTGGGCTCTTGTCACTTGTTGAGCTGCCATTAAAAATATGGTTAGTCAGTGCGTCAAGTCTTGATTGCCTAGTTCTTATACTTTCGTTTGTTTTGGTAATTAATTTAGTACATTTTGTCCTGAAGTGTGTTTGATCACAAACTAAAACGGAACTTATAGCGAACGGAATACTTCAGTGGAATGAAAATGTCACCCAATGTAATTGAGCGTCCGGTTAAGCGTCATCCCAAAGTGTTCATTATTGGGGCTGGGTAAAAAATAATCGATTTCATATAAAATATAACGAAGGAATGAATTATTCTTTACACTTGATTCAGGTTCTCAGGACTTTGCGCTGGCATCAAGTTGCAATCAGATTTGGAAATTTTTGATTATGTAATTTTTGATGAGAATCATGACGTTGGTGGGACTTGGCTAACGCATACGTACCCGGGTTGTGCTTGTGATGTAAAATCCCATCTCTACTCCTACTCTTTTGAGTTAAATCCAAGTAACTCAAAAACTGCAACCACTATTTATGACTTTTGCCTCGTTCTGTAATCAATCATGTTCTCCATGATTTTAGATTGGTCAACCACTTATGCCCCCCAACCCGAGATTTTGGCTTATCTAAAAGGAGTTGCATACAAGTACGATTTATATAGCAAAGTGAAATTCCATCACCAAGTGAAGAGTGCGACATGGGTTGAAAATAGCTCTATTTGGAAAATCGTTGTTCATGATAAGCATGTGGGAAAGACTACAGAGTACGAATGTGATATTATGTAAGTTATGTATGTACATACCCATGTGAAAGATTGACTAACCGACAGTGAATATACATGAATCTACAGTATACATTATTATGCATTTAGTACATACGTATATAATTGTGTGTCTTTTTGCATGGGTAGAATTTCCGGAGTGGGTGGACTGCGCGTTCCCAGTATCCCGGAACAATTTTCAAAGTTTACTGGTCCAACCATTCACAGTGCAAAGTGGAATCCAAGTTTGGATCTAGATGATAAAGTAGTAGCTGTAATCGGGAGTGGGTGCAGTGCAGTACAAATCGTTCCTACAATTGAGCCAAGAGTTAAAAAGTTATTGTCATTCCAGAGGTTGTCTTTTTTTGTACAAACTTTAACTGATATGAAACAGTCTTTGTAATTAAGATTCTTTTTGTACAAATATGTAGACACCCTGCTTGGATCGTTCCTTTGTCTCAGTTCCAAATATTTGGTTTCATCCGATGGCTATTTAATAAAATTCCATACTTAATGTGGTTGTATCGGATGTTTATCTTCTTTTCACAAGAAGCCTACTTTATGATTTTCAAGGCCAACAGCAGACTCAGGGAATTTGGTAAGAGAGAAAGTTTTGCAAGTTGAGCTGTAGTTTTAGTTCCTGTTCCTGGTAGCATATGTTGTTCCGTCGTTCGTTAAATTAATCTGTCCAACTCTTATTTTTAGCAAAATGGGCTGCACGCATGTTCCTCAAATGGCAGATTCCAAACGATCCAGAGCTAAGGACCAAGCTCATTCCAAACTACGAATTTGGATGCAAAAGAATTTCCCCGAGTAATATGTACTACAGAGCCTTGGCCAAGCCCAAGTGTGAAGTGGTTACAGAAAAGATCGCCTCCGTCACACAGCATTCCATAATCACGGAAGATCACAGAGAATACCCGATCGATGTGAGTAAATATCTATCTGCCGTGTATGAATTTCTCTTGTTCAATAAATGACAAAATCATTCTGTACAGGTGCTGATACTTGCTACCGGATATAGAGTTCAAGATTACTTCTCCCCTCTGAAACTGTATGGGCTCAATTCAGAAGATATTCTAGAAACCTGGAAAACAGGAAGTCCGTCGCATTATTTGGGGATAATGTCCAGCTCAACACCGAACAGTTTTGCTTTATTAGGACCAAATACAGCTTATGGACATAACAGTGTCATATTTTCTATCGAATGCCAAGTCAACTGGGTGATGCAGGTCATTCGAGAATTCATGCAGAGAAATGCCAAAGCAGTGGTAGTGAAAGAAAATGTGGAAAAACAGTACATGAAAAGTATAAGGACTCGTCTAAAAGACACCGTGTGGGGAAATTACGAATGCGGTTCCTGGTATGTAAACCATGAAGGGATTAACACGACGCTCTACCCTGGGAGTTTAATTAGCTATTGGAAGGAAACTAGGAAACCAGTGTTTTCGAACCTAATCTTTGACTGACCAACGTGTCATGTCATAAATATTATGTTTATACTTACATTAGTATTAATAGCACAAGAAAATTTATTCTTAAAATTGTGATTAATCTTGCCATACAATGTGATTACAATAAATATTAATCCAGTAATTTTTATGAAACTGTGTTAGTGGTGATGTAAGTAAGCTTGTTTTTTAAGCGTCAGGAGGTACGATGCTGGAGCTGCGACGTGGGGCTTTCAGCGTGAAGGTCGCTTCGGGTGCCTCCTCCGCCAGAGCTTCGCTCCCCTTCCTGCCACCCATGGTCATGGGTTTGGCAGCGGCGAAACTCACGCTCGGAGCATCAGCATCGTCGACGGTGATGCTGGGACGAACTTTCCTGGCGGCAGGTGCAGCTGAGGGTGCAGATGCGGACGAGTTAAAATCGACAGAATCGAATGCAGAGACCGGACCATTGCAGACTTTTGTGATGAATGCTGTGAAAATAAGAATGAGATTTGTATGCCGATTCATATAATATCTAATTTGTGCCTACGGATGTATTTGATTAGCCCATCTTCATCTGGTGGGTCACAACATTCGTTCATAATTAATTGCACCATCTCATTGTCCATTCGTTCACCTAATTAGTGCAAATCGTTTATATATGAATTTTTGTATATAATTTAACTTATGTATCCTGTAATTGCTTACCACTTGCAAGCAACATGTGGTGAAGTTGGTTTGCTGGCATGAATCCATCGTTATGTTTATCATAGCATTTGAGAACTTCAACGTAGTCTGCAAGGCATCCACAATCTTTGTCCTTTTTGGCTTCCGAAAAAACGGATAAGAATTCCTCAATTGTGAGAAATTTTTCTCCTACATAATTTTTGAATGGGGTGATGTGATAAATTATTTTTAGAAAATTAACATGATTTTTGGAACTAATTATGACCTATATTAAGTACCTTTCTTTTGAGTCCCTCCGAGTTTCTTGATAGTTTTGAGAGATGGTGTTAAATCCAATGCTCGTAAACAATCAGCAAGATTAATTCCGTCAATCTTCTCAACGCCATCAAAGTCGTAAATTGAGAAGGCGAATTTTGCCTCTGAATGTAATTAAAATATGTTAAGTTTGTTTCTTGGCTAGAGAAATATTGGACCAATGATACATGATTCAAAGTAGACTCACTATCAATGTCCTGAGCACTTAATTCCATTTTCTACGCAAGATGTTTATTATAGTCCAGACTTTTAACCCGTTCCTTTGTTTATCAGCCAATTAAAATTAATTACTGTGGGATGTTTCTAAATATTATGAAAGTGTTCGTTGTTGAGCCACCGTCTTGGTCCAACCTCACAAATTTTGCAAACTCGATTCTCTCAAAGTCCGAAAACTACGTAGGGAAGAAGAACCCGTCGTGTGGTATGGAATGCAAAATTCTACATTTCAGCTTTCAAAAAGCTAAATGTTGCAAGATTTCATTTTATGTATGTTTTTGTATAAATGAATGGCTTCATACATACACTCGTACCCTCATATCCTATGAAAGTTACGAGTTGCATATCCAGAGTAAGCCACCTAATTGGCTAGCGAAACTGCTTTAGCAGAGATTTCACTTGCTCCCATAATTTATGCCCGACACTTTTTATGATAAAAGTTTGAAACGACAGTTGGGATCTTCTTACCACCCCTGTCATCAGGATAAACTAGTGCGTTTTGGCTCATTTAATCCAAGTTCAAGCTCTTAAATAAAATTCTAGCCAGCGCATTTGCAAGGATTCATAATAATATTTTTGTGTCATGACTAAATTAAACTGGTAAATGATGATGTACTGGCTGGCTATGTATGTGTGTGTGCGTAGGCGTAGTATGTATCGAGCAAGCAAAGGTTTGCCGTAGCTGTATATTTTAATTTTTGGTCATAACCTAATCAAACTTTCTTGAAATAAATTCTTGAACGAGATGCCTGTCTATTTATAATATCATGTTTTATGTCTATGTCCAAATCCAACTGCAACAACACTGTTTGAGCACTTTTCAAATTCAAATGTGTTTACTATTCCATCATATTTGAAATCTTGAACCAGATTACTTGGAACATGACCACCAATATGTCTCATACACCATATACATAATTATACGGGGAATAATCCTCTGTTTATAAGTACAGATCTACCAGGTAATAAATAGCAGAGATTATAGGACACTATTTACATATAGACGTGAATTTACATGAATCTATTAGAAGTTCAGAATTGTCTTAATAATCTTAAAATTTTAAAATTGAAGTGACTGGCAAGTATTTTGCGTGAATGGTAGAACACCTTTTTGTCAAATGCTAATAAATCCAGTACTTGGATTTTTTTGCTGCTGTCGTGGAGCTGTCTATGTAAATACGTATGTATGCCACTTTAGATAGAAATCTTATCGGAGTTCAAGAAAGTGGTCTTTTTAGGAGAATAAGCAAATGTACATAGTCAATGTCATGTTATTGCATGCCGGAAATGATGTGGGCCATTTCCTCATGCTTTTAGAGTAAAAATGAGGTACATCATGAATGAATGACACTCGAGTAATTTTAGAGTAACAGGGAGGTTAACGTTGGTGTAATAAATGACAAAATCCATAAAGCTATCACATGTAACAAAAGTGAAAAATCGATCCAAGCAAAAATGAAAAATCAATTTCAATGCAGATGCTTTCGAGGATGAACATTATTCTCTGTTCTGCTCTGCATTATCCACAGGAGGATGAGACGAGAGCTCCAATGGATTTCCATTAATTTGAAGCTGCACTCATGTGAGCCATAAGTCACTGTTCGTAAAAAAGGATTTTCTATCCTGGATGTCACCATAAATCGATGATACTACTTATTATAATATATTTCTAGCAATGATAATGGACTCAATATATGCATACGTCACATTATGTTTCGACCAAGTAATGTCGTGTGGGATCTACTTGTAATAATTTGACTCTTTTTTTTATAGATATGACCCTGCTTAACAAGGTATTACTTACATTTCGAATATAAATCAAATACGACATACGTATATACAAATAATGTATAACGTTTCACGTCATGAAAGTCTCATGGTGTAACAAATTATTTATTTATTCACTTAAAGTACAGTCAATACCTAAATATAAATTGTGCAATATTTTTAGCTATCCGTGGGACTACCGAATTCCATTGACCACAAAATCGGTTCTGAATTGTTTACAGTGACCACACGGTCAACATTTTCGGCTGCAATCTCATTACTGGTACTGACGAGATAACCGAATTCTAGTTTTCCGTTGGTCAGATTCCATCGCAATCCAGTGGTAGTAATACTTGAGCAAGGCGATCCCACAGGAATGAGAGAACAATAGGGGACGACGACATCGCCAAATTGAATTTGGTGCAGCCCCGGGGGTAGTAACCAGGTAATTGATGTAGACCCCATCAAGAATAATTGCACGCTAGGCGCAATTGTCACGGCGTGAAAAAGTGTCTCAATATTCGCCATGATCTGATCAAACCTCCCAGAGGATTCGCAATATGCCACAACTTGTGCAACCTGATTGGTACACATGTATTTAATATAGTCCATTCAAAACCATTTTTCATACCCATTAAATTACATACGTGCGTGTTACGTAAATATAAATTGTTTACCTGTGTTTGTGGCAAGGAGGAGAGTTCTTCTTGCAAAATTCGTAACGCTTTAGTGAAATCAGTTTCATCTTGATTTAGAGTCTCTATAATCCGAATTTCATTTTGCTGCTTAAATTGCTCCAAAACATGCGGTCTTATGGAATCAAAGTCACCAGAAACAATATGCGGATATGAAATGTCGGGGAATGTTGTTTTAATTTTATCCCAGCGGTTTCCTCCTCCATCAACGAGTATGCGGAGTTTTGCTATTTGCGATGATGTAAAAGATATATTCACTTAATTAAATATTGACATGTGTATTGTAGTTCTTATTTGTATTTTGTAGCTGACCTTTGTTCCATAGTTCCACAAAGAAGCTTTCGTTGAGCACTGGTTGATTGAGGAGGATTAAACCTAAATAAATAAATAAATATACTATAGATAACTATATATATAATAACTATAAATAATCATGAATTACTGTTTTGGTTCTTAAAAATTTCGGATACGTCCCACTTTGTTAAATTTATTTCTGACATTTTTGTTCCCAATATGATGCAACATGGGTTTTGTGGCCCAAGAGAAGACTGCTCACTTGTTTCTCGTGTGTGTGTTTTTTTTTGCACGCAGAAATCTATAATGATGAACTATTATCGTGGTTTGACAAGGTTAAAGCCAGATCTTTCATGACATTCATGACAAGAGAGACACAATTGTCGGCAGCCGGCAAACTCTGACGAGATTCTGCTCGCATTATCATGTTGTACAGCTGATGTACTCGGAACATGAGTAATGTTACGCAACAACCTATCTGCTGCTACTTGGCTGCTATGATGAATTTATAATAATGTTGCATACGCATAACGTGTAATGTAATCACTATTCATCATATGCACATTTATTTTAACCAGCAAAATTATTCAAGTCTCAGGGCCTTTAAACCCTCATACAATTATTTATTTTCAGGCATTTCTTTCTTCGCGTCGAGTGCATTTACATAAAGTTAGTAAAGTGACCACGGCAAATAATATTCCCAATAAACCAAAGTAGGTTCCATAGACAACAAATTGATCCCTTTCATTAAGTGAAAATCCGTTTTCGTCAGCCACAGCGAATGTGAGAATGGTCTGAATGGTGAGGGCGATAAATCGATTCATTCCAAAAATTAGGCCGTAACTATCTTGGCTGATTCCTTGAGCTACTTCCGCACTAAAAAAATATAAATATATTTTAAAATCTGGGATGATTTTGTAAATTTGGTAAAATAAAACCTACCTCGCAACTGTAATCATCACTTGATAGAACGTTCTAAACACAATGTAGCAAGCATACGCCACAAAAATTTCGTGCGTTTGCGACATGACAATCAGAGCAGCTCCTTGGATAAAAGACATCAGACAAAGGAATGGTTCCCCCCATTTCCGCCAAGGGAGTGAAACATAACCAACTCCCAGAGCCAAGCCGGCACCTTGAATCAGTAAATACATGGTATTGCGAATTAGTTAAGTAGTAATTAAATAATTATTATATTTTATATGCTTTATTATCTCTCTTTTCGACTATGTATGTGGGTATTACTGAGGAAAGTGTGAACAGCATCCACTCCCCCGTTATAAATTTCTTCATCCGTTGAAGGGTAGATCTCTTCATAAAGCGGTTGGACATAGCTTGTCACCTAAATGAGAATTGCATTTTATACGAATTGTCTGAAGTTAAAACTATCCCATTGACCCATACATATTACAAATACCTGAATGTAGCAGGCAGATGAAATAGCCCACCAGATGGACCACTTTAGAACGTATGCATCAGAATACGCTTTCTTGCAGTCCTTCCAAAGATAACCATACGCCCTTTTGATTTTTTGACCCAGTGACAATGTGAGGTTTTCTTTACTTCCTCCTTCATCTCCGTCCGGAGGACCTTCCAAAGGTTGGTCGTTATCGGTGTTGCGATGAAAGTACACAGATTGCTTTACGCTCGGAAGAAAGCATGCAACTATCAGAGCGATGGTTACTGAACCCAGGGTCAAATAAGTAAGTTGTTCATAATCCATCAAATCAGCAGAAACAAGAAGTTGGGACACAATGGCAGCAATAAAATTTCCGACTAATAAAGCCGTGTAAGTGTGAGAAGTGACTTTTTTGTAGGTTTCCTTATCCACCTTTGAGTAAATGTTGCGTTTTTATAAAATGACTAGAAACTTTTAGATAGTTCTAGGTAGTAAGAAAGCTCAACACACAATTTTAAATTTGTATACCTTTGCATAGATGTAAGTATAATAGGCAACCTCGGTGGAACTTGCAATCCCATACAAGATCTCCAGAATCTTATAAAGATTACATAGAAGCATAACATTATTAATTAACATCAAGTATTATTTTAGCTTAATTATGATGTATATATATAAATATGTATTATCACCCGCAAACTGTGGATTCCATTTCCAAAAAGTAGCAAAATGTATGTCCCTACAAAGGCTAATCCTTCAATTATGATAACCGCCTTGTACCTGAATATATATGTACATATGTAAATACATGTGTTGAAAAATGCCGATAAATTATATTAAAATCAAGTACCGCATAAAATCAGTAACAAGAAATACGATGGGCAGGGTTCCAAAATACGTATACGTCGATATTGGATAAGCCACTTGCACAATCTAAAAATTTATTATGACAAATATTGAAACATTTCTTATTTATGCATTAAAAATAGTTTAATAGAATAATTTTTTTGTTATTTTTATTCTTACCGTTTCCTTTGTAAAATTCTTGAAATCGATGAGATATTCAGTCACAAATGGTTCCGATGGACGAAACTCTTTAAAAAATCCAAAGGTGCATAGCACCAAAGAAATCAAATGCCACTTTTCCATTCTAAGAAGACCAGACCACAAGATGATTTACCAAACAGAAACAGAGGTACGTGCACATGTATGAATTACACACACATGTAAATTTGTATGTATGTCATTTGACAGATACTCATCAAATGGGAACACTACGCGATTAAATACTTTTAATATGCGTGACATAATGCATGGATGAATTCTGGATGAAAGTTAGCTAGGTCATAGTTAATTAACATTTCGATAAGAAACATTAAAATCATGTCAAACGAAGACTGTACTTGTACTGTCGGGACACTTTTATTGACGTGACGTAATACCCTGAATTAAAAACTATTCTAATTGCAATCCAGGAACATATGCACAGATGCGTGTACATACATATCGATTACGAGTGAAATGTATCACGAGCTCTGGCTTTGTCCTGATGCAATGTTCGCTGCATATTTCTTCAATGTTCTTCAAAATAGTAGGAATCGCCAATGTTCTCCATAATCCAATCATAATACTTTGACACTCGAGTGAAGATTGCAGGTGGATACCCACAACCGGAAGGTAACGCCTCCCCCTGACGAATATTCAACCGTTTTCTACTCCCCTTGTCACATATCACATGTTCGCTTATGTTGGAAATTATTCCACAAAGAACGGGCTCGTTGTCGTCATCTCGACATATTGCACCACCACCAGAATCTCCTTGATTTGGAACTACGAGAACGCAATAAAGTAGGAATTAATATTTAATAGAAGGACATTCAAATAAGATCTTTTGTCGATTTGCCTCATACCAGCTTCATTTTCTCCTCCGATACACATCAAAGTCGCCGGTTTTGGGGAGCTTGTGAGTGAAGCACAACGCGTATTGTTCATGATTGTTGCCGTATCAGTCAAAAGGACACTTAAAGATTGAGTCAAGTCTGTTTTTCCATACCCCACAATTTCAACAAATCCTGTTAATCATGGGAATATTGGATTATGTTGTTAACATTTATGACGGTAATTGAAAACATGGCCTCACCTTCCTCTAAGAATGATAAATTTGCAATCTGGAGGGGTCGAACAAACCCATTGAGACTTAAAGGCTCCTTTAATCGAAGTAAACTGATATCATGGAGAAGAGGATTGTAAGAAAAATTAGGATGATTGACAGATCTTTCCAGATCAACTTCGTAGCGGTTATCCCTCTCAGCAACTTGAATATGATTTTGTCCGACAACTGCGACGACCATCATCACCTTGAGAGGTTTGCCACCCTCTTTGGTGGGTGGGCCATGAGTGCAGTGTGCGGCTGTCAGAATCCACCAGCGATTAATAATTGTTCCTCCACAGTGAAGGTAATGAACCTTTTCCGTTTCCACATCGATGGTTTTGATTCCCAAGTACACGTGGTGAGGGTACTGATTCGGACGTGCTCTCAAGGCGAAGATATTTAAGGCTGGAAATTAATGAAAATTAAAATTTTATAAAATACGCATTATGCGAAATATGAGTTGAAGATCTGTTGCATAAGTTCACCTTCTTTGCTTCCTTTCTCACAACAAAATAAACTAGCTCCTCTTTGGCCATCCGGTCGTCGTCTGCAATGGTGGGAGGAAGCTGTTACATATTTGTGACCAAGTTCAGGGACTTGAGAACATCTCGTTCCCAAAGGTTTGCATCTAATTGTGAAACAAGCCTTCTTCCCAGACGAGGCTCTGCTATTAGGACAATCAGAACACCCACGTATTGCCTTTGCCCTTTCAAATGGAAGCACGATCGATTTCACTTCCGGGTTTAGAGGATGAATAACATCACTATCGTTTCGAAATGCGCATGTTAAATGCAGTAGAAAAATAGCTACACTCGTTTTAATTATAATTTTCGGCATTTCTATTATTCAAAGGAGCTTAAAACTAATTAAAAAGCTTACTGTGCTTCTAATTAATGACTGCATAATAATAGCTTATAATAGAATCTGTGGTCATATATCTATCATAAGTTAATTCGCATTCGCTTTTAATGCGTCGAGTTTTTGTGGATTGCATGGTTGGTTGCACTATTCCGCCTTAATGTGGAAATTTTGTGGTGTATAATACATAAGTATTACCACCGGTAAAACCAGTCCAACTATTTTTTACTAATCCAGGGAAAACAAAAGTAGTAACAATTGTAGTTACGAGGTTTGGCTGGACCTTTCATTATCTTTGGCCTTCATTCCAAGAGTTAAAAATTAGCCTAGTCAAAGCCAATAAGAAATGTATGTGCATATGCATGTAAGTACGATCAGAAGCATCACAGGCCAAAGGTCATCCCATCGTCAGCACATAACGACATAATGATTATATTTATCCTCCTTATTGGAGGTTATCGTGAGAAAATTTGATAAGCAAATCGATTAAATATCCAATTCATATTATTCGACTTGTAATGTATTCGATGCACCTACACTAAATTTTATCCTTTGGTAATCGCATCAGCTTCATTGGTCCGTGTTTTGCACTTCGCAGCAATATCCACTCATATTTTAGCAATTGAGATACTTGTTTACTATTTGGTTCACTTTATATTTAACAAATTCACCACTCTCGCATTATTTCATACGGCTAATATTTACACATTCTACAGCATTCTAATTTCCAAGACTTTGGCATTATCTATTAAGACGCCAAGATTTTCGAAATGATTCTCAGATTTCTGAACTTTGCTCCTGTCCTCCTTCTAATTATTTCTACGCATGTTTTCACACCATTATTTTCGCACTACTATTATTACTGGGATTATTACCTGGCTCCAAGGTACACTGAGCATGATTCGTTTGATTTCATTGTGAGTAAGTATATACAGTTATTACAATTTTGTCACTATCTGTGGTACCCCTATTTAATTACTTATTTTGTACATGTGTCAATAGTCGGGGGAGGTTCCGCTGGTGCCGTGATAGCCAACAGATTGTCCAAAAATAATAAAGTTTTGCTCCTCGAAGCTGGAGGTGATCCTGTTCCCTTCGTCTCGATACCTGGACTTGCTACGGAACTGCACCACATTCCGCATTTGAATTGGAACTATAAAACAGTTCCACAAAAATACTCGAGTCAGGGAATGGATAATAAAGTGGGTTATTCTTGCAATTCTTTGATAATCACAAAGCTAAAGTTAATCAGACCTGCATACATATAATTAAAATTAAACGAAAGATTAAAAATTGGCCTGTTTAAAGGTGTCTCTCTGGCCGAGAGGAAAGCTTCTTGGGGGGACTTCTAATTTGAACTACATGTTTTACGTGCGAGGAAATCCCTTAGATTACGATAACTGGGCGAATATTACAGGAGACGAAAGGTGGAATTATGATAACCTGGTCGCGTATTTCAAAAAATCACTGGATTACAATGGAGCCTATGTCAAAAATGGTTAGCAATGACTGAGTTTATAGAGTTAATCTTCACTGCAAATATTATGATTTGCGGACCGGACATGGCAATCGCTACATGGCAATCATTGCATTGCAATTTTTACATTGCAATCCTTACAACACGTTATCATTACATAGCATTATCACTACATGGCTTTATTATTACATCGCACATCATTACATAGCATTATCATTACATAGCTTTATCTTTGCATAGCATATTCCTTTAAAATTAGTCAGATTGATTGATTGAGTCAGAACGAATGAAATTAGTCAGAATGATTTCATTCGTTGTAAAGAACTCATCTTCCATGAGAAGGTCAAACGACATAACCACATCGTCAGGGGGAACAAATGCTAAGCTCCTTAAGTGTTTCATCATAAGTGAGAAGTTCGAGTCATTGCTGTACAAATTGTGTATATCCGGGTGTTTTTGGATATTGCGAAATATGCACTGCGAATAATGGAAAAAGCAACCATTTTTCTCTGCTTGTGGAAAGATGTCCTCCATTGCCCTTATTGAGGCTTTCTCATAGTCACTCAGTATTGTTGTTGGGTCCAAATTAGGTTGAAGTTTCTTGATTTCCGAAAGAAGACGAATATATGTGCCGGATGTTCGATTAGGAGTCAAGCAATAGATAAGAGGAAATGTGCTTTCATTACGCATCCCGTGTAGTATGAAAAGTTGGTCAAAAAGAACGGGCGAAGACTGTAAAACGAGAATTCCAATTAAATGTTTGTTAGTATAACGTAACAAAAAATGACCCTAACTTTAAAAGTTCCATCGACAAGCCAAACATTGCACTGAGATAAAAATTCTAGGTTACGGGCAGTCGAGAAGATCATTATTCGATCCGCATGTGACCCACTATCAAATGCCAGGAAATTCTCGTTGTTTGAAGTTATTTTAAAGGAGTCAGGCAACTTGATATCCTCCCTTTTGGAAGGAACGATAAGTGACCCAGTGGTCACACCTCTGACCTTCCTTATACCTCGTTTTATATTATGTGCCAGGGGCATGTGACCTTGACTTGCAGCTGGCATTTGTCTAACTTCATTGGCAATTAGTTGTGCTGGAGCAATGGAGGAACTGCTGGCTGCTTGTCGAATTTTGGTCATGACTTTTTTCGCATCACAAGCAATAGGTTTTGGCTCATGATTATGTGACCCGACTTGCCGTAAAAGCTCTGGGTTACGTAAATTATCACTTGTGTGTAATCTGAATCGGCACTTGCACTTTTGAAACTGATCGCATCTCCAAGTCTTTTTTTCTAAACCATCTCTTTCAAACTGGAAAATGTTTCCATTAAACGTAAGCAATGGCCTTCCTCTTCTCGATGCTAATACTTCGATGTTAGTTGCCATTATTGAGATAGTTTTTAAAAACTTTAATACTTCTTTTTGTCACGGAATAATATATATATAGTTTGACTCATGGATTGGTTTTGTCACAATACAATTCTTGTGGACCAGTGAAAACATGTGTAAGGAAGATGCTATGTAGCTGTCATGCTACGTAATGATAAAGCTATGCAAGGATATGCTTTGTAGTGATCATGCTATGTAGTGATAAAGCTATGTACTGATAAACCATGTAAGTAACCGCCATGTAAAAATTGCAATGTAAAGATTGCCATGTAAAGATTGCCATGTCTGGTCCGCGTACCAATATTATTAGGGTAACAAAAAATATTTCAGAGAAGCATTACGGTCAAGCCGGTCAGCCTTACGGGTACTTGCACGTGGAGCAAAGAAACGAATGGGCACCACTCTACAAGTACTTCATTGAAGCTGTTAAAGAACTTGGTTATAACCAGGTCGATTTAAATGGGCCACAATCAATTGGTGGGGTTCAGCACACAATTTATTTAGAAAAACACACATTAATATTTAGACTAATCAACTTATCGTGAGACAATTAATGATAGGATTTGGGCCGTCTGAAGTAACCCAAAAACGAGGATCTCGTGCTGGGACATTCGGGGGATTTCTGAAGAATTTCATGAACCGAGAAAACTTACATGTTTCTCGGTACTCTCAAGCTACAAAGGTAAATTAAATCGTGAATATGTGTATGATAAAATAGTCAGATATTCAATGCTATTTATTTTAAGATTAAGCTGGATAAGAATAACCGGGCATTGGGTGTATGGTACACACGTCATGGGAAACAGTATTTCGCAAGGTCCAGGAAAGAAGTAATTGTTTCCGGTGGTACAGTTGATTCGCCAAAACTACTGATGCTTTCCGGAATTGGACCGAAGAAACACTTAAATTCCATTGGCGTAATATGAATAATTTTGCAAGATAAATACATATTTGACCATTAGCATTGACATACTTCCAATCTTAACATTTTGTCACAGATAAAAACAAAGTTGGATTTGCCCGTTGGAAAAAATCTAAAAGACCATCTTTCAGTATTCGTAAGCCCATTTATAATCAATGAAACTCTATCTATTATTTTAACTCGAGACTTTGGAGCTCAAGCCTTATATGACTACTTTGTACATGGCTATGGTGAGAACTGTATACAATTTAAGGCTTCTTTCCGTTGAAACAATTTCTGCACATTTTTGTCTGCATAAATCTGTAGGTCCACTTACTTCTCCTGCCATTCTTAACTCACATGGTTTCATATCCAGTAAATATGCTTCAAGAAAGGACTGGCCGGACCTTCAAATTTATTTAGTAGGACTCGGAGTGTATTCCGAACTGGTACAGGACCAAGCAAGGACGTTGGGGTTTAATGCAACTTCTTACACAGAATACATGCGACCGTTACTTAATCAGGAGTTGGATGGATTTGGTATTATGGCAACACTAGTTCTGCCCAAGAGTGTTGGCGAAATTAAGCTGCACGACAAAAATCCTTTTACACCACCGCTGATAGATCCCAAATATCTGGAAGATATCAGGGATGTAAAGACGCTGATAGAAGGTTAGCATGCATATTTACATATTTTATAACAAGAGCATTTCATTCATGTTGTACTGAAGAGTACTAGAACTAACAGGATTGTAATCAGCTAGTAATGCTTCCTTATACAGGCATCAAGTTTTCCATAAAATTAGTCGAGGAAACAAAATCGTTCAAAAGGCTAAACGCAGAATTGTTCGACTTGAAATTTCCTGGATGTGAAGATTTTGAGCCAAGAAGTGACTTGTACTGGGAATGTTTCATTAGAAATGTTGGTTTCTCATTATATCATCCTGTAAGCGAAAATATCTGATTCATATCCCATACAAATTTCGTATTTGAGGTACAGAATACTAATTGGTTTGAGATGGTTTAAAAGGTGGGGACTTGTCGAATGGGAAAAGATATTCGTGACAAACAGGCTGTGGTTGATTCTAAATTAAGGTAAAAACTTTCCTTTCTAAGTTAATGTGTAGTCATCATGACCATATTTAATTATACTAATTTGATAAATTAGAGTGTTGTGGACTCCAAATCTGCGAGTGGCTGATGCCAGCATCATGCCCAAAATTGTTAACTGTAACACAAACGCGCCTTCCATAATGATTGGAGAGGTGGCGGCTGATCTTATCAGAGAATACTGGTCGAAACAATATTTAGTGTGCGATTATTTAGAGTATGTAATACATGGCAGAGTTAGTAGACAGTGTTTTTATTCTAAAATTGTGTAAATGTTGACAAAAGTTGCAATAAATAAATGATCCCCTGGTGCCATATTTTTTCAACGAATTACATGTATTAATTAATATTTAAATTTTGAAAATGCATATTTCTGTCAAATATCTTTCATGATTTTTAATTTACATGAGTATTAATCTGTAAGTATATTGAAATGTAGGATATTTTAAAGGAACAAATTTTAAAACTTTTACATATGACAGACTGGATATCTTTAGATTTAATGTGTTTACATATATGTAACACTAATGTATAGATTTGCATAAGTATATCTTCCCTAGTTAGTGCTTACACTGATTAAGGTTGTACGTATGTACCGACAAAAGTAATTGAGAAATCAAACCGTATTCAACTATGTAATGAAGAAAAATCCGAGCAAGATTTTAGCGTATGTAAAGTTACAAAAATAGATTGTCTGCTAAATCAGAAGAAAACAAAGAATTTTATAAGATGTTCTTTATACATATATTGTATGTCTACGTACATATGGTATGTATATGCATATTCTCTGTGTGTGGGGACGACTAATAACGGGGATGTGTGGGGATTGCTCTGCCAAAACGTGGTCCAGTTTCAGTTGGCAAATACAAACAATAAACTTAAACGACTCGACATGTGCATTGATTACTAACTGGGATTTACAAGTAGTGTGTGAATAATAACAAACGATATTATTGACACAAAACGAGCATGACGGAATCTGCAGGAGCACAAGAGCCGTCAATTTTTCAAGTGTTGACAGAACGGTCACTTAAAATCCTCTTGGCTGAGCCAACTGAGAGAACAGTTCCGGAGCCCAACGCAGATTTCCTAAGTGGAAATCAACTTCCGCGAAAGTATTATGGACCCTTTGACCCAAAAACAATGGTCTGCGTTCCTCTGGAAGAAATTGACCCAGCTTACAAAAATTTCAAGGTATGAAAATGCGCGACTCGTTGTTATATATGCATATGCACATTTACATAAATAATCATGATTGTTTTCACAGACTTTTGTAGTGATTGGAAAATACGGAACAATTCATCGATATTCGGCCAGAAACTCGTTGGAAGTTTTGAGTCCCCTGAATCCAGTGAGAAGATGTGCCATATATCTGACCACCCATTGGGCCTTTGCTTTGTTTATGACAATAATTGTGGTTTTAAATACGATCTCGACGGTGAACAATGCAGGCAAAGTTTACGAGTAATTAAAAAAATCAATCCATTTCAGTTTATGTACATACTTAACCATATGTAAGCTTGGCTAAATTTGTGTGTGCATAAGCATTTGAATTCTTCAGGCACAGTGTGACAATTATATACGCTCTCGAGCTTTTGCTGAAAATTATGAGCGAAGGCTTGGTACGGGGTCCGTTCTCATTCCTTCGAAACTTGTGGAATTATTTGGACATTGTGGTTTTATCAACGGCATTAGTTCGTCCTCTCAAAACAGTCTCACTCCTTCTATGGTCAAGATTGATCAAGTTGATTCAGTTGACCCCAGGTCAGGTCACTGTATGTTTAGATTATTCGTACCACAAGGTCAAAACCATGCGTAATAGTTCATTAATTATTTCAGAAATTAGACGCTGGTTTAGATTTCTGAGCGTAGCTATCTGGAGGCTTCGTCCAGCTCTGCTATACACTTCATTAACAATAATCTTGTTTTCCTTGATTGGAAAATTAATGTTTCTGGGCTTGTTTACAAGAAGATGCGTAAATTACTCGGATTACTGGGAAAAATTTGCAATTTCAAGTAATGATTCGTCAATGGAAATTGTGAGTTGGAGAGAATTTGCTGAGAGTAGTGGAAATTGGTTTTCTGATGCATGGTGCTTAGAAGAAAATAAAGAGTAAGTATATTATTAATTTGGTACATTTGTATGTGTATGCATACACAGCAAATGTAATTAAATTGCACTGTTTGATTTAGTAACTTAATGCAATGTCCGGAAGAAGATGACTATGAATGCATTCCAGGAATTGGAAAAAATCCGGACTATGGTCTCACTAATTTTGACTCTATTGGAGGGGCTTTGGTGCAAACAGTCCGAATAATTGATCAAGATTATCTAGAAAATATTTTAAATCAGGTAATCGCAATAAAAATTAATGAAATATCTGGCATCAGCCATTTATATTGTGTACAACTCCTTAAAAATTCTGTAATTACAACAGATAACTACAGCATCTTCCTCACCAACCATCACAATTTTATATTTTATTGTCATGTTTTTCTTTGGAACATACGCATTGGGAACATTGGCATATGCTATTCTTGGGAAACATGTTTTTGATTTCCTGGAAAATTCGTTGGAATATTTACCACATCAAAATCATCAAGATGTGGAAATCAGCCCAGAGCAGCGGCCAAGATACCCTTTGAAAAATGACCCAGTGTTGCTTTTTGTCCAAGACGTACTTAAAAGTTCAGTATGGCATGTGACAATGTCATCAACAATACTGTTGGACATTCTGGCCCTGTCAATGAAACATCACAACATGTCCAGCATGAGTAGTAATGTGTCAAAGTGGCTGATCAGAGTAATTTCTTTTGTATCGAGTTTTAATCTCAGGTTTAAAAGTGCATAAGCAAAATTGATTGATTGATTTAAATTATAGTTTGCAATGGGCATGTACACTATCGAGTTTATTCTCAAACTCATCGTGGATGGAGCAAAGAAATATTTTACGACAGGATGGAATCTGTTCGACATTAGTCTATTAGTTGACATGTACTTCCAACTACTGAACAGGAAATATTCTCTGATTTTATTTCCGGTAAACAAAATTAATGGCTCGCTTCTGATTGATTGCATTATGCAATTTGCATACTCGTAAATACATGTACCTATTATGCTTAAGTATGAAGAATGAATTGTACTTTTCAGCTTCGCATATTTAAACTAACTCCACGATGGAATACATTACATTTAACTTTCAAAATAACGGTAGAGAGCTTAAAAACACTGTGGGGGATTTGTGGACTGCTCATCACACTGGGCGCATACTTTTCTCTCGTTGGAATGACAGAGTTTGGTCAGAGTTACTTGAGTGAGTGGATGGATTGGTATAAAAGATTTATGTATATTGATATCAAATAGTATTGTATGTGAAAACTGATTTTTATGATTTTTTAAAGATAATATGCACCTGTTTGAGGGTGGTCTTTTGCCCCGGTGGAGTTTTGTCGATTTTGTGCATTCAGCTATGGTCGTATTTCGCTCATGGATCGGAGAGTCCATTCAAGTTCTGGGAGAATGCCTTGTACTTGAAGAACAAGGTTGCATCGTCTATTTTGCCACAGTTGCCCTCACCGGAGTGGTCATTTTGATGGTTCTAACCATTGGAGTAGTGTTTGTCACCGACAAAACTTTGAAGTCTAGAATTAAACGGCCCCCATCAATTCTCGCAAAAATGTTTTGTTATCCGTACGTTGTTTTAAAAACGCAAAGAGAGTCAGAAGTGATGCCGACAACAATTTATGTGGACAAGAAGAAAATTATTTCTTGCTCTCCATCGCCAGGTGGAAGTCAGGTTTTGAGAGGAGTGTCCACTTTTATCATCGCTGTATTTTCAATAGTGCTGGTAATATTTCTCATCATCATATGAAAAATATGTATGGTAAACGTGTAATATTTTATGCAAATCAATGCAGATTCTGGATGACGTTCCGTCTGAAAATGATATTGATGTCAAATCATTCAGCTACGCAATTGACGTTGTGTTTACAGTTTTTATCTTCATAATGAGTGGTTATAGTTTGGTTGTTTTGGGGATCAAGTACTGCATCACCAGCCCTGGATGGCTTTTCGATATTTTTGTGGTTTTGGTAATAATCATTATCTGATAAGAGTTAACATATGTAATTTTGCCTACATGACTCTAATATTCCATCTGAAATATTGCAGGGAATGATCGTAAATTTTTTATATGATTTAAGACCTGAGCTTAATCCCTATCCAACATTTTGCTTGTTTATCTGCATTCGACCTTTTCAACTGGTGTCAAGAATTGAAACACTCGAGGTCATATTTTAAAAATTATTATATGCAAATATCGTTAGTATATATGTCTATATGGTGAATTGCATATAGTCTTATACTTTCTGTAGGTTGTATTCAGAGGATTTTTAAATGAGCTCAGAGTTTTATGGAAGTTTGTGCTGGTTGGTGTTTTCATTTGGTTATATTTTGCAATACTTGGGACGACAATGTTTAGTGGAGCTTTCAGTAAAGTATGAAAATATTTTATTTCAAAGTTTCTAGTATGTAGCTGCGCACAAATGAAATTTTTTGATTTATCTAATAATGCTGAGCGATCGTGGTAACATTTTTTAGTGCTTGGATGATGAAAAAGGATCTTTGATCAATTCCACCGTTGTGCTTGATAGAAAACAATGCTTAGCAATGAATCATACGTGGGAAAACTCTGACCTGAACTTTGACCATTTAGGAAAAAGCTTCATCTCTTTGACTCTAATTGGCAAGAGGAATTCATGGGTCAGTATTTTGTACGACTCGACAGATTTTAACGCACCACAGGTACTACATATTTTCACTAAAAACTTAGATTCGCATTTAATTTCTATTTGTATATCCTGAATTTATATTGCAAAAAATAGATGAACTTCCGTCGTGAACATGAGTTAAACAATTTCTACTTTTTCTTGGCTTTCTTTGTCTGCGGAATATTTCTTACGGCAAACGTCATTTTTGGCGTCCTGTATAATCATTTGAATAAGGTAAGCTTCTAAACTTCCTTATTCCCAGTTTTTCGTTTTGTTCTGGCATTTACAAAATAAATATGCATAGTTTACCGGATTTTTCCTCACCAAGGATCAAATAAAAAATTCAGAGAAATTTGAATTTCGCAAGGCATTAGAATCTTGGTCATACACAAAGCCGGATGGAAATTACAGAGCAAGAGTGTACAATTTTGTTTGTAGTGGTCACTTTGATACTGGAGTTTTGTGTATCATTATCCTGGACTTGTGCTGCTACGCTTGGATGGATGCGGAGATGGAATTTTGGAGTCTGGTAATTAATTTCATACATACCAAATCATACACGCATACATATGCAAATTTTGTGAGTATCAGTAGTATAATAACTTTCTTATCTAGGATTTACCGATTGCACACCAAATCCGAATATTTATTCTGTTTATCTATGTGATGGAACTAGTATTGAAGTTGGTGGGATGGGGGAAGAGCTATTTTTACAACGGATGGAATCAATTTGACTGTCTAGTTGTGCTTTCGTCTGTTACAGGTGCGATATGCCATGTTCTCATAAATGGACAAATTAATAATTGTATTAATTAATTGTAAACTATTTTATCTCAAACTTTGCAGAAATGACACTCATAGAATTCGGTTTCTCTGGATGGGCCATCATTAATCTTTTACGAATTTTACGAGTTTTGCGTATTTTGAACTTCAAACCATTTATTTCGAGAGCAAAAACTCTTTCTCAATATTTCACAGCCTTAAAGAATTTTAGATTGGCTTTTAGAAATGTTTTAATTTTTCACTGCCTAGTAATGTATTCCTATGCATTGTTAGGAGTTAGGAAATTTGGTCACATAAAGTTTGATAAGGGAATAGATGAATATTTCAGCTTTAGAACTGTGGGATCGTCACTGAGGGCTCTCTTCATGTTCTCTTCAATGGCCGGAGTGGACAGCATTCTTCCAGCCCTGACCAGAGAAGAAAATGAGTGCACCCCTGACACAATTGTTGGTGGAGTTTTTCATCGTGGGGATTGTGGAAACACTTTCTGGGGAACAGTTTATGTGTTTTCGTACTCATTCTTTAGTTTCATTGCATTCACAAATCTGTACGTACTTTTAATTTTAGAAATTATTGAACAGCTTAAACACAACTTAAAGCAAAACATGAGGTTGGCTACAGAAAATGCAAAGAGTTCAAATGCTCATCACTAAAGTCAATGAGAACATAAATGTCAAAATGTTGAACAAATCCTGCCACGAAGCTCGAAATAAAATATATTACATGCTAATTTAATTAGAATTGTCGGAATATAAACTGCAGTGTAAATGTTTGATGGTTATATAATGCGTGTATTGCATATAATCTGATCTGAAATCTCCTGAAAGAAGTCGTCATTGGAATGGATATACACAACAAGTTTTTCATGCTGTCATGTATGTATGTATGTGCATGTGTATGATACACGTTTTATTTACCTTCCAGTCATGCTGCTAAAAATTTTCGGAAAACCTCCAGTACAGGATCGACCTGTTATTATTATCCTGTCAATACATAGTTGAATGGAATATGAATAGCTAAAAAATTATGGTGATATTCAGCCTTGTATATTTTCTACTTATCCTCAATACTTGATTTTTTTGTTCCTTTTTTTACCCCTCTAGGTTTGTGCACTTACCCATAAGTTCTGACCATCATCATGTATCTGACAAGGTTCACCTTGAAAATGTGTACATCACTTTGGGTCTAATGGTTAACTAAAAATGCATTGAAATTCATACACTATACCTAAGCAACATTTGCGTTTACATACATGCACGCTCTTCGACCCCACCACGTGCATGTCGTTCAATCGGTATAAATACATATCAACGAGAGTTTCCTCTTGCAGTTTAATAGGACTTATATTTATTCAATCTCTCCAGGTGGGTGATAAGGTATACTGCACTCTAATCACACCGGAGAGCTTACCTCGAGAAATATTTGCAGATAGTAGTTTTTGATCAGCAGAGTCAAAAGTTCTTATTTTCCTTGTCGTGCAAGTTGTTCTGCATTTATTTGTGCAGCCATGATTCTCCGAATTTTTGATTTAATATTGCTAGTGGGCTTTTTTGGTACGCTACCACTCATGGTTGTTTTCCAATCAAATCTTAACTATTATTGGGAACTTATGGCGAATCAGTTTAGAAATGACGAGTCTAGCGAGCTTTATGACTTCATTGTTGGTACGTAAATACATAATTACAAAGATAGAGCAGCATTTTGGCATTTTCATATCCATATTTGTAGTATATGTAAATCATTGATTGTTTTCATTAATTCATATCAGTCGGTTCGGGTTCCGCTGGTGCTGTGATAGCCAATAGATTATCCAAAAACAACAAAGTTTTGTTACTCGAAGCTGGAGGCGACCCGTTGTATTACAACTCGATACCCGGACTCGCCCTGGACATGCTACACAGGCCGGAAGTGGATTGGATGCATCGGACCGTTGAACAAAAGTTTTCAAGCCAAGGGCTGAAGGATAAAGTAAGTTTGTGGCCGAGAGGAAAGGTTCTTGGGGGGACTTCAAATCTGAATTACATGTTGTACGTGAGGGCAAGCCCCATCGATTACGACAAGTGGGCGAACATCACGGGAGATGCAGAGTGGAAATATGACAATTTGCTACCTTACTTTAAAAGGGTGCTAGATTACAATGGAAAATTCAAAGATAATGGTGAGGGCTCTGTGCAATAAAAATAATAAACTCTGCCAAATTGCAGAATCCAATGAATAAGCAGTAATAAAATTACTATTTATGTAGAGAAACATTACGGACAGAGTGCATATGGAAAACTGCATGTGGAATCTAGAGACTATGGACCGCTACACTCATACTTTGTGGATGCTGGGAAGGAGTTAAAAATGCATGAACTAGATTTAAATGCCCCACAAAGAACAGGTTTGATATATTGCATATTTATTATCCATAACTAATAATGGAGGATTTATTAGACGGCAATAAATCTGAAATTCGTACAGGAATCGCGCGGCTGGAAGTCACTCAAAAGAAAGGAATGCGATTTGGAACATTTTTTGCATTCCTTAAAGATATTCAAGACAGGAAAAATTTGCGAATTTCTCGATATTCGCAAGCATTAAAGGTGTGTAACGACAATCGTGATGGCATTTATATGTGCATAAGTCATAAACTACTTTGGTTTACTTTTGAAGAAATGAGCTTTTCCATGAAAGTTGATAAATGTGCAGATCAAACTGGACAAAAATAATCGAGCTGTCGGGGTATGGTATATGCTCAACGGGAAAAAGAAATTTGCTCGTGCCTCCAAAGAAGTCATTGTTAGTTGTGGAACAGTGGATTCGCCCAAACTATTAATGCTTTCCGGGATTGGGCCTAAATCGCACCTAAATTCAAAAAAGGTTTAAACTGTTTTGAAACATCTTACTCCTCGAATTGAATCAATGTTCCGATTATCGAAATTATTATTCCACGCAGATTAAACCAAGAGTGGATCTTCCAGTGGGAAAAGGCCTGTATGACCACATCGCAATGCCTATAATGCCAATTACCATTGATCAACCCGTTTCTCTTATCCCTGAGAGAGATCTGGGAATTCACACGTTCGTGGATTATTTCGCGAACGGAAAAGGTATAACTTTTCCATTATTCTTAGTTAAAATTTAAGCATATCTATATTCGATTATTGAAATATGAGCATAAGAAAATGCATGCCAAAACTACATACAAATATTTAATTATTCTAGGTCCACTTACTGTTCCCACTGGCTTCCACAGTCATTCCTTCTTTTGCTCCTCTGTTTCGGACTGCAAAAATGGGAGAGATTGGCCCGATATTCAAATGTACATGAGCTCTATAGGAATCTATGAAAATTTTCCTCGTGAGTTGATCGTATACAATGTGTGTATTTCTTATGGTCTGATCTGAAATCTCCTAACAGGCGATTTGTCTCGTGGCTTTGGCGTCGAGATCGACCAAATCACAAGTCACTTAGACCAAGCTCATGGAAAAGATGGCATAATCTTCATGCCCACCTTATTGCTTCCCAAAAGTTTGGGAGAAATTACTCTTCGTGATAACAATCCAATGACTCCACCCCTTATCGACCCACATTATTTGGAACATCCAGATGATGTTAAAGCATTGGTTGACGGTAATTTTAAAATATTATTTCTTCATACAATTATGTGCATATTTTCATCGAATTTTTATATTTAGGTTGTAAAATGGCTGTAAAATTTGTCGAAGAAACTAAATCTTTCAAGCGCTTAAACGCCAAGTTGGGTACTAAACCGTATCCACACTGTGATACCCACAAATTTAAAAGTGATGCTTATTGGGAATGTTATATAAGGAAATGGGCCTTCACTTTATACCACCCGGTAAACATTGTACATATTTGGTCAATCAATGCATTATTAATCATTGTATTAATTGCGTTACGAATCAATTACAAGGTGGGGACGTGTCGAATGGGAAAAGGTGTTCAAGACAAACAGGCTGTGGTTGATTCCAAGTTGAGGTAATTAGTTAATAAATCAGTAAATAAGCAAATAAATAAAAATTCTTACGAATGGACCCACATCTTAAAGAATCCTTCAATTGTTTTTGCTTAATTTTTCAGAGTTTTGAAAACTTATGCCCTTCGCGTGGCGGACGCTAGTATCATGCCTGTAAGACTATTCATTTGATCTAGTTTACAAAATATCTAAAGTACAAAATTTTCCTATTTTTGTTTCAGCAAATACCAAGGTACGTTTATTGCAGTATGTTACTGTATACCTTTTCGCATTTATTAATGTCATTTTGAATGTGTTTAATGATCCCAGTGGGAATACCAACGCACCTTCCATAATGGTTGGGGAGAAGGCGGCCGATATTATCAGAGAATATTGGTCGCAACAATTCCAGGTTTGTGACCAAGTTGAGGAAAGGCTGAAAGGAATCGACAAGGTGTCAAAACGATGTTATTACTCGAAACTTCCTTGAGATTTATTTCGTACAAAGTTCATGCGATAATAATAAGCACGTAGATAGATATATTTGAACTGATTATAATTTATCTGCCTATAAAACTCTGTAGAATTCTACAGCGGTTTCAGTAATGCTACAATAATAATGAGCCATGGTACATAGTTATAATCTATTTTAATAAAAGTTTAGTCCTTCGAATTAAGGTAATCTCATGTCTAAAGAAATTACAAGTCTCATTATGCAAGAGTCATCGTTTGGTAGGTTTATTTAATTGAGAATATCGGAAGTCAAATGTGATTAAAGACTAAGGATTAAATAAATTAGTTACAAAGTGATAATAAACGATAAATGTGTCTGATGGTATTTTCATTTTATTGTAAAAGTGCAAAAACATGTTATCAACCACATTCAAAATAATAAGATACACGGTTGAACTATTTTCCTTTTGTGAGATTTTGTGATGACGTATCCAACGGAGTAAATCTTTAATGATTGAGTGAGCACCACACTATAATATGCACTTTTAAAAATATTCAAGATTTACACTAAAATGCAGCCTCAGTCATCAATAGCATCGGAGACCGTGCACATTGTATTGAGTTTGTCGATACGTTTAAGAGCTGAAGAAGAATAAAGTATGATTGGAATCTTCTGCAAAGTTTTCCCGTTCGACTTTTAACGGTGTTGCAAAAAGTGTCTGAAGTGTCGAGGGTTGTTCGGACAGGCAAGAAATGCTTGCAATAGGACGTGTTGGAATTTTTGACGCAAAGACACCGCTCAAAAAGTTTTTGATAATTTTTACCAGTTTAAATTAGATTCCAGTGAACAGCTTTGAAGATGATGCGTTCTAGTTTTTTGCAAACTAGGTCATTTTTGCTCGTCTTTACAGCGTTTTGTATGACTCTTGGTGGAAAAGCAGATTCTCAACTAATAGGTAACACACGTTTATTATTACATACTAATACATATATGTCACTACTAGACATCAGATTGATGAATACGCATTACTAGATAATTTTTGTGAAAAAAATTGCAAATAATATTTATGATTGATTTCTATATTCTGAGCAGCAATAATAACGAGTTTATAAAATGATTTATTATTTCCTGTGACCATTCTTGGTCATCGATGCATAAAATTTAACACAATTTTATTACATAACGAACGATATCATAAAATCTGTACGAGGGTTGTCGATTTTTAAGTCTCAAACTATTTTTTAAGTCTTAAAAGTCGCAGATTTAAAATGGAACTTGTGAATCAATTTCATGCTCAATAAGCGCTAAATTTCTGGCAAAAGTCATGGCACATCGTATGCGTACGCATGATAGTGTGAAGATGATTTGCAAGATTCACTTTACAGGAGTAGCAGTAAATAGGGGTAACCTTACTCTAGAACAATTTTTTTTCTCATCTCATGTTCATACGATCTCAGACACTGCGACTAATTTTTCGCCTCGGTCATTTCAGCAAATTCCAACCCCTCGAATTCACCCCACCCTTCTTCGCAATTGTCGTTGAGCAAAAGCGATCCTCTTACTGGTAGCACGACATCCTCCTCTGACTTCTCATCCAACTCGCGTTTTTCGACGCTTCTGCGTAAAATAAGTCTTTACAACGACTCCCAAGTGATTACTCAACTGACTCCTCAAAGTGGGACATCTAATTTGCATAAGCTACTGCAAAAACTAAAAAGGCTCGCATCTGCAGGTGGAATCCCAGCCAATACTAATCCTCATAATGAAACGACACATGTTAGGACGAAAGTTGTGTCAGGAAAACTACTTGGAATGAATAAAATTGCGTCAAGCATTCCTGTCTTCATCACGAACAATACCAGACTTAAACGACAACTTGAAGGGATATTTCATGTCAGAGGGAAAGGCAAGACATCATCAGCTCCGACAACCACTACCACAACCAGTCGTCCAAATTCACCATATAATTTGACGACACACAAAACTTCTTTGACACATTCTTCCTCATTGTTGCCACCACTTCCCAAACGCAGAAGGATCCGCTACAACAGGCCCCCACAGAACGGAGAAGGCTTGACCAAGCGGCTAGGTCTGCCAGTCGGGATTGGTCACGGGAGCGATAACACAACAAACAACAACAATGGTGCAATTATCGAATCTATTTCTACTAATAGTAACCCAAAAAAAGAAATTGGCCAAACCAAATATCGCCACAAAAAGAAGGAAGATGACAAAATAACCAGTGTTTCTAATTTCCACTCAACAAAATCAAACACACGTAATGAGGAGGCAGAGGTAGAAGATTTGGATGATGTCCCACTCTCACCCAATGAAAAAGGGAAACGCAATTTCACCGTTGAAATTGTTGAAATCGCGAGGAAAACGGTAATTAAGGAGAACAATAAAAATTCTGGTAAAGCTTTCCGCCCTTATTTCACCACGTCTACTGCTGCACCAACTGATAAGAAATCGTCAGTTGATGATGTTCAGAGCAATACAAATTCAAATATTGGTCAAGGTAATAACAAGAGGTTATTTAACCCAAATCTAAAAATACAAATTAAACCGTTTCGACCGAGACTTGGAATTTTTTCGAAACCCAACATACAAACTGATAGTGCTGGATTGGCAAGTCAACAGCCTCAACAAAGGAAACCACTCAGTATTGCTAATCTCCCCTCTGTGAAGTACAAGTCTATTCTGAACAATAATAATAATTATGACTTGATTACAAGTTCTACAACTGCTCATCCAATCTCATCTTATCCAATCTCATCTTCTAACCCTGTATATGAAAATACGCATACGAACACTCCGCTAATAAGAGCAAGTAACAAACCGGAGGCAGTGGAAGTCCAAGTTAGCTACCAAGATCAAATCCCTTACAATGAGAGAGATATAGATGAAAATGATTTTAAAGCATTTTTAGATGGGCATGATACTTTCGGAGCAAAGGGCAGTTTCAAGCATTTCGTGTCACGAAATGTTACGGGGCACATACCAAACCAGGATAACACCAAGAAAACCGCCGAAAAGATAAGTTCTCATCGCAGGTCACGTTCAAGAGGTGCAAACAACAATGACATAGAAGTGGAGAAAGTAACAGTAAAGCAACAGCCGACACATCAAAATAATCCGAAGGCTACAGTATACACAGCCACGGGCATCCCTGTGGTCGCCACGGATGAGGAAGACAAGTCAATTTATCAGTACTCGGGAATGGCTAGAAATGAAAAGGACAAACCACATCACTTTCCAAAACTTCCAAAATCAACTTTAGACGCGTTATATCAGCAAGGTCACCCCGCCATTGCGAAGGCACCTCCAGGTCCTCTTTATAAGGGGCACCCACTTGCAGAACCCTATGGAACTGCTGCTGCGAGGGAAGAAAATGAGGATTACAATCCATTTCAAGCTAATCCACTGGTTGATGAACCGCCTTTGAAATATGATCCGGAATCGGACAGATTTTATGGAAATCCAGTTCCTGACAAGGACAAGTTAGCGCAGTCCAATCGTCCTGAACCATCTCAAGTTCAAATAGAAAATGACGATCGAGGGCCCGAGTATCAGGAAGAGGATCGGCAGCAGAGAAGACCTCAACAGCAAGAACAGCAAGAACAACGACCACCACTCCCAGATCGACAAAAAGATGATAATGATAATAATGACAATGATGATAACAAATTGTACTACGAACGAGTCTACGAACCTCCAGAGGATGACTACAATGAACGACAAATCGAAAAAGAAGCAGACAGCTTTATTAAAGATTTTGTTAGTTTGGATAATAATTTCCAACCTCTCCCACGACCTTCTGCTGATGAGGAAAATTTCAAGGGTCTAATTGCTCCTGAAGCTCAGGAGGACATTGATTACGATGAGCGTCGGTTTGAACGTGATAACAATGGAAATCGAGATAATGACCGAGATGGGGACGATGGGCAGAGTACGACTCGACGTAGCAATCGTGACAATGGGAGGGGAACGAGTTCTGATAATCCAAATAATGATGATGATGGACACGACGACGATTATTCGGATGACGAAGGCGGTTATGAAAGACCAGAGGACGAATTTGACCAATCGTACGTAGATGCGTTGAAGCAATTTGACGACGAAATAAAAAAGATTCAGGATAATGAGAGTAAGTGAAATATGCATTTAGATTATTTTTACATTAAAATCAAACACTGGGTTTGTATACAAATATTTGTCAAATTATTTTTAAACATGATTAAAGAGAACGGGATTACAACGGATGCAAATATCCCACCTCCAACCAGTACTAGTCCTCAAGCTTTAGTGATCACATCCCCAGGACCGTCCGTGTCGTACCAACAGCAGCGGAATGCACCACCTCCTCCCGATTATCAAGTGACCACACCCACGCACCATCACCAAGATGATGCTGAGGATGACACTAACAATGAGAATGAAGAACAAGAAGAACAACAACAGCATCAACGACGCCCCGCTCCCGACGGGAGGAAAGTCGACGGAGAGGATGAGGAGGAGGAAGTGAATCAACGGAATAATAATCAAAATGAGGAGACGACCCCAACATCCAGGGAAGAAGAGGAAGAAAAAGAGGGCGATGATGATGGGAGGGCAAAGGATGCCGATGAAAGTCAACATGTGAAAATTAATAAAGTTGTCGAGGTAAAGGCTGATGGGCTAAAAGAGGACAGATCAGGAAACTTGGATGAAGATATTAGTCGAATTGAGGAAGAATTTCGAAGACCACCACAACGTAGTTTTTCTACACAACATCCGAATGTGCGTTATAAATAATGCAAGCTTTTTTTAGATCAAATTTTACATATTGCATATACCTTTTATTTTACTTGCATGAACACAAAGAATCTTGAGAAATAGTTAGTATGTAAGTAGGAATGGACATTATGCACATATATTTTTCAATGTTCTGAAATATTTGTTTGTTCTTTGTATTCAAACAATAATAATTAAAATTGTGTCACTGGTCTTTTTTCAATCCACTCCTTAATACCTGGCAAACCAAGAATTTTCTTTTGATGTGCGAGAAGATTAGTGTAGTTTTGTATTTCAGTGAATTCCAAAAAGGCCGATAACCACTCCGTCATGAACCCAATATATATGTCAGCATAGGTCACATCCTTGCCAACAAGCACACCAGTTCCATTGTCCTTAAGAATGTCATCAAACTTTTTCCACGCTTTAGGGAGGACAGTCTCCTTAAGATTCTTTTTCAACTCGGCTTTTTTCGTCTCATCTTCCTCCCTAAAAAGCTTGGTCACCTCTGTTAAAATCACAAAAACGTACCAGTTATATATAAAACCAAGACTTAAACGTACTAGCACTAGCAAAGCCAAATGTCTTTACAAACATAATTATCCAAGAAACTTTACCTGTTCTTACATCAACCATAGCATCAATATATTCATTGCACTTGGCAGTTTGGAACTCGTCCGATCCAGCCATATTGAACTTGTTTCCCAAGTATCTAAATAAATACATAATTACATGTTGTCATAATGAGTACAATTACAATGTGTTTCATCCATCCAGATATTCTCATTATTATTTCATACCTGAAGATGGTCAATGATTGAGAAAGCTGTTTTCCGTCTTCTTCCAGCACTGGCATTACATTCCACGGCATTTCTATCGGTTAAAAAAGACCAAAATTATGAGTGCATGAACTCATAAAATATGTGTACGGAATATAATTTGTACTTACGAGGCTTCAAGTTTGGCCAATCTTCTCGTGCGACTCGAACATCTTCAAACGGTACATTTTTATAGTGGAAGAGAAGCCGAATTGGCTCGGCCAGAGCTTTGACATCGAAATATGTCAGTTTATACGTAGGTGCCATTTTAATTCTGGAGTGAAAAACTTTTGATGGATATGTGTGACAAGAGAGAGAGAGAGTGATCAAATGTCTGACTTGTTGCTGGGAACGCTCACATTTATATAACACCGTAAACAGAGTGTATATCAGTATGTGATGACCTTGTGAGTTACCACAAACCGATATTAGCAATTACAACGACCTTGTCACATAGGCACATCATATGAACCGGTTGAAAAACGTTGAAAGCAAATACATATACACTTTTTACGGGGATTTGCAAGTCATGATATTGTACAAGTAAGTACATACATATTGGGTACATATTATTGTGGGAGTGTATAATGAACAATTTGTATTTTACGTCATAAAGGAACTTGCTAGAACATTTTTCAGTTGTTACATGCATTATATGAGCCATTCATTCATATAATTATTGATTAGTTTTCAACGTTTTCATATCACAGTCACGCGGAATACTCTGCATACACAACTACTTAATTAACTACTTAATTAACTAGACATGACTTTTAGATACTTTGGTGAGTCATCTTTGGTATGTATTCATAAATTTTGCATTCCCCAAAAGCATTACATCGAAGCTATTGCTACGTCAAATTTAAGTTCGGAAGACAATTATTTTTTTTAATATCCTGAAGTCTTCATGACCCTTTTGATTGACTTCTTGTGCATTCTGTTCAAGTCTCAATAATTTTGTATGTGGATCTGGACCGAGCGGAGATGCGGCCGGATTTGCGGGGCGTGAGCAAGCCCCGCACGCCCATCGGATCATCCTCCCGGAATTAGACCGAGAAGTGGGCAGAGATGCTGGTGAAGGGTGGACGCGAAACCACAGACCGAGTCTGCATTGGTGCCTCTGTCGCAAAATCGCCCATTGCACTTAGTTTGCTCCATTCGTATTCCTCTCCATTGACAGGACGCCGTACGGCACAAAACACGTCTCGGGTCATGTGGGGATCATCCACAGACGGCCCTCAATAATTATCAGCTATTACTGGGAGAAATTCGGAAAATTGCAATAGATCGTCATAATAGGTGTCCATCGAAATGCTGGATCGCTTGGATGGTCCTTTCCATCGCTTGGATGGTCCTTTCCTTGGATGGTCCTTTCCATGGTAAAAAAGCGCCAGGATTTTTCTGCAATCACTTTCTTTATTTTACATACGATTCTGACTGATAAAGTTGCGCTGGATGAGAAAGGCAAAAAATGATTGTAATTTTGTACATAAAAAGTCGTATTATGCAAGCATTGCGTATCAGTCAAATTTTATATGTAACGTTGAAAATATGGACCCATGCATGAATCTCAGTGAATTTATTTTCCTAGGTCAAATTAAAATATATACATAATACATACATGAAACTTGTATAATTTGATGAGAAAGGGATGAGAAATACTCATTACAAGTCTTCTTTCTCTGAATACAAACTGTGGAAAATGAAACTGGCCTGCTGCCTGTGGGCAAATACATAGAAATCTCAGATTCGACAGAGTGCTTTCTGGACGTCGTTTTGAGAAGCCCAATATCCTGGCAAATAAAGAGCAACTGACATGAGCCATACTGAAAACCGTTTCGAAAAACGGGGCTCATGCCCATGAGGTTCGAAGCTGTTTGGCATGCTCGTGAAGAACTGATGCAATTATGCCGTCTGATATTTGCTTAATAACGTTATGCCAGCCTCTAAACACCACCGGATATCTCAATATTACACTAAATATTTTCTACAAAGGTTACTTTGGTACTGTTTAATATGTAATGAAATTGCCAACCTTCAGTCAAGAAACTAAATTCGCTGAGAATTTCATTAGGAGAAAGGAATGAAAATGTCTTCAACTTGATTTTCAAATAAATAAAATGCGTGCTCTCTGATAAAATTATTAGTTTGAAAATTATTTATTTTTCTTTCGAAATTTACAGTAAAATGCAGTATTTAAAACGATAATATAGTGTACATAGGTGTATCAGACTATCAGGTTGAAACATTATAATGAAATGACTTAATGATACTAGACTTTTTTAGCAAACACATGCAAATTCTATATTTTACGCGATTCTTTTGCACTCACTCACACACCTTAAAATTTAAAATAGTTCTGTGAATAAAGTACTTTTTACTTCATTCTATGCGTTGCGCTTAATATCTATACGTATGTTAACAATTTTTTACTGGTTTCGCTTCAGATAAAAATGTTAAAACTATTTTAGATGTGCATGCCAAAATACAAAGTCAACAATTGCACCACGATGCTCCGGCTTCAGTTTCCGAATGTTCTTGAAGTGAAAAACCAGTCCTATGGTCGGATTCCCATAATCCTGGAGTCTGGATAATTTTTTGCACTAGCTCTTCGAACGCACACATTACACCTAATAATTAAATTCAAAATAAAGCAATTAAATCGAAATTTAAAAAGATATCCGCCACACAGATAGTCCAAACAACTTGGATTTTAAATTTTTATTATACCTTCTTTAGATTTTGCACTAGCTTCAATAAATAGCATCGAATGACGCCTAGCAAATTGTAACCCCTCTTCTCTGGTCACGGTCCGGTCCTAATATACACAAGGTATTAAATGAGAATGTCCTTTTATTGTAAACTATAATTATGTAATATGTACCTTATCAATTTTGTTGCCCACAAGCATTTTAACTATGTTTGACTTCGTCGCGTACGTATTCAATTCCTGGAGCCTGTTTTGTAAAAAGTCAGGTTTTATAAGAGTAATAGTAATATGCAAATAAAAAGATAAGAATAACTTGTGCACATACCAAGGGTCCAATCTCTCAAACGATGCTCGGGAAGAAACGTCATAAACTAAAATAGCGCCCTGTGCCCCTCTGTAATATGACGGTGTTAACGTTCGGAAACGTTCTTGTCCTGCTGTGTCCCACACTAGGAACATTCGAAAACGAATAAGTAAGTTTTGTGCCTACATATCTGTACTAAAAAATAAATCTCACTGTACTAACCTGCCAACTTCACAAGATTTCCGTCGATGTCTATCGTTTTAACTTTAAAATCCACCCCGATCGTTGCGGCTTGGTTATCTGGGTCAAAAATATCGTCCGTGAAGCGCAATAACAAACTGAAAATAAATACATTTAATTTAAACACATTAAACTGATGCATCTAAACTTATGGAAGTAAAGTTTACCTGCTTTTTCCGACCCCACTTTGGCCAATTATAAGAATTTTGAGGGTGGTCAGGATATCGTCCGACATGGTTTGTAGTATTATTCTTCACCTCGGCCAATTTGCTAAATGATTTGTAGTAATTTGTACTTTTGTTAAATATCACTTTTTGTTTTGCACTACTGTGCAGTGTGGCGTAGTGTACACTTTAATCTCTAGTGTTAAATGAAATTGTTTATTGCAGCTGAAATTTTGCAAGGTTATTGTAGTGCCACTTGTTTGTGGGATACGGGATTGCGATGAAGACCGTTTTAGCAATGAATACATACGTGGTGGTAAGGTGATGGGGAGATGCAAGACGCAATTTGATATGTAGGTTCTCATGGAGTTTTCGCACAGAGATGACTCATGGTTCACAGTATGTGTAACACACAAAAGCGTTAGTATTTTGCTAGTAAGTAATTGATGACATCGTCATGCACGATGCCACGTGTGTGAAAATTTACGTGCTTAATGTACAAAGGTTCCAAGCGGGATAACTTCCAGATAGTTTTTAACTCGCACACATTTACTCTTGCGAAATGGATAGCCATTTTAATACTTACTGTTTATGGAAATTACAAAGTTCTGATTTCTGTGTACGAAGGAAGACATAGACAGACAAAGGATCACTTTGTCAAGGTAAAACGATGGGTCCAGGAGGGAGACAAACTTCGAAATCTGGTTTTTTGGGCAGACAGGGTGGTCTCTTATTCTTGTTGCAAGTTTTATACTTAATGTACTTGGCGTTGACAATTAGGGGACCGCTGTTGACTCCGAGGACAATGTTAGGATTTGCATCCACAGGAATGGTGGGTCGAGATCTTCTCTTGTCAATTGCCAAAGGAGATCGATAAAGAGATATTTGCTTCCGGGTTTTTCTTAAAATAAAATGATTATTTCTGATTTGGCATGCTCATCATTTCATAATATTAATATTATATAGTGCATCAAACCTACGTTTTCATAAAGTCGTTAAAATTTTCTCGGTAGACAGAGTTGATGTCACGATAGTGAGACGGTTGTAAGCATCTCTCTGCTCCACTTCTGATTCGAATCTTAACTCGTTCAGGATCTGGGGGTAATTCTCCAATGCAAACTTTAAAAGGGAGATTTGGCGAAATGTCGAAACCAGGAAAGTCGTCACAAACAAAGGGTACTTTAGCTGGGGCGTCACTGGGTATATTTACACAGGTTCCGCAAATTGAGTCACCCTATAGAACTTACATTTTGAGGTTTTTTTCTTTAAAGAACCCATTAATACAATTTTTAATACCTTGATTAGATCAGGTTTCATACGAGTGCCTTGGGAATTGCATGATGAGCTGAAATCTAGTTCACGTTTGGGACATGGGTTTGTCTTCACCTTTGGTGACATTGTCATCAATATTTTGATATGAATAAGCAATTGAACATAGTTTAATTATTACTGAATGCTAATTTTGAACAAACCAGTCCCACTTGTTGAGCTAGCGTCGGCAGATCTCTGATGCCCGTATAACGTCCTTCTGGTCTCAATGGGAGTGCCGTGAAATGGTCCAAACTCTCAACTTCTTTCCCGACGCCACGAAACTGCTTGGGCCCCACCCCGCAAGGATTGTCCAGTTTCGGACGACAGATACATCGGAAGCTTGGGCCCCATTTTTTACAAAAGAAGTCTCTGGTGTAGTCAATTCGAGGGTTACGCATGGGTTTTACTGGACATCCTTGCCGTCGCAATTCTGCAACTTCGGGATAATTTGGAGGAACAAATCCTGAGCCAACAAGCATTATAGAATGATTTATAAATTTAATTTGTTACAAAACAATTTTCTTGTCAGAATTTACTGTATTGGTCCAAAGCACTATTGACATTAGCTGGCACTAGGAAATTATCTAGGGAATATTTTGAAGGAGAATAATTTCATATCTCCATAACATCGAATTATTTTACTCCACCAAGCACCCCCTCTCCCCCAAAGGGCAGAAACCTTGATCGCGACAAGCATGTGTGTAACGCCGATTCGAATCAATGAGATAAAAAGGGGTGATTGGCCATGACGGCTGTTCATTTAACAAATATTTTTAATAAGCAAGTTCCTACATGCATGCATATGACAATATGTTGAATTGAGTGATTTTTTCAATATACCAATTGCCACCAATTGAGTATAATAGGAAATTATTACATAAGGAGGCGTTTAAATGGTGAATAAATTGCATTAGGACTTTCAGCTTTAGGGTCTGGCTCAATACACTCGCATTTATCACAAGGTACATCTTCAGTTTGTTTTGGAGGCTTGGTCATTGGTGCATTGCAACAGTCGGTGTCTCCACAATTCCATTTCTGATTTGGAAAGTTCGGATCATTGTCTTGCACCATGTAACTCCAAGCATTAGGTTGCGGTCCTGTAGCTGGATCGTATGGACGAAGACCACCTCTTGACTTTAATGTCATCTGCGACATCGCAGCGTCCAATTCCTCATTGCGTTTTCCCATTGGACAACATTGCGCTTGGTATTGCATGGCATTACAATTTCCTTCATCCTCATCCAAGTTATCTTCCTCCTCCTGTAAAAACGACGCATGCATACGTACTATACGTAAATATGTTCATATTCATGCACCTATGTGTAGCTTCTTGAGGATGAAAAATTGTTGAGGCAAATATGGATAATAACGTATGAATTTATATTTACCTTCTGTCGAGCCAGGTCTTCCAGCTTGCCACTTTCTGCAGCAGATCGATTTATGGCATTTATATTAATTTTTGCCGAAAATTCTGCTTGTTTCTCGAAATCTTTGTCACATGGGTCCTTCACTTTCGGCAATCCACGATCTGTGTCAAAGTACCAAATGTTCTCAAAGCCTGGCCGCTTTACTCGATCCAGTTTCGTGTCCAGTGTCACTTCCAGCTCGTTTCCAAAATACGTCATGACTGGGAAGTTTGGTTCCAAGGATAGATTGTGCCCACTGCCATTATGCTTAAGCAGCAGCGGAGTTTTCAGCTATAAGCAAGATACTTTTGTGACCATAATGGTGAAAGATATTTAAGGGTATACGAATTAAAAAATAAACATTTTCCTTACACGAATTGGCACACCCAGTTCCATCCGAAGCTTGGCGTCTTCATCCAGTGGATGTGCACACCACAAAGTCTCGGTTACCGTTAGATCAGAAAATCTGACCTTTGGTTTTGCAGAGTGCGTGGCCGCAGAATGCAGTCGAATTCCAGGAGCCGAAAACAAATACAGCGGAAAATGTTGAGTATCGAATGCTCTTATGCGAAAGACGTCTCCATACTGAATCACTTGGCCAACATGTGTAGGACAATCTGGATGCTCAATTATGAAAGAATTCCTCACAACTGGATACAACAAAGTCGATGCGGAAATTATGCTGTCGGTGTTGAGATACGGTGCATGATCAATACTCGTCGGAGGTACTGCTGCACTTAAGATGAGATGAGAAAGTTTGCAGTAGTTTCTTTTGAACGGGTAGACCTCAGAAGCCAGTTTACACGATGGACCTGGAGAAACAATCTGAATTTTGTCGCCGTAGTGAAGGTATCCATCAGCTTGTGGGGTAAGTTCCACCTGCATACATTTGTGATGTGCAGGGAGTTTAATTATAAAGTATGACATTGAAATCAATCAAATCAATGTTATAATTTACACACACCGGTTTCAGAAGTAAATCGACCATTGTCTGAGTTCGTTGAATTATTAAATCGCCGCATTCTCTTTTCCGGAGAAAATCGTTGCGTTTTAGCTGAAGATAATGAATATTTAGAATGTGGTTTGCTGAGAAATGTGGTCACTACGTCATAGCAAAACACTTACCGTGTTTCGAACAGTTTCTTCATACCAGTTACCGATATAAGTTTCTGGATTGAAAAGGTTTTTTCCAGGTTTCGTGATGTGAGGCAGATCATCATAATATGCGTTGTCCATAATGAAATCCTGCTCCGATGATTTCTGGATTAGATATAATTCCTGTAAGTGCAAAATTCAATATACTTTCATCAATTATCGCTGAATTATTCTGTAGCAAGAGACAAATATATCGTTGTCCGGTAACTACACAGAAAGACATTTCATTTTCTGCAAATTTTTGCCAGTGGCAAGTACCCACTACTAGCAACTAGTAGTAGTACATAGTTGTTTTAGGGTCATTAAATCGACTCAAAAATGTTAGCAATTTTTGTTCATATTTACACTTAAAGGGATAGTTAACTATTTCGAAAATTTAAAGGATTTTTCTCATACTAACTTGTAGGGTTGCCGCGGGTAACAGGTCGGGTACCCGTTACCCGCATACCCGCACAATTCTTGCGGGTACCCGTTATCTGCGGGTAGCGACAGCTACCCGCACGGGTAACGGGTAGTTCAGTTTTTATTTAATTTTCGAATTAGTTCACAAAGAAAGGTAGCAACAGGTTAGTTCATTTACCAACAGAAGCGTCAATTTATTATTTATCTATTTCAAAATTTCCCGTTTTCCAGCAACTAGGGTTTATAGCGTGTGTGTCTTTTCGGAATCTACAGTAGCCTACTTCAGTCTCAAATGCTTTTCAAGTCCCGAAAATGCGGAGAAATTATTGTTTCTCAAGCATACTTTGCCTGCTCTAAAACAGTAACAATTTAACTTGTGTGTGTTTATGTGTATGTATTTATGTAAGACTAACGATATTTTAATTTATACTTTAAAGGTGAAAAACTTGAATCCGATTTGAAGCAAAAATGTTATTTATAGACAATTTTGTAATTAAAACTTCATTTAAATCTAAATTTCAAAAAATCAAACTATAGATTGAACCTTTTTTCAAGCTACACCAAGATTGTCTAGCTAATATATTAACTAGTTAAAATTATGAATCGCGTGATACTTTCCGTTGAATGTCCACTTTAAAGAAAAATATTGGCGCAAAGTTCTATTCTTAAGTAAATGTTCAGCAACCTTTTCCTCCACTGGACGAAAACCATGGTGGTCCTTGAACTCTGCCCTCAATAGCTGTCTTTAAACGGGCTATTTAAGGGAAAGATAAGTGATAATTCCTGATTTTTGGCTTGATTTTTTGATATAATTTGTTAAGAAATCCCGACGTAGTTTGAAGGTTCCATTGCTAATCAAAAAGGTTGGTTTCAGAAATACTAGTGACATTCCCATAGCAAATTATGGCATGCGTTACTTGCGTAGTATTATCTCAAACTACCACGATTGCTTGACATTAAGTATCTAGGTAACGCTTGGCTCTTTTAACGGTTGCGACAAATGGTGGAGTTACAAAAAAAATATTCATTTTTAATTTCGTTGGTACTTCTCCCATAGTCCAAAGTACCAACGACTTTGACCCTTAATAACTTTTCAAAGGGCAGACATAGAGACTTAATTCTGAAAGATGAAATCATCGTAATTTTTAGATTGATTTTTTAAGCTCAAAATCTCGAGGGTATTATGTTTTATAGTAAACTTGAAATTTCCAATGTGCAGCCTTTATTTAGCCCGAGTCAGGCGTTCGGTCAAAACTATTTACTGGTGGAATGGCATATTTTTGAAAAAATCTGTGTGGATTAGGCCCTACGGTCTCACCCGTTGTCAAAATTTCAACTTCCTACGACAAATTTGGGACTTTTCTATGGCATTCAATATTTTTTTTGGTCAACCTCTAACCACTTAAAATACCCCCACCGACCTAACCGATCACGTCTATCTTCGAACTTATCCTTATTTTTGACCCGAAGACGAACTTCGCAAAATTTTAAGTCGCTAGCTTGTGTTTAAGAGAGGTATCATGCGCACAGGCAGACATCTTGACAAATCTACAACCCCATCTGAAAAGGCCTAAAAATTAGGTTTCCCATTGTAATAATATTAACCACCCATGACATTTTCAACAGCTTTTATTTTTTGGAACCTGCGCTGACTCCATTTAGCCTGAGTCAAGGATCTGTCCCGGACTAGGTTAGTCTGAGCTCGCGTCTAATTTTTTTCGAAACCGACATTACCAACCTCCGTGGAGTGGATAGTTAAATGTTTATTATATATTTTCTATTATTTGGCATTTTAACTTCATATTCTTTCATGAGAAGCTATTAAGTATTACCGTGCCGGATTTCATATTTTTAAAGCAATTTCTAGAAATCGGTATATCACCCCATAAGGTCTCTCAAGATGAAAATTTTTCCAACTTGAAATCATTTTTATCTATTAGAAGTCATTAGCTACCTCTGTACCAAATTTCAGCTTTCTACGACAATTTCGAAATTTTATCCCAACTACTCACATGACCCCCACCGGTCCACCACTTTACCGATTTCGCCCATCTTTGAACCCGCTTCCTAACTTTGTCCGATATGTGCACGGTAAGAATTTCAAGTCAATCGGTTCAGCCATTTTTACTGTGATATATGTATGTATGTCCAGTTAATAGTGAGAGAAAGTCATTCGAGAGTATTTTTATATATTTACATCCTGTGAGAAAGTCTGCTGAGAGTTATTAAGTTGGCAGTCTTTGCAGCCTCGGTGCGGGCATTTAAATTAACTTTTAGAAGATTTTTATGCATAATTAGCGAGTATTTAGTAGTAGCAAGTACTAGGAAAAATGTCGTATACCTAATTAGTAGGATAGCTTGTAAATTTACGTGCTAAGTCGTAATTAGTTAGGCTCGGGGGTTTCACCAGAGTAGTCAGGAGTTGGAAATTCGCTACGAGAGTAGTGCGTTGCGTCCAGCTCGAGGTTGCCAAGGTGAAGCAGCGGTCAGCAGCAGCAGCAGAAGGAGTCATCCAGTAGTAACGTAAGTCGTAGCAGTACAAGATTTGGCTGTCCGATCTTGGTTGTGTGTTGTTGGTTGGTTGTCCACCCTCAATACAGATAGGTAGTATATTAGAGTGGGGGTTTTCTCGTTCTTTTGGGGGCAATTATATTAAATAGGGCAAGTTTGTTTACTTTCTCAGCTGAGGCAGAATTAATAGTGGTCACGTCATTGTTCTCAGTAGCTAAAGCAGACCTAGGCAGATTTGTTGAAGTCAATAAATCGTAAATTGTCATTGGTATTTGTATGTGTATTGCGTCATTATTTAATTGGTAAATAGTTAAGTTATTTCATCACGAGCAGTAAGAACCCGGGTAACGCGTGGGATACGCAAAAGTGTCGTAATTAGGGTCGGGAAGGCATAATTCGTCACAAAGTGGCGCCTGGTATGGGGCTGCTGTGTTGTTGTGAGTCCAAATAGTTTGCAAGCTTTCAAGGTGGCAATTGTTGTGATATTTTACTAATTTTGAGTTTCGAAAGAGTGGTGGTGGTTTAGTCGTCAATTGTAGGAAGTTGAGAAACTACACGTTCTACATTGACTCATAAAAACTAATGGTAGAAGTAGAGAGGAGATAAAATATAATCATTGTTGCATTTGGCTGAGTGCTAATTAGTAATCAGGTGTTTGAGGTTTTGTTTACATCGTATTGGTCTTAATAGTTAGTATTGTTATTTGGGCAAATCAGTGTACGATGGCTAGTGGAACTAGAGGAAGAAAGCGTAAGGAGAGAAGAGAAAGGCAAGAAGAATTAGATGGTAGGGAGGCTGTGCAAGATGATGTTCATGCAGACGCACATAATACTCCAAATAATTCGAATAGGTTTGAAAGGTTAAGGCAAGAAGAAGGAGGTCGAGATGAAAATGCGAATATGACGAATAGTGAGAGTAGCATGAGTGGTCAAGTTCAAGAAGCAGTAGAAAATAGTGATCTGCATGAATTAGTCCGGAATTTAGCTAAAGAGAGTCAAGCCACAAGTAAACAGGTAGCTGGAGTTTTGGAGCAGTTGTCATCGGTGCTGGGAGGTTTGACAATTGGTCAATCTAGTTCTGCCTCAAGGAGGGAAGAAAGTTTGACTAGGGATAAAACTCTCCCTCATTTTAAAGGAAAGGATTTATCTATTCCAAAGTATGCGGGGTCTCATGAGTCAAAAACTCTATTTGATTTTTTATCAGAATTAGAGAAATATCGTTTAGCAGCAGGTCTTACAGAGTTACAAATGTTTGTTTCTATTATTCCGGTAGCTCTCTCAGGTCAAGCGTATGAGTGGTTTCAATTTATTAAGGATAGTATAACTTCATGGAATCAGTTCTGTCAGTTATTTAGGAAGGAGTTTCAACCTCCAGGATATGATGAGGAATTGCGTAGAGAATTAGAGGAGCGTACACAGGGCCCACACGAATCGTTATCGCACTACATCAGAATAATTAATGGTTTTTACGAGAGAATTGATCCTCGTACCCCAGAATCAATTAGGATTTCGCGTATTCTGCGGCAAATGCATCCGAGCTATCGTCAAAAAATTTTAAGAACAGGTGTCGAGTTTGTTAGTATGAGGCAATTAGCAGACGAGGTATTAAAAGTGCAGGAAGACATTTGGTATGAGAAAGAGTATCGTGAGCCTAAACAGTTCTCTGTAGTTGAGCCCTCTTTAGCATATAAAGTGCCTGATTCGCAGAAACAAAAGTTTGGTCAATTTAGTAGTAATTCAGGTAGTGGTAGTGATTTGCACCGTAGTTCTTTCGACCCATTTCGCCACTTCCATTCGGTGCAACCACCTTCACAAAATTCAAGGTTTCAAAATAATAACAATTCACTAGGATTAGTTAGAAACAGTCAAAGTTTTGAGCAACGTAGGAGTAGCGATCGAGCTCAAGAACAAGCTTCTCGTACAATGAGTAATGGGTTTAGAAATGTGAGTTGGGCAAATCCTGTGAGCATCGATTCTAATGCAAATTCTATGCAAGCTTCCCGTAGACATTCTGAATCGGAAAGCGGTCCTCGAATTGATTCGTCTTTCTTATCTAGTCAATATAAGGCACATAGTTTAGAGGAAGTCAGTACAAGTTCACAACGCAATACTGCTTGTTTTATTTGTGGGGTTGAGGGACATTTTTCAAGGAGCTGCCCAAATCGGCAAACTCAAAGTTCGGGAAACGGGCCCAACCTGAGCCGAATGTAGGTTGCGCGGCTCAGGTTAATAGTGATTTTAGAGAATGCAGCCAATTACATAGTAGAGAGTCTGTTATGTTATGGGATCATAAGGCTCCACTAATTAAAGTTTCAATTTGTGGTCGTAATTTTTTGGCGTTGTTGGACACTGGAGCATCAATTTCTTTGATTAATCAGGAAGTTATTAGTTTAGTAAATGAATTAAATATTAAGAAAGAGAAATGTTTTACAAATATCAGTTGGGTGAGTGGAAATTCAGTAACTTCCGAGTATGTGAATGTAACGACAACATGGGTTTCGGGGAAGAGGAGGCAAAAGTTTCATTTAGTTCCTGAGTTACAATATTCAGTTCTGTTGGGACGTGATTTTATTTGTGCTAGTCAATTAGTTATCGACATATTTTCTGGTGGCTGGTATCAGGGGTCAGAGAAGCAGAAATTGGTGCCTTTTGATGTATTGGGAGAAAAGAGAGAAAGTGGAGATGCGAAAAGATCTCGTTCTGTTTTACAAAGTATGGCTTTACATGATTCGTCGGTTGGTAGTTCCGAGACCGGAGGGGGAGCACCGCCACCTACTAGTGACTTCATTTTTGGAAAGGGCTTACACACTGATGGTAGCGCTACTGTAGGCAAACGGTCAGACGTCGAGCCCCTTTGTAATGCGTTAGCCCCTAGATCGCAAGGCCAAATGAAATTGATGGAAGAGTTGAAACAATTTGAAGAGGTTCATTTGATTTTTGAAGACTCGTCGGTCGAGTTGTATCCCAGTCGAAATGAGACTGAAACTAGCACCTCCCCTCTCGATCTTGACGAAGTTCTTTCAAAAACTGGCCTAACAGACGAGCAAACACTTGGGGTTAAGAAAGTAATGGAAGAATTTGCTCCATTATTTAGTACATCTCCTGGGGTCGCGAGTAATTTTGAGCACGAAATCGACACGGGGAATTCTAAGCCAATTAAGTGTAATCCGAGACCCATGACGCCAGCCAAAAGGAAAATTTTAGAAGGTTTATTTAAAGAATTACTATCCAAAAATGCAATTGAAGAGTCAAATAGTCCTTGGGCATCAAATACAGTTATTGTCCCAAAACCGAACGGTAAATTTCGTCTTTGTGTAGACTTTCGCCCCCTTAACAAAGTAACAGTACCAGATTCTTACACAATGAGCAGGATTGACGACATTCTCACTTGCTTAGGTAGTGCTAAATATATTTCAACTTTTGATGTTACCGACGGATTTTACAATATTCCACTTTCCCAAAAAGATAAATGTAAAACAGCGTTCAATACTCCCTGGGGTTTGTATCACTTTTTAAAAATGTGCTTTGGGCTCCGAAATAGTCCAGCAACGTTTCAAAAATGCATGGATCGCGTATTAGGTAAATTTAAATGGATATTTGTTACTGCTTTTATGGATGATTTAATTATCTTTTCAAATACGTTAGAGGAACACATTAAACATTTGAGAATAGTTTTTACTAGGTTATTAGAAGAAGGGTTACGCTTACACCCAGGAAAATTTCAATTACTACGAAGTAAAATAGTTTATTTAGGTTATATTATTGAGAATGGGACAGTTTCTCCCAGTCCCGATAAGTTGAGTGCACTAGAAGGATATCAGAGGCCAAAATGTGTAAAAGATATTCAAAGATTTTTAGGTTTATGTGGGTATTATAGGCAGTTTATTCCCGATTTTTCAATTATTGCCAAACCCCTCACGAGCATGATGAAAAAGGGCGCTCCTTTCTTTTGGTCAGTAGATGCAGAAAAATCTTTCGAAATATTGCGTTGTGAACTATTAAAATCGTGTAATTTACATTTACCTGATTTGAATAACCCTTTCATAATACAAACGGATAGTTCAGATATTGGGATAGGTGCCGTTCTCCTCCAAGAGCAAGATAAAGTACGTTATCCAGTTTGGTTTTATAGTAGAGTTTTGAATGATGCTGAGAGGAATTATTCAGTTAGTGAGAAGGAGTGTTTAGCAGTTATTCAGTCAATTAAAAAATTTAAAGGTTTTATCGAGTATTCGCATTTTACAGTAGAAACTGATCATCAGGCGTTATGTTGGTTGATGAAGATTAAGGAACCCACGGGTAGATTAGCTAGGTGGGCTTTAGAATTGCAAGGGTATAATTTTGACGTCGCATATAGGGCCGGAAATTTGAATCGCACGGCTGATGCTTTGTCTCGAGCCGCAGCAGTTTATGTAGTTGAGTCACTTCACATTAGTAGAGAGGAGTTAGTTTCGGCACAGGATGGTGATTTCATGTTAAAATCTATTAAGGATTTTTTGTTATTGTCTATTCTTCCAAATGTGGCGGTAGAGCAGAAGGATAAAATTTTGAAATTAGCTAGAGATGCGTTTGTCTCCTCTGATGGTTGTCTGTATAAACGAGTAAATCCAATATCCAAACCATGGGAAGACGACATTAATGATTATAAAGTATGGGTGCCAGACAGTTTAAAGTTAAAGATTTTAGAATATTTTCATTGTTGTCTGTTAGCGGGTCATTTAGCCATTAGGAAAACTTATTTTCGCATAGAGGAGAGATTTTGGTGGAAGTCAATGAGAAAAGATGTGGTCAAATTTGTGTCGAGTTGTTTGACATGTCAAAAAGTAAAGCCTGATCGAACCGGAAGTAGTTTTTTAGGAAAAGCTGGAGAGATTTGTGGGCCCTGGGAACGAATTTCAATTGATTTAATGGGTCCGTATACTCGGGGTATTAACCAGTCAAAATTCCTTTTAGTTGTTGTCGATTCATTTTCTAAATGGGTCGAGTTGTCTTGCATACGTAAATCGGATGCTAAAACCATTTGCACGAAATTGTGGGAATGTTTTTGTAGGTGGGGAGTGCCCAAATCAATTTTGTCTGATAATGGTACTCAATTTCAAAGTAAAATTTTTGAGGATTTTTGTAAAACAGTGGGATCTAAATCGATGCGAATATCCCCATATCATGCTCAAGCTAATCCCACTGAACGGTATAATCAAACATTAAAATCTATGATCGTTTCCACTATTTCTCAGTGCAAGGACTGGGACCGTAATTTAGCCGAGTTAAGCTTTGCAATTCGTTCCACGGTCAATGAATCGACAGGGTTCTCACCAGCATATTTAAATTTTGGTCGTGAGTTGAGAACCCCTCTAGATAATAATTTAAGTATCGCATTGTCAAAGTGTGTAGTGGGAGAGGACTTTGCAAGGAGAATTGCATTGATTCATAGTTTAGCTAAATCTAATATGGTCTTGAATCAAGCAAATTATATGGGATGGTATAACAAAGCTAGGGCAGATTCGTCATTTGATGTGGGTGATCAGGTTTTACTAAAATGTCATCATTTGTCTGACGCATCGAAAGGGTTCACTGCTGCACTTGCTCCAAAATATGATGGTCCATTTGAAATTATTGAGAAAATAGGACTGTCAACATTTGTTTTAAAAAATAATGATAATGGGGAGATGAGAGGTAAATTTAATAGTAGTTTATTAAAAAAATTTATTGCAGATGAGTCTTTCGAAGATACCGTGCGAGGATCTCCCCGACGCCAAGACGTACCGGTCTCTACTGCGTATGTTCCAGGGGCAGCGGAACAAACCAGGTTTTCAGCGTCACCCGAAATTGGACCTGGTAGCGAAAGTTTGGAAGGAAGCCGGGTGTCCAAATTTAGAACCACCACCACCGCTGCCACTGCAGAAAACAAAGACTTTCGAGGAGCGTTGGGTCGAGTTGAACCAGGAGGCCGAGACATTGGAGCGAAAAAGGATCCAATTATGGACAGAACAGGAAAAATACCGGGCAGTATTTCCTCCGCCACTTCCGCCGCCACCCCCACCACCACTTCACCTCCACCCCGCAATGAAAAAGATGACGATTCCAGTTCCCCCATCTCCCACCCATCCAGATCAACCGAACCTCAATTACCAGCGTGGTATTGCAGAACGTTGGGCTCGAGACATCCAGCAAAAGCAACGTGACTCCGCAAAGCGAAAAGCGCAGTTGGAGAGAGAATCTGCTGCGAAAATCACAAAGTTTTCTTCAAGTTTCTCAAAATAATTTTGCAATCATCATATTCGAATTATTTGTTATTGTATCGATTCAATATATCAATGTATTCTATTCAGCTCAATGTTAACAATATGTGAATGTCATAATATGCGGTGCTTTGGGGGAGGGGGAGTGTGATATATGTATGTATGTCCAGTTAATAGTGAGAGAAAGTCATTCGAGAGTATTTTTATATATTTACATCCTGTGAGAAAGTCTGCTGAGAGTTATTAAGTTGGCAGTCTTTGCAGCCTCGGTGCGGGCATTTAAATTAACTTTTAGAAGATTTTTATGCATAATTAGCGAGTATTTAGTAGTAGCAAGTACTAGGAAAAATGTCGTATACCTAATTAGTAGGATAGCTTGTAAATTTACGTGCTAAGTCGTAATTAGTTAGGCTCGGGGGTTTCACCAGAGTAGTCAGGAGTTGGAAATTCGCTACGAGAGTAGTGCGTTGCGTCCAGCTCGAGGTTGCCAAGGTGAAGCAGCGGTCAGCAGCAGCAGCAGAAGGAGTCATCCAGTAGTAACGTAAGTCGTAGCAGTACAAGATTTGGCTGTCCGATCTTGGTTGTGTGTTGTTGGTTGGTTGTCCACCCTCAATACAGATAGGTAGTATATTAGAGTGGGGGTTTTCTCGTTCTTTTGGGGGCAATTATATTAAATAGGGCAAGTTTGTTTACTTTCTCAGCTGAGGCAGAATTAATAGTGGTCACGTCATTGTTCTCAGTAGCTAAAGCAGACCTAGGCAGATTTGTTGAAGTCAATAAATCGTAAATTGTCATTGGTATTTGTATGTGTATTGCGTCATTATTTAATTGGTAAATAGTTAAGTTATTTCATCACGAGCAGTAAGAACCCGGGTAACGCGTGGGATACGCAAAAGTGTCGTAATTAGGGTCGGGAAGGCATAATTCGTCACATTACTAACGTGTTTACGGACGGACGGACGGACATGACGGTTCCATAAGCCCTGCCTCGGGCTAATAAAAATGAAAATTTATTTTATAACTCGGCCATTTGTCGTAACCTTATAGACGGATAAAGTGTCAAATAATCTTGTCAAACTACATATCAACGCAAGTGAGCAAATAATTAATTAAATCGAATTTATTCTGAAGGTTGGTTAGCTTTTAACTTAATTCTCATAGCGGGTAGCGGGTACCCGTGCGGGTACGGGTACTTGTGCTGCGGGTAGCGGGTCGGGTAACGGGCAGCATTTTCGCTACCCGCGGCAACCCTACTAACTTGTGTGCATATTTTCAACATAGTAGTTAAATAGATAGATATATTGATTCATGCTATAATAAATTTGTCAATAAACCCTCAAAATGGTGTGATAATGCTGATAGATAAGGATAAGAACCCCCAGCGCAGACTTGGTTTAGCCCGAGTCAGGGACAGATTCCGCTTCTGAATGTGTGTCACAGGTGATGATCAGGGAATAAATCTTGCTCGCACCGGCCCATAAGCGGTGCGAGCAAGCTATGGTGAGCCTATGGGCTGGTGCGAGCAAGATTTATTCCCTGGTGATGATGTGACGTGACCAATTAAATACTATCATCTTCCGTGGTCTGCATGGTCGAATGTTAGTCGAATATCTTCTATTGTTTGACATCAAAATTCTGAAGTATTCATAAATTCTAGCCCTAGACTACCAGAACCAGTGGGGTTTGCTTCAAATTTTTAAATTCCGAAGCTGTACTTCCTACACATATGTACATAATTGACCCATTTTGCCCACTTTCGAACTCGGCTTCTACTTTGACCCATACTACATGTGTGCAGAATTTCAAATCGATCCGATTAGTTTAAAGAGAGTTATCAGGAAGACGGACATAACAGTTACATAAGCCCAGGTCCGGCAAAAAATGATGTCATTGGAGTTTGCAGCATGGATAAGCTGTGTGGTTTACCTGTAAGTACATAACATAGCATGTACATAAGTCACTACACTTACATTCGGAATAATATAGAGAAAAAAATTTGGTACTTTGTCGGTCATGAATAATTGTTTCCTGAATACTTAGTGATATCGGAAATGGAGTTTTATTGTTTTGTATCCTCGTTGTACGTCTATTAATTACCAGTTTAACTAACCATCAGGTCGATTTTAGTTTGGGCCATTGAAATGTTGTGACACAAATGTTCTCCGAAATGCGTCAGTTCGCAATTTAATCTTTGCTACTCATCTTTTCAAATAAAGTTATAAATAGTGGCAGAAACGCTCCATAACTCGGAAATAACATCAATTTTTTAGACAAAATGGGAAAAAGTAACATGATTTTGGTGACCTTAATACTTATATTATTAATATTCTGGTGTTTAAATATAAGCATAAGTGTACTGAATGTCGCAGTAGAAAACTGTAAGTTCTCCTATTAATACTAAATACTTACATTCTTTTACATAAAGTTAATTGCGGAGTTAATAAATATACATGTACATACATTGTTGCGGTTTCAGTTATGTTCAAGAACAAGGCTCAAGATGTACTGGACAAACACATTACTCAGATAACGCCAGAAGGATATACATTCATGATATGGATTCTAATATTTGGGTGGCTACTTGGAGGATACATATTCCGTATGATATACATAAATCTGATTTATCTATTTACTACTAGTTAATTACTAGTCGCTGTAAGCACAAAGCCGAAATATGAAAAAAATGTGTTTTATCAACAATTCACAGTGATAATTTGCATGCTCAAGAGCAACAAAGATGGGTCGGGAAAAGTTCTTTATTCGCCAGAAGTTTTCACTTCAGCAGTGGCTGGAATTCTCATTCTCAATTGTGCTTTGCACGTCTCCTGGCTCTTCATTTGGGACAATGACTACTTAACCGTGGCGTCTGCCACTCTTTTCTGTATCATGGGAACAAACTGGGTGGCCTTGGGACTATTTTCGGCCAAGTATGACATATTTAAAGTATTAAAAGTGTAACATGTGAACAAACAGTATGGTGAAAGACTTATCTATGCATGCGTAAAATATTTTTTTTATATTAATTTATTTAAATTACAGTTTGTATGAAAATACCCAAGCTTTGCAAAAAAGCTCCCTCACGGTTCTAAACTGTTATAGAATTCTTCTTCAAAACTCTCTTGGATTATATACGGCTTGGACCACAATCGCAGCTCTGCTCAATTTGTCAGTTGCATTAGTTTATGCAGATGTTGCCGATGCGACCGCGTCTTTGATTTCACTTGGCATTCTCAGCGGTTTGCTGGTCGTTTGGATACCCCTGGACTTCTTCATACTGGACAAATACACGCGATATATGATTACACCGCTATTTACTGTGATTTGGGCACTTTCTTGCATCTTTATTCGTTTGGAAAAATTAGAAAATTACGAAGATAACACTCCAAAACACTTTACGATTGGATTTTTAGGAATGATTGTAACGCTTGGAGTTGCACGAATTTTTCTCACTGTGTTCAGGGCTATTAAATCTCCTCTTAAATGAGGCTTGTACTTATCACAAGTTCAATCAATCACCGCTCTCCAGTATTTTTAAAGATATTATTTATTTAGTACATCCTTACATAAGTAACAATAGTGAAAACCCCCTTTCAACGAGTAAAGTTTTTTTTTTAAATTGCGTATAAATATCACATTTATTCAATTATTGTTTTTATATATAAATCTAAACACAAGTCTTGCTGAGTATCTCAATTGTACTTTAATTAAAGAGTGATTGGATGTGTGACGTAGGTACGATACCGGATTTGACAAGTAAAAGCAAGTTGTTAAAGATGACTGTTAATCCACTTTGATGTTATTTTCTGTGTCCCCATCCTTGCTTTGATGAGCTCTTTTGTTATAAGCCTGTAGTTAATGAACTCATATTTATACTTGTCTTTACCAATACAAATTAATTAAGCTCACGTTTTCGGCCATATTCTTCAGAAATGCTAAACTAGATCTTCCAGTATGTTGAGCCATGCTAAACAATATACTTTCCTTATTTCCCAGAAGAACAAATGGATGATCACATTCCTAAAACCATCAAATTGACTGTTTTAATTAAGCTTTTTCGTCACCCATAATTTTTTCATTTTTTTGTGCAGTCACAAACCATAATGCTTCCATTATCAAGCACAATAATTTTGTCACAGTCCATCACACTATTTAACCTATGAAATTAATTTACCTCATTATTTCATTAAAACGCTGGGTCTAACTGTGAGATTGTACTTAAATTATGGAATAGTAAATTGCAAACCATTTTACCTGTGAGCAATTGTGATTATCGTACAATCAGCAAATTTTTTGCGTATGGTTTGTTGTATAAATGTGTCCGTACTAGATTAAAACAAATGACATTACAAATTATTAACTAAATTGAGAGCATATGGTAATTGGTGTTGGAAATTACTTGTAATCTACGTTCGCGGTAGCTTCATCAAGTACAATCTAAGTAATTATAAAGCCTCAAATTATTCTGAAATGTTTTGATAATTTGTAAATTGGTACTTACTATTTTATTTTTCCGCAAAATTGCCCTCGCCAAGCATACCTGTTTTACATTGCAACAGGTAATTTGTATGTTTGTATTAATTTGTATGCATTTGTATATTTTGTTGCATACAAGTTGACGCTGGCCGACGCTGAAGTTAATTCCGTTGTCAGCTACTTTCATGTCTAAGGCAGTCACATATTCCTTTAAACCGACCTGAAAAATTGTTATTTTTTACATTACACTTTTCGGCGTGTTAAAATCTATGTTAAATCTGTTAAGTCACACTTCTTCCAAAACTTGCCACAAGTCTTGGTCTTGGAACTGTTCAAACGGGTCCAGATTATATCTGACTGTAGAACAGAAGAGCACTGGATCTTGTGGAATGATGGAGATTCTCTTTCTCAAGTCATGTAGTCCAATTTCTCCAACGTTGACGCCGTCTATGAAAATTTCCCCCACAGGTTCTGTCATCCGGAACAAGGCAGCAATTATTGAGCTTTTGCCTGCTCCCGTCCTTATTCGTATTGTAAAATTAGCATGTTGAACATCAAAATTAATTTAACTCAATTAAATTCATTTAGCTCAACTGCTTACCTCCCAACAATACCAACTTTCTCTTTGGCTTGAATCTTGAATGAAATTCCCCGCAAAACTTCTTTTCCATAATAGGATAGTGAAATATTGTTAAAAATTATTTCTCCAGATTTTGGCCAATTAGATTGTGGTTGGTTTTCTGCGAACAGTAATATTTAAAATCCAGTTAATTAATTGTATAGTGGTTTTGCTTGCATACTTGGATGACTTTCAAGGGAAGGTTCGTGTTTCAGTTGAATATACTCTAGACATCTCTGCGTCACGGTCATGAGATTTTCTAGCTCAGCCGACTTAAAAACAATTTAGTCAGTTTATTCAGTTTATTCATCTACGTATAATAACCATACTAAAATTATATTTACCTGTCGCATCCCCCACTGGAACTATTTAAAATTTTAATTTAAAAATTAAGTTAAATATAAACCTATTAGTATTTAAGTAATGTATTTAATACTTTGAATGTGACGCTGAGCACGGAAGAAATAGCGAGCCCAACAAATCCACTCTTTGTAGCTGAAAAAATAAAAACCAATTAATCTCTGTAGAATTTATTTGCAGAATGAATGAATAATGTATTTAATGCTTAAAATATGTTAATCTTACAGCTCGAGAATAGCATGAAGCTAAATGTGACAAACGTCAGAAAAGCACAAGACATCAGCTCCAACCAAACACCAAAAAATCTGTTGGATGAAATGAATAGAAACCAGGCAGCAGAGTGAATGTCCTGCATAATCATTTAAAATTAGTTGTAAAATAATGCACTTGAATACTTTAATGCGAATGTATTTACTTGAAGCCCGTCAAATTGTTGTGTCAGTATGGGTTGGGCATTAAGTGCCCTGATTGAAGTTAGGCCTTGTATTGTGGCTGTCAAGTGAGTGAACAAAGGGCTTCTAGCTACACACATTTACACAAAAAGAATTTTAAATCTATTAATATCATACAAATTGAATTAATATTTCATATTTTAATCCATTTTGGATTATGCTTAGCTCACATATAATTTCCAATCTCTTGACTTGACGAGCAGTTTGAATGTAAAATCGACGAATGAGCATCAACGAGATTAAGAGGAAGGTGCTTGGAATGAAGATATAGTAATTTGACAAAATTACAACAATGATAACTCCCAACATTATCAAGAATATAGTGATAACATCGTAACAAGCAGCTGGGAGAGATTCATCAAGCACTGACATCAGTACAAAGCGATTCATTATACGCCCTAAAAAATAATACGTTATTAATATTTTTTCCAAATATTTTTACATATTTATACTACATAAATACCGGAAGGGTTATCGTCGAAGAATTGCATAGGTGCTCTTACAACGCTAGCAAACATCCTGTCATGAATATTGCTACTAATCTTCATGCAATATTTGAAAAAGTAGGCACTGTTGATATTTGTGTGTAAGGCAATTAGCAGAACAAGGCCACTGTAAACAGCGATGTAGACATGTTGACCAAGATAGGTCGTGGTCCATCGCTGACTGGCATCTAAGGCTTCATCTAATCCTACTGATACTTCGGAAATACGTTCTGACGAGTTGGACGAGTTCTCGAGACCAGAAAAATTGAGCTTTGTTGAAATTGACCAAGCTTCTTCTTCATTCGTCCTACGAATATACAGAGATTTTTAAAACTCTACTTGATCCATTTACACAGACCTCTTGACCTCAGTACTTGTAATTATTTAGCAACTTATTTAATTACCAGTGCGATAGCCAATAATCAGAAGCGGTGTATAACAACTGCGAAACTAGAAATCCCGTGAATACCAGTATCATTCCAGCGATGGAATTACCAGATCGGAAATACTGCCAATAAGTTTTCAGCGAAACGCATCCAACCGTCATTTTTTCTTCTTGTGAATCTCGAACCTCTTCTTCCTTTTTTAGCTCTTGTTCGATCTGTGCACACGTGGTTTACTTAGAACAGGCCAACATACATAGTCATACATACGCAATAATAGCAAAATAATAATAGATATTTTTATTTACAGCCTCCAATTTTGTTAAGCTTGCTTTCCGATATAGATCCGGCTCTACTTCACTTGTAATTAATTTCAGAAAATCAATCCCTTCTTCAACCAACTCTTGGTATGTTCCTTGAGCAATTACATGGCCCTATGTAGAAAACGTGATTCTTAATATTTGTCCGATTTAAGTAATATACAAATGCACAATTTTAGTGCAAGCAAACCTTGTTCATGACGATTATGTGATCCGCTTTTGGCATATATTGTAACTGATGTGTCACAAGAATCCTCAAATTTCCGGCCAAGTACTGCTTGATGCATTTATCAAAAATATGTCGACTAACCTTCGAATCTACTGAACTTAGTGGGTCATCGAGCAGATAAATTGAGGACTGTCTATACAATGCTCTAGCCAAGTTTACGCTGTGTAATTTAAAATACAAAAATTGAGACAAGAAAATGCAAGGAAAGGCATAGGCATAAATAAATACCGTGCTTTCTGTCCTCCGCTCAACGTAATACCTCTTTCCCCTACGTATGTATTTTCACCTGAAAGATTAAAGTTGACTTGAAGTACAAATTACTTTAGTAGACCAATGACACAAACCTAATGGGAATTGGCGGAAATCACTGTCCAACGAACAGACAGAGATTATGTCCTCGTACAAATTTTCATTGTAATCCTTTCCAAACAAAATATTTTGACGAAGTGTCCCAGAAAATATGTACGGATCTTGACCAGAGTACGTAATTTTGCCTTTAATATAGCATTTTCCAGATGAAATTGGCAATTCACCGAGTAAAGCTTGGAGAAACGATGACTATGAAACGATTAATCAAAACTAAATTTAGCATTTAAAATACAAAATGTTGATAAAATTACTTAATTACTTTTCCACAGCCAACAGGACCAACTATCATTACAAGTTTGTCTCCAGTAAAATTAACATTTAATTTATCCAAGTTATTTTTATCGCCGGTCCAACTGCAATGAAAAAAATTCATAAAATACATTTTCTGATCCTCCAAAAATGGTCATAGTATATAATTGAAAGTGAACCTAGCAGTCAAATTATGCATCTTGATGGAAGGGACAACTTCGCTTTCTCCATTTTCTTGTCTAATGTCTAATTTAGCATTATTCACAGTCTTCTCTTCCAATAACAGGAAAGATTCAATTCTCTTAACTGCAACTACTAACTCTCCGCAGCCTGCAGCAGCAGATGGCAATGTGGACACCATATTCGCGATTATTATGTCAAAAATTGTCACAGCAAAAAACACTTTATCCGCCGTGAGTGTATGACCTACTGATACGTAGGTTAAAAAGGCCAAGTACGGAATAAACTTTTTGGAAGACAAAAACAGAGAGAGATAGAAGGATTTTAGATAAGCTCGTTTTTGAATGACTTTCACTTCTTCTCTGTAATAGGAAAAAATGCATATTTTTAAAAATTTTTCATACACATTGTGGGCAGATTTATACATATTAATCGACTGATCGTGTTCTCACTTCCTCACTTGGTTGATGAGAGAGGAGAAAGGCAGCTCCCACGCGTACCTTTATAAAAACAACAAATTATTAAGACTCATTTATTTAGCAAACTTTATCATATCAAAAGTCTCACATCTTAATAACTCGAATTGCCACAATGATTTCGTTCATTAGTCTGTTTCTTTCGTCCGATTTTTGAGCAATTTTAAATCTTAAATTTCGTGAAAGCATCCCAATGTAATCTGTGCGTGAGAAATCAACGGTTTGAAAATTACAATAAAATTTGCTCTCTTATACATGCAACTATAAAATTCAGTACATTGAATTGGCATGAGAAGAAAGACAAATCCAACGCCACTGAGACATGAAATTCCGAGCTCCTCCCAGAGAAAGTAAGTAAATATCACCTGCGAGGTAGTGGAGGTTTGTAAATTTTGAGTACTTTTAGAATTAAATGACGTAATCACCGTTTGTATTGGACCAATGATAAGATATGGAATAAATAAGAGATTCATATCAAACTTAGCCACGTCATTGGATATAAGATTAATGAGATTTCCTATTGTGGTGTCTTCTTGAGCAGCTCTACTCAATAGGATGGTCTGTGAATGAGTCCAGAAATCAATTATTTATTTAGGAACTCATTTTCATTATCATTTTAGAAACGGACACCTTTCTGTAAATGAGGGAGCAGGCTGAGATCCTGTATTTCATTCCAATGTGCAGAATTTCAAACGATAAAGGGTGAATTATCACAGCATGAAGAAGCGACGTAAGGCAAACGCCAAGGCCATAAAAGTATTGTTCAGATTCTGACACGGATTGATCACTAAACGAACGAATGAGATACTTCACATTATTCTAAATTTAGTAATGGCTCAGAAATTCTTGATTATTGTGAATACCAAACCTAAATGAGCGGATGAGATGACGAAGGAATATTGGTTGAGCAACTCTTGAGAATGTGATGGAAAAACGAAAATAAAATTGTCATCTGAATTAAATTTGTTCATTTATGGATTTAAATACATACATATTAATGGTACACCGCTATTACCTGATAACACATTCATCAAATAGCACAGCTAATCCAAGTAACAGGTACAATTTACCAAATACTGCCACCAAAGCTTTAAAAAACGAGGGCTGTACTGCTTTCTTTCCAGCACACTTTCTTTCCTTTTCCCACTCACTAAACAGAAAAAATAGAATATATTGATTACTTTTATATGGAGTAATTGCATGTTTTTTGCAGAAATCTATTTTTAATGTTTATGATGTTTTAATGTTTATGATGTCGTATGTACAATATAGCAAACAAGTTACTTGCCAGTTACATACTTACTTTCTCCACGTTAAAACTTTGATAACCTTGCAAAACTTGCAATTTATGTGTCCATAAAATGCATGAGAATAATAATAATATGAATGTCGGTGGATTTTTGCATTTGGGTTCGTTCTCCTGCACTGCATTTTCTTATTGCATGAACTCTCTTTACATGTACGTAGCAGTGAAAAGTGCAAAAGGCTTTCAACTCACTTGCCAAGTCGAACTCCCAACTTGTGGGAAATATCTTCCTCTGGGACATCGTACATGTCATCTAAAATTAAGGACTCATTTTTAAGCCCTTTCCTAAAGAGCGGAACTATCCATAAGAAAAGCAGGCGTGAAAGCAATGATGCTTTCTCCCGTGGGTTTGGGGTAGAATGCTTCTCTTTGAAGTCCATGACACTATTTGAGCCAGTCACTACAAAGTAAACCAAGTGTTTTATTTGGGATACGCTGACTTTACATTCAGTCGGATCACTAATTTAAAACTTTTATGCACAACATTGTGCACCGAGTTATTACTGAAAAATGCAACTTTGTTTAATTTTAAAAAAACTACGAATATGCGTGTATATATAAAACACAATGCAGTATAACGATTGTCACTCCACGATCTTTAAACAACTGAGAGATTGCGGCCAAGTGCCAAACACTCTAAAGCGAACATCTCTAAAGTTGGTTGGGAGCGAGTGATTGCAGATTTTGTGGTGTGACCCTGGCTCAAGATTCGGGGCCGACTTTTTTATTCGTTGATTCAGAAACACGAGACGGGAGGTTGTTCGGGGTTTTCGTACTGCATATATTTGACACGTTACTGCTCTATAACCAACACTCACAAGCAGGATAAACACTTATGCACAAAGTTGAAACGGAAAAAGTTTTCAAATATCGAACCTGGTTTGCATAAATTTTTACAATAATTTCAACTTATGCACAGAGCAAGTACAGTACTGCGATTCTCATAAGTTCGTGAACAAAGAGCGCAAGAACTGACTATCTGCATGAGACATGCTGGACAATCTAATTTCAGTGTAGCAAATAATATCTTTCTGTGAAACGGAGTGCTGATTAATGAATAATATGATTGAATTGAGTGAATTCTGAGTAATCTCGACGTTTCAAGTCTGCATACATATCTCAACATGAAAACTCAAGATCAGAGTTTCAGAGTTTATTCAGAGTTTAACTAACTTTATTGTCGTCATTATCTAGCAAATAAAAGTTATTCTTGAGGTGTGTATGTGTATGAATCGATTTGCATATCTAAACATTTTTGGTACTACAAATAAAATTGATACGGAAAGTAAGCTTACATAATGTCATCCCTACCGGTGGGTCGCAAATTACTTCCGCATTGGTAGCAGTATAAATAAGTAGAAACAAGTTCCCAGAGCAGTAGAAATTATTTACTACTCTCCGATGATTAGTAAATTATTACCAACCGTAATAATGGGTGCATAACATAATATGCACGTAGCAGTACCCTCGGTAATACTTTGTTACTTATGTAATTTATTGATAGACAGGTGACAGCTGCAATGCAGGTAGGACACGCTTAATATCAACTTGTTATTGATCAATAATATATGATGATTACTTTTTGACGGTTTTCACACAATACGGAGGTCAAACATGAGTGTTGAGTAGCATAGAAGATAGCGAGTCTCATTTATTTTATGAGCGATTTAATTTAACATTTAAGAAAGCATATATTTCAATACATAATAAAGTATATTTTTTAGAAAGGACAACAATATTCATTTATATTTCGACAGCAAAGTATTCCTCGGGTGTCACAGATTTAGCACCTCCAAAGTAATCCAGGACTAAAATATGAGCAATTTCCAACTTAGCAAAAAACCACCCATGATCTGGAAATCACATTTAGTATTTTAATGGTAATTTCTCTTTATATGTAATATCTCATGTATAGTAATTAAATTGATTAAACTAATGCATACCTTTGGGCCAGTTTTCCATGTTTGGGTGTCGACTGAAAAGAGCTTCTTTCGCAAAATCTGCTTCGCTTGTTGAATTTTTAAGCTAAATATGTGGATAGTGTGTCGTATGTAGATTATGAGTAGATTTGTGATATTATTATATACATATTACTGTACATGCTCTATTTGCTATATATTCGTATTTGCATGTACATATATTACTCACCTTAATAATGCTTCCAGTCAAAATCACATGTGCACATCTTGGGTAACGCATAAATGTGCATTTATTATTATGTGTTTTACACATTTTATTTTATTTTAATTAATGCTAAAATCTACATACCTCGGATCCTCTGGGTCAAAACTATGACTTTTGCAGTAATCTCCTTGAGCTAATGACATGGTAAGAGAACTTTTTGTGTTTTCCTAAAGTGGCCAGAAGCAAAAATATTGAAATTTTGGCAAGATTGGCATCATGTGTAAATATGCATACTTTTAAATCAATAACTGAAACATCCAATGGAGTCATGTACAAATATGGACTTCCGGATGATTTTGAGACCGTTCCATCACTCACAGAGAAAATATTCGCAAACGGAAATCCAATGATTGGGGTTCGCGTTGAGATTGTTGCCATTGAAGTCCAATCTAAATTCATAAATGCAAACCCCTTACAAAATTGTAATGCAAGTCTGTATTGTTAAATTATCCTTACTGGAGTTGTGTACAATGAATCTCGCCATTTTCGCAACTTGTTCATGAGGCGGTGGGGACGGGGATTTTGGGACAATTGGTTGTAGCCGTACAATATTTCGACGATTTGTAACACCGTTACCAGGCTGTGACCGAACGACGGCCCTTTTCACACTTTGCCCATACGCCTCATCCCACGTAATTGGGTACTGTGCTTCCCGTTCAGTGATTTTCCAATCGTTTCCAGAAACAACTCCTGATCTACCTCGTGGCGAAATTCTGACTCCTCTGGAAGGCGTTACAGCCGCAGAATTAAAAGGAGCAATTGTATTATCGGATCCTCGTTCAGTAGTGCCATCTCCATTTACGTCATGAATCTGAATTTCCACATCAATGGTTTGACTTTGACCGAAGGATTTGAAGTCTTGTTGAGGCGATATTTCTTCATCTTCGACGTTGTTGGCGATGAATTTTTCCTCCGACGGAATGGAAAAAACACTAAATTGTTGAAGAGGGTTTGTTTCCAAACTTTCAGATTGTTGACATTTCAGCAGAAAGATAACGGTGCAAAATAATTGAAATTTAAGCGAATTTGGTGGCATGTTTATACCCAAAAACAATGTATTTCTTGAAGAAATTAAATTAATTATTAAATAAATGTCAGTGCTTTGCGAACAGTTAGAAAAATGGCATGCTGGATAAAAATATTAAGTACAACAAGCTCTTAAATAATACGTACATACATAAATACATGTATGTCAAATGATCATGTGCATAAGAAATTCAACTATAGTCCAAATATGCTATGCACATCCAATTATTAATGATGATGGATATGATGGGTGACCTTCTTCACATTTACAATGAGATATTTCTTCGTCTCAGATTACGAGCTCCTTGCATTTATGTATACCAAATATACTGTAATTAATATTCCACATTATTTCATGTCTCAACTACTTTCTTTTACAACATGAATCTATTTACTACTGGACAAACAAGGGTCATTCATCCTTCCTGGTTGTTGGTCATTTGTAGATGTTATTGGGTTAAAGATGAAAGTTGTTGATAATGTAGAAAATAACTGCCAAAGATTTAACTCTGACAAACATAAATATGCATATGTATACGTGCAGGAATTGTAATATTTTTCACCACAATACTTTTATTATTGTTACGTCATACATCATGCAGGCCAAGTTAACCGGTTATAATTTTTCCAATTTCTGTGACTGCTCCAGATTGATTTACCATGAGGGCGAATAAACTGTCAGGATTACGAAGTAGATTTGCTGGAGTATCAAATTCCTTAAATAAGATAAAAATGTTTTTTATCAACCATTAGAATGCACTAAAATTTGTATGCCTTGCTGCGTCGGGTCAACTTACTGCAATGCAACCATTGTCCATCACAAGAATCCGGTCATTATCAATAACGCTGTTCAATCTACATGCATATATTTACAGATATATGCAGTTATAACTTATGTATTACACACACTACACATATATAAGTACGTAACTCATGGGAAATAGTTTTTAGTGTCCTTACCTGTGAGCAATTGTTATTATTGTACAATCAGCAAATTTTTTTCGTATGGTTTGTTGTACAAATGCATCCGTACTAGATTAAAACAAATGGCATTAAAGATTATCCATTACTTATCCAAAGCACATGGTAAATTGTATTGGAAATTACTTGTAATCTACGTTCGCGGTAGCTTCATCAAGTACAATCTAAGTAATTATAAAGCCTTAAATTATTCTGAAATGTTTTGATAATTTTTAACTTGGGACTTACTATTTTATTTTTCCGCAAAATTGCTCTCGCCAAGCATACCTGTTTTACATATTGCAACAGGTAATTTGTATGTTTGTATTAATTCCTATGTATTTGTATATTTTGTTGCATACAAGTTGACGCTGGCCCACGCTAAAATTTCCACCCCCGTCGGAAACTTTAAAATCTATAGATGGCACAGCATCAGCCAAATTAACCTGTGACATTAACAGTTAAGCATACATATGCATCTAAAAAAGTTAGTATCAATTTTTACAGATAAATAAATAAATTTCACCTCTTTAAGAACCTGCCACAGTTCGGTATCAGAAAATTCATTAAACGGGTCCAAGTTATATCTTATTGTGGAGCAGAAGAGAACAGGATCTTGTGGAATGATTGAAATGCTTCTTCTCAGATCGTGCAAGCCTAATGTCTTGGTGGACACTCTATCAATGAAAATTGACCCTTGTGATTCAGTGAGGCGAAAAAGAGCAGCAATTATTGAACTCTTTCCAGCTCCAGTCCTTTATATTTTGTATTAGATTTAGAATTTATAAGTACACGCATTTTGGGTAATATAATTTATTAGGCATATGTAAATACGCAAATATGCTAATCACCATCAGATCAACTTCTTACCTTCCAACAATTCCAATCTTCTCGTTTCCCCTTATTTCAAAATTCAGGTTTTTTAGAACCTGCGAGCCCGTAGTCGTTTCATCGTATGACATGCTAACGTTGGAGAATTTAATTGCGCCATCGCTTGGCCAATGTTTGGGAGGCGCGTCTGAATTAATATTTATACTAAATAAGTACTCTGTTGCATGTGTACCAGATATATAATCATGGAAATGTGTGAGAATCACCTTTGGAATCTAATGCAGCTTCAGGAATTATGTTGCAATACTCAAGTATTCGTTCCACGTACGTCATCATATTCTCAACTTCTACAGAAAAAGTAATGTATAGGAGTTTTGAAAATTGCAGACCTTAAGAATATGCCTGGTAGAGTAAGTAAATATGGAACCTGCGCTCTGTCTCATTCCCCATTGCGTGATTGTCAATAAATTCAAAGTCAATGTGATGGACATTCCTATATTTCCCCCTTCGGAAACTGTAAATCAAAATCATGCAATTTATAGTAACAATTATGAGATGTTTAGCATATGTGCATAAAATAGTAAAGAAATTGATTGTCCATTTGTAATTTACAACACCTGAACTGAAGATCATAAAATTTGCAGCAACGCATGCCAAGTAAAGGAGACACATTACGTCCATACAGCATCCCATCCATCTGTTCCCAATTGGAACTAGATAAGCAGGCGACGTATTAATATCCTTAACAAAAAACAAGGCAGACAGGTCAGATGCACACTAATTAATTTTGGTACACGTATGAACTTACTAAATAAGCATCAAATTGATCCACCACTACTTGTTCAGCTTCCAAACCTCTGATTGTACACAGACCCTGGACAGAGGCAGAGAGATGCAGAAATATTGGCGACTTGGCTGGATAATAACAACACATAAATACAATTTTGACCTCTCGTGATGCATAAAATCAAACTTTTTGTGACGCACTAATAGACTCGAGCCGTTTGATGCTTCTTGCTGTCTCCATGTAAAAACGACGGATTCCCCACAATACAAGCATGAGGATGGCACATGGAGCGATAAGATATAAATTTGTACTGACGACCACGACCATGATTCCAACGAAATACAGCAGTATGTTAAGGCAGTCGTGTAAACTAGGAGGCAATTGCTCATCAACACAGTTGACGTCTCGAGTAAATCTATTTAGTATTTTTCCTACGACATCAATACAAATTATACATATTATCAAGTCATACTTGGTCCAATAAATGATTCGTACCTGATGAATTTGTATCGAAAAATCGAACAGGTGCCCTCACTAACGCGCTGAACATTACCGAGTGAAGCTTGACGCCGATGGACATTGAATAGTGAAAGAATACAATTGCTTTCATCGTCACCAAGATCATCACCGTCGGCACACAAGCAGAATAGACAGTGATGAATATTGCATCGCTATGTTCGGCCTCATCATCAGTACTCAAAGTTGTGTTCATACTTCTTCTTGATACTTGATTTGTCCTACGTACATGTGCAAAAAAAATCATGCATCAAAAAGGTCACAAGAATCAGTTCTTATGTAGATAAATATGAATCCGCCTTACCAAATGGCCAGCCACTTATCGGTGAAGCTTATTACTGCTTGTGATGAAAGAAATAAGAAAACCACAATTATGAGCTCAGTTTTCGAATTTCCACTCGTGATATAAGTGAAGTAGGTTTTCCATGTAACAGATCCTGTAAGTTTTTTTTCCTCGAAAGATTCACGTGGATCATTTTTTGAAATGGAGTCATCCTTCACAGCGTGTTCCTTTATGGTAGTATTACTTATTATGCCCTAAATAATTGTAATTTAAATACATGCATGTGAGACTCTATTTTTGTTTTTGCTGACTTACACTGCTGGGCAATACGTTTGCACAATTTCTGTTGATCTCATCTGCCTGGACGTCATTTCTTCCAGAGTCCATGATAAAGTCAACTTTCTGAGCAAGTATTTCTTGATAAGTCCCTTGAGCAGCTATTTTCCCATGCTTGAAAGATCATTGGCATAAATGAGGGCTAATTATTAATACAAATATACACACTTATCGTCTACCAGCTCTTTGCCATTTCTTACCTCATTAAACACTATGATGTGATCGGCTTGTGGCAAATACTGCAGTTGGTGGGTCACCAAAATCCGCAAGCTCCCAGCTAATTGTTGTTTTATACATTTTTCAAAAATGTGTCGGCTTACACGAGTATCTACAGCGCTCAAGGGGTCGTCTAAGAGGTAAATGTCAGCTTTCCGATATATTGCTCTTGCCAAACTGACACTATGAGCAATTACAAAGACATGTATAGTCAAGAAATGTAAGGAAAATGTTGTTTTAAATGTGAAAAATTCAATTTGCCCTTTTGTACGTACCGTGCTTTCTGTCCAACGCTCAGTGTAACGCCACGCTCGCCCACAATGGTTTTATCACCGTGAGGTAGTTGTTTCAAATCGTCTTCCAGTCCACATACCCGAACCACATTGTCATATCGATTCATTTCATACAGTGAGCCAAACAATATGTTTTGTAGGATATTGCCTGAGAAGATCCAGGTTTCTTGACATGCAAATGACAATTTTCCTTTTATGCTCATGGAACCAGAGAGGATTTTCAGCTCCGAAATAATCAAATTCAACAGAGAGCTCTATGGTACAAATTCATCGTGAATTTAAATCATCCATAAATTAATGAATTTTTACGAGTCTTGTGTACCTTCCCACATCCTACTGGACCAACCACCATAACCAACTGACTTCCAGAAACATTCATCGAAATTTCTTGTAAGGTGACCCGTTCATTCGTCCAACTAGAATGTAGATGTTGCATTTTAGAACTTATGTTAAACTGATTAAAAACGTAAAACTAGGATTAACTCACTTTGCTGAAACTGTATCCAAAATCAAATGTGGAGTGGTCACATGAAGTTTCTCACAACCATTTTGATTTGTTGAAATCAGTGACGGTGGTGATTTTTTGACGTCTTCAATAGTAGATTCTCGGCCTTGTATCTGAAGTTCTTCCAGCAGCAAAAATTCCTTAAAACCAAAGAAATTATCAGAAGTGCGTATGTATTAGTTCTAAATACTTCAATGGTTCAACTAATTCTAATTTTTATTGCATTCATACTTCTATTCGACGCATTGCGACTAGTATTTCCGCTGTTTGTGCTACAGCAACTGGAGAATTTTAAAAAATAGTTATGCAAACATTTAGTTTTCATTTTTCTAACTAATTTGTTTTTTTATTACCTGGAATTTTTTGCGCCATAGCTGGAATGATAATGGAATACACAGCAATGGTGAAGTACGCTTTGTCTGCTGTCAGTTCATTGCCCAGTGAGACGTAGAGTATGAAAGTGCACAACGGAATCATAGTCTTCCCCAAGGAATTGAGGGACTGAAATGTTCCTCTAAAATAACACACAAATTTCATGTTAGCATTAATTTCTTGTTAAACTGACATTTAGCAGAGTTTCTGGTAAAGTCCGCTGTCTCACCTGAGATAAGATGCCTTTCGTACAGGCAATATTTCACGTCTGAAATAAATATTTTACTTTCATCGTTTTTCGAAACACATCAAAATAATACTTCAAATTAATCTCATACTTTCTGAGCTGGTGAATAATGGCCGAGAATGGAATTTCCCACGCGTACCTTTATAAAAACAGCAAATTATGTAAAGACTCATTCATTCGATAAGCTTTGCTCGTCATATTTATCAAATGTCTCACATTTTAATGATTCTGATTCCCATTAGTATTTCATTAAGCATCCTGCCACGCTCATCCGTCCGAGCGGCAACCATGGTTCGATACTTTATAGACAACCGACCGACCACAACTGAAATTAGGCATAGTAGATTTGCATTATTACAAAGTTATTTGCAAAGTTATTCTCAAAAATATGTCACGTACTTTGAAATGGAATAAGTACACCGCCGATAATTCCAAGTCCAAGAAAACAAGCTGGTCCCAATAAATCGTATAAAAAGTAGGACATAACCAGCAATTGGATAGGTCCAGCTATCAAGCTGCTCAGATGAATGAAGGCATGCTCGAAGCGATTGGAATCACTGGCAATTAAATTCACGAGTTTTCCGATGCTGACTTTATCAGATTGCACGGTTTTACTAATTCGAAAGATCTTGAAAAAACACAAACCCTTTTTTTAAAATTCTTAGAATTTTCATGCTTTTAAGCAAATACTTACCTTCCTGTATATTATAGAATTGCATGCAATCCGTCCCTTCATGGCGAGATGGATTAATCCCATGTAAATGTGGTGAATATTTATTGAATAAAAAAATGTGACCACTAGCAAGGCTCCAGTGTAAAAATACTGTTGGTTCTGAATATCTAGATTTTCGTTTCCTAACGTGTCCTCCGAAGTAAAGGAGCGTATCAGGTTTCTTAGAATGAAGGGCTGACTGAGTCTACGGGTAGATTATTTTCAAATGGTTTTAAATTCATCAAAAAAATGCACGGTTAAATTTTACATATAAAAGGAAATATGTAACAAATAAAATAAAATGCACTTACTTTAAAATACATTCGTTTATTAAAACAAATAGAAACAACCAGAAGAATTTCGCTCTAAAGAATCTTATGCAACAACGCAAGAATCTTGGTTTCTGGTCAAATTTTTTAGCTCGCACACATTCTTCGTTCCATAGCCTGAAAAGAAAAGACGAAATTCAAGAAATATTATTGTTATTGCTTTTCATGATTAATGAAACGTTAATGAAAAATGTGTAAACAAGTTGCACACCTCTGCATTTTGTCACCCAAAGTGCTGGCATCATCATCTGGAAGCCGGTCATAAAGATCATCAATACTAAGCGTTTTCTTCCGTCCCTTTGTAAATAGGGGGGTTATCCACAGGAAAAGAAATCTTGAGATTGGATTCGCTTTTAATTCTGGACTTTGCACGTGCCGTTTTTCAGTGAAATCCATATTGCCAAATACCGGTACCCTTTATTATTATCCCGGGTATACTAAATCCCGTTGTCGGTTTTATTCGGGTTGTGAAATAAAACTCTGTTGGTACGAATTACCACTTTGTCGCATGCCCATTCAGCTACTGTGTTTTTTTTGTAATTCAACTGGACTTTTTATATGTGCAGAACGTACATATTTATTTACACTCTCAGCAGTAATCTTCGCAACAAGAGGTAGTTCAGCTTGCCAAACCTATTTCGCAGTCTGTGTTATCAATGAAATATAACAATGAAATTAAACGAAAAATAAACTCGATGAGCTCACACCCTCGAAAGGATAAACTGAATGATCTCACCTAGTATGAAAATTGAACCCCTAATACCGAGCACTTTATGTATTGGGTTTAATGACTGTTATTTCTTCTCCATGGATGTCAAGTTCTCAGAAATCACTGTAATATGAATTTGGTTTAGCCGATGATGTCGAAATTGTTGTCCAGTATGAGCGCATATTCAGATGGTCAGGGCAAGAGTGAAAGCAATTGATGCATATCACGTCCATAATATATGGAATACATACGTTAGAGTGTTGTGCAGAATAAAATCCGGTTCAGAAAACGTTCTGTTTCTGCACTATGAAATTTGTATCATCATCTTTTCATTAAGCTGATGGCCTCCCTTTTACAATTTCTGCTTTGTAACAAAAAATTATAATCATAATTGCTTCAAATTATTATCATGATTTTAATTTTACTGCAAAAAATGCAATGCAAGAGAAAAATGGACTTGCCACACAGCACATCAACAAAAAAGCAAACCGTGCAAAAGTACGACCTATGTATCGTCATACGTCATGCAAACTTAATAATGGTCTTGTCTTCCATTGTTAATATTTATTTGATGGAATAATCGGATGTGGGATGTAGAGTGTGCAAATGTTTTTGTGCTCAAATGTCAATGTACATACATACATATGCATGTATATGCTGTCCAATCTGCATGCATACTGTAATGCTTAGGGTAAACATGTTTAATATTGATGAGCAAATGGAAAATTCCATTCAACGTTGAACGTTATATTTAATGCCCTACGCATACTAAAAAAGCTCGCATAGAGTCGTCTCGTCGTCATCCTGATGACCTCGACCTCCATTTCCAGTTCATTTATGAGACAACAAGAATAGTTTAAGCCAGTCATGCATGGATTTGCAAGTTTAGTTGATTTGTTATATTGTGAGCACAAATTGGTGTAACAAAATAATATCACTCATCCTAAGATTTTAAGTTAGTTCTAAAATTTCATGACAGGAAAATAAGCAAGTTACTTGTTATGAAGTGAATTTATCCTTATCAAATACATATATTTACAAATACCCATCAGTGACAAGTGTATGTATACTTATTTTATTTCTGCTATGTATATGCTGATCAGTGTTGGTTATTTTTTAAATTATGCATCAGCTTTCACCTCATAAGGATTATTGTTTTTCAATAACTTTACTAACTCATTTTATGCTATATATTACATAGTAATTGTATCTTTACGTATTAAAAAAATATGATTTTGATATTCATTCTGGTTCGTCATCTGGTTCTGGTATGGGTTCACTGTAAGATATTCGTCTTCCGGAATAAACCTTATAAATCAAACTTAATTAGTATGCAGTGTTGGTTTTCTAATTAAAAGTATTGAGATTTATTTATACTTCTTGTGCTAATCGGCGTAACATGGCTTCACTTCGTTTCCCAGTTTGTGCTACCATTGAGGTTAGTTTACCTTCAGTATTTTGTAACAGGGAATAGGGGTGTCCGAATTCCTAAAAATAATAAAGCAAATTTTAGCAAATTCGCAAAACAAGAAAATTGCCACTTATTAATTAGTCTTGCATAATTCCAATTTACCTCCAAATTACCATGGTCTAGGACTAAAATTTTGTCACAGTCAATAACGCTGTGAAGTCTGGAAAAAAATGGTAATAATTGTTATTGAAAGCTTCTTACAGGTCAATTCAGCGTTTACCTGTGAGCAATTGTGATGATTGTGCAATCCGAAAATTTTGAACGAATTGTTTTCTGAATCAATGCATCGGTGCGAGCGTCTACAGAAGCGGTAGCTTCATCCATCAGCAAAACGCGATTTTTTCGTAAAATTGCCCTGGCTAAGCATACCTGTTTTACATTGCAACAGGTAATTTGTATATTTGTATTAATTTGTATGTATTTGTATATTTTGTTGAATACAAGTTGACGCTGGCCCACGCTGAAGTTGCTTCCACCGTCGGCTACTTTGAAATCCAAACTTGGCACTGCATCTTTAAGCTCAACCTGCAAAAAATGATGTAATTTTGTATAAATTTAGCTCCAGCTTATTGGCGATAAAGCTAGATAAATTTGCAACCAAAATTTTATACCAATGTATTAGGAATCAATTATAAATTAACCTCTTCAATGACACGCCATAGTTCCAAGTCCTGAAACTTCCCAAATGGATCCAGATTATACCTAACGTCTCCAGAAAATAAAACAGGATCTTGTGGAATGATTGAGATGCTCTTTCTCAAGTCATGCAGTCCAATTTCACCAATGTTGACGCCGTCTATGAAAATTTCCCCCATAGGTTCTGTCATTCGGAATAAGGCAGCAATCATTGAGCTTTTGCCTGCTCCCGTCCTGTCATATTCAAATATGTATATTTGCAACTTCACTTTCCAATTTAATAATGCACATGTATTGTGCATGTACAATTCTATTATTTTCCAGTACCTGCCAACAATACCAACTTTCTCTTTTGCTCCAATCTCAAACGTTAAGTTTTTTAAAACAGGTTTTTCACCGTAAGTGAGAAATACGTTTTGAAACCGAATTTGTCCTCCAATGGGCCAATCACTTGGAGGTTTTTTATCTGTTGATAATATTTACGTAAGAACTTATTTCTTAGTTATGTGAGACTTCACACATTTTTGTATGACACGTTTGGTTATTTACATACTTGAGTTTGATTCCAGTGGTGCTTCTGATTCTAGTTTTACGTATTCTTGAGCCCTCTCAACCGAGGTCATGAAATTTTCGGTCTCCGCGGACTTTGAAACAGTTATTTATATTTAGTTAACTTGAAGACTGTGTGTACGTATGCAAAGGTACTCACTTGTCTCATACCCCATTGGAAAGAGCCCATTAGAGTTAAAACTGAAGATATTGCCAATCCTATGTTTCCTCCGTCACTTGCTAGAAATAATATTATGTCATTGCCCAACTGTTAAATCGTTCCGGATATATTAATTTATCTACAAGTTCCTTACAGCTTGCAATTATTAGGAAACTAAACGCAACAAAAGTGAGAAACCCGCATGAAATTAACTCCAACCAGATTCCTATGAGAAAAAATTACACCAATGACATGAATATCCCTCTGCTTTGCTCAAGGTCTTGTGAGTTTTTATTACCAAACCACCGATTCGACGCTAGAAATAAGTACCATGCCGATGAGTGCATATCTTGATGACCATCAAACTGGTCAACCAATATACTTTGTGTATTTGAAGCTCGTATAGTGCTTATTCCCTGCATTGTCGCAGCTAAATGAGTGAACAAAGGACTTCTAGCTGTAAATATAAATTTAACCCTTGAAAATGTATCACATATCCTCAAAAACGTAATGAATATTCACTTTAAATTCTACTTAAGTTGAACTTACTGAGAGACTCGAGTCGTTTTAATGAACGAGCAGTTTGGACGAAATATAGGCGGATTAAATATAAGGCAATAAACAGAAAAACGGTCGGCACGCTGAGATAAACATTTGAAATAATTACGACGGTTATCACGCCGATCATATTTAAGAATATCGCGAGAGCGTCGGACATGGCCGGGGGTAGCAGCTCGTCTATGGTCCCAACATCTTTTGTAAACCTAATGCACATAAATACACATGTAACATGACACCCCCACCGATATAAGTTTGCAGATATTACAGCTACTTAAATAGCAAAAATGAGCTAACCTGTTCATCACTCTCCCTGTTAAAGTAAAAATGATTAAAATAGACTATTAACCAAAATTATAGAAATCCAACTTTAAAGCATGAGCAGCACTTGCCAGAAGGATTCTCATCAAAGAACTTTGTAGGTGCCCGGACTAGGCTTCGAAACATTCGGTCATGCAAATTTATACTAATTTTACAACAGAACAGAAAAAACCACACCCCTCGAGTAATGGTGAGAGTAATGGCTCCTACGTTAAATCCCGTGTAAATTAACAGGTACGTGTCTCGACCCAAGTAATTGTTCTCACAAGACACAGACTCGACACCGATGCAGCCAGTCTCGTTCCGCTCTATGCTACTTCGACGATCTTCGTCATTCGCCCTAGAAAAACATAATGAATCAAATTACTTCACCAAAAATGTTGTGAATATATTTGGCAACAATTTGTTGCTCCGTACCAAAAAGATAACCAATAGTCGTTCCCACTTAAGAGAACTTGAGCCATGAGAAACGAAACTATTAAAAACACTAGACCGATGAAAGATTCTGCAGTGTTGAAGTACTCCAGGTACGTTTTTCCTGTCACGGAACCAGCCAACATCTTTTCAGACTGTTTCTCTGGTTTAGAATCACTAGGAGCTACCTCTTCAGTTTTCTAGCACATAATGGAGGAAACATATCATCAATAAACAAATAGGCAAACAGATAAATAAAAAATGGGCTTGTATCACAATATAGGAACAATATATATATATATACGTACAAACCTTCTCATTGTGGACAACACTAATTTTTCTGGTAGCTTCATCCAAGCCAGATTCTGATGTCATAAGACTGACAAAGTCAATTCCTTTTGAGACAAGTTCGTCATAATTTCCTTGTGCCAAAATTTTTCCCTACATAACTTGCGTTTATATGTGTGACTCATATTTAACATGAATTTGAAAATATTAGGCTACGTATTGTTGGACCAAAATTATTTGCGTTACCTGATGTAATACTACAATCTGATCTGCTTGTGGTAAGTACTGCAACTGATGAGTAACCAATACTCGAAGTGATCCTGCTAAATATCCTCGTATACACTTTTCAAAAAGCTGCCGGCTTACTTTGCTGTCAACTGCACTGCATCATAGATAATATAAAATATTATGCATCTAAATCCAAACCACTACCAACTGTATGGATAATGACATATAAAGTTCAATTATGCGTACCTTAAGGGATCGTCCAACAAATATATCAAACTTTTTCGGTACAACGCCCTCGCAAGACCCACCCTAGCTTTCTGCCCTCCAGACAAAGCTACCCCCCTCTCCCCAACAATTGTCCTAATAAAAAAATATGTATCGTAATTTATTTGAATTTCCGTATTCAATTCGAAATTGTACACTACGCATAACTATTTTGTATAATGTAATTACTGGTCGCCGAAGGGTAATTGGATTAAATCAGGGTCAAGTTCACAGGCTTTTACTGTCGCCCAGTACCGTGCCGAATCGAAAGGCTGACCAAACAAAATATTTTGTCTCAAATTCCCAGCAAAGATCTACATAATTAAATCTGAGATTGAAATTGAAACTATTTAGATATTTTTAAGAACATTTTTGATTCTCATTTTCACCCAAGGTTCTTGAGATGCATAAGAAGTTGTTCCTGACACGGTGATTTGTCCTCTCGAGACTGACAATTCGGCAATTAATGAGTGCAAAAATGATGATTTTCCAGAACCCACTGCACCCACGACCATGAGAAGTTTATCTCCTGACACATTGAGGGTAATGTCATCCAAAGTTATTCGATCTTTCGTCCAACTATTTAACAGATTGTATAATCTGACATTGAATGTTTCACACCAATAAATGTGCATATTGCTGATGAAAATCAAATGTATACCTGGCTGTGACATTTTCAAACCTAATTTCTGGATCTGATGCTGTTAAATGTTGAACCAACATTTCACCTTTCGTTTGCTCTTCCAATAACAGAAATTCCTGAAAAATCAGTTTAACACCGATTAATTAAATACTAGATTACCAATAAGAATTTTATATTTATGAGGAAAAACTTGCTTCTATCCTCTGAGTCGCAACAAGAATTTCGCCAATTCCAGCGGCTGCCTAAATTATTTTAGAAACTCAATTGCAATATTTCTTTTCAGTCCAATTTGCACATATTTAATAATTAATAATGCTTTATACCCAGAGTCTGGTTAATCCGGGATTACGGATTGAGGATTGAGATTGGGATTGGGGATTAATTAATCCTTAATCCCAATCCTCAATCCGCAAGTTTTGACTTTTAATCCCTAATCCTCAATCCCAAAAAGTTTTGAAAAAATAATTAATCCCTAATCCTAATCCCGGAGCGCATTGATTAATCTTAATCCAAGTTTGGGATTAAAATGGGATTAAATCAGCTCCACCTGCTGAAAATTCTCAGAGACTTTGCCAGTTCTCCTTTTGTTTCAATTAAAAATATGTTTCCCATAAGTTATGGGCCATAACTATCGAAATTCCATCGTTGTATTTCACAAACAAAAATTCGATATTATTAAACAAATAGTTCATGTATTTAAAAACATTTGATAAGACTTCATCTGTTAAAGTTGATTTTAGTTCACTGATGACTAAGTAAACTTATTTTATGTCACTCATCTGTACACTTCATATTCTTGTGGCCGTATAATAATAACCTAGAGTGGCCAGTGGTAATGCCCACTCATTCACACTTGAATGTTAATCAAATGGAGACTGGACTTAAGTCACTTAAGCGACAACTCACACTTTAGGTCATTATTTATATGGTCATTAGGTTATTCAAATTCAATCGCACTGTTAAGACTTATAAAACAATTTAATTAAGACATCAGAAACATTAACTAGATATAAATGTGATCGACGATAAACACGACTTTAATCCCATTCCGGGATTAAAATCGGACTAAATTAATCCTAATCCCTAATCCCATTGAATGACTTGAGAGATTTAATCCCGAATTAATTTTAATCCCGAGTTAATTTAATCCCTAATCTCAATCCTCAATCCCGAATTTTTTAAAATCAATCCGTAATCCTAATCATTAATCCCACTTTCGTTAATCCCAAGACTCTGTAATACCTGTGGCATAAAGTGTACCATGATTTGTGTAACGACGTAAAGTGTCGTCAGTGTAAAGAACACTTTTTCTGATGACATTTGATTATCGAGCAGAACGTAAACTAAAAAGGTGACGTAGGCAATGAACTTTGGACCAAAATTGATGACAGCTAAATTAATTCCTTTCAAGATTGCCCTCTTCTTGAGTTCATCTACTTCTAATCTGTTAGACAATTAGATTCATCAAGATTATTCCAGATTTTGTAATTTGCTTGGTTAGAGTTTCACTTGTCTCACTTTCTGACTTGATCGATTAGCATGGAGAACGGAACTTCCCACGCGTACCTTTATAAAAACAACCAATTATTAGGACTCCTTCATTCATTTAACAAGCTTTGCGCTATCAAAAGTCTCACATCTTAATGACGCGAATCCCAACAATTAATTCATTCATTATTTTTCCACGTGTGTCCGTCCTATTCGCGACACTTAATCGGAATTTTGCTGAATACTTTCCATTTAGATCTATGTATTATTATGTTTCTTAAACTGCATAGAAAAAATAATTATGCACAATATAAGTATGTACATACACATCATGGGAAGCAAGAGTACAATGAATCCGATCCCAGCAAAACATGCTGGTCCTATGACTGTAAATATTGTCGTATGTAAATATTCATAAATACATAGCACTCACAATTGTCAGCTTGGAATAAATATATTTATGTATTTACCATCGTATAAAAAATAGGAAAAGATGATGAATTGCACTGGGCCTGCAGCCAGAAATGGAATAAAGTTCATATTGATATCAAATCTCGACGTGTCATTGCTCAAAAGATTGACTAGTTTTCCTACGGTTGCATTGCCTTGTGAAGCTTTGCTGAGACGTAAGGCCTGCAATTTTCATTGGTAATTTGCTACATAATACATAAATAATTCTTAAATAAATCGCCAAAATTTATAAAATTGCTAAATTACTTTTCGGTAAATTAACGCCGACGTCGCAACTCTGTATTGCATACCCATATGGAACAAAGTAAATACCGTAGGATGTAATATAATTGCATGAGCAAAAGTTGTAATGCAAATTCCGCCCGCGTATAAAAATGCTTCTAATGAGTTCTTGTTTCCATCATTTACAGTTTGGATCAGAGCTCGAAGTAGTAACGGTTGAGACACGCTGGTAATAAATCACAGAAAATGCATCCTTATAGAAATGTATAATTGTTAACTATTAGTCATAAATAATTCCGGCATAATTTTGTAGCATACGAAACTATCCAGGCATCGAAACAGTAGAATAAAGTACTGAACAATAGCCGCTTCCAAACAAAGAGAGACAAAACTTTGGAAAGGCTGGGTTTTTTCCCACGGATTTTGGCACTTTCTAATTCTTTATTCCAAGCTCTGAAAATAAAATACAAATTTTGGTGTACTAACACACTACATATTTAAATACGTAATACTGCTTTTGCTCAAATTGTTACTAACGCTTCCAACTTATCCCCCAGAGTCTCTGCATGATCAGATTTAATAACTGTGTACAAGTCTTGGAATACAAGATCTTGTTTGTACCCTTTCCTGAATAATGGTACGAGCCACAAGAAGAATAGTCTTGAGATTGGGTTTGCTTTCTCTACTGGATTGCGCTTGAGCTTGGTCTCTGTAAAATCCATTTTGGTGAAATTTTATGCAAATGGCCAAAGAATGGGATCACGACCGCATGCACCCACGGCCACTGTTCAAAGAGAAATGACCACGAGCACCAACGTGCATCTTATCTTTAAACAATTGCTGGAATTAATGGATTTCGAGGCAACCCTGTTATGCTCCGGCTACTCAACGCATGCACGATTGATATATCAAGATCGTGTGACCTGTTTTGACTGATAATGATAGGAATAACAAGGCAAATGACAAGTTGCAGATTCATGAAAGGATTCAACTTTTAACAAAACAAGTGGTAGATTACCCTAGTCCAGACCCTCTTTCACCATTGCATTTACTTTTGAACATTTGCATCAGCATAACGTTTTGGATGATACATGACGCCATCCATGCGAAAAACTCAAAAGGAATCAAATGACTTATCCAATAAAGGAGAAAATTTACATCCAGGAATCAAAGTCATATGCACGCTTTATTATGTAACCACGCTGGTGTGGTGATTATCTGTTTAGGATTCAATAGCACTCAATAGAACTTTAAGCCTTATCAACAATTTTAAAGATGGATTTTTGCACTTGGACAATTAAACGTTGTAGGTTTCATGCGTACGTTTGCTGTATATCGTCAAATGGCAAAAAAAACATGCTTACTTTATGTAAATACGTTGCGGTGAATCGATCATGTAGAGACAAATGGATAAAACTGTGACATGGAGTTGCATCATTATTGCAGCCGAATTATTGTGCGTATACAATTCGAGTACAATTGTTCTCGTATCAACTTGAGACTGATTTTTATGCAGCCACTAAACAGTCAAAAGCTGTGATCACAACGGGAAACAAAGTAAGCAATTTGGGCAGAATTGAATTTATTCGCATACAAATTATTTAAACAGTTTTTAAAATGAATAATTTGTGTCCTATTTATTTTAGCTTTCATCTAGTAACCGCATAACTTTCATTTATAAATGAAAGGTCAAATTTCGAAATTTGAACAATATTCAAAAACCTTTGGCTTGACTGATAGCCGATTTGATAGTGCGACCGTTGAGGTCACAGTGCTCAAATCATGATCTTCATTTTTAAACTGATTTTTACAATCAAAATTGATTAGAAATGAAGATTTGTGCACTACTAGCACAATTTCCTCATTGGGGTTTGTGTATATGATTTTAGCGATGTCTGAGGGTATAATAACTCGATTTGTTATGCGATGCATTAAATTATACTATACATAAATTGGATCGGTGTGGTTCATGAGATTAACTTTTACGACTTTGTTGGGCCATTTTAAGTGTACTGTCAAAGTACTTTTGTATGCTGAGATATCAATATTAATCCGTGATCAAAAATGTTGTAACGCATATTATACAATATGTATGACTTTACTTTAGAATTAAAATTTCTGGTAATAAACTTTAATCTAAATATGGGATAATTAAATAAAACAATGCAACGTGCATGTAGTTCATACTTTATTCATTTTAAATATCCTTCAGTACTTAAGTATTCTTAAGTAGGTATATTTGTATTTAGGGTTAAAATTATGGCGCATTATGTGCCGCACATATTACAAAAATAGACGATTAACAATGCTGACAAATTCTTGGAATATTTTGCGTTATGCGATACTCAATTTTCTGAGACGGAGAAGGTGACAAAAAATTACTAGCAGTGACTGCACACAATTTCAGCATCAACCGAGCAATCATGATGCCAACAAGAATTTCTGTTCAAGTTCAGGTTGGTTATCGGAATGCATGCATGCATGCATGCATCGGTAAATAAAGTAATAATCTTCCCAAACTCTGCATTCAGTTTGTACATTTCATTATGTTTGCCAGCCTTCATGTGAACAAAATATAATGGATTGAAATCATTGGGTCGGTATCGTCCTGCTTCAAACAACTGAAAATTAAAGAATTAAATGATTAAACTAATAAATTAATGATACCAATAATTTGCATAACACACCCGCTTTCCTAAATGACTGGGAACAACGTTGTCATCTTTTGCATGCATTATCATAATTGGGACCGAAATTTTAGAAATGTGGTGATCATTTTGGAATGCTATATCACTTTTTCTCAATGGGTTGACAAATAAACGATCAAAGAATGGAAGAAGCCTCCAAATCTGTTAAAATATAATTCACCCTTGAAGTTCAAGACATTGCACATAAGACGATTTAGAGGATCCATAATAATGTTGTACTTATGTAGCACCTTTAATTTAGCATGGTTTCTAAGTTCTTCACCAAAGTTGTCGAATGGCGATTCCAACACTAGTCCATTTGGACATGGAAGAGTAATGAGATCCGATAATTTTGCTACTGCGTGTGATGAAATTCTACATATATTATTGGGATGATACAATTTTATATTACGTGGGGGAATTATTTTGTAAACTTTGAGTTGAACATGTGTGAATATTACCCAGCACCCAGTGAGTGACCCCAAATGAATACAGGAATTCGCGTATCTCCTCCCAGCAATTCTTGCCGAACGAATTGATAAACTGCGAGAGCGTCATCGACGACGCCACTTTCCGTTATTCTTTTCACCTTGGTCGAGTCTCCAAATCCACGATAATCACAGCTAATGATATGGTGCTCCTTGTCTTGTAAGACTTTGTAAAGTTCCTTTCGGTGCCATTTTCCTCTAGTGCCTTATATTATTTAATTTGGAATCAAAATTAATACAAGTAATGTTTAACATGAGTTAAATATAAGAAAATTATCAAGTTATTACCTGTAACGCCGTGAAAGTAAACTATTACCCCGTTGTGTCCCTTTGCTCTCACTGCATCTTGCCAAAAAGACGCTTCTTGGTTTTCAGACTTGTCGGATAAGCTGGAGGGTAGAATATGCCTATCACACAAATACATGGAATTATGGACACAAGATTAAGGACCCTTTTTCATCCAAGTATACAGAATTAGAATTATTTACCATACACCTATTGTACCGTCCGATATCTTAAAATTACGGACCCCTCTCAAGTCTTGAGGTTTCTCAAAGTCAATTCCAGCAGCATCCACATGCGCTATTTACGTTTAATATTATCAGGGCGATATTTCAGATAAATCGTCATATTACGAAGCTACGGGTAAAGCAGTACTCACGTTGGAAAACCATGGACTGGTGAAGATGAGGACAAAAACAAAAAATAACTGGTAAAACTAGATATGTTAGTAAAATGAGCAACAGCAGACATCCGATATAGCCCCCTAAAGAAAATCTGTAAAGATAAAATTTAAAAAGTTGATAAGGATTGGCATATTAAAATATGCGCAAAACTGCTTTGAGACACTTACATTCCATAATATACAAGAACAAAGGACACTATTCCAGCAGTCAGCAAGAGCAAAACTAATGTAATGATTCGTAGTACTCTGATAATGTCACGATAGTTTATCGTAATTGAAGTTACTTCTTTAGCCATTCTTAATTTTACAACTTTGTGCAGTATTGAGATGTGTATCTGTGTGCATAAAAATATTCTGGCCCAAATCCTGTACGCTGCTCACTTAACATTAACAAAATACAAAACTGATGACGATTATACGACGCAAAGATGCATACGTATAAACTTAGACATGAGTAAGTAAACCACCAAACTAATTTCTCACAATATTTTATTTGGCTGCTTCATTGTGTTGCTTATTCTCTCAAACACCGATAACACTGTTGTTCGTGTAACGAAAACTATACATGCGTGCATGCTTTCGTTTTTTCCAAATGTTCATGCTCAAATAGAAATATTTGTAACAACTATGTGTAATTTATGGATCCTTGCGTTAAATGATTTATTTATTGTTAAATTAGTCCAATTTATCATCACCAGTTAGACACTAAAACCCATGGGAAAAGAGCTCAACAGATGATTGTTTATAATGCAACAATCATATGTAATCGTAACTGTATTTATTACGCTGGGGGAGAATCGTTTGCAAGTATAATGGGGATCAGTGTTAAATGCACAATGAAATGAAAATAACAACCTCATCAATTACAGTCAGGTTGCTAAAGATGTTAAAATAACATATATCTCGTATAGTTGTCTGTCACATATCACGCAGTTTGTTAGCTACAGACTTATTCAAGGATGGGGGATTTTTTTATGTAATGGATGGTATGTATTTAGTTTTTTCTGACTGTGCATGTACGACTATATTATTAGGATACAATTTTTTTTACTATTTTTATATCACACACATACTTTTGCATATGCGGAGAAAATACGAATATTCTAGTTTAAGACCACAGTAGTGTAACATGCGTATATACATCGCTATAACACGTGCATTGTGAATCATAAATATCTCAGGAGGGGAGCTTGCGAGGTTGATAATAACAGATACTGGTGCCCTTTGGATATGTGGTAGGGACCCATGAGTGTACTAAAACCCTGAAGTAGTTTGACTCCATGGCCACATTTGCGCCCGCCACACCCACTCAAAAATGTCCAAAAAACGCTTTCACCCCAGTTTTCACTCACTCAAATCCACGCCAAAAATCCAATCTTACTCGGATTTTGAAATTTCTTTCACCATTATACTCCCAGATAGTTGCTTTCTTCAATCCAATATCAAACTCAATATTTTCGAAATTTTTAGTATTTTTAAAATTTAAAATTCTGAATGAGCATTGTTGTAGTCATCAACAAAACAAATTATGTTTGCGAAATAATCATCAATAAAATTGAGTTTGATATTGGATTGAAGAAAGCAACTATCTGGGAGTATAATGGTGAAAGAAATTTCAAAATCCGAGTAAAATTGGATTTTTGGCGTGGATTTGAGTGAGTGAAAACTGGGGTGAAAGCGTTTTTTGGACATTTTTGAGTGGGTGTGGCGGGCGCAAATGTGGCCATGGAGTCAAACTACTTCAGGGTTTTAGTACACTCATGGGTCCCTACCACATATCCAAAGGGCACCAATATCTGTTATTATCAACCTCGCAAGCTCCCCTCCTCAGTTAAAATACGTATTCATGTAAACGCCTACGTAATAATTTGTTTTTTTAGGGTGTATAGAATAATTTGTCATTAAGTTTAATAATTTCAACTATGCAATTTAGATGGTTAACTTCCTCAACACGGGTTTGAAGAAGTTAAAACCATTTGCATGCAAAAATTTTCTTATGGTTAAGTGGTGAGATTGTGAAAGGAATGCGTAATATAGGAATGTGAAATGCAAAGGTTTGATCTTCCACCAAATACAAAATTACCCTTTCAGAGTTGGTCTTGTTTATCGGATTGACTTCAAAAAATCTTGTATGTAATTTTGAATTTGAATAGGCCGATTTTGGATCATCTTTGTGGTTGGATAAAGGCATAAAGGTTGCTGGGCTGCGTTTGACACAACAACGAACTTATGGAAGGAAGTATTTCTTATGTAAAAGTGAAAGTGTGCCAATAAATAGGTCACGAAACCACGACGCGTCTACACAGCTACCACATATCAGACTTACTAGATAAAAATATAGTTTAAAACTCAAACCCAGATTTAAGCAATTTTTTAAGCTAAAGAATATAAGGAGATCACCTATTTTCCTAACATTTATTAGAAACTATAATCCCATAACTTCGATTTAGAAATGTCTTTCTGCTCGTGGTCAAGTAAAGAGGTTTATAAGGATCACTTTGTACCTGGTAAGTAAAAATAAATCTGGAGATACTCAAATTCTTAAAATCTTAATGGTTTTACGATTATTCGCTGATTTTTCTAGGTGTTTATTGTTGTGCTGAATGTGGATACGAATTGTTCAGCAGGTATTAACTTTTCGGATAAAACATGCAAATGTTCAAAAATATTTATGAACAATATAACTAGTAATTTCTTTAATAGCCGACAAAAGTATGAGCACAATTCTCCTTGGCCTGCATTCAGTGATACCATTCATCCTGACTCGGTGGCAAAGCATTTAGAGTCACCGAGGGCCTATAAGGTTTGTGAAGTTCACAATGTGAACTGAACATGTTGAATTGAAATATGAGATTTATAGAGTTTTCAACTTGTGAATTGCAAGACTTAATTTAATTTAATGATTTTAGGTTAAGTGTGGAAAATGTGCAAACCCACTTGGTCACGAGTTCGTTAAGGATGGACCTGACGGGAAATCTCGTTTCTGAATATTTTCTCACGCTCTGACCTTCAAAGCCAACTAAATTGTTTATACACATTTATGTTGAGATAGATAAGGTGAGCGTGTATTCGTGCGTAATGTGCCTAATGATATTTTCGAAACTCTTAGAAAGTTCAGATGCATGTGGGTTTGACTATGAAACTTGGCGATTAAACCAAAAATAATTGGGGTTGTTGAGTGGATTTCCTTCAAATCTTATCGTGTCTCTGTTCTGTTATACACTTCTACCTGTCCTCTACTTCCATGAGCAACGAATAAGTAGTATTAGTAGTTGAATATAAAAATTTATATGTATTTTTGTCGTCCACACTTTACATTTCCATGCAATAAATAAAAATACCCAATAAAATTCAATTTTAGCGAGCGCTTATTGGTTTATTATTACAACACATACATCCGCTATTTTATTTGTGACAAATTTGCGACCGGTTTGACGGAATATCAAAATTGGTTATTTCTCACAACACAACGCAGGCTAAATGGCTAGGCTGCCACGTGACTTAGGATTAGTCTGAGCTGAGTAATTATCACAACAAAAAATGGTACACAAATACCAATTATTAAGCAGCATTAGCTCATAGGCTTATTGTACATAGTTATTAATAGAAATTTGAAGTTGAAGTTGAAGAATTTAAAAAATTGTAGGTATATTGCATTCGGATAATAGCAATATGAATTAAAATTGCAAAATTAAATACAATGCTCAAAAAGTGAGTAACCTTAAAATAATAAGATATTCATTAAGATATGAATTAGGAATGTCACTTAGCAAGTACTGGTACAGACCGACCAACCACTTAAGAAATTAAAGATTATTTGTCGTTACTCAATTTCAATGTTAAAGTTATCAAATCCAACACATGGCCACGTATCGGACGTGGTACAGTTTTGAAACTGTTTAACTAAGTTGGGAAGATCCGGAGATCTAGAATTAACAACAGTTAAAGGTAAAGAGGAAGTAACATATGCGTGCATTAATATAATTGTGAAATATACAAGTACAAATAATTCCAACCTGCAAATAAATTTATGAGCAAATCCTTCTCCAAATCTCTTAAAGTAGACTGGCTTTGCTAAAGTCCCTCTTGAGCGTCCAGCTATCCGAAATAGCTGAAAAAAGGTTGCACATATTGCAGACAATATTTTTAAATCAGCTGCAATGTTTTTATTGTATAATGTATACACACCTTGACTCCCAGGGCAAATGGGACAACAGGATCATCAATCGCATGAAATATAGCAATAGGAATGTCAATTTTGGCAATATGACGGTCACTTTGGAATGCAATGTCATTTTTTTCCAGTGGTCTCACAAATATATAATCGAATCCAGGGAGATACCGGTAAATCTGTAACCAATTTTTTTGTCGTAGTGCATACATGCAAGTTCCAAGTTATTTAAAATGTCAACTCACAGCTGAAAGCATATGGTTTTTGACTTCTTCTCCAATATTAGTAAATGGTGACTCCAAAATTAATGCAGCAGGACTGTCCCCTTCAACGCATAAATCTGCCACCATATGAGATGCGACCCTGGAAAAAGAATAAATATATATTTCTAATCATGTCCATACACCATATTTAAATGCAGAATTTAAAACGCTGACATACCCAGTGCCCAAGGAATGACCCCAGACGAATATCTTGGTGTTTCCAGTGTTTCCCACAATTCTACGAATATATTTATATAGGGCCCTGGCATCCGAAACCACGCCAGTTTCGGTTGGCGCAACTTGTGAAGGATTAAAAATAAGTATAAATTATTTCCAAAAACACGCAAACAACGACAACAACAAGCTTATATGACTGACTAATTATTAATCACCTTGTGTGGAATCCGCATATCCTCTGTAATCCAAACAAAGGACATGACTGTCCAATTCTTGCAAGATTTGATAAAGCTCTTTTCTATGCGGCCCTGCCCTGGAACCAGAATTTCCATGCAAATAAAGAATTATGGGCCTTCCACTGTTTCGCATTGCATTTTCCCAATACTCGTCATTCCTTCCTTTCGAATCTGCAATTAGACTGTTTGGAAGCAGATGCCTAATAAAAATAGTTGTGTAAATATTATTATTTCGGGTTGATGATAAGTAAATATGGATACTTTTTTGCAATTATTACCAGACGCCAATGGAAATGCCTTCTTCTGGCGTCAAATAAAGATTCCTGGTTCCAAAGAGTTCTTCCGTTTCAGGAGCAGAAAAGTTTACATTATGCGGCCAACGTACTATAAATATGAGTAAAATTATCACATCAATACGCATGTAATACATAGATGGCTACGTTTCACAGATGTATATACGATTTATCAACTCACCAAACGGGAGAAAGACTAAATGTTGCTGAATTGAAATACTGAAGTGGAATAGGAATGGTATAAACAGATAGAGTAGAATTGTAGCTCCGACAGCAATTTTAAATCCAAAATGTATTTGCCTGAATTTGTATTTACGTAAACGTCTCGTTATATAAAATGGTTTGTAATTTACACAGGGAATTTCTATTCTTATCATCATGCATAACGCCTGCTCCCGCGGAATAATATAGAAATGAAGCAATTAAACAGTATAAAATGTCCAAAATCTTAACAAGGAGGATAAAGTCCGCTAGTCGGCATGCAAAGTAGCATTACAAGAATGTCCTGGTTCTTTTACACCCCAAGAGCATGAATGAACACCAAAGGTGTGAAGATTTGCAGGCACTTGATAAATTATTGCTATAAGTTCGCCAATAATGGACGGATGAGGTTAAGGAAGCATAGATTTGGCAGATAAATTGGCTGGCTAAATAGCATTTACATTCGACCGTGGTCTGGACTTGATTGGGACTCACATTTCATAGTACCAAACTGTTAAAATTAAAACAGCTCCGGCGGTTATTGCAGTGAAAAGAGCTCGTAAACCCAATCCCATTTTTCTGCAGGTATGGAATGGATCTCAATTACAAATGCAATAATGCTATAGTAGTAGATGAATATTCATTGAGATCCTACGTTGTTTGATTGGCACTTATTTGCTGGATGATTCAGATGAATGGTTGGAAAGATCAAATGTCCTTTTGTAATTTTCTGTTGGCTAGAATATAAAAATCACGTCAGGTTGATATTCCATTTTCATTAAAGCCCACAAATTGTGACACAATAATAAATATTACGTGTAATTTGCAAATTGTAACCAGAAAAAAATATATATACATGAATTTGTTCAACATCCAGCCAGCACAGACCAGTCCGTCCCAAGTTATGACAAAACTCTGTATACTAAATAAAGATAGGAGGAGCAATTTTAGATTTCATAAAATTAGACAAAGACAAATGCAATGCAATGCAATGCAATGCACCATGAATAAAAACACTCCAGTATTTTAAATATTGTTTTTCGCCTGACCTCTAGTTTGATGAAGGGGGGTTGAACCAAAACCAAACTATAAAGTCGTCGTGGAGGAGTTTCGATTCGACACTAATGTTATTCTTCATGGGACACAGACTTTCACCACTGGAGGAGAAAGCAAGAACGAACGAAAGATAGAGAGATGAGTCAAAGATGATGATTTTGCAAAGGAAAAACTTCTCATCTCCGCCTGCACACGCGGGGTGATGTGATGTGATGATGAGATTAGGTGAAAAATATTAGGCCGGTGATCACACGCTTGATTTTATGTTCTAAAAGTAATTTATTATCAATTAGTTGTGTGACAACGTTGACATGTCTGTGAACAGTTTATTTACAAAGTCGGGCTACGTGACAGCCCCCTTAGCGAACGGGGTGGGTCGTTATATTCCGCAGTGTCTGCGAATGACCATCAAATTCTGCAAGTCGCACGGAGGCAGTCGCGGAGTTCGGGAGTTCATTGAGAATCACTTGGTTGAATTTGCTCGACAGAATCCTGGGACAGTGGTTTATCTCAAACCTCGACGACATAGAAGCCCTGTCGTGGTCGCAGAGTATTGTTAGTACGCTTTTTGTTAGTCTTCTGCATGAGATGTCATGTCATGCACTGTAATAGTAAAATAAACTTTTATTTCGTATCTAGTAAATGAAGGTCGTGAGTGGATGCCACTTCATGACATGCCCTGTGAAGAAATAATCAAATGGTTAGGAGTACTGAGGACATCTGCAGGATATGGAGAAATGCATTATCGAAGTTATCAACACACAGATACACCATCCATACAAGGCCCGTGGACCCCTTTCACTCATCAGCCACCAGAAAAGAACATTATGACTTTCCCCAATGTGAGAACACTTTAATTTCTAAAGCATTAGGATATTTAATCATCATCATTGCTTAACGTTGACCTTTTTGTGACTTTGCAGGACGCATGCCAGGACCCACCATTGCTGAAACCTAGTGCTACAGAAATTATTAAGAAAATGTATCAAAACCAGTCTTAGTCTGCGTGGTAATATGTAAGATTATGCTTACTGACAAAGCGTTTTTTGTATGTGCAGAAAGTAGCGTCTCTATATAATAATTAGTATTCCTGGTAATTTTAAGAATTTATATTAAGAATTTAGTACATGTATTTATGTTTGTAGTATGTGTGTATGTTTTTATTGGATAAATATTGAAAGACATACTTGGCAGTGAAACTTATTACTTAATTGGTTTACAAGAAGTCATGAGATTACATTCAACCAGAGTTACAATAATATCCGTACAGGAGCTCCTAGTATATAGGTTTATCTCCTGTGCTTCACAAATCTATGGTTTTTTGCTTCCGTTCAACTCGTCATTAGATTTTCATTTTTAAAGGATGAAAGACAATGCTACTCGTCAAGATTTTTGTGGTGGCACGAACTTTAGTGATCCGGTGAGAAATTGGTACCGCTGTTCTGCTTCTCCAAAGCTGCTTTTCGAAAAGCAGCTTTTCCCCAATGGACTTTCACATTTGCTACAAGAAATCTAAGAAAACATACCTTCTGAATTGTTTTACACAGTACAACAATGAATTGTAATAGTTTGATTTAAAGACCTTAAAACATTGTTCAGCATGTTCCGGTGAGACATTATTATCTCCCAATTGAACATTAGAAGAAGACAAAGTTTTAACTTCTACGCCTACAACGTCGGTTTGGGAAATTTCACCAACTGTCGGGAGAAAGCTAAACCAAGCTTCCTTAATCAGATGCGCCTTAAAGTTGGACTTTTTCGTGAATACCTTGAACCCACACACCGTACATGCATAGTGTCCAGTAATAGCATTATTACCGCATCCCATAGTAAATTTTATGGTTGGACAGGACACCTTTCCTACCTCGTGGTGTCTCTAAGTAAGTAGACAAATCAATCAATTATGTATTAGTAAGTACTAGGTGTTTATTAAGTATGAGTTGAGTAAGGATCTTACAAGCTAACCTTAGCAGTTATGGGTCATGTCACGAGCATTTTAATCAGTTTAAAGGTCGATTTCTTGTGTTAACTGATATGATGATGATTCGCATTATTATTTTCCTATCAACTGCAGTTAACTGGTAAAACAGCGGCTACATCTGCATACAATACTCACCATCAGTAATCCTAGTATTTATTACGTAATAAAATGAATGAGAAGACTGAACAGGTTGGCCAAAAGTAGGTAAGTACGTATTTACATAGCTATATGCATGGGTAAAAACTTGTTTAAGCTCACCATGTGTATGCATTATATTATAGGGTTTGTTGGTTGGTTAAGAGTATGTGTAGGGTCAATCAAATCAATAGCATAACAAATAATATAGCGTTTATATTGCGGAGTGTATCATAGCCCCCAAAATGATTGTTTTATATGCTGATGTAAACAGGCTCAATTCACCATGATAAAACTTTATCGCCCAATGAGTTCATAAGTAATTCTTCTATGTTGTATGTAGGGTAGAAGTTGTGAATCAACATTATGCAAAAAATATTGTTTTTCAGAAAAGATGAACAATCCGGAAACACTAATTTGACTAATTATTTACTAGAATCATAATGCAGATATCCTGTTGGCGAGCTGTAATATTACATAAAATACCTAAATTGGGCTGCTTCTCGGTTTGGTGTATTCCAGCACAAATTCTGTATACCAATATACTGAAGTTGCATACATGAATTTGACCTAGACGACCTTCTCGAACGCTTCATGCTATTTGCATTGTATATATTTCTTTTCATATACACATTTCAAGCTTATCATCTTTGTCATTTGTCACCTTCTCCAGTCTCCTTGTCCTTTATTCTCGTGATTTATGGAAATCGATATTCCGCTGAGTAATCAAGCATGTATGTACATACGTATGTGTACGATACATCAAAGCAAATGAACAATGGACACAATGATTTAACATGGCACCAGTTTTCAATAACCAACGATCTATGGTCTTGATGAAATTGCACTTCAGAAAAATAAAAATCACCCAGTAACGTATACAGTTTGTTTCATATATTTCATGTGTTTGTGTTTACGAAAGAACGTATTAAATGTTTCATATATTAAATACTTCACATATTATAACGAAGAATAACAACAACGAACCCTCAGAGCACTACATAAGTACACATTTGATGTTTTATTCTTAAAACATTCACGGCTATGACCTGCATCAAATTATTCATGACATTGTCGCATGCATGCAAAGATCAAATTGACCAACTTCTACTCTGGATCGATTTCTCAACATGGAGAAAGGCGTAATTATTATACATAACAAGCAAAACACCAATCTATATAGCTCGAAAGTTGCTCTTTTAATTACTCTTTCCACTTACTCTGCCATAAAGTTTTTGCAAAATCACAATTGCATATATATCTCTTTATAAATCATCCAAGTTCTGACTAATAAGTTATTTTTCTGTGCCTCAGTAAATTTACGTTGGGTGGACTTTATTAAGTTAAGGCGTACCGTGTAAACCAAAAAGTAAAACATACGTGGCGATATCTCATTCAATGTGGGGATGATAAAGCATCGCATTGTTTTGCATGTATCGTTGTTGCCATTTCTCATCTTTACGAAGAACAAGGATTAGTCAGCCAGAAGCGAATAAGGAAAGCTCTGGAATATATTGAGCAAAGAGAAACGCTGAGAGAATCACAAACGAACAAAAGATATGCACTATGCAGTGTGTGTATATGTTGCATATCGTACTCGTCGTATAGCTTTACGGTTTGCATTTCGTTTAAACAAGTCATATCCGTGTGGTTGAAGATTTTTCTTTCTTGTTGCTGTGGTGTGTGATGTAGGTAAGTTTTCTGCTCAGTTTGCATTCAGCTCTGTGTTAAGAAGCATTTTAACCACAGAACTAATCAATTTCATTTTTGGTTTCAGCAAAACGCGACTGAAAACGAATTAAGAAAAGTAAATTAAATATTATCGTCAAAATGAAGGTCTCGTGTTCCGTGATGCTTGGCTATTTTGCCATTTTTGTGGCAATTGCCAGCGCATCTCCATTGACATTGGGTAAGACTTGTTTCAATATTTGCATACTTCAGTTTATTTTATACTGCTTTGTACTAAACTTTCCTAGTTATATTCTACTGATTATAACAATTAGGCATCCTTTATGATTTCTTCTAAGTTTTGGTTTGAATTTATGAGTGTCGCAATCGCAAAAAAATTAGTTCTGTCAGGCAGGATTAACGAGATGATTTTTCAGAGGTTGCAGTAACGGCACAATTTAATTGCATCGAAAATAACACATCCTCCTCAATAATAACATTCATTCGCGTAGGTATTGTAGCGTTGCATCAGAAGAACACACTCGAAAACAAATTTTGAGAACGGATATGACAAATTGTGCATTTGCATTTATTTTATTTTATGTCTACAGATTTCACTATTTACATATGTACAATTGTTACACCCGCCCTAATTGTTTTTTGTGTTGATCTATTTCTGTTACATTACACGGCTAAAAAATTCTGTAATTTTAAATCATCCATTTTCTTTTCTGAGCTTCGATTACGATGAGATAAGTATCTAAAGCTTGATATTTCTGTCACGTAAACAACTTCAATGTCTTTTGGTCTTAAGTGTCATTGTCAGTCTGTCGATGCATTGTTGTATGCAAAATATTACTTGGGTTCGGATTCAAAATCTGGAGGTAGATGATATTCAGCTAATAGCTGATTATCAGTGCTCGATAATTGTTGAACGGGTGTTGACCTCCTCGTCTTCTTCTCCTACTGAATACTGCTACTTGTTACAGTCACCTAACTAACCTGCATGGTTAGAAAATCTCACCAAACTAACTCTCAAAGTACCTTAGGAATATTTTGCTGGGTAGAATAGAGCAACACCATCAATATAATTATTGGACTTCGCTTCTTGGTTTGCATGGTTGTGGACACGTATTTTCGTTTTTTTAAGGCAGCTTACGTCAAGAAAAGGTACTCGCATTGTTTAACTTGTTCCATTGTTGTATTTTTGTCCCAATTTACAATGCCTCGCTCTCCTAAGCAAAAGAACCCAGTGTATGTTGACCGTGCTGATGCATCCGCATACAGTCATTTTGTTCTGGTGTCGCCACTATTATTTACGCTGCATATTGCATTCTCATAGTATTTATCTTTTGGTGATTCACAAAAATGATGTGAAAAGCAAACTTGTTTAAGTATCACCATTTCTTTCTTATTTTGTTACCTGTCTGTGTATATCAATCTGCACTTGTCTTTAAAGGTTGACATGCAACTCCTTAAGCAGGCAGAAGTCGCACAAAATGTTAAAAATAATCTAATCTAAATACGTTAAAAATAATGAAACAAGGCGTCACTCATGAAAACGCATAAATATGAATTTGTATTCTCCATGCAAGTATGTACTTTTCAATAACAACAACTACAAGATCATGAATTCAGTCTCCGCGTGAATAATTAATGCTGTCACTATGCACTCCGCCCACCCATTTACCTGTGACACCAGCAATAAGATCTGTTTCGAGGTCATACCTGTCCCTCGGGCATCTCACTCAGCACCTGATCACGAAAAGTGTTCATGCTCGAAAAAAGGACGGTAATAATGTGAGAGTAGTAAACAAAATAAGTGCATGAGAATAATGAGGTTTAGGTATGATAATAGGCATTTTACTATATTACTGCCATGCATGCACCACTACACATTCACATTTATTTGGTGGAAACAATTTCTAAGAAATCCCAGGTTATTAGTTTTTCGAAATCTATATTCAGATGGGAAACCCCAGTCCTTTTAAAAATAACCATTTCTGACAACGGGAATAATGGTACAAAGTTTCACCTTAAAGGTCAAACTGAAAATTTTTATAGCCCAGAAAAACCAGATAGTTATATGCACCATACCATATGCAACCATCAATTATAAAATAATATAGATCTGTAGCTGTATTCTATAGTTTGAGTGTTCATACAATACTTTGTTCAATTTTATGCTATGCGTACCTTTTCTCGTATGATACTATACTCATATTAAAAAATATGCATTGTACAATGACTTTAAGTTACCATTAATATTTTATCAAATTGATCTTTTTGTAACGCATCCACTCTAATACTGATTAATACGCACAGACAGGCATTATAATTTCTTCCGCAATTTAGTCCAACAGATTTCGTAATTATTAATGTACATAAATCTTATTTATTACGACTTATTTTGACTTGCATACACAGAGCGAGAAAAAGAGGCCGATAAGTCGATGAGCGTTGTGGATGTTCCAGCTGGACTTTTCGAACCAGAAGTTGTTGCAGAAGACAAGCCAAAACCTGCTGTGCTAGTGGAAAAGACAAAGACAGAAGCAGTCGGAGATGTCGTCAAGCCTGTTGAGAAAGTCGAGGACACCAAGAAAGTCCAATTGGGAGAAGGCGTACCTCCAGCTTCAGAAGACGGTCCCAACGTCTTCGGAATTAGATTCCCGTCTATTTTGATAATTCGAAGACCACAAGTTTTCCAAGATCCATTTGCTGGATTCCAGTCTCCATTTTTTGGTGGATTCAATCGAAGACCAATTTTTGCTCCACCTCCATTCGTCGATTCTGCTGAACAACCAGAGCAAGTGAAAGAACGCGAAACAATTGGGGCACAAGATTCCAAGGTGGAAGAACAAAGGCTAAACCAGACTGTCTCAAGTGAGTGTCATTAAATATTTTAAATGTGCTTTTCACAACATTCATTCATGAGCAATTTGATCACTTTAAATTTATTTTTATAATTTTTTAGACGTTATTCAACGCATGCACCAACAATTCAACAACGTGTTTGCCAATTTATTCAACCCACAAGGTTTCGCTATGCCACAAAGGCCAATTTTCCCTCAATTCCCCCCTCAACCTTTTTTCGCCAGACCAAGCATTTTCTCCCCTTTGCCTGATGACTCTTCTGAGGAGGACGCATTGAATTTCGACAAACTTCCAGCCAACTACAAGAACTCGACCTCGGAAACTAAAGTGATTGACGGTCAACTTGTTACCGTGAATAAGACGGTTCACAAAATTAGCGGAAATAATTCGAATGGATTCTTCCACTTTTCCGTGAGTATCGTTATTCCAAGAAAAAATAACCAAATTAAAACATTCATTTTGATTGTGTCCATGCCTAACTTATTGTATTTTTCCGTGAAAGGTCATTAATGTTAGACCTAATGCTCCGGAAGCTGTCCCTGAGGCTGAAGTAGTGGCACCTGCACCCATTACCCCTGTAGTCACCCCCGCCGAGTCCGTCCCCCCACAGACTGTGGTGCCCACGGAGGAGAAGACGCCGGAAGTCATCGTGGTAGAGATGGATCCAGCAATGAATGAAGTCGATCGTGCCGATAACGTAAGCCCACCAACCAACACCAAGGGTGTCGACACTGGACTGCTTGCATAAGCACCATGTACTATTATTATTTTAACAGCAACGTCTCCTCTTAAAACAATAATATTATCCCCTCTCACGCAAACAACGTCTTCTAAGCTCATGGTTTAATATTATATTATTATTGCATTTGGCGTATTTTATATAAATAATTTAAGTAATCAGCTATCGTCCTACTAAAAATACATACAAGTCTGAATCCTCCAATCATAAGTTGCAATAAGTACAATAGATATTTATATTATACACTTTCTCCTCTTAAATCGGTTTCATGGTGAGATTGAGAATTCACCGAGCACTAAACTCTGTTAATATTATTCACATCCAGTGCAGAACCCGTTAATTTATGTCGTTGCATTTAATATTTTGACACACTATTTAATTGGTGACATTTCAGTAATGCTTTTAATAAATCTCCCCTGCACTAACAGTAACCGTGTTTAAGTTTGCATTAATTTTTTAGGCAATTGTAGTAATAATAAATCATACATACGCACTAAGGCACCAAGATCTGGCTCATTTCATGTTTGCTATCTCTTGTTTTATTCCGTGTATTTAGGAGCAGCTCCCTGAAGTTGAACTGAAAAGTACCTATGAAATAAGGGGAGACAATGGCGTCCTTCCTACAAATGGACAGGAATTGACAGCAGATGAAGACATGGTCAAAATTGTTCCAATTCAATCAGAAAAACTTATTCAAGGTTCAAAGGGGAAGCCATTTACTGATCTTGCCAGCGACATTCGAGTCAATAATTTAATGGAAAACTCGAAACAAGCACGAGTACGTGCGTTATTTGACCCAGAGGAGGTCGAAATCTTTGAAGTTTAAACATTTCTCAAAAACAAATTATACACAAATTTGCGTAAAAAGATCATCGTTATCTGTGATAACTTATCACCATCATCCAATTATGCGGAATTACTTTACACAAATAATTAATTCTCATCCATCTCTTGTAAGTTATTAACGTTTCTAGTTTACTCAAAGATATAAAACACATTCATTATTTAAACAACTCTGTAATAACAACAATGACTTATGATATTATTGAACACATTATTGAAAAAAATAAAATATCTATCTGCGGTATGATTAAAAATTTTCTATTATTGTGGAATGACTAATCTGAATTAAAACAAACCCCATACATGCATTACATACAGTACAGTACATACTAAAATAAATGAGAATATATGTTTACGTTTTGAATATCTAGACTAATTTTAAGGACGGATCCTGTTCTAAACGTTTAAGATGGTCCCGTAAATTTTTTCGCAGACTGATTAGTCCATTTTCAATAAGGCCGGTAGCATTTTTGTTTGTTAGCTTTTGAAACCACTCGTCCTAAAGTAATTATGAAATCAGAGTAAAAATTAACCATTGTATTATGCATTATTACTTTATACCTTATTGACCGGATATTCAGAACATATTGAGTCAGCCATTGCTTCTTTTGCCACCCGTGGAACACTGCAGTGCAAAATGATGTCATGTTTTATTTCATAATAAGATAATTTGATTAAATTTCAAATAACTGATGCAACTAACCGTTCACCGTACACCTGAATCAGGAAGTGGCAGACATTTGTATTAATTTTTTTCTTGTAACACAGTGGCAAATCTCCTCCATTCGGGGCCACTTTAAGTAACTCGTTGTGAAGATTCGGCTCATAATCCAGTAGAATTTTTTTAATATTCTGCGTCACAATAAATTTTTGGGATGATTATACAAATGATGATTTCGTTAAATATTGAGAGATCAAACTTGAATACCACTTACAAACATTAAGAGTCCATCATTTCTAGTAATGTAATTGTTAGCAGCATGTTGACTTTCTGAACAGATAAAACAGGAGTATAAGTAGTCATTCTATGAATAATTAGTCAATTAAAGAAAATAATTTACCAAGCTGGATCATATTCATCAATAGTGACGAATCAAAACCACAACTATTTTCAGAATCACCACCTCCTATCGAGTCTCCACTATAAATAGCACGAGAATTATGTGCAGCTAAAATTAATAATCAACAAACAGAGGCAAGAATTAATATTGGAAATCATTTTATATACATACACGCGATTGCTATCTTGCCATCAATTGATCGATAAGCTGGAGAAGTGCTACCTGATAATATCGATTCTATTGAGGAACCGAGATGGCTTTGGCTTTGGATCCCCATTATATTGCTGCTGCTGCTGCTGACTGAATTCGTTGTTGTATCAATATTTGTAGTAGCAACGCTATTGCCAGTCAAACTGTTCCCGGAAGTATTCACAAAATTACTGAAACCGGGACTATCAGAGGAGGCAATTCCGTGGGTAGTGTTATTATTCACATTGTAGATTCCGGAACTTTGAGCAGTGCTTGTTTTATTCGTATTGGCACTACTGGTGCAAGGAATTATGTTGCTGAAACTGGTATTATTACTACTAGCACTTGTATTTATGCCCGAACGAGAGATATTTGAAATAGTCCCTGTGAACGTTGTTGCTGTTCTTGCCAAACCGGCGGGTAAGTTCGACGACGTGATTGTGGTCACATCACTCTTTGCTACATCGTCATCGTCATCTAGGAAAATAAGTTCTGGAGACCGGTTGTGTGCCGGAGCCATGGATGAAGTAGAAACAATTATTGGCGTAGTGGACATGTCACTGTGGTGGACGGCTCTTTGTCTGATGCCAACATTGTTTGCGATTCGTCTACGCTTTTGTAGTTGAACCGGTCGCATTTGTCGTACTCCAGGCCACGGTGGCCCTCTCTGCTGATGATAACCTAGTTGTCCCATCATAGAGGTCTGCTGTACATGCTGACTTGAATGCACTGGCAATGAGGGGACTGGCATAGGCATTGTAGTAATGGACACATTAGGTGGAACTTGTCTAGAAGATGAGATTGTTTGGGGTTGTTGTGGAACAAAGTTTCGATTATTCACCGGATTATGTACAGGCATAGATGATGATGACAATGACGATGGGGCTGTCCTGCTGGTTTTTGTAATGCTAGTTTGTCCCATAAATACCCGATTTTGAGAATTATTCATCTCTACAGATTGAAACTCACTAGATCCTCCCTCATTTTGTAACAATTTCAGCTCCACATCTAGCCGCAAGTCGTAGTCTGTGCATTAGTCAAATTATAATTAATGCATCAACTTTATCATCAATTCAAATTATTAGAAAACATTATAAAAAAACTTACTAAAAGTTTTCAAAATCCAGTCTTCCAACTGCTTCTTCCAAATAATCTCTTTCTTTGTCCTCTGTGCCATGGCTTTCAATTTGTACTCTAATTGCATAACGCGATTTAGCAAAGTGGGTATGTCCGCCATCCTGTCTTTGCACTGTCGGTATTATTTACTTGACATTCAAACTTCGAATTTCAAAACAAGTGGAATATCCTTCCTACCAGGCCAAATATATCCGGAATTTTAATTATAACCCAGTCATACAGGATGTAAAAATGAGATTCGTACAAAATATTTCGAAAACAAAACTGTACCAGATTGTATGTACATACTTTTGTATTTTGTGTTAAAATAACCGATTTCGGAAAAACATTTCGAGTGCAGAGTGAAACGGAAACCTTTACAATATATAATCTTTCTCACGAATAAAAACGTCCGCCGCATTGAATTGGGGTATACTGGCATATGCAAAACTGCAAAAAGTTGGTCGCATTACCGTCTCTCCACAAATTTCAATAACCATTTTACTTCAATTTATGACATGACCTGATGAAGGTATCTGTATGTACCGAAAGCTTGTCAATAAATACAATTTCAAAAATATGTCCTCCAACGCCGATCAATCTAATTACATAAATAACCCTTTTATTTATTAGACAACTACTATTTAAACTTTTTAGCATTTCCGTTGCGCAATAATGAGTTATTCGTCATAAATTTTGAGAACATTTCGAATATGATAGATCCCAGAAGTGGGCCACCCCAGTACACTACCAAATGGTCCCTCCAAGTAATTCCACCACAACCAAATTGAATTGTTGATGCCAAGATTGGATTAAAGTAGCAGCCCGTATAGGTAATTCCTGCACAGCCAAGAAAAACGTATGCATGTACAATAAACAATACCAAACATTCGTCAGAACATTCTTTGATTACTCACCTGCGTATACTATTGACACAAGAGTTAGCGGAAGTGATAGAAAATTGTGCTTTCTTTGTCCAAAGGCTTGAATGGCAAAACTAAACGCGAATGTGGCCAACGCTTCCACAACTAAACCAAGAGTCACAGAAACCTAATTTAGAGGACAAAAATGTATTTTACCTATTTATCAATGTTATGTAATATTGACGTATGTGCATATATGTATCACGGATTTAAAACCTTGCTTATTTTTGGAGACACATACCTGAAGATGAGTAAAACAATGAGCTTGCTGAATTCTTTTCAGATGGGTTATCCTATATCCTAAACTCCAGATAGGTTTTACATAGACCGTGTAAACTAACGAAGCTGCCGTCAACTGGGCAAATAATTTTGTGAGAGACGTTTTTAAGCCGGGTTTCCTTTGTAGAATGTCCAGAATATGGGGGTGTGGGGCTACGGTGGCAGATTGATTAGGGAAATTTGGAGATTTCCAAGCGTGTCCCCAGTAATTGAACATGATAAGCATGAGACCAGTGTATGCAAGAAATCCGTGAGTTTCGATTACTGTCAAGAGATGCAACTAAATTATGTTTTACGGTACGATGATCCTTGTTCAAAGATTTATTCAGATAGATTATGTAAAATTTTGTGAAAAATTACTCACCCACGCCAAACTCGAAACATGTTGCGAGTAGTTCGAAAGTGGCAATAAACTCGAGCAATATAATTTGGTAATATTTAGAAGCAACGACTTGTAGCAAAATTAAACGGGCAAGTCTCATCACCACTGCGGTGGTAATAATGTATCCCACAGACACACTAAAACTCGGAGTGTCTAATCCCTGCAATATCATGATTTTTAAAGTAAAAATCTGTTAAAATTTAAGTAATTACGAGAATGTAACTCGCTAATTCACAGCTGTGATTGTTTTTGCAGCCAGTTTGCCAATTCTAGCACAACGAGATATCACAGTTTTATCACAATTAAGTAGTGAAGTGAACCATGAGACCGGGTGCATGTACATATACAAATATGAACCAAACATCTAATCCCAAGTGAGAAAAAAATGAACACACGTAAGTGCATCTGGTTTGTGCGAATAGTCGCAAAAGGGTTCAAAATTGCTGAAAAATTGTCATAGCCTTTGGTTAATTTACCTTGTGTTTGACAGGTCTCATTCACTCACATTATTGAAGCTTCATACGGTATAAGAAAATTGGTATAAACATGACCAATTTTAGCATTTGCATGCAACATTTACATTTCCCAACATGCATGAAACTAAGATTTCATAATATTTTTCTAATATTAATCCTAAGTTGATGTATCCAATGTTGTTCTGGATTTGTTATACATGCATTATTACATCGAACCCGAGGAAACATTATTGGGAAACCTTGATCCCCGATAGCATGATATTTATAGGCGTGTGTAGAAACTCGAAATAGAAATCTCTCAATGAAATAATCTTGACCAATAATCCACCCACGACAAGTATTATTTTTAAATCACAATTTCCGTATAAATACTGGCCTCAACAATCGACAATATTCCAGTGCAAATCTTGTTCACAACCACGAAACATACTTGTCATCAAATAACTGAAAAATATACAAAAACACTTATCATCGCCGTCGTCGTCACCCAGAATTATGGAGGATCCAGAAATTAGGTTGGTCTACTTTGACATTCGAGGATTCGGAGAACCTCTACGGTGGATGCTGAAGATTAAAGGTACGTACGTGTTTCAAGTGAATTTTCCCCTCAACGATGTTCGCAATTGAACGAATTGGGGGAACTCAACCTGATTCTCAAAACTAATTAAAGGAATTGATTTTGACCTTTAATTAAAGGGCAAAAATTCGTGGACGAGCGTATTCCTCTAGATGCATGGGCAAACCAGAGGAAGCGAAGTTCGGGTGGTCTCGCTGCGCCAAAAGATCGCGAAGGGAAGAGAAAGTCTGCCGACAACTCTGCGACGTTATTACGTACGTATAAAAGCCTTTAAATAATTTCCAATCTTTCACTTAGAATTTATTGTTAATCTCGTTTCAAAATTAGGGTTCAAACGGTTTGTTGGACAACTTCCGTTGTTGTTTGTTGGCGATGACTTTGTTTTGACTCAAACTCTGACCGTGATGAGGTATCTGGCACGGAGATTTGGATTCAACGGGGAAGATGGATTGGAAGAGGCGAGAGCTGATGAGGTCGCGGATCTTGTGTATGACTTGCGACTACGTAAGGTTTTTAAAGACTTGAAATATTTTAGATTGTCTTTTTTTATTTGTCCTGTCAACTGTATAATTTTCAGGAGCTTGTGACTACGATGGGATCGCTTATAAATCCGCAACTCCGGATGTTTTGCGTCATACAGGTTTTGCAGAAATTTGAAAATCTAAATAAACTTGGTGTCATAATTTGTATGTTTTGTCATTTCAGTCTTTAGAGATTTTAACAACGCTCCAGAGAGTAAAGCCAAGGAAAAAATGAAGGATGACTTCACGAACATGTATTTTCCATTGTATTTTTCAAAATTTGCATCCCTTCTGGAACAAAGTGGTGGTGAATATATTGCTGGAAAGAGTCTCACATACGCAGACTTGGTAATTGTAAATTGTAAGTAAAGATTTTTTTAAACGTCTTCACTGTGAAAGCATATTGCACAGTACTACTACATTCGTATACTATTTGTACATTTTAGTCATCGAAGTCGTCGAGGACTTAATTGACCCAAATTGTTTGGCTGAGTTTCCAACTCTCAGGGCCCTCAAGGAGAAAATATTTGCAATTCCAGAAATTATTGAGTGGAGAAGTGAGCAAAGGGCAGCCACGATTGACTCTGGTTATCCAGAAACCGGATAATAGTTGTTCTTACATTATCGTAGACTCATATGTAGACTGAAATTCCAACAAAATACGTAAAACTGAACTCCATTCTTGTCGTTGTACGCAATAACAGAACTTATAAATTAATTTATGAAGAAGTTAAACTGTTTTAATTAGCATCAACATTATAATTAATTACTATAAATAAACGTTTCCCTCCACAACAAGTTGGAACGACTAACTTTCTTTCTGTAAAAGTTGGAACCTTATTTCATGAAAGGTGACTCACAATGCAAGTCTTTTACGTGTACAACTCAGATCTGGTTGGGACCAATTTTATTCTGTTCACCACAAAAAATAAGCATACCCGTATTTTTTTATTTTTCCTAATGCGCTATTTTGAGCGCGGGGCGCGAATTTTAAAACATTTTTCAGCCAAAACCTCGGTTTTTAAAAATTCTGCAAATTTTCGAATTTTAGCCCGAATCCAAAAATTCGAAAACATGTATCTTCACAATGACTTACTTGACTTGTAAAAAATCCAAATGCATTATTTTTTGAAAAATTAAAAATTTGAAAGAGTTTATAATTTTAATAAATTTCAAAAACTGGCAAAAAATTTTGAAAATCAAATTTCGAGACAATTGGATTTTTCATAAGTCAGGTAAGTCATTCTGAAGAGACATGCTTTCGAATTTTTGGATTCGGGCTGAAATTCGAAAATTTGCAGCATTTTTAAAAACCGAGGTTTTGGCTAAAAAATGTTTTAAAATTCGCGCCCCGCGCTCAAATTAGCGCATTAGGAAAAATGAAAAAATAAGGGTATGCTTATTTTTTGTGGTGAACAAAATAAAATTGGTCCCAACCAGATCTGAGTTGTACACGTAAAAGACTTGCATTGTCAGTCAAAATCCTATAATACACACGTGGTAAGTACTTACAACAACGTGGGCAAATAAATACGTGGGCATAACACCAAATCATAAACAACTCCATTAATAAATGTTGTTCATCTTCTTGACCTTTTAACCTTTTAATACGTGAGTAATGATTCATGCTGTTGAGTTGTGCTGTAATAATGCAACCCAAAAAAAGGATTCAGGGATCGAAAGTTGAGTTGCCCATCAACTCCCTTGGGTTGAAGTGAAGGCATGCAGGAGTAGTTCGTTGACAATGTCGCCCACAAAATACAAAATCCTCCAATCTGTCGGGAAATCGCCCCCACAAAAGAAAAAGTGAATGGAGGTGCTAAATTTATATAAAAATTTAAGCCACACGAACTCTAGAGACAAACCTTGTCAAAAACTTATTTAATTATCATAGCTCAACTACAGTACCAAGCTCAACAAAGCACAAGCCTCGCTATAAATGTGGTTGGGGTTTAGCCTTTTATCCGTAAAACTTTTTATACGCCAATTTTGTGCATGCTCACACCTTTGTCACGTATTTAGTAGCTCATCCATACTGGTTGCAGTGGCAAGTGGTGAATTTAGTGGATGACGTGACGAGACAAGGAAATGATAAAGACTTGGTTAGATAGAGAGTATATAAAATGCAGTAATGTAATGTAAAGTTAAGTGGCCTTTTCGTTTAATACGTATATCGTGGCACATATGACAAGGGAGGAATAGCAACCCACCCAAACTTGAGAAAATGGCACGAAGGGGATAGATTAGGTTAGATTGCCATTGCCCCCACAAATAAATTATCCAGCCAGCAGAGAATTTTATCTTGGTCCAACTACTTTATTAGACTTCTCCCACCCGGATTTGGGACCAGTTTTCTCCGGGCTTTCGCCAGCCCATAACCTTCCGTCCTCTTCGAGAGAGTGAAAGTGTTCCCACTCACAAATTCACTTGTGGAAGGCAGATTATCAAATAATAATATATAATTTTGGATTGATTTTCCGTGCCAATAAAAAAAGTTCATGGTCAACAAATAGTGAAAAGGTGAACTAGTATTATTTCATCAGTCAGTCAGGGTTTGTCCATCGTTGCTCTTGATTACACTAATTAAAGATGGGGATGCTAGTACAAACTTTACTGGTCCTCTGTATTTCTGGATACTCGTACAGTCAAGACTGGTATGAACAAAAGGTGAGAGCTAAATTTTTAATATATTAATTACAGATTTAACATATTTTGTGATTTTGAAAATGAGTTTCTTTTAAATCTATTTCTGATATAATTTCAGTACTATCACAGGCCATCCGAACTCGATTCTCAGACATATCAAGCTTTAGCAACTGGGGGAAATTCTGTCAGTTTTGAAACAATTGTAAATCCGCTTTTGTAAGTCAACCTTATTTATTTCTTGTCCTTTGTCCCTTGTCCCTCTTCAAATCTTGAATCGTGTACTTACACAATTATTGTAGTGGAACTACTACCTAAAAAATTTTAAGCTATAAAATAAAAAGAAGATAGTGACACTGACAGTATCATAAATTGCATAATAAACATGTTTCCTAACTTTAGCAAATAGGGATCTAATTGTAAATCAATGTTACTAGAATCCCGAGGGTACCTGGAACTGAGAATCATGTTGCTGTCCGTAACGTATGTACATTTTGTATTATTAATCCTATGTGTTATCTTTTATTCTGCATTCAATTTCCAAACGGATAACAAATAATATTTTTAACAGTACATCTCAGAGTTCATGGCCAACCTTGGATGGAATGTAGAAAAAGACACATTCGAAGACACAACTCCACTTGGTGTTAAACCCTTTGAAAATATTATTACAACTCTCGATCCAAATGTTCCTAGAAGGTAAAAAATTAGTGCAAAAACGATTATAATGAAAAGCCAATTATAATTACAATGATGTCAATCGAGTTTGAAATACATTCCTCGCCTATCTCCAGTGATTGGAGATATTGCAATCATTATTAGATTGTTGTACAAGCTTGTCAGAGGTGTTGGTGTATACATATTTGCGTATTAAACAGCTTAACCAGTATTCGTTATTATTTGTACAAAACATTCAATTGAAAGTTCAGATACCATCTGTTGATAATGTTGATAATTTAAATAGTTTGATTGTATATCGCATTATGTATGTAAATATGTACATAGTGTTTAGGACTGATGTAGCAGCAGATTTTTAAATTCATATTGTATTTTTTTCAGAATAGTTTCAGGATTTTATCTGTACTAAGCATTTATAAAGATAGATCAGCATAAATATGTATGTCTACTATACGATGAAAATGTAGACGATTTCCAGTTTTATGTTTGTTTCAGATTGGTGTTAGCTTGTCATTTCGATTCGAAATACACCCGAGAATACGCATTTGTCGGGGCAACTGATTCTGCAGGTATGTACCAAAATCAAAGAAACTTCACGGTGAATTTTCTATTATACAGCTTGTATTTTGAATTGAATTTAATTTCAGTTCCTTGTGCTCAATTGATGCACCTCGCAGCAACAATGAAAACAATGTTAGATAGTCATAAAAGTTCGCCACAGAATGTGACCCTTCAATTTATATTCTTTGATGGAGAAGAAGCATTCCAGGTTTGTCAATTTTTTAAATAGCCCATACACAAAGAATTTGTTCATTCTCAAAGTAAAATGTTTTATAAAGTACTGGACTGCAACTGATTCCTTGTATGGCTCAAGACATTTAGGTAGGTAAATATATTTCGTTAGAATATATATACTTATGAAATACATCTTGAATTAAATTTTGAAAATTTAGCTGCCAAATGGGAAGCAACTCCGTATCCTCCAGGAAATACAAACAGGACGAATGAGCTGCATAGAATGGTAGAAGGAGATAAATTCAACTTTCTGTATTTGAGAATATTGTGTAATATTGAAATTATGCTCTTGTAGGATATGATGGTGCTTCTTGACCTTTTGGGAACGAGTAATATAAGATTGTACAGCTACTTCCAAGAGACCGCCCATTGGTACAATACTATGCTGCAATCGGAGCAGCAATTGAAACGATCAAATTTGTGGAGTGGGTCAACCCGTACAGCCATCTTTCAAGCTCGTACTCAATTCGGAGGAGTAGAAGATGACCACATACCATTTCTTCAGCGTGGAGTGAACATAATGCACCTTATCCCATCTCCATTTCCATCTGTATGGCATACCGAGAGAGATAACAGGGAGGCGCTTGACTTTCCCACCATCGATAATTTAAACAAAATATTCCGCTTGTTTACTGCGAGGTATTTGAACCTTACTGCTTCCTCTTGACTAGATGCACCGGTGGAGGGGGAAAGCTTACATGAAAATAATCAAGGGTCAAAGTCCGAATTATAATGTTTCTGTCTGCTCACAAAACTTAGATATCTTTGGGGAAGTCATTCAGGTTCTTCGACAACCCATAGCCAAGTTCCACATACATCACCTTCTACATCTACAGGCACTACACTCCGTCCATTAGGATTTTTGAATAATTTCTTCAATCTGTTTGGATGATGACTGACATATGCCTACGCGATATTAGAATTATTTTACAACACTATCAATTGAGCATTTTATTCTATTAACACATACTTACAAAATGCAAAGCAGGTCACAGGTGTGGCTGACAATGGGTAAATCACGTGACAGACAATATCAGAAAAAATTATTTTCACATGACATTTGAACTTGCTTATAATTTTCTCCTCCATCGGGCCAACTTAAATCCATGTTGTAAATGTATGCATATTTTAGTAATTATCCTTAATTAATATGAACATAAAGGTAAAGGTGCTCCTTATATATTTAATCAATAATCTTTATGCAAAGTTCATGTATATGTATAATTACGTACTGTGTTACAATTTGAAACAAAAGTCTGTGATGCTCTTACGTTCATGTACATTCGGTTAGGTTAAATTTACAAGTCAAGTAAGAATTACAAAACTGAACCTGGTAAATTGTAGTTTAAGTTACAATCACATGACAGAAGACAAATTTTACAATTTTATGGACTATCAAGGACAGAAAAACTTTAACTATTGTACTTATAAATTGTACTTATTTCAAACATGTTTTATTTACTAGTTTCATATTAATTACAATTTAGGGAATGGATTAAAATTTTAAAAAAAGTTAAAACATATTTGATTGATATGCATACATATATGAGAATTGTGAATACTATAAAATAAATTTATTTTGGTAATTAAAAATAGGGTATACGATTTTGGTAAAATCCATTTAAAAATAAAAAAAACATTGCAAACTGAAAAATTATAGTTTTAAATCATTACGCCAAAATAAAATATGGACATGACAATGATATGATGATATCCTGCCAATTTATTAATCGACAGTAAAAGATTGTGCCACATTTATGCAAAGTACATACGTATGATACACATTTCTTCATTATTTAATTTCTAGAAAAATTTCACTGGTAGTTAAAACACTGCAAAATATGTACATAAATGTTCTCATGTATTTATTCTCATGTATGATTTTAGGTACAACTGGACGAAAAAGCACGATATCACATACTACCACGAAGAAATTCAGTGCATTGCAAACAATTTCTCATTCAGATCCGATTACAATAATTTGTTCCTCTCTGCATGGATCTCCGATTATTGTATTCATGCTACGCTACATTTGATGCTCAACAACATATAATAATATCACCAAGTGCTGTTTCATAATAAGCTGAACATGTCACCTGTCTTGTTATTTTGTCATGTCCCTTGTCTCACTTGCTCGAAGATGAAAAATGGCTTTTTCCAGAAATGGACAATCTAAAAATCTAACTCTTCATTCCTACGATAGCAAATGATAAAAGAAATATGACGCGAGATCGAGCAGACTTGCTGCAACTTGCAACTCATAATAATAACCACTGAGGAAAATGTCTTTAAGTGATATATTACGAACTTTGTATCTACTTCACTTCATTGTTGAACCTCTGTAGCATGTAAAAAGGAGAATAGAATCGAATGCAAATGGCAGGTTGAATCATGATAAATACTATAATTTATGATTTATACGAGGTAAATTAATTTGGACACCACAGCATGACATGACAATGGCCCTCGTCACAGAGTTTGTTATTTATAGGTCGTGAAATTATTCATTTGTTGGTTTAATCTTTGTAACATTTTACTACGATTGCTGTGAATGACGTCAAGTTTTTACTAAATTACAGCGAAATCTGAAGCTTGATACATGTATACATGTATGCAGAAGATTTCTTTTATTCATAGTTTCCTAAATTATGAGACATGCATATTATGAACTCAAATACCAGCTTTGCTCGAAATTGCTAGTCATAGACAATTGATTGTCGCATTTGTCTTAAGTTCTCTAAATTACTCAAGCACAAATTAATAATTGCGCTTGAGTCGACCTTTCATCCACATCGAAATATGTATCTGTATGTAATGCAATTGGTGAAGATATGATGCTGGAATTACACACATTCTTGGAAATTACCACTAAAACATATAAATGCTTTAAGATAATTAATGGCTTATCGTAAACAAGACGGGAACCTGTGGTCTGCATGTATACACATAAAAGCGGAGAAGGTATCACTTTTGAGTTTTTATCTCATCTCAGAATTAAAGAAAGTAAGAGTTGTCTCTATTCTACAACAGGCAGCTCTTCCTCCATGAGTAACATAAATATATAAATACATAAATCCTCTGATGCATAGCAAGTATTTCAAAATGAAGTCAAATGAAATCAAAATAGTAGAAGACACGGGCTCTTTATTATTCTTGCATACATTACCGGATGGCTATAATGGTTATAAAACGTTTCAAGATTACCAGTTGAACCGCAAAAGTCGTCGAACGAGATTTTTATAGAATCTCATCATTCTTTTTTTCCGACTAATAAAATACTTAAAATTGTTGCACGTCACAATGGACCTTGCCGACAGGATGGCGGATGCAACGCGTATGCAGGTGTATCTATCATCCTTGAATAATGTGCATGTGCATATATTTAGATTAATAAAGAAAGGCGATGCAAGACGGAATTAAAAGAATTGTGAAAGGATATAAAAAAGGGAAATAATTTATGACGAAGATCCAGCGATTTTCTGTGTGAATGAATGTGAATTGGTCCAACCTGGTCGGGAGTCTGCAGATGAGATGAGACTGTGATGTTGTTGTTGCTGTGTGAGAAACTTGCTCCCTGCTAATGCACATTTCTTTCTCTTGGAGCAGGCAGCATGTTGGTTGGATGATTGCAAGTGGCGAGCAGATTATGGAAGCAAGGCTGGAGTGTCAGTACGAATTTCGGAGGTCGGAGTCGAGCTAACCACCGGGGAAAGAGGTTCACCCGGACATTTTTCGTGTAAATGAGAGAGGATGCGAAAAATTCGGAAGGAAAGAGGTCCGGAAGTGAAGAATTGAGAAGAATTGAGAGCACATGTTAAAGAATCAAATTTCCCGTGACTCCGTAAATGGGAATCCTTTCCTTTCCTATTTTGGGAGAGGAGGCGGCTCAATCTCAGCACTCTTCTCTTAAGCTCTGCCTCTTGTGAGATCTGGTAAAAAAACATTGGCTGCACACTTCTTAAACATCTTTTTACACTACTCCCATGCCTAGGTATCCAACAAATACCAAATGCATGTACTAGATCAGTCATTTCGGCAGGAGAGACGGTATGGAAGAGACAACCTGCAGAGTCGTCGTGATACATGTGTATGACCACGAAAAGAAAGGACAAGCAGTGTTTACAAGTAAGAAGAACTTATCCCAAGAAGATGCGACATGCCTGCTTCCCTGCAATTCGTCAGATTTGCAACTTTCGGGCGGATTAAAAAGGAAAGAAAACCATATTGCTAAATGTTTGACTGACCGTTCATACGCTAGACATTTCGCAGAGAAAACATTTTTGAAATATATTTAAAGCGTACATGTGTGCAGAAATATGTTTGATAATAATGCTTTCAAATCTTAATTTACCCTTTACGCATGCCAGTTTTCCAATATAATACACAAGTAGCAGAGATATACATATTTTAATACTCATGTATACCACAATTTATCCTAAATGCTGCATAAAACTAATAAATAAACTAATCGTAAGCACATACAGCAAGGCAGGAAAGTTGTCAGAGATGTAAAAGTACTTTGTCTCTTAACCGCATTTTACATACTACGCCAGAAGGACATGGATGAGCTTTGATATATATTCACATACTTAATATGCGACGAAATGAAACGGATGTTTCTTGCACACACAACTCGCACACATCACACATGAAGAAAAGAGCGTTTCGCACACGCTCGCAAACTCACCCACTTTTTTGCTTAGTTGGATCATTTACAAATGTTCCCGTCTTATGTCCCTGCACTTCCTTCTTTGAATATGAAGACACGAAACGACAACTGTTGAGAGTTGTATGGAGTTGAGGAAGCTATTAAGCTATGAAATGGTATGTTTATTTGTGCATTATTTTGGCATTTCGGGGGAGAGAGTGCCAGGCATAATACAACCATTTGGAACAAGTTGCAAGTAAATGGGATTTTTTAGTTCATACATATATTCTCAACCAGGGAACAGCAGCCGTGGGTCCATTATCCATCGCTGCGGCTGCAACATTTTTACAAACCTTCTTTTCAGCTACTTTTAGAATATCAAGGCAAAGTCGGGATGCTAAACCATGCAAACTAGGAAGTGAACATTCATGGACAGAAATAGAGCCAAATTTTGCTAGAAAGAAAGGAGACTCGGAGCTTGGTCTCGTATCTGTCTCCGCTGTGAACACCTATACCTAAGTACATATGTACATACATATCTATCAAGGCCTGTGGTGACGGTACATCTCGCCGATTTTCCTTACATAATAGTAATAAGTGCCCGCATGTACATATGTACATACACATATACGAGGAGTATAATATGTACATATTGCATTATGAGAAAATGAATCCGCAGAAGTCTCCGTTCCTACTAAACCTATTTAGGGTGGAATTCCTGAATCTTTGTCCATTTACTGAATCTAGGCAGGCCAAATTTGTATTAAAAGTTGCATTTTTGCCAAAATTTTCTCCTGCATGGTTTATGTCTACGCTGTCTAAATACATCCAGCCGACTTAATTGTCAGTTGTGATTTCAGAATGTATGTCTTCATGATGAGGGGAAAAACACAATGGTAGACATGAAAGTCTGGCTGACCACGTCTGCCTTGATTTATTTATTTTGATGGTACCATGTCTGGTAGAATTAAGACGGGTTATAAAAACAGAACATCTCATAGACTTTGAAAACCATACAATTTACGTATAGCTTGCCAAGCACTCAGGACACACATTTATGCGAAACAATCTTACTAAAACGATCAAGTAAACCTTATTTCGACTCGACATTGACGACATTGGAATAATACAACGCAATCATCCTGTGTCATTTGGCACACACGTGCAAAATTTTTGACAATGAAAGTATATATGTGACAAAGCAAACTGATTCATTTCCTCTCTCATATTTTCATGAGATCTACACAACCTACACACATAATTTAGTGTACCAATTACAAATCACTATTCTACATACATATGTATGTATATACTATATTTCAAAACATAAGTTCATTTCTCAGCTCATTTTGGTCAGAGTCAATTTTATTGTATATAATTTCCGGAAAGAAATATATCTTATTGGAGGTTCTAAGGCTCATGCACGAGTACAAGTTTCATTCCTACATTGCACTCCCATGGATTTCTCTCATCCCCTCGGATGGCCAGAACTTAAAAATTGCACAGAATCCGTCTTAATCCGGAATGTAAGTGTAACAATTTCAGATCGAAATTTACTCTTGGTTATGAGATATAAGGGTAAAATTCCTACAAACAAGTTGTAGTTCTGTAGGGCTGAAACTATGACACCTCCCTAAGAATCAGAATGAAAATTCACTGGATAATGAGAGCCCTTTGAGATATGATATGGCTAGTAAATTCTTAAAGAATGCAATAAAACAAAACTAGAATGATCTTTTATTTTAGAGGTATTGTCCAAAGAATGGGATTCTTGAGACTGCATAACCAGATGAAACCTGACGGATGAGACTTGTATTCGTATGATTCCTGTGTTAGCCTCGAAGCTTTTACATATTTCACTAGCAATTTCGAATACTTATATGCACATAAACGTATCGATTGTTCAAAATAGTACTTCTTTCAGACAATTTTGGAAAAAATTTAGAGCTCATGCAATTTTATCACGCTCTTCATCCACGCATCTCTAGTTTCTCCAATTGAAGAGAAAATACAATGAAAATATTTACAATCTTTGTAATCGTGCATCTTCTCTTAATTCTATCACTGATAACTAATGGCAAATAATTTCCTCCCAGAATTTTTAGCCCACTATTAATCACATCACGCCATTCTGTGAAATCTCCAACGACTTGTGGTTTTGAGCAGTGTGGTTTGGTTTACTACACAGCACACACTTTAAAAGTATTTGATGAAGAGCAACTTTTTTAGCTCTTCTCGCATTAACTGGCTTCATCATATGGGTATGCATTTCGTTAAAACAGCCTTTGGTGGTGGTTGCTGATAGGGATTGTCAGTACTCAGCTGTTGTTGGTCGTGAATGGTCTTCCCAAATAAGTCCGGTTATACAAATATTACGTTGAAGACTTTGTATGTCACCTTCTGAAAACCAACGTGCGTGACTTTTTTCTCGACCCAAAGGTATCCGACATAAGAACAAAGAACAAAAGGACGAGCTGAGAAGCGAAAAGTGGAGGGAAAGTGAGGAACATTGTGAAATTATTTGAGCCTCGTCTCGAGTGGGAGAGAAAGCGAAAGCAAATCGGAGGCTGAGACCGGGAAAGGTTGGACTCGTCTTTTTTGCGACCAATACGCCGGAAATTAGAGTTTTCTGGTGAAAGCAAAAATAAAACTATTCAACAAAAGTTTTCTGTTGCTTAAGACAATTGAGAAATAATACTTTCTCCTAGCAGGTTACTAGTTGTTTCGATTTGAACAAAGAAAATATACAAATTATCTCCATAATATCCTCCTCCTGTTATAATCTAATTTTTTCCGGTGATTGAATAATAATGCAACACGCAAGACAACATCAGTTACTAATTACAACGTCAATAGTAAACTTGTGTCAATCAAAGGATAAATAATTAGTGGATTAGTAAATACTATTGCCACATGTCTAGCTAAAATTCGCACATTGGATGAAATTTGTTATTTTTGGACATAAAATTGTTTTTGGGATTCTGCGTACGTAGTTTTAATATATTTTGAGACCTTGTGGGTGTTTCGCCACACCTCCCGGTCAGCTCAAAACTGGAATTGGTTGGAGTCATGCAGAACCATTTGGACTCCCAACGCTCATTCTCAGCAATGTTGGGCGCAGATCCCATGTCGTTTGGACCTCCGGGTCACGAATTTACCACCCTGACTAGCAGCCATAATAATCATCATTCTCCGGAATTTGGTCACCTTCTTAATGCAAATGGCGGAAATCCTCCCCTGGTGAACAATAATCACAACCAACAACACAACAATAACAACAATAATAGCAATACTCCCAACCACAACAATAATAATGCAGACGTTAAGCCTAAAAAGGCTCCACCACCCAATGGAAAAAAGACTAAAGGCAGGGTCAAAATCAAGATGGAGTTTATCGACAATAAACTCAGACGTTACACAACTTTCTCCAAAAGGAAGACTGGAATTATGAAAAAGGTAGGTCATATTTGTATGCGCGTACGTAGGTTAGCAAAATATGTAAATAAATATGATAGGTTCTCCTTTCATATGAAGATATGCAAATAATCAGATCGCTGAAAGGTTTGGTTTTTTAAATGGAATTTCATTTTGAAATATATTCTGTGCTCTACATACAGACGCACATAAATTATGCCATGGATAAGTAAAGTTCATGTTCAGTTCATTAAACTAACGAGTAATTAATTATTGTGCAATTACCACAGTCAAATATAAAATAATTCCACGTATTTATTTATTTATTTCTTCTAGCCTTCTGTAACTTTGAATGGTTTTTGAGCCGATTGTGATTACGTAAACCCGTATTGAAAATCACTTGTCTTTATATTTTCGAGTCTTCAGCTTATTTATTAAACCAACATTTATTGCTAAAGAAGAATTTGCATTGATTATTGAGAGACCTTTCCATTGAATGACATTGTTTGTAGTTAGAGAGTGCGTGGTCATGCCATGATATTATTATTGTTGCTATAATATTGCTGTCGATCGAAGGATAGGCATATATCGACGTAAGCAACTCAAAATGACACACATATTACTCATATATTATATATGCATGTATGCAATTCCTACTGTATAAAATTAAGTACATTTAGTTAACAAGTACACCCCCATGTTGCCAGTCTTTGTCGCAAAGAAAGTGCTTCATTAAGAAAGTAACATTATCTTCCATGATGGCTGAATGTTTTTTTCTGGTCAAGCATTGAATTATTATGAGTGATCCACCGAAAATTTTATTTCCAGATATTTTTTAACAAATGTTACAAAGGAAATTTGTGCATCAAGAACAATGGATAAGTATCAGTCAGTTCAGTTCAGTATTAACACCTACTACATATCTTAGTTATCCATCCTATCATTAAAAGGCTCACGGAAAGGTATCCATCCATCTCCTCTGGTATAAAATCTGTATAAGTTCGCAATAATAAGCGTAAATATTTTACATCCCTGTCACCAATCTGCCTACAGGGACTTTTAATTCACTCTCATCTTGGCTCAAGTCTTCCTGAGTCTTGCTTGATTCCACTGACTGCATGTTGTATGTAATAATATTGTACGTTGCGAAGGAATGAGTTGAAAAAGTTAATCTATGAGAGCATGCACGCATTTAACATCTCCACTCTGCTCAGAGACGATGCGACCATGTGCGACTTTTACCCCATTTGCAGGTCAGAGGTAACGGTATGGGAACATTTTGACTTCAAATTCAGATTCTCCACTCTTGAAATAGTGGAGGGGTGTGTTTATTTTTGAAAATTTGAAGATTTTGAAGCTTTGATGTATCAAAATTCTCTCATGTTTCAGACAAGGAATTTGGAAGAGTGCAACTTCTGCTTGGGTCTCGCTTTTATATGCTAATGTTGCATCGTTGTTGTAATTGTGAAGCAGAGCTGTCTATAAACAACATTGCTTTTTGTTGCTCTTTTCTTTGCCTACTTAAATTTTGTGGTGTAGCAGGCAGCAGAGGTTGATGTGATACTATAGGACGTTATTCATTTGATGATCGTATTTTGTTATTGCATCACATCTTGTAATCCAATCGAACGTTAAATGTACACAGGTATCATTCGAATTTATTCGCGAAGGAAGTATAATAATGCAATCAACGTTTAATCTGATCTGGGCGATATAGCGTCTTTAGAAAGAGTTTTGACTAAATGTAGCACATGTCTTGTAAAATATGATACTGTTGACTGCTGCTGAATATGATCTTCCTTCAGCTCTTCCAAAATGCTCCTATAATTGAATCAAATTTAAAATCTGTAAGAAATGAAATTTTTAGAGCGATTCCTCTCAATTTCCAGTTCAACTCTACGCATTATGCCTCAATTCCGTAAGAAAACAGTTTTTGGTCTATTTTATTCTTGGCAATCTTATCATGTTCACTGGTCATGCGATATATGCAATAAAGCAACCGAGCGAAGTGGGATGGAGATAAGGTCTACAAAATGGGAAAAAGCTGCTAGTGTATTGAAAATTTGCCAAGATTTTTGTACCGAAAATATATGTATGTATCTGAACAGCAATGTGCAGGAATACCACTTATTAATTCGTTAATCCTATAGCTTAATTGATTCGTGCGTATTTAGATTGCACTTAAATTGTAGGAAACTTAAAGGCGTCATCTTCATTATTTTATGTATAAAAACTAAAATTTGTCTAGTGGCCATTAAGAATAGAAAAGTACATACATGTTACAAATCAAGCCAGAATAAAAATATTGTACAAAGCATATTCCAAAGTAAAATCATTTACTTTAGTCTCCCTCTTGAAACCCATTATCTGTACAATCGAAGTATTAAATAAGATAACATAAACACAGAACTGGTGATTTTTAAGTGTAGTGATCTCCAACCAAAATCATTGAAACTAATTCCCAAAATGGGCAATATTTTTATTTTGTCGGCATCAATCCAAATACAGCTTATTATATAGCGGTCTGATCTGCATCCGTCATTTAATTCTACCATCCCCGTGTACAGCAGTAGAATTGCAGACAAATTTATGAGATTGAGACAACCCAACGGTTGTGGTTGTTTAGACTCACATATGATATCAATGATACATACATATTAACAAAGTGTACAAGCAAAGTAAAATGAACAATATGGATGAAAATCATGCGAATAATATTTTAAAATCATAGTTCAATACATAAAATGTGGGATTGGCGAGTATTATATGTACTTTAATAATTAATGAGTTGGTCCACTTTATCTTAACATATTGTTGTACTTGTCGCCTGAATATTACTCTCCTAATGATCAAACCACATGTTCGCTTAATAAGTGAAAATTAGATTAACTTGATGCAATGCGCTTTCTTGTTATTGTAAATCCATCGGCGGATACATTTAATGATCTTCGTGTTTGGTCGTTATTTTTTGTAGACATGTACGTTTTTGGACATGTGGCAGATGTTTGCCCAGATGAAGTGTCAACTGATCCTGTGGTCATCTTGTCGATTTGATGCCAGTTGACAGCGACTGACATAAATGGTTTGTCACAAATCTTCCTAATCGCTCTTGATGGATTAACTAAAGAAATTCTTGATCAAATGATCACGTATTCATATTTTGATTTCTCTCACAAATAAAATCAGTCCTGTAATGCAATGTAGTGTAGATTTATGATTAATATGTATCAATTATCCTCATCTTTGATTATTATCCGTAACACTGCTGGATATTTATGGCATGATAGTGATTCCTTGTTTTTAGTACAATATTGCACTAGACATTTATTTAAATATTTCCAATAATTAGAAATATTATCTAAAATGCAAAATTCAATCAATTGAATTAAATTTCTAGTTGTGTACAGTACAACAACCAAAGCAAAATAAGTATACTTTTTTAGCGAAAATGCCTTAAGAATTCTGTAGTGGATTGAATGATCAATAGTTTGAATGCAATTTCAATATATGGCAATACGTAACAAAAGTAGCCACACACAACAAATCGTAAATCGAACAGATTAGGTCAGCAAGACGCCATACATATGAATGAATTGTACGAGTGCGTAAATGGATCGCTGGTTTTAGTTGTGAATGAATAAAGCCACATCCGATATGGATTTAAACACTTAAGTACAAGTGAAAATATAATAGAGAATTTCGATTATGAAGTCAGCCAAGTCCCGTAAATGTCCAGCATAGGCGTACATGGTGGTGCAGTACTTTTAAAGAGGTTCCAGAATTGGTCTAGTCCATTTTACTGTGTCCCTCACACCTATATTAAATGGTGATTTGATTTCCTTATGGGAATTTTACTCCATGTACCGTACTGAATTACTGATAAGCACGAAAACGAAAACTGATCTTGCTCTATGTCCGTCCGTGGCATACAGCAAAGACCATTTTCTATATTAGGTTTCATGCCTAATACGTCCTTTAAATAATGGACGTCCACAGCCTAAATTGGGATCCTTGACTTTGCTTCGATTTCATTATTGCATATGTATTACGTACCATGACCTTTCTGAAACATACGTTTGGGTAAAATTTGAGAAGAAGACACAGTGAAGCGACAGAATCACTTTGATTTTTAAAGTGGAAGTAGTAAATCATTATTCATGTGCAATCGAATCATCAACGGTCAAACGCCTTCCCACGAGTAGGTGTCAACCGTCTCTGCTCTGACAGGGTGAGTAAATTATGTTTTGGACGTTGGACTTAAAATTAGTGTTTTTGCATAAAATCTTGAAAACAAATGATGTGCTTAGTCTTCCACTGGGTGGCAATTTGCATAAATTAGTATTCATGTGGGGTCAAAATTCTTTGTGGGATGGATTTAACGAACCAAATACTTTAAAAGTCAAAATGTTTACAACGCTTTGTTCTAAGCGTTCTAACACGTAAAGTGTGCTTGAACTTGGGCAAATTTTTCGTGGGTGAAACAAACAAGGTAGATGTATATATATATTCACATTTTAATGTTTCACAGTAAGGTTAAATTAGCCGGCGTGAATGTGTACGTGCAGTACAATTTACACCAAATAATTTCAATCACATAAAAAAGTATTGTGCGGATGAAGTGTGGTTAGGATGATATTCAGTTCAGAGGCGTTTCACTTTCTCCATGAAATATTTGAACGATGATCTCCCAACCTGGTTTGTGTTTGCGGTACACAAGAGACGCGTCTTTGCATAGGACTTGAAAATTTTTTCCCGAGTTGCTTTTTGATACGATACAACGGCGTACGAAAAGTAAATCATTTTTGGTTAAGAATTGGTCAAGATGTAGCCATTTGAAGTGACAGAAGGGTGCAAATTCTCACCCGGCCGCCGTCTACAACGTTTCTGCGATTGTATGTAGCCCTTTAATATGCATGCCTGAAAGCCTTAAAGCAAGTTTTATGCTGATGACTGGCTCAGCAGCAGTGCAATGCGATTGAGGTAACAACAAACCTCGGAACTTCATGAATGAATGGTTCATTTATTGCCCAAAGCTCCACACGGTTTCCATTTTTTGTCTCATCTTCAGTTGCATACATACATATAGGTAGTTAGTATAGTTAGTTTATGTGCTGCCTGGAAATAATAGATTCGTTTGTATGTTTATTTATTTGCTTCTATTTCTTTCTAAATCACATCCGTCTATATTGTCTGCTTTTTTTAATATAATGGATTTGTATATACATATGTATGCATGAATGATATTTATAGCTTCAAAAATACAAATGTGACAGTAGTACTGCCGCAGTAGTAGTTCTATAATAATTCATCTGCGGTGTGTTTTCGTAATTGAATTAGGCACCGTAATTGAATTAGGCACCATTTACTTGCTGAGGAAGAAAGCGATAAAAATTCCTTGAAGGCTTCTAACTTTTGTGATCCATATAATTAACAAGCACCTGTCCAGTCCACTTTAACTTCAAAACTTTAAAAGGAGTTGCCTTAAAAATCAACCAAAAAGCTGCTCTTTATAAAAGTACGTACATCGTTTGAAATCTTGTGATGATCCTGCTACGTACAACGTAATTGCTACATATGCGTACATTTTATGCCATTGACTTGACGCCACATTTAGAAGAATATACATGCATATTCTTTCTGATTAAATGTAAATCCTAATCCTATAAACAGTAAATATATAACAATAATGGGGGTGGGTATATTTCATTTCCTTGTTTCACTCAAGAGTGCTTGTTATTTATTTTGCTTAATATTTTTGAAATATGAATAAAAAGTTAAGGATAATCGAGATAGATCGGCAATTGAGAGTAATGTGTATGTACATGATTATGGGCACGAGTGAGGGTCACAAAATGTATTTAAATTTATGCACTAAAAGACGTGTCCATTATTTACTTGGGTTTACTGGCATTCTGTCAGTCCAGCAATCTAAAATTTAATCCAATATCATTACCCCATTCCAAGGGTACTTGTGCTTCTTGAATAAAAAACAAGTTGGCTCGCCTGGAGTTGGTTGTTTCATTCCTTGCTTGAACTACAGGCTGTTATCTTGAATCTTCTTATGTTCACTGTGAAACTGATCTCACGGATAGTAATCGGCTATTAACACTCCACATATCAAAGCGCCTCAACCGCCCACGCTCCTTCAGTTGTCCACAGCATTGTTTGACTTTATAGGCTTTTAAGCAACTCTTGTGCCAATGTTCTCGTGTAGAAAGAATGCAATTTTAAGTAGTAAAGAGCCTCGACTCACATTATCATTTTAGGACAACATTGGCTTTGTATTATAGAATTCTGTTCTATTGAATGCATATTAAATTTGTGGATTTATAATTTCTGTCTGGCTGGCATTTCTACAAGTTGTAACGATTACAAGCAACTTTTGATTGAACTGCAGCTCCTGTTTTCTTTCGTGTTAAAATAATAACACTTGCTCGTTTAGGAAATTGTCAATTCCTTCACGTGCCATTGTCTTCTTTGTAAGAAGCAACATTATTATTGAAACCTTTATATTTTTATTATTAATTCCCTCGAGTGGCGTATTTCATTGTAGGTGCCTAATTCATTCGGGTTGACAGATTACATGTATTAGTTCACGTCAACCTACGGCATGCCAAATGTTCAACAACGTCTGACTAAAGTCGCCCCCGTCTGATTTGACTTGCTTGAAGGATCTTGAAACCATAAATATTTTCTATAAAAATGCCATTGGGAAAATGAGATAGTCGACAATAAAATATTTAATGTCAAATGTCAAAATGCGTTTATTTGCTTAAACGAGCGTATGTCTGGTAGAACCCATTATGAAAATTGTTTCTTTTGTGTGTAGGCGTCGATTTTACTGATATTATGTATTTCTTTTCCAGGCATATGAACTCTCAACTTTGACCGGTACGCAGGTGATGCTCCTCGTAGCGTCAGAGGTAAGGTTACCCTCTTGTTTTATTACAATTAAAGAATAGAACAATGGTTTAATTAATTGTTTTCTAACTAATTATTATCTAAAAAAGACTGGCCACGTATACACTTTTGCAACCAGAAAGCTGCAACCCATGATTACTTCCGAAGCTGGGAAAGCATTAATACAAACCTGCCTAAACAGTAATTATTACAGCATTCCGTCTCACCAATAATCTAAACCGAAACGTGATTATTAACTTGTGGTTTCAATTTGTTGTAAATAGGTCCCGACCCTCCTGGAGCTGGAACTGATCCTCAACGAATGTCCGCAACAGGATACGAAGAAACCGAGCTGACTTATGCAGCAGATCCGAACGCGTCGGACCACGGTGACACAAAAGTAAGACTTAGTAGTAGCCCTTATTCAGCGCAGGGACAACCAATGGGGGGACTTCATCACTCACCCTCCGTCTATGGGTCCCCAATAAACAATAATTACCACTCCAGTCCAGGGATGATGTTTCCTCATAGTCCGAGTCCCAATTCTAATGTTTTGTACCATTATCCTTCGGACCCCCAACCACCCCAATGTTACCCCGGCGGAATGCATTCTCCCACAAATTCTCCCCATCTTGCCCATCTTAGAGGTTAATAAGTTTCAGGACATTCTCAATTCGGAGAGAAATGTTCAATTCACGAAAAACATGCAAAACTGAAAATCCTCTACCATATTATTTACCATTATCTTCCACATTGTGCCAGCTTTTTTAAGTTTATGATAATTTTTACTAGATAATTTGGTATCGTTTTTATTGCTACAATCTTAAATGTGAATTTAAGCTACGAGAAACTTGATTATTTAACTTCTAGGTAACGATAATAGAATGGAGAAGTTGGTAAAAGCTGAGATTATTAACTTGCTCAGATTGGAGGTTGTGCTATTTAGATTATCAAAGTCACGTGTTTAAACATATAGGGACCGAAAACTGCAAGTATGACCGTTTCATTTATTGAGTGAGCATATATTTCTAAATTTTATTGGCTTAAAAAGTACGGTGCTAGGTAAATGTGTGTCCATTTGATTTCTCGGTATGTCGTTATGCACGTGTTATGGAGATTTGATTCGGAACTATTATGAAGACCGATTTCTCTATCATGGTCTCAGTCCGCCTCCAATGCTAATCAAGTGGGCACATGATTGACCCGAGACACTAATCGGGTCTTTAGATCTGGGATGTGTAATAGTAAAAAAAAGTCTGTAAACCACACATACATGAAAAGCTTTAAAAATATTTACGATCTAATTCATTTGATACACAGCAATCCTCTGCTGTCCTCCGAAAACCACGGAAAGGAGTTTGGTTTGACGGAATGATTTAATTGCATACATAAATTTTGTAGATTGGGAGCTGGTCATTTGCTCACAGTAATTTACCACCGCAAACTAAATGTAGATCAATTTTAATATGTAGAGCACTTCCTGGATACCAACAAAGGAGCAACGAAAAATAAATTCATGGTCAATGTAAATTTGATTACAAAAATTGGACTCATGATTTAGATTTAGGTGCACACGGTATATTTTCAACGATAAATCAGTGCCAAAGTCTGCTCATGAACAACAAGTGGATCTCTTACTAATAACTAAATTACTAATACGTATATTGTTAATTGCATGTCTTACCTTGAGGATATCTTTACTACGTGGCTGAACTCTTCATTATACATTTACGAAGGTGCTTAAGTATCTATTTACAAACAATATTTTGGCGGAATGTGCTACTACTGTTTCATTTGCTGGGACTCTGAAATCGAGGATAGAGTTTTACAAGGGAACTGGCCAAGGTGTACAGCTGCTCCTCCCATAATGGATGAATCCACAATTACATTACCCGAACAGCCGAATTATTTTATTATTTCACAGCACTTATTTTTATTTTGGCGTTCAAATTATTCAATTTCGTATGATTTCTAATTCTATTATTTTGATTTTGGCGTACAAGTCTTACGAAATTGAATAATTTGAACGCCAAAATAAAAATGAGTGATGTGAAATAATAAAATTATTCGGCTGTTCGGCTAATGTAATCCCGGATCCATCCATTATGGGAGGAGCAGCTGTACACCTTGACCAGTTCCCTTGTAAAACTCTATCCTCGATTTCAGAGTCCCAGCAAATGAAACAGTAGCTACCAATGTCTTAAAGCTGGAAATATAATAATATTCTTCACCTGGATTTTCACATCACTTTGCATCATATGTAGGAATTACATAAAATACTGAGTGCTGACATTTTGACAATTTCAAGTTCGATCACAATCGGATGATTGATAAATTATGTGCTACTATGTACTAGTGGGGTTTCTAGTTCTTATTTTGGTGTCAATTTCATTGTTTTGAAAAATATGGAGTACTTTGTGCTATAATATTCATGCACACAAACATTAATGAACGTTTCAGTTCCGTTTTGTTTGATTCTCCTCTATTGGCTTGTCCAAAATGAAAATATGGTACTGTAATTACCCCCAAAAGTCTTAAATACTTTCTTGACGGTCATATTTTTCACAACTTCAAGCTGAAATGAACATTGTAATTGTGGTAAGAAAACGATCAATGGCGGTGAAGAAAATAAATATTGGTCTGGTTTAAAAAGACCAGTCTATTTTTTCATGATGGGATCGGTAATTGTTATGATTGGTTTGAATTGAGCCCCTGAACAACACAATATTGTCTTTTGTTGTTGAACTTTATAGTTTTGTTCTTAGATTTTTGCACTCAAGCGTTCATCTTCAAAGACATGCGAAAGTTGAGTTTGGTCCATTTGGTTAGGGTTTGTCGGCAGCAAATGTTTACTGATCTCAAAGTCTCAAACGAGGTAACAAAAGAGTTTCAACATTCGTCTCGGTGGAATTCGAATACAATAGTTTGATTTGTCTTGGTCTTCGCTGTGTTCTTTCGCAGGCAGAAAATGAATGAGCTGAGCTCTATATGGTTTGTTTTTTCTTTCCGTCCATCCTTCCTTCCTTCAATCGTTGTCATTCCGTAATCACTATGCCGCAAGATCAAGAATTTCTTGTGTTCTGTGTGTGTCTTGTTCAAGAAGCAGGTGGTTGTTATTTTTATAATTTAATTTCTCCAACCGAATGTTGACATTTAGTGCATGTCTGCAAATGCGCCCAACTCGCCACTGTGTATTAAGCACAATGAAGACCAATTCCATTTTTGTTAAAATAACATGCCACGCCAGCACTCTTGCGACCACATAAGACGAGGCTTCTCACCTTGTATTAACGCTGTACAAGGGCTAACAATCAAGTGATTCCTATTCGATTGTTCTCAAGATCACACAGGTCGTTGAATCAGATATTTTCGAATTAAATTCTAAAACTATTATTCGTGAGGCTTGAAATTAGTATGATTTTGACAATCAATTTGTAATCACACAAGGTATGCAAACTTTGTTTTTAGGTGCATAAATTAAATAAATTAGACGCGATTAAATTGACAACAGATTTTGGTTTGGTGTATTTCAAACGATACGTTTTATTCACGTTCGAGGAATGTGTGTCTTGCCTTCTGCAATATGATTTTATGATGAAATTTTAAGCCTCACATGAAGAGACTGACTTATGTATGGAGCCATATGGCTATTATTGCCGTTACCCACCAAACCTTAGCTCTAGGAAATATTTTTGATATTGAAGTTCTCTTTCGTCAGTTTTATAACAATCTGTGTGTCATACTCGGTCTGGTAACAGCTCAAGATTAATATCAATAAATGAACACGCTATTGTAATTAGTGTTCACTGGACAGATGTGTGTGCATGAGGAATATCCCGAAAAATTCACGTTAAAACGGCTTGTTCTAAAATTGCATTTATTGTCAGAAAATCTTACACTGTTTTCCAGAAGTTAGAAATTATTGTGGTCAAATTTGTGAATATAGGTATGTGCAGCATCTACAGTTCACTTTTATTACGAAGAAACTCTTTTATCTGATAGGACTCGAGTTAATAAAATGTTTGTGTCAAACAAAAACTACTTTTGATGATGGAGAGTGTTGTCTCGTGCCTTGAGAAAAGTGGAGAATCCTGTCCTCCCACGTGCTTTTTATATTATACAATCAACAAAGACATGATAAAAGGAACACACAATTTACATAAAATTGTACCCTCTGGGTCCTAGATTTTACTCACCTCATAGTATCCAAGAGTTATATGCATACATACATAGACACGATCTTCTATAGTCTGTTCTTCTATATTCTTTAGTCTGTTGTTGTTCCTGCAAAGCCTTTAGACTTTAAACTTTGTTGTCGGAGCTGGTACTATTGCCTGAAAGACTAAGAATTACTTTTGATTCTTCCCTACTGAAGTCTGCCTTGTTGGATTTATGCAGTCTAGGTACATGCAGTAGGGATTATGAGCACTCACTCAATCGATATTAACATGCCAGGCGGATGCTATCCGAATTTGGTTATGCCTGCTGACTTTCTTCAAAAGTTATTTCATGGTTCACACATCGACGTTAAGTTTCACTTTTCTCTGACAATCAACAATTTTTATCTGCAAAACAGTATGCTCCTAAAATTATACAACCACCAACAAAATCGTATTTGCAAAACAACGCTCTGTTCTGAAAATTTGTTTTCAGCAAAATTTGTAATGTTCTTTTAAATAACCCTTAAACTGCGTAGGTAATGACGTCTAACTATTAATATTACATTTTCAAATTGTGTCAAAAGATACGAAGACACCATTTGCAAGCTCGGTAGCTAAAGAGCAAGGTGCACATCAAATCATAATTATGCAATTAATATGCAAATAAACTTGAATATGACCACACAATTCTGTCCATTAATTCAGCCATAAATTGCTTTGTCAGGTGTGTTTTTCTCAGTTCTGTCCGTGAGAAAATAAATGTGGCGATACATACGATGTGAGAGTGAAAGTGGGCTGACTAACTCAAGAGCTAGTTGAACTGACTCAATGAAACTTAAGTCGAGTAGTAATAAACCGTCCTGCTTAATTAATTTTGGTTGAATCAGTTAGCGCGTCTTCATAGGAATAATTGCTAATTAGTTTGGGTAATATTTTACCAGCCCAAATAAAGTCAAAGCCAACCTGTAAAAGTTAAACTCGGTTCAATTACCATTCTTCTTGCTCAGTTGATACAATGTCCGTTTTTGGCAGACCCAGTACCTAATTAATTAATTATTTTGGACGAAGCTACATAATAGATGCGTTCAAGTACATTTTATTTGTAACTCTATTAATTTTCCTCCATCAAAATTAAAAAAAACTAATATTCAAAGGTTACATGGTGCATAAGCTCTTGTTGTTAAAATAATTCAATTAGATTCAGCATGTAGCCACATTCCGTCCACTAAAAACTTTACCATGATGATGAAATATGCCCTCGCAGATTTCTGTGATACTTTATAGATTATTTAACAATATTAATTACGTACTTTTCTACCACATCCACATTCCAAAGGGTTTGCTTGATTGGCTCTAGTGGCAGCTCATCGTAGTATACACGGCGACAGTTTGTAGTGTAATGTTCATGGAATCTCATTCTTTATACATAATATGTATGACAAAATAAGCTTTAAATTGTGTCAAGTAGTAGGAAGGAAGCATGCATGTGTATTTAGCTTGTAAAATAAGTCAGCATACATATGTAGATTGTATATTAAGTTCATTTTACAACAATCGAATAGTTATATCTCATAGATTGTATACTTACTTGAACGAGATTGGGACTGCTTATTGGCTGTCACTTGCGTATATGGTTTGAGTGACACACGAGAAAACACTACGAGAAACGTCGAATAACCCTCAACGTAGAATTTGATTGTCATTTCTACAATTGTTTGATGTTTGTCTATTTACTGCGTACCACTGTGTCATGTCACATGGTGAAACTCGTTGATGTAGGTGTTGATGTTGTTGCGTCTGAGGTTGTCATTTCTTGAAAATAAATGTTCAATATTATTTAGTTCAATAGGTACCCATGTATGTATTTCGATGCATGTTGTTTAATATGTATGCATGCATGTGAGCAAGCATTATGTAGCAGCAGTTTTTGCAACCAGTAATAAATAGAAATAAGTTGTACATTCACGAGCATAAGAAATTTAACGAGTTTGTGTGTAATAGATTGTAAGAGTAATGTAATATCCAATTCATGGATTGTGCGTAGGCGTCGTGGAAGAGATTTGAAATCAGATAGAAGGAAAAGCATTATCTTCTCATGTTTTATTATGCATAGCAATTCATTTAGCAATTTTTATAGTCGATTGCACTGGTGCCTAAGCTATTTCAGCCCCCTCACATGTCACAAAATTCAATGAGGGGGTTCTTGCCTGTTAATAATTTCTGTAGTTTTTATCATTTTATTATTATGCTTGATTAGTCTTGAGTTTAAGAAATGTCTTTTGTAAGAAAATTTCGTTTTAGACTATTTAATTGCAGGTTAAAAATAATTTAACAAACTGAATGCAAATGTTTTACACTACATATTCAAGTACACAATGTGTGCTTAAAATATGATCATTTTCGCTACTAACCTCGTCATTTTATATTATTATTATTGTTGTTATTATAATTATGATTATTTTAATTAAAATACAATAGATTTACATTATACTTGGCAGCAATAAATGATAAACAAATGTACATGTCGCCACTGCTATAATTCAGAATATGTAATTTGTTAAAGGCATGCATGCAATTGTATTTGAGAAGATCTCACAAACGCAATGGTATCCAATTCTTGTTCAATCCCCTTTCAAATTAGTTTCTCCAATTACAAGCAGCAGTCTTTGCAGTTTGTTATTTTAGGGGAGTTTCCTTATTGGAAGGCTTCACTTTTATATTAATTCACACCGCTTCTGATTTGCAAAGAATTGCATTGGGTGGAGTTTGTGAGATTGCTGATTCGCTCTGAATTTTTGCATGCCAATTTAATCTACGTAACAAAGTGGTTGCAACTGATGTGACGTTGAAAAAATAAATTATGAGATGAGATTGTCGTTTTTATTTCATTTACTTTTATGACTTGATCAACTAAAATATTACTTTTAATAATTCTAATCTTTGTTACTACATAGTTTTACAACTAATTAATTGCTCATGTATTAATTAATTAATTAACTAATTAGTTTTTTAACGATAACCAATTAATCTAAGTCTGATTCTTATCGTAATGGTACATATTTATTATGACACTAACTGTGATAGTAACTAGAAAAAACTGCTATCGTGTATGGAGCATTGGTGAAAGTAACTCGTTATAGGATGTGAGAGTGAAAGCAGCCTTAGCGGAAGGGAGACTGTTATGAAGATGTACCAATGCATTGCAAATACATGCATAAACGTGTTAATGAGGTGCTATTTGTCAAATAAATGTAAAAAGTCATTGCTCGACTCTATTCAGCGTGGCGACAGAAGACTGGAATAAGATCAATTTTTATTGTGATAAATTGTGGTCGCCACGTTCTGAATATTTTATGAAACCATTTTCGAGTAAAAGCCAAGGTGAAGTGGAAAGACGACGTCGAGCCCGTGTTATTATAATTTATGAGAGCGAAGGAACAGCGAGTCCCTGCTTTTTTGGACCACTACTTAACTACCATCATCTTACCTCGTTCACTACAAACGCAAGACCTGCTCCACCTCAGCGTGCCACCTTGGTCTTCGTAGGAAGAAAAGTTATTAATTTGCATCAAACTCCAATAAATATTAATCCAAAACAATTAGTAGATATATACAATAGTCGCATTTTGAGTACCTTATTTTTTCTTGCAGCTTGAATTAATTGATTATCTCACTAATTCTTATAATATGACTAGCACTAAATATTAATATATTTTTACTAGTATTACTGTTACAAGTATGTATAAGAATCCAAGTAAAATCCAATAGTTTCAGTCTATCTATTTGTATTATGTCTCGTATCTACATATGTATGACGATACTGATGATGACGATAATTGTAATTTATTGAAATTGGTACGTGCAGTTTTATCTATGTATTAACTGTTTAATCGCAATCGGTCTTCTTTATAGTTTCGTTCCTCAACTTGATGTGGGTTGTTAGGCATTTCGTTGTGAGCTTCGTATTATCCTGAATGTTCGTGGTATCCTGAAATATTGATTAAAATCATTATTCCATCAGTGGTGAAAGGTATATATTTTATTTAAATGTAGGCGAAAAATACTGATCCTGAGAGAGAAAGCTTAAATTATGTACACAAGAGTGGCGCAGAATACTTGATAATTTTCACCTGCATTTGATTTACAAGTTCAACTCACAATACAATTGTCAGCATGAATTTGGGTTTGAAATAGAAGAAGGGGGGAGTACTTCTGAGTAACCCCAACGCAATTAATGCGCAGTCTGAGAAAGGAGCCTGAATTAAGGTATCCGTCCAACCGTAGGTACATTTCCCTTTCCGACAACTAATGGGACGGGAAATGGCTCAAGAGGTTTTCATGTTCTTGGGCTAAATTATTGCACTCTTACGTTCTCTTTGAATAGCTGGCTATGGACTATTCTGTGTGACATGGTATAGCAAAGCTTACCTATTCCTGGCTGATTTATTTGGGCATTCAGAGGATTTCGGGTCAGATTTTTTCGATTTCTTTTCACAAGTTTAGCTAAATGCGCTGTAAACAGGCTGAACTTTCCGGAGTTTGGTGAAATTTCGCTTGCACTTTAGGAATTTACTTTGCCAACGGTTCAAGTTGCTCTCTTGATTTTTGTCGGCCCATGTATGTCTCTTGTCTGTCTGCTGTCTGGAAACATTTTACATGATAAGAGTAAATCTGTTGTTGCACGTAATTATTATTCTGCTACTCCTGAAACCTTGCTCACTAGTCTGACTGAGCCAACAAAAGAAAATAAAAAAATCTATGTATATATATGTACCTGGTGTTGCAATATAAAATTTCAGCAACTAGAAAGTCTGCTTTCACCAGAGTTCCCACCATACGGTTGAGGTTCCAAAAATGCACAAGTTTGGAAGATCCAGTTTCCAATTTAGATGAACAGATGAGTATTTTTCAATTTCACAGTTGTTGGCATTTGCTCACCCAGGGTCAACATGGCATTGGAAGACTTGATGCGTCATGTGTGCCATCGTTCTACTACGTGTCAACTGCACCTGGTCCATTTCTATAAAATTTTGAACGGAATTATTACAATTTTTATGTAAAAGCTGCACCAGTACAAAAGTATAGTGATAATGAGCACGATAGTGAAGAAAAATTTTCAAAAATGTAACTAGTTTTAGGAAAATATGAGAAAAACATGCATTTTCCCAAATTCTGGGGAAAATGGGACACACACCTGTCACAAATAATGTGGAAAAGTGTCTAATTTTTTCAATAAATTATATGTAATGTGGTATTACCTCGTAGCTCCGGATAAGACAGAGGGGATGCACACATTAAATTCGGGAATTGACCAGACGTGTCCCCGAAATTCGGGTAATTTGGAACAGGTGGCTTGGTCGAATTGAGAATGTTCAATGTAGTAGTGTAGCGGTGGTGGTCATTGCAGTAACCTGAGTGGTGGTAGCGTTAGAAGTGGTACGCAATGGTCCGCTGCTGCTGCTGCTGCTCTAGTCGTTTGACTCGGTTGATGTGTAAATGGTGAATGAAGGCTGTGATTTCATTTGGACTTGACGTGTTTCGTAATGGGCCTTAGAATTTAGCTCTCTCAAAAAGTGCCTCATGCATGTATGTACGCCCAATGTGTACATAATCTGTGACTCTGCTGCTTTACTTTTACATTACCTTTCCTTCACTCACACCACTTTATCATTACCAGAATGGACACCCCTTTGTTCATCACTTAGCTCTCTTTGTTGGTAATCCAAAAGACGCGAAAGCATGAGACTCTTTGTCCCCTTAATACGAACGAGGAGTGCGTTGAGCTTTCTTTCACTTTATTTTACAGTGTACGGTTGCAATGGTTCTGACGTCTTGGAAAGTGACTGTATGGATAGATTGTTGTTTCTGTCGTGAGTGGATTGATTTTGGTAAGCAGTAAGAGTGTCGTCGGAACCATTTCAATATTATAGCTTGGTATTCATATATAGATATATTCAAATATAAATATATTTACATCCATTCCATGACATGTTGTGGCTTGGTACGTCGTAGACTCCTAAAGGTGTCTTGGCGGCGATGGAATTGTTGAATGTCAGTTTGGCAGACAGGACAGAACAACACTGAATGTTTTGTGGAGATAAGAGGATAAAGTGAAAACTCTGAATGGAGAAGCGTCTGTCTGTCTTCTCATCCAGAGAAAGAATTCAAAATTGCATTTCTCCGTACTCGGGATTAATTTTAACTTTTCATTGTGATACAAATGAAAACGAATTCTTTTGAAATTTTAATGCACTTTTCACGCCAAGAAGAACCTGCTTTCTCCGTCTAAAGAATTTGTCAAGAATCTTGTTATTATTTTAGTCCAGGCTGTGCTACATACCAGGTTGGGGAAGACTGCATTGTACATAAATACATTCGTCCATATACTTTCATTTACTCACCAAACCTAAACCTTTCAAAGGGAAGGAAGAAAAGTACAATTTCCATGATATTTTCTAGCAGTGCGAAAGTGGTGCGAATCAGGAAGGACATTTTTGTGGATGGAGATGGATTTTTTACGCATTCATTGAGTCGTGGTGGTGTGCTGTGCTTTGAATACTTTTACATGATTAAACCCTTTCACCTTTGGCATGGTCGACTGATCTTTTCTTTATTTTCGGCAATCCCATTCCTTCCTCCTCCTGCTCGGCTATCTCAACTTTTCACATTTTGCATTCCACATTAATGATTCCTTGTCCAAAGCCTTCATCCCACCATAAATCCAAAGCGGTGGTTTGGGAGAAAGGTGGAAGCAAAAGTGCTTAAGTGGTTGCCTCGTGGCGGAATGAAGGTCTGAGAACGTGAATATATGTATATACATATGTACATATAGTCAGTGGGTCTTTCATATGAGACTCCCTCACTGAACTAGTCCTGCTGGTGTCAATGATTACGCTTAGGAGGGGAGCTTGCGAGGTTGATAATAACAGATCCTGATGCCCTTTGGATATGTGGTAGGGTCCTATGAGTGTACTAAAACCCTGAAGTGGTTTGACTCCATAGCCACATTTGCGCCCGCCACACCCACTCAAAAATGCCCAAAAAACGCTTCCACTCCAGGTTTCACTCATTCAAATCCACGCCAAAAATCCAATTTTACTCGGATTTTTAAATTTCTTTCACCATTACACTCCCAGATAGTTGCTTTCTTCAATCCAATGTCAAACTCAATTTTGATGATGATTATTTCGCAGGCATAATTTGCGTTGTGGATTACTACAACAATGCTCATTCAGAATTTTAAATTTTAAAAATACTAATAATTTCGAAAATATTGAGTTTGATATCGAATTGAAGAAAGCAACTATCTGGGAGTGTAATGGTGAAAGAAATTTCAAAATCCGAGCAAAATTGGATTTTTGGCGTGGATTTGAGTGAGTGAAAACCGGAGTGAAAGCGGTTTTTGAGCATTTTTGAGTGGGTGTGGCGGGCGCAAATGTGGCCATGGAGTCAAACCACTTCAGGGTTTTAGTACACTCATAGGACCCTACCACATATCCAAAGGGCATCAGGATCTGTTATTATCAACCTCGCAAGCTCCCCTCCTTAGTCTGGGTCAGACTTAAGTGGGTTGTGGTTTGCGCTAGAAATGGGATAAAATTTGGTATTTGACAGCAATGGAACGAATGAAATAGTTTTTGGAGTGAACAAGTGATTTCCCAAGATGCAGCTCACCAGAATTTCCCAGCAGCGAATCATAATCTCTCGTGCACTGCATATGTTCCCTTCACACTTTCTCCCTCGTCTTCACACAGGTTGCTTGTTGCGTGGTCTACGGCAAAGACGAGCTGGAAAAAATCTTCCGTTTCATCTCGTTTACCTACAATAACTCTTTATTGTTGACCCAATGGAAAATTCGCCTCGCGTTATAAAAAAACAAAACTTTGGTTCCCCCTCATTGTATAAAGTGTGGTCGTAATGCTGAATGATACGTATTTATTTTATATATATGTAGGATCGCCGTCGATTTCTTTGTATTCATAAATGGGATATTGTAGGAGATTGAATAACTGTCGCTTGGTGGCATGTTCTTGAGTAATGTTTTTAAGGGTTAATACTATCTCAATTACAGTAGATCCACCAAACTCATCGGTGTATTTTTTTTGCAAAATACGAATTTACTTGCATCACATTCCCCAGACGTATTTTTGATTGAGAGAAATATTTAGCATGGTATTGTATAATGATTGTATTGTATTGTGATATACTCATTGAGAATTTGAGACGGCAATTTTCTTCGTAATCGTATGAACTTTTTAATTCATATTTGGTTGGATCATTTTTTTAAATTATTTTAAGTAAATCACAATTTTTCTACAAGTTTCTGTGTGCTATAATAAATGGATCGATATATGGGTTTATCGAACAACTAATCTATTTTTTGAACCAAGTAGATATCTTTTTTTAATAATGTGGTTAAAATAGAGTCGCATAGCTAATTTAATATTGCTTGTGATTTCGAATCGTTTAGATTTCATATCATAAGTAAATGCACAATGTTCCATGCACAGTAGAAGTACAATAAATGTAGCTATGAAGTAAATATCATTAGAGAACCAGTTGGAGGTGAGTTGTAGTCCAATTCAGAAACTGCTGGACGATAAACTTTTCACAGATGTGAGTAAATTTGCAGATAACAACCATAAATTTGCAATTTCGAAGATTATTTTAATCGGGAAGGAACATCATAAGATTTTATAATGAATGTGTGTTATCATAATTGCCAGTATTTCCTCGGTACCTAGTGAATTTATAAAAATGTAAACAGATGTGTGGTAAGTATTTCAAGATCTAGGCGGAGCTAACTAAATAGACCTACTCGTTACCCGTGATTCATCTATATAATCACTGTCCGTCCAGTTATGCATATGTGCATATGTATAGTGTGCATAGTTTTTATATCGGGTATTTTTCATGCTTTCTACATACTCTATTGACTTGTGTTAAGTTGAAAACGTTATTGCATATGTGCATAGCAAATTGATTGATTCACAAGCAAATCCCATTTAAAAGACGGCGATTTTAAGAAAAAAACTCGGTTGAATTACAATTTTGTCAACGGTTGGAATATATTTGGTTAAGCAAGTTAAATTAAAAATTAAAGTTTTGGCTTGTTTATTTGTAGGATGGTGAAAGTGAGAGCGGAAGTTCGGACGCTGAGGACCCAATGAAAGAGGTTCCACCTCCACTGATACCATTAACAAATGGACTAATACCTGCAAACTTTGCGGCCTTATTTGCCTCAGCCACTGGTAAGAGGATTACGTGGGTTGAACTATGTTATTCACAATTACTTACATATACCCGTCGCGGTTTCTTATTACGTATAGAAAGTTAAATTGCATCACGCACAGAAGATTATTTTCTTATTCGTGAAAGAAGACAAGTTGAAAGTACTTTGCATTCTTTTAGCTTATTGAATTTGTCAGATTGAAGTAAGTGCTTTCAAATAGAAACAATTTTGATTTTGAGATTTAGTCCAAAATCTTGTATCGAGGAGACTTTCACTTTGTTTGCGCTTGTTTATGCAATGTTGTCGTGTGTTTAATCCAATCATCTTCTCCGTCGTTAAAAGCAACAAAGGCCTTTGAGGAGACGACTGAAATAAGGGAGACACAAAGCTTAGGTTTCGCCGATACACATCTAGCAGAACTCGGTTTGTTCGCAATAGAGAGAGAGATCAAAATAAGAGATTAGATGGGGTTGCTTCACGGTGACAATATGTACACATGCCAGACGCATGTATGAAAAAAACCACTTTCGAAGTGTCTGAAAAGTTTGAAACTGACTAGGGTTCGGTGAAATTTAATGTCAACATTTTTTCAATTTGCCCCAGGTTATCCGATTTATAGTTATTCAATATAGTTTGTGTCTTGTGTTGTACATACTATCCTCAGGACTGGCACCTCATTTGCATATTTTGACGCATTCGCGAGAGACATAGAGTTTATTCAACATTGAAAGCCGGTATCGCCGAAAATGGGCATAGTGAGATTTATGCAAATGAGGTGCCAGTCCTGAGTGCGAGGACTATACGTAGGTTGCGATCATTGTGTTAGCTATCCAGGCACACGTATAACTTGAGACATTTTTTAAAGATCGACCTGTTTCGTCCAATTTGACACTACCTATACGATATGCAAATGTTGTTTAGATACGTATTTGTGTTAATGACGAGAATTATTTAAAATTGTGCGTTTAGGTTCGTGTAATTTAAATCAAAGCCTTCATCTTTACCAATTTAATTGTTTCCTTTGAACTTTCAGCAGCTGGACTGAAACAGTCATTCCCTTTGGATTTGGCTAGTCAGATCTCATCTTCTCATTTAATCTCTTCTCAGCAATCCCCTTCGTCATCATCGTCATCTTCGTCACAAAGTCGCTTGTCGCAACAGGAATTATTGCAAAAAACTTTGCTTCAACAACAACAGCATTTACATCAACAAATTCAGCTCGAACTACTTAACGAACAGCAGAAACTGTTACAACACAACAATACGAGTAGTTCAAATGCCACCACGTCTTCCACTAGTAGTTTCTCTATTAATAACAACAAAGTTAAAGTAAAGCGTGAGGTTCAAAAGTAGCCCAAAATAAACAAGGTATTAATTATTTTGCAGTTTAGCTGCTCGTAACATGTCATTCAAATTAATTTATTAAGGCTGTACTTGAATGTATTTATTGTCAGCCCCGAATTGCTTAGGATTAGTGGTTGGAAGGCATACATAGGGGTTTGTATCAAGAACTAAAAAATATCGACCTTATTCTTACGATTAGTCGATATATGTAATGCACAAGTCAATATTATATTTGGTATGATTATGCACCGTATCACCACAGTACTTTTTCATTCTAATCATTTATTACCCTTACTTATTCTTAGGTGATTGTGAAATTGCATGCCGGTTTGAAGTATTAAATAAAATGTTGTCTTTTCGTTGCTGAATTAAATCATTCTAATAAATACATGGATTTTAATTAACAAAATCATATGAAATTTGTACTGTCGCATTTATTTATTTGAAAATGGGAAAGATTAATGTGATACAAAAACTCATTTTGGTCAATATTGAATGGAGCGAATAGCCAGACTTCAATATTTGAAGGTACAAATAATATTGGGGATCTGTCAAGGTCGAACTTGATGCTATATACATCGTAATTCCATAACCCATTATAACAAGCATCACCGAATCGGTTTGCATATAGCATGGTGCAACAACACGACGATGTTACAGTAGCACACAGTACCTGTTGAGTGATGCACAAAACTTACCTTTTAAACCTTAAACCGGATTCGCCTGACAATTGATTTTACATCTGTATATGGTGCCATATTATTATTATACATCGGTAAAGCCAATATTCAACCAAACTATCCTACCAACGTAGGAGGATATCAAAATGGTTCTGTGAAAAGTTTTCACTGAAAACCATTATCCATCACGTGTTTAGTTTCTACCCAAGAAATAAATCATCCACATCTACTTACATACGCATCTACGATTCTACGCATCGGAAACATTTAATCCTACTATTTTTATTTATACAAGTAGAATTTTAAAATGTTTTTCGCAAATTCTTCGGCGTCCAACGTGTATCGATGGGTGGGGGACGGACTGCATATCTTCGCCATTGTCATTCTCCTGGTCAAATTCTATGTTCGAAAGAACTCGACTGGTGAGTACATAATCACTTGAATACTTATGAATCTAGGATTTTTGTAAAAGAAAAAAACCTTTTAAAACACAAATTATTTACAAATATGATTTCTTTACTTGTGTAACACAAATTGTGGTTTTTGGTGTTAATTTTTATAGGCGTATCGGGTAAAACGCAGCTATTGTTTGCTTTGACTTACACCGCTCGCTACCTTGATGTTTGGACTAACTGGGTTTCCTATTATAATACTGTGATGAAAATTTTCTACATAATCATCTCCTACTTTATTGTCTACTTGACGCTTCGTGTATTCAAAGAGACTTACAACAAGGACCACGACTCTTTTAGGTGACGTTTTCAAACAACATAAACACTAATCGAATAAAAATATGTAATGTTTTATTATAACTATTGCTTATTGTAAATATCTATGTATGCCATTTGCAGAATTGAAGTCTTGCTCATTCCCGTCACTCTGTTGGCATTTACTATAAATTACGAAAGCACTTTTATGGAGGTATGTACACAGTTGACAGTATGATTGGCATATTTGTTGGAATTTTATTGGATTAGGATTACTGATTGACAATAATTCAGTTAGTTGGGTTTACATGAAATTGCTTGTATGCAATTGTCTTTCCTCATAAGGATTGGATAATAAAATTTGTGGCTTTGCAGATTTCCTGGGCTTGGAGTATCTACTTGGAATCTGTGTGTTTGGTCCCACAGCTTTACATGATCTGGAAGGCGAAAACGTCAGATTTCTACGTAATCTTGTATGTTTTATTCATGGGTCTTTATCGAGGTTTGTGTAAATATGGATTTATTGTGCATGCACTATTGTTCCCTCTTCATTTATTTACATAATCAAAATTACGAGACATTTTTTCGTAGTTGTTCGGATGCTTGTGCATTAGGCAACGATCTATAGCATGAATTGAGCATGCATGCTGCCATCCATTTAAGCGGTTGTATATTTTTGTTGTTCAGGGCTGTATATTGCAAATTGGGCCTACCGCTACAAAATGGACGGCTACGTTGACCTCATCTCCATCACCGGAGGGATTATCGAGACATTCATCGCGCTTGTTGGATTTCTGTGTGTCATTTCACAATCTGTGACCAACGCCCTGTCAAGCTCCACTAATGGCAAGAAAGTCACTGGAAGGCCCGAGTCCGTTTATGTGGTTCCCTTGATTTCCAGTGAGTGCAAGTCAAAGGTTGATGCCGTTGGAAAACCCAACGCTCATCATCTCTCGGTGTGATCCTGCGGAGAGGGAAAGCTGTTGTTGCTTAAATATCGATCCGTATTTTACGTAATGTGGTGATGTTGGGTAGATCTTTTCCGTATATTTATATATCACACGGCTGCCTGAGTAAGCTGATTTTAAGCAAAATGAATTAGCGGTACTTATATCTTTCTCTGAGCAATTATCTAATTTAAGTTTGGGACATCCCTTTATTTTATATGTTGTTTTTTTTGCATTGGTCTCAAATTTCAATGGTGATATGTACATAGATTCATAAGATGACAGAGTAGTAAAAAAAGTACTATACAAAGTACAACGTGGACACGGCTGTTGTTGCTGCTTGTTGGACGCGCAAGCAATAATGGCAGGCGAATTGGAAGTAATAAACCTTTGCACCACTTTCACACTTGTCACTTTCTCCATGTTCAATCTATTTGATGGGGTGTGATGTAAGTTATTGTGCTGATCCCACAAAGTGGCAAGTACATAAATATCCCAAACTGCTTTTATTCCCTGGATTCACTGCAGTTTGTGTATAGCTTAACGTTTACTTGTTCCAAATAAACAATGCTATTTCAAAAATGTTGCAATGTCGTGGACCAAGTGTTATTGCGCCATTGCTGGATTTTTTTACGGATGCAATGTGTTTCAGTTTAAATGGTGTACTGTTTTCGGTTCGTTTATTTATGCATTGTAAAACCTAAGTTTGACAATCAACATTGTTGCATGGTGTTCACGTTTCTAACGTTGTATGCACGAGTATATTTATGGAACAAATAAACAATGGAAAAATAAATTTTTTAGAGATACAAAACATTTTATTGTGTTTAATCTTTGTCAACATGTGGCGTACATGACATTTGAATAATTAATTTTATATAGATTGCAAACATTGAAAGCAGAACCAGCCTGCTTACTATGTGTATTAAAAGATCATAAATCGTACGTAGTCACAAGTACATATTTTGATTGATTTACAATTGCAAAGCAAGTTTCTTGAGCAAAAAAGCTATTATAAACTCCTTTTCTAAACTCCAAATACATAATGCGAATACAATGACATGGATAATTTGCAAAACTGTTTGGGAAATCATACATGGGCATAAGTATTATATTGCATATCTTACTTTAACCCAGCAATAAATTATTGTTCAATTGGATGCAGTAGGCTAAATAATTCTACAGATATTTATTATAAGTATTTAAACAGAACGCCAAAATATTTGCATCGCTAATAATAATAGCATTTAAGCATATTATCATATTTATTACTTATGTTGTTTATTTTTACTCGCTAAAATATCAGCAAATACTTTCCATATTTTAGAAAGAGATTGTCTCCTTAGGTTGGTCGTGAATGTACGTTTTTAGTGGTACCGAAAGTGGTAAAAAAACTTGAAAATTTAATAGCTCGCTTCTGCGATCACATACGTTGTATGCATATGTGTGGATGGTGTTATAACTACATACAGTTAGTTATGACCACTAATTTTAACTTACTTGAAGGAATACTGCAAAATTCAACAGTTTATGACGCCAAATTTACGTTTTATAGGCGTAGAAAATTATTTCATCCAGATATAAACAAAGCTGTTTCAATATATTAAAATTAACAGCGTATCCATAATCGGTACTACGGATGAAGAAATTATATGCAAAAATCTCATTTACTGGCATACTTGCATTTATCAACCGGGCTAACTTATCTTAAACAGACTTTGTTTGTGGTGCGCTTCGTTCCAAACAACAACTTACATACATTTATAAAATCTTTCAGCTCAAGTTCTTCACCCGAAATAACAAAAAGTATGCATAGCCACTAAAATTGCCATACACACGTCCTCACGACATACCATAAACATTCGCTCAAGGAAGCTTGATTGGTTGGTTGGTACATACATACGATGGACTTTATATATTTTATCAATGATTGTACTAAATATGATAGACTGACACACTAATCTGCTAAATGGCTTAGGTACATTTCGAAATAAAATCAGGTTCAGGATACTCATAGTTTAGCATCACTCACACTTTGCACCATACTTTGAGAACAGTCGTGCGACTAAAAACACCTTAATTATTCATTACTATTTAGACTGTAGTCAGACGAGTTTGCTAATTGTAAGTAGTGACAGAAATAAAGAAAGCGACGAAAGCACATACTCACTCATTCTCATATTTGCATAGCTCACTCAACAAGCTTGCATATTCCTTGAGAATGTGTTTGTCTCGTATGCCCCTGACAAATTAACCAATCGATACTGAAAGTGACGTAACATTAAATTTACGTGAGTTCGTATTCTCATTCTCCAACAAGATTCTCGTCAAGTAAAATATTCCCAAAATATATAAACGAGACGGAGAGAATCTCTTTGAAATAATCTAACCTAATAACTTATATAAAAACGTGACACAGCCGATATCTGGTTCAATCCGGTCGATTCAATCAGCGAGGCCAATCAAAACAATTTGAATTGTACAGCAAATAATTCCCAAAAGTCTCTTTCCTATAAATAGCCAATGTCGGAGAGAGTAATATCTTTTGAAATTTCTCCCAACGTTCGAGCCGAGTGGGTTGTGGTCATGTCCAAATTGATTGAGAGATGCTATCGGCGAGAAGTAAAACAATACCATCTGAAGCAACTCTCACCACCAGACAAGAAAGGAAAGTAAATGCTTAGAAAAGTATAAAACTCGGTCTGACTGAACATCCAGTCGTAGTAGCGCTACTACAACTATCAGCCTTTCCAAAAATTCCACTACACTTTTCTTTCCCAACTCTGCCACATCTTTCTTGTGTTTGTCAAAAAACTTTGAGAAGAAAACTTTTACCTTGTTCCATCCCAACTACTGTTTATGGCAGTGGCAAAAGCTGAGAAACAAAAACTTTTAGTAAGTTTGGGTATTGTGTTATTAGCGAAAGAATGAGTAAGGAATGTAACAGAAGAGCTGGAGTTAGAGATGCGAAATCAAATATCAACCCTGTAGAGTCCGTATCCCCCTTTCATAAAACTCCTCACTTTCACTATATGTATATGAACCTGAGAACGCCTAGGTTTTAGCTCCAGTTAGTTACGTTTGGTTAGCTAAATAGCAATTCTTTAGTTCACTTTTATACTTGGCAATTCCGGGGAATATGTGTATATATATACGAAGAAAGAGTTGGCCAATTTGCTACATTGAACTGAACACAGAAAGATTAAGTGGATTGTGAACTGAGTTGGATGAGGAACAAAGTGACAGGAACACTACCATTATTATTGTGCATCATTATAAGAAAGTTTAATTCGTTAGCAGAAAAAAAGTAAGTCACGGAGAACTGTTTCGTAAATTCGCCTTTATCGAATTGCGCAACACGAAGTACATAATGTGATTATTGGTGTCATCATTTCGTTACTTAATTGCCATCAGTTCCCATTTTCTACATATACAGATGTCTAATTTATGTCATATTCGATCTCTTAATAACTTGAATTTGATGTGCAAAACATTAGTAAAAAATAAGCAGCTTAGGATAAATGCGAGAATAAAATCTTATAATTATATTTAGTGTCTCATAATTTCATATTTATGGCGTCGATTCGGTACAGATAAATTCTTGTAGACCACAAAATAAAATAATTTATATTATTTCGTCTGTCTTTATGTGCAGTGCTTTCTTTACAATAAGATGTATCAAAAAGCTTTCTGGTGAAGAACTAAAGTACTGGAGAGTAAATAATGTTGGTTATAATGAAGCACCATGTAGAGAAAGTATAGATTTAATTATAATACCCACGATTGAGAGCCTGCCTCCTTGAATTATCCCATTTGCAGGTCAGGATTCTAATGTACGTACGTCTAAATGAAGCATTACAAAGAGCGTACAACATGGGATTTGTCGTGCTGTTTAAATAGCATAAAAAATACGCAGCATCCCATGCCCCCTCTGGAATTGCATCGTCGTTGACCATGATGGTTTTTATCAAAACGAGAACGTTGTATGGCGTCCACGTGACGATGAAAGCTAGAAGAATTGCAGAGAGGGTTTTTGCCGCCTTCTTCTCCTGTTTTTTCTCTTGATTCTTCTTCTTCTTCTTCCTGGGAGGGGCTACAGGGAGCACGGAAGCGGAAGACAAAGTCCCGGTGGACCCTTTGGTAGTTAATGGTTTCGGAACAACGCGGGCGTTGAGAGGAGGGACGGCGGAAGAGGGTCGTCTAGCCAAGCTCCCAACGCCGCTTCCAGATGCAGGCGAGTCCGTCACCGTGGCCGATCCAGTTTCTGGGGCGGATCCGGCTAATTTGACCTTTTGGTGCTGGGGGGGAAGTACGGGCGGAGGGAGCGGGCCAGGCTCCTGTATCATCCGGATGCTCCCTTTCTGGTTTGCCTCCAGCTCTCCAGGAATCCGAATAAGAATTGTGTACACGGACTCGCTCGCTGGCAACTTTCCATTCGAACCTGTTAGCAGAAGAAGAGGGAGGAAAGTGAAATGGGAAAAAATGAGATTGCGTTATACTTTCTCCCACTCAGTTCATGTCTCGCGATGGTGAAAGTAAAATAAAATCTCGTTCTCCAGCCCAGCACCGAGCTGCCACTGTGTGAGTACGTACATGCGAGGCTACTAATGAGTGGGAACACTGTAGCTCACTTTCTAGACGGAGAGGAGTCGACAAGAAAATTACTTTTCATTTCGGCAGGTTTAGGAAGGGAGTGGTTGGGATGGAAGCTGGCCAACAAGGAATTTGAAACAACATCAGCTGTCAACAGTTTCTGTCTTAACATGCATTTAGCGGAGGAAGTTGGGCATTCAGCATTCCCGTCATCAATTCACAACAACACAGCGGCTATTGAACATTTTTCAGCATTTCGCCATTTGTGCTCACTGCCTTGTTTTTCTTCGAGATATGAATGCATCATGGCACATATGGCACACAAGGAGTCCAAGTAAATTGACGAAGATTCAACTAGCAATTTCATGGAACGTGAACTAACACGTCAATCCAAATGCCAGACGCTGAACTGAAGTTTGGACTTTTGTTTGAAAATAGTGATTGCTTTAAGAAGTTTGGCAAAATATTTACTCTTAAAGTTTTGTACAACTAATGTTTTCTATAGTATTGATTTGACCTCCCTTCACAACCATGTTGTTTTTGTAGAAATTTGAATCATCTCAGTGAGTGAGTAACATATATGCATTTGTCGTATGTCTGAATATGCCTGAATCCCTAAAAATGAACTGAAAAAATGCATGCATCAACATGAATACTCTTCGTAAGTGTCTCCTTGCTGTAAGTAATACGCACATCCACAGGTACCATAGGCACATAGTAAATATATAGGTGACGCAATAGATTGGAGTGAGTGGTTCGACTACGTAACCAATCCGTCATCCCATGGGAAATATTTCCACCCATGGAAAATAGTTAGACCAGAAGAGACGTAAAAATACCTCCAGCCTCCAAGTTGATTCGGGAAGACATGACATCGTGACATGAGTGACAGTAGAAACTTGAAACTCGACGGAGAACTTTTTGGGTGAGAAACTGCTCTCCAATTTCTGACTCACTTCAATTCCGAAAACTGTTTTGTTTGTAAACTAAGCCAACTTGGTAGTTGCTAGAGTAAAGTATGAACAAGAAGCAGCAGTCGGCTGGTTTCTTGGTAGGATATGGATTATTATGGATATACAGCGATATAGTTGAGCGAAGAAGGTTTGCACTTGAAAGAAACTAAATGTAAAAATTACCAATCGCCATCGCATCAATCAAGACATGTCAAGAATCCTTTTTCATTCCTTTCTCCGTCTCAACTGCTGCCTGGTTCCGAATCTTTCCTCTCTCTCTCTCCCATCAACTTCCCCTCGCATAGGCAAACGTTGAGGAAAATTGCACACAAGCTAATCTGACCAAACCCAGAAATATAAAGGACCGAATTGAATTTATACGAATTTCGTCATCATGGTTGACTTAACTATTCGGTTAGTCAGAGTCGTAGGACATACATCCAGGATCTGAAGTGTATGCCAATAATTGTTCAATAGCCGCTGGTTTGATCTGGTTGTATAATATTTATCTCGTACTTATTTCGTAAGCTTGGGTAAGTTTGTTTCTTTAAAATTAGACAGCAACATTTGTTTGGACTGGGAAATGGTGGGGGTGAAACTAAACATACAATGCGTATGTTAGATGTGCAACAACACGATGCTTACCTTCTGAAGTAATGGAGTGCGCATCTTTGTGGGTGATGGCTTGTGTGTTTTGAATGGGCGAGACGATGGAGTCGTTGCGTCGCGTGGGGGTTTGAGCGAGTGGGTCACGAATCACGTTGAGGGAGACACACCGAGAGACGGAGGATTGGAGTGGGGTCTCCACGGAAGCGGGGGTGGCGCAGCCGGGGGACACGTGTTCCTCTTCACCCTCAACGTCGTCGTCCACTTCAGCATCACGGTCCACGCGACAAAACCCCACAAACGCCCTGCACAACCTCGCCATACAACGCCACCGTTTTGAACACCATTGTGGAATTGCCTGCAAAATTTAAATTATGAATATTAAATCTCAACCATGTAAAACAAATATTTAGTTCCTGAATAATTTACTCAGTGTTGGAGACATGTTGCAAACCCATATTTCATTTGTGGGAGCTTGGTGTCATTTCCTGAAATTCATTTACTTTATCCAACGTGGGCCCACATATTCCTACGGCTTATGCTGGTACGCGAATGAAATAGTGATTAAACTTTGAGGACACCTAGGGAGATCTCCAACAAAACTTGCAATTCCACAGGGGTTGTAGAAAATTGCGAAAATTTGATTAAGTTGTCGTCTAATTGAAATAAATAGAGCTGAGAACATTGGCGCAGACGGAAAGTTTAGGCGACTACTTGAACATTAATATTCTCTCGTGCATTATATTGGAACAAAGTGCAAGAAAACAGTGTACTTTACTTTGTGGACCAAGTTGGATACTTGGTATGAAGATGATTGATTATGGTTTCATTTAATAACAGTATTTCAGATAAATCTCTCGTAAATAAACTTGTATCAGTAGGTAGGTACCTACATATAAATGTGTGAAAGCTCATATATATGCAAAATTTGCGTAATGAGACTCGATGACATTTGTAATTCAGGCAGGTTTGTACTCGTATAAACCAACCAGTGTTTTACTGATGATTTTTACTTTCTATAAAATATTACACTTACGAAAACAGCACTTTCTCTAAACTCCAAACATTATAGCCTCGACCCGCTGAATTGGTGATTGAAATAAAACAGAGCGCAGAAGAAGAGCGTCACAAAATTGTAACTTGAACCACTTATCCACTTGACGACGACTGACTGATGACCACAACAAGCACAGAGTCAAATCCAGGTTGGCAAATTTATCACCCACTTTGGCTACGTACATAACTAAAATCAAGGTTAAAATCCAAAAGAACTAGCAGCATTATAACATACGAGAGAAAGTTGGCTAACTTTGTTCCTACGTATAATTCATCGTGCAAACTTCAATGGCTTCGACCCGATATCACGTTTAAATGATAACTAGTTTCTATAAAGAACATGACACTAGTGTTCAGCTAAGCTCCAAAGGTTTGTGTAAAAAGAAATAAGTAATACACAAGTAATCCAATTTTTGCTCACAATCGACAACTTTTCTCTAATGAAGCTTTGCAAAAAATATTTTTTGTCAAACTGCACTTGGGCAATGATTGGCAAACCCAATTGGTTGAAGGATTGGATTTGACTATTGTTGGCACTTAGATTTTGTACAACGAAAAGAAAGTTCACGTAGTAGAATATACGCACGTGAGACTGTAACAACCGTCTGAATGTCTGTCAATTTCAACTCTTTTTACCATGCACAGAGTTGTCACCAGAAAATCAAAGCTTTCCATATTCAAGATAAAATTTTGATTCGGTATGAAATTGGTTGTACGCTTTTACCAGCGCATACATATTTTAAACGGGTCTACACCTTTCATAAATGCATGCCTACATGTTGGACAGGCACATTTTCTTGAATAAATTAGATCCTACTATGAGACAATTCCGTACAAAATAACATCTTGACTTTCTAAAAGGTTCAATTTCCTGGGGCTACTTTGATATTGAGTTTGAAGGCAACTTTGCGTTCGAATGTTGAGAAAACATTAAGCAAACATTTTGCAAGAGTAGCTGTGCTCTCTTGTTCAACAGATGATACTTTCCCCGTCTGCATCAAAGAGAGATTGGAAGGAAATTGACTCACTGCTCTCGACTGTTGTGAATTGGACGGGTAATAAGAAATGAAATGTTTTTCAGGGCTCATATCAGCCATCTAGAACTTCCGTCTCTCTCTCCACACAACTTTCACCGAATGACTTACATTACTTCCAAATTTCAATTTGATATTCGATTCCACCACCAAAACACACATTCCTTCCTTTCACTCCCACATCAGCAGCCTAACAACGTGTGTATGGGAGAAGTACCGTAACAGGCGAGGGGGTGGTGCTGTGGTTGGCGAGATGTCACTCCCAGGGCGCAGATATTTATAACATGTGTACAGCTTTCTTTCGAGACTTTTTTTATGCCCAAGTTGTTGACTCTCGGGTGCTTGTTTGGTAAATAGTGAATAGGTCTCGACATCAAATGAACAGAACCCAGCTGATAAATGCATGAAAGTTTTTTTCGCAAACTTCCAAGAAGTTCTGCTACATAAAATTTGGAAAACTGTGGAATGTTGACCATCCATGAAACAGGTCGATTTCAATTCCAATGCATCCTTCGCCAATACATACATAGGATTACTTTTTAACTTTTTCGAAGAATAAATAAAATATTTACATTACGTCTGGCAGTTCCAGCCCGACAGACTACAAAATTACTAATGTAATGCTATGACATTACTCATCATGAATACATATGTATGCACATACGTACGTGAAAAAAGTAGACAGTGAATGCGAAATACATATGCATAGACTACGTACATACCTATGTTGTTTGCCTTTAAGAGTTATAAATTATGAAATTCGAATGTATTACTGAAGAAATACTTTCTCTTACTTAACAAAAACTCGGACATTCTTTCAATAGGAATTTTGATAAGCTATGTCTCAGCAAAATGAATCGTGCTGGACAATGCCTGATATCTATTTATATTACTTGGCACCAAAAATCGAATCCAGTATTTATCAAACAAGAGAATGTGATTTGGCCTAGAAATTTGGATGGATGGGGGTTTGCCAACAAATGTAAGAAGTATTTTTGACATGCATGAACTTACTTGACTCACAGACTGTCGACTGTGGACAGGACAAGAGGAAGCTCGTTCTAGATGGTCCGGACAGATACATGACTCAGCCCTCATTCTTTTCCATTCTTCAACATCCACCGCTTCGTCGCTGTAAACGTAAAGTAATATATGGTCACATAACAATTTATTTGGTTAACTATAATAAGTGCATGCTTTGATTATTATTTTATTTGCTATAAGATGCGCAACATTTCATTTGTAGAATCTTTATAGTAGATACCTTAACTTTCAAAATAAATTAATGAATTACGAATATTCACGAAATTATTTATGTTTACTCCGAATTCGATTAAACTTTTTACAATAGTAATATTTTTTCATCATAAATAAAAACATTAACTCTTTGATGTCATATGAAAAACGAGATCGTAAATACATAAATCTCCTTACACTCATCCTCAATCAACTTGTAGTTCGGTCTCTCGGAATAGCAAATTATTCCTACTTGTTAACCCGGCTATGAATACATATGTACGTATACAAATACTAACTGAAAATATTATTCGACTCCGCATGGAATCAGATACTGGATAATTTCCTCTTAATTTATCTTCCCATCTGCACAATCATTTCTGTTTGTGAGGCGTAATATCAAAAGTTTTGCTTCATCATAACCTTAATAAATATGCCAAATAAGTAGCCCCAGCACAATTAGGGTCCGTTGTGCAAAGTAATAACGCAAATTTCACAAAGTCACACTAAAGATGTAGGATAACATGAAAACCCGATATTTACGATGTTGTCCTGGAGTAGGAGAGCATGTCAGCCTAATGAAAGTTCATCTTGCAGTTTCATAATACCCTGGAACCCTTTCTAACAACAGACATAGTTCAATACGTAGTTGAATGCCATGTATGTGCATAGCGTCTGAAAATCTACATTCCCGTGAGAGATATGCAAAACTTGACTTGACAAAAAGCTATATGGGATCGAATGTTGTCAAAGATATGAGAACTATGAGATGCACAATTTGCTTCAGACCAGTTGAGCTTGCAGATATGAATTGAATATCTTTGTGACATATTTCCCCAGGGGGTCTCCAGATATTTGACAACTTATTCTCTGCCAAGTGAACGATGAGAGATATTGCTACAACAAACCATACATATGCAACACACCATTTCAGTGAAACACAATTATATGATTGCGTTGCTTCGTGGGTATCGAATCTCCAAAAATCAAACATACAGATTTGTGGTTTTGGTTTCTCAAAGAATCTGACCAACTTCTAATAACGTTTCTTATACACAATTCCCTCGTTAAAGGACTAGCTTTACTTAGATATTAAAATTCAAATAATCGTGGGTAACAAAAGAAATCAACCTAATAATGATAAAAATGAAACAATTACGATTATTATATATACTTGGCTTGGGGAGCAGTGGAGAAGCCTGATGTTTGTGGCTTAAAGAACCCCTACACAATTGCCAATCAAAACTACTCTTAACAATTTGATATTTAATTTCACACATAAAATATTTGAGGGGCATCGAAATTACCTACGCAGTTAGATGCAAATCAAGTTTTAAAGTATAATATATTCATGTGGTATGCATGTATTTATGTATGTTTTATATGGTTCCATAGCTTATGCATATTTACGTCCATGTTTCGTTAGGCACGGGTCTGGCTGTACCAAACTATATGTACCACTGTGTAGTACGAATAATCTAAACAACCCAAATACCATTCGAAATGAGGTTGGCTACCCAACCGCACCCAAGTGGGAGCACTGATGAAAGTTTTTATTGGAAGTGAATTGAAAATAGAAATTCCAAGCCATACAATATAAATTGATTTGGATGATGAACAGTTTTCTCAAGTGTTCGGTCTCAGGATTCAAAGATCGCAGCCTGCATCCACAGTCACATGTATGTGCGCCATTAGGATTGCTTTCACAGACAGGCGAATAAAGTCCTCTAGAATTTTGAATTGAGTCAGACTGGAGATAAATATATTCCGGCAGAATCCGTAGGAATAAAAGAGAGATGTTTACTCAGAGCTAGAGCGATGAGCTTGATCTTACATTCCACTTTCTGGGCACGCGTTTGTAAAGGAACCCCTAATTATCCTGCTATTCACTCTCCACCCCAACTTTCTCCTCCACGCTGTCCATTTGCTCAAGGTGGACGTGGACTAGAAAACGTTTTCTACTCGAAATTGGATTAAATGAGAGATAAGAGAGTTTGCCGTCACGCTGCCGATATTCGAGCTGTTCGTGATTTCAACATCTTGGAAAAAATACGAGTATAATATGTACAAGTACAAGTTGAGGATTTTTCTTGTCTAGTATTTAAATACGTGCATGTACGCGAGTTCGTATGTTATCTTATACTTTTATATTTTATTTTAACGTTATTAAAATTATCATCATCTTGGCATAAAATACTCGCCATAAAATTCTAAACATGATAAAGTTTCCAGCGAAGGATGTGAACAATAAGTAAGAATGGTCTCATATTTCATCTTCCTTCACTAACTTCCTCTTAATGGCCCCGTATTATTGATGGACTCTGTTGTACCGTAATTGAATAAAGTTGGGCTCAACTTGCTCTAGCACGGACTGCCTCGGCTACTGGAGTTACGCTAATACGTACTGCTCCCTTTGCCTGCAAATATTATCCCTGACCCAATTTCTTCAAGAATTCCGCAAACACTATATGCATACATATGCACGTACATACAAGCGAAGCCAACTCTTAGGATGGGCACCAAATAATAAAAATTGGGCGAGAATAGAGTGCAGGACAATTGGATAGGGAACATTGTAGAATAGGAATAGAATCGTGGTCTCTGTATGTTCCACAACCTGCTCCTTGGATGGAAGAACCCGACCTCGTCCATAGAACAGAGTTCAGAAATGCGAAATTCCTGACCATTTCTTGGCGAAACTGTATTTTAGCGTGGAATGCATGTACACATATCGTCGCTGTAGATTCATAACCTGCCAAGTTGAAAACCAGTTGGAAGCATAAAATGCCAAGTTGAAAACCAGTTGGAACCATAATCTGCCAAGTCTGTTTTCGTGATTTTTCAGGAGAGCGTAAAAACCCGAACCACATGATTGTTGGTTGAAGGAATCGCAGTAATTGATTTTTTCACTGTTTAATGTTGAATGTAAATTTAAATTCATCCAAACAATTTCAAATTTGGCATGAACATGCATAAATATATTGTTAATCATATCATGGCATCAATTCCCGTTTCGATCGCTATAAATTTTTCAGGAAAAATATAAAACCAAATTTTTTACGGTTTTTGATTTTTCCTGAAAAATTTATAGCGATCGGAGCGGGAATTGATACCATGTTATGATTAACAATATATTTATGCATGTTCATGCCAAATTTGAAATTGTTTGGATGAAATTTAAATTTGCATTCATCATTAAACAGTTCCTAGATCGCATAGATTAGCCATCTTGCCACGAGTTTTTCGAGCAAGAGAAAGCCAAATCTTATCAGTTTTTGAACTTTAATATCTCCGGAACTAGGTGGTCAACAATTTTTTTGAAAAAGCCATTTTATCGCTAGCTAAATGACAAATTTTTATAGACCAAAATCGCAATACACCCCAAAACAGACTTGGCAGGTTATGGTTCCAACTGGTTTTCAACTTGGCATTTTATGCTTCCAACGGGTTTTCAACTTGGCAGGTTATGGATCTACAGCGACGATATGTACGTTGCTCAATCAGTATAGGAGGACAGCTACAGCTACAGCTACTCGTACGATTTAAACGTGTAGAATACTTGAAAAACGGAATTTTTCATCAAAAGTAGACACAAGTAGCCAAGATCAAATTTCACATGAAATGTTCCGGTGGTAGATGCAAAAATGAGCTAGTGGGAGAATCCAGTCAAGTGTGTCAAATGGCTTGTGTAGACGCCTTGATAATTCAAAGACCTACATTTTTATACAGCATTGTAGCAGTTTTCAAGAGGTTTGTTATCCTCCAAACCAAATTCAATATGTACAATCAGCGGAGCTGCATGTAAGTATGTGCTTACGTACATATGTACCTTCGATAGTTCGAGAGCATACACAAGTACAATCATACATTCCGATCGTGTTCATACATATGTGCCTTAAACATCGTACTCTATACTTTTAGTGTAAAACCGAATGTCAGTGCTCTAAACAAATAAAGACGAAACTTATTCGATACTACAACTATTCAACAGTCATCCAACTCACATTGGAATGTGAAATGTGATGCAAATTCCTTTCCAAAATGCCATTCTTAGTTCTAAGTAGTCGTAGTAGCAAGTAACGACATAAGGTTTGAAATTTAAATTAAATGGTTGAGTATGATCATACTCAACCATATATATGTATGTATTTGATATATAACGCTTTATAGTTGCAGTGAGGTCGAAGAAACGGAAAAAGCAACACACCGAAGCTACTAAAGTTCTCCAAATCGATAAGATTTTAGCATCGCAAAATTTGGATCAACCACAAGGCAATGAAGAAGATAACAATGAAAATAATCCAGTATCTGCTCCAGCAGAACCGAACCTTGATACGGATATTGATGCACAAATCGACTATAAAGGTACTTAAGTACATCAAACGACGTTGTGGGATTAAATTGATAATCAAAATATTAACCCTTTCTTTATTGTAATTATAATTTTTGCAGAAAAGTTCTTGGCTCTTAAAATAAAATATAGAGAATTGCGGCGCAAACATAAAACCTTAGTGCGTTCGGTGGCTGAAACCAATGAGGTAAGGACAAGTAAACTTGAATGTTATCGGTTGATTTTAATGCATCGTTTAAATTAATTTAAAGGTTGAGCTGTATCCTTCATCGGGTGTCACGTTAAGTGCCGCAGAATTAGCGTCAATCAAACTGATGTCGAATCAACCAACGGTGAGAGCAAGAAATTTGTTTCGCCGTTTGTTTACGTTAGATGAACTCCGGACCCACTCACTTCTCGGAAAACGATGTAACGCCAACAGAAATGCAATTCCATTACCGGCAATTGACCCGAATCATTGCAATGCAGTTATTGGTTGGTCGCTATAATTATTTTTGCGAATATTAATTTCCAATGTGACTCATATTTTTTGTTATATTTGACAGGATACATTTTGAAAGAGGAAGGAGTCGATGGTTTGCCTGCCAATGATCTTAGCTCTGCAGATGCGAAGTTATTTTTGAAGAAAAAAAGAACACTTAAACGTGAAATAACCAAATCTTTGTCGGACTTTTTGCTTGAGGAGACTCGCAAGCCTTTTGTATAATTGATACATTAAACTTGTCTTCTTATGATTTAGAAAGTTTCAAATTGTAATCGTTTATCTATGAAATATAACGTACAATTTAATCAAGATGTTCTTATGTATTACGAATTATGCGTAATCGATTCTACACAAACTGTTCTTCAGGATATTGGGCCAATTTATGGCACGAAGTTTTTATGCATAATCATATCTGCATAATTATCTCTGCATAATGAATTACGCATAAATAATGCTGCATAATAAAATCCTGCAGAATTTTTTCTTCAGAATATTGGGCCAATTTTGGACATATGATTTCTGCAGAATTCGACACAATAATTTCTTCAGGAATTCCAACGATTTTTTTACTCGGGGAGACAACAATCGTATGTGTGCCAATGCACAGCGGTGAAAGCACATGAAGTACACCAGTGTAAGATGATAACATGGAATGAAATTGTATGTATCAGGAAATGATGAATGACAAAAGCAACTAATTTTCATAGTTCTTAAATTGTGTGTATGCATACCAATATAAATATACCACTGAGATGTACAAAGATACACAATATACTGTTATATATACATATACGCAGATGGTCACAGCATGGGAGGTGGAAAAGGAGGTGTGAGACCCATCCTATTTTCTACGCAGACGACAACAGCATATGTAAAACGTGAGGACAAATAGATGTCAACCCGCAAATGTCACCTGTGAGAGATGAATATTTGTTTTGAGAATAAGGAAATTGAAAACTTGTTTGTTCTCCTCGGGTAATAAATTTTTATCAAAGCGACCCCAGCGGGTCACAAAACAAACAAGAGAATTGGAAAAAACAGGCCTTAATAAAACCACGAAACAGAGTGAAAGCAGTAACAGCAGGATGATAACCGAAAACATCTCGTCTCGCATGCAGAAAGCTCGAGACCAGACTTTGCCCATATTGAGATTTGAGAAAAGAGGAGAAAGAGAAGGAATAACTCGTAATTTTCTTCGAATTTATGCCTTAGCTCCAACACTGCGTAGAGAGATCACGTTCATTTGACTGCACCACGCTTCAAGAAGACAGAGAAGAGAATCCATAATTGAACTCTTTTATTCAAAGGCGATTTAGCGAGGTCTTGTAACTACTGATACAAAGCAACTAACTAAGAAGATCACCCAGCATTCAAAATACAGAGAATAATTTGGTGCTACTACCCCAACCAAGTTGTATTATTTAGTACTATGGGTGACCTCGTTATGATAGTGATACGTCCTGCATATGTATATTGTGTTTTTCTAAATTGAATAAAAGATGAAAGCGATAAGCTGATTGCGCGTCTCTGATGTCTTTTGTTGTGCTTGGCTTGACGAAACTATTGTTTCGTGTGCACGGACGGAATTCGTATGGGCAGCAAATATGTATAGAAATACATACATGAGTAGATTGAACATTGCATGCATGCAGATCAAATCTTATGTTTTACACAGTACATACTTTGTGGTTTTACATGTCATTCTTGTTGATTGCGCTTTAATAATGTGCAGAGAATTATTGAATTATTGAATGTGATTCTTCTTCGTCATTTCCATTTTAAATGAGAATCTTGGTATTTGCATATGTGGTAGCAACGAAACGACTACGATGTATGTATGTAGTATGCACACACTACTCTATTCATCGATTTCAAGAATCATTCACTCGACTCGAGTGAGCAAATTACTTGTTCACTTGAATAAACTCGAGCTTATGTCTAATAAATAATTATGCATGGGAAACGTTGAATTCGAACTGATCACGTTTTCTCCGAAATAAACAACGAGTTTGAAAGTTTTGGTTTTCATCCTAGTCGGTTAATTCAATTCAAACAAGTAAACTCATTTCCAGTTCTCTGCATAATCGTGGGCAAAAGAAAACCAGCTTCTCGATAAAGTCAACTGACAACTGACTACAAATGCTGACTTACAGAGGCAATTTGCAATTCATGCTTTACCACATCACCTCTACTACGACCACCTCGAATCGTCTGCACTTTCATTTCATTTGCTTACTCTTCCTTGACTTTCATCATCTTAAAAGGGTTCCATTTACGACCGGTTTTTTATAGTTGCATTCCTCTCTCAGCCGATATAAATTTAACTGGATTTTGCACGATTTTGTCTCGTAATATTACGAGTACTCCAGATTGAATCAACGCAGACCTCCCTCGAGTATACGCATTGGAAGTCATCTAAATATGTCCTAAATATGTTTGTATATGCAATGTCGCTTGCATGATCATAAGTATCACATCGCTGTATAAATAAATACGTCCACAAGCTGATTCAGTCGTTCCAACATTCATTGAGGGCTTTGCTGAATCTTTGATTATCTTGAAGCTCATCATCTGCAAAGTGGTTGGCTGTGGATTAGAAGTACAACATGCAAAGACAGCGGCGAGCCGGATGTAGCGGGTTTATTAGATCGGGTAAGGAAATAAAAGGAAATTTTATTAGATTTGGAGAGGGGGTGATAAAGGAGCAGATATTCCGAGTCGTGGTGGAGGAAAGCAAGAATGAAATTAGAGTGTGCGGCTTATAGCGTTTGCCAACCATTCGCTTCCCACTTTGCCAATAAAGAAAGCTACCCGACGAGAGACACGAACATAAAGTGGAGCACAAGTCAAAGGTAACGAAATCAATTTACCTTTGCTTGGCAGAGTTGTGAAATGGATGAAATATACAAGAGCACAATATTTCCACGAGTATCGGAAAACCCCAGCCGACCAAGAAATTACTAAATGCGACTAATCAGATTTTCCTAAATTATTGTTCCTTATTCGTGGTCTGACAAACATGCTTAGCTACGAGGAAAAGTATGAAAGAAAGCAACCTTGAGATAACTCAAGGGCTTTATGAACAGCCCACCAAATAAAAATAACAACTGGTCCCAGGAAAATGCAAATATTACGCGAGCAGTTATTGGTCTAGGTTTAATATGAAAGATTGCAATTTTTCCATATGCAATTTTGAAGCGTCATCCGTTACCATTGTTCACGTTTCATTTGTTTGAGTGCGGCTCAACTTTTGCCATGTTTCAGGCTCGTTTCACAAGGATAAAGGGAAAGCTGGTTTGGTGGTGATGTGCTAAATCCTTCCATTTTATGCGTTCCATTGCACTGCCTTGATTACAGGATTTCACTGAAATTATTATTGCTGCTTATGAAAAAGTGAAACGATCTACTGAATACAGCAGCAGCGCAATTTTTCATGTGTTCTATATTTGCATCGTTATGCAAGACATATATACCAATGCCAATATACATATGTAGGTTCATCCTTGGGAAATGCTTAACCACGTATCCGGCATAAAATTAAAACATACTTCCTTTGATACTGCATAATTAATTGCAAAATACATACGCATCTGACTGGAATATAAGTGCTTGTCTATCAATTTATACTGACTTAGAATGCTCTGTGTATAATAAAACATAATTTTGTATAAGGATAATTTACTAAAAATTATCTTTCTATACACGTTTTTCCTTATAAAAGAAATAAAATTTTAACCGATTAAAAATAGCAACGCAATATTAGTAAACTGATCAAAAAATCACAATGGCAAACGAATAGTCTTTTCCCGTTGAAAAAAAAGAATGGTTGCCATACTCGGTCCTGGCTCTAGAATTTGAATATAAGTAAAGGCTTTAGCCAAATATACATTGTATAGAATCCAATATCAATTTCTTCGTGTCTTAATACCAGAGAAAAAATATCAGCTCTTCGTGTCAAACAAAAACGAAGGAAATGATGTGAACAAAGAATCTGAAAACTTTACGAACCTGGAATTGGATCTGCGACTCGAGTCCTTCTTTCCTGCTTGAAGTTGAGACAGATCTCTTTGTCTCTTCTCAGTCTCCCTGTTATAGGAAAAGAAGGGTTACTTTATACCAGTCAAACCAAAACATTATACGCGTATATATGGTCCTCCAGAAGATAAAGAGCTTAACCGCCTTACGTATTCACTACAGATGCAAAAATATGTACAAAGGCGGTTTGAAGGATGAACGAGCTGAACTGGCTGGAAAATGCTAAAGTAGATCACTTTGTGGCATTATTATCCTCCTCTGAAAACGAATACTGACTGACTCATAATTAAAAAGAGATCGCAAGTTATGCATGGCAGGCAAGATAGATACGTAATCTGAGAGAAAAGTCTGCCTCTGTTTAGCCAATCTGTACATGAACGATGCAGGAGGGATTTTGAATTTACTTAATTAATGAGAATTAATGAGCATGTTTTGGTGTTGCTCGACTGATTTTAGGGATTTTAGGCTAACCACTACCATCAGAATTATAATTACAAGTAATGAGTAGGTAAACGTATTTGCATGAGTCAAACCTGTAAATTCGAAAGTAGAGAAAGAGCATGATTGACACTGGAATGTAGAATGCGGCAATCGCTGTTCCAAAAGTGATGTAGTGATTTGTTTCAATAAATTGAATGTAACATTTGAACTCTGGTACTGTCCTTTTGCCTTCAATGTATGGCCACGCATAAATCCTATAAAGTTGAACACAAAGATGGGCAATTTAAGTAATGTTGATATGTATGCATGAACATTTATGACTAGATATATACGAAGTGGGCGAGGCTGTACTTACCAGGGAGGCCATAACAGCAAACTTATAAACCTAAAAAAGTATATCAATAAAATTGTAAGTTACGTGTAATTAGTTATTTACTTTTTCTACAACAAAAAGCAGACTTACCAGGCTGAACCTATCATCAATGCTGCTCTTTTAGTTGTACGTTTTGCCCTGAAAAGCAAACAAGAATTTAGAGGAGATATACATAAAAGATATTCTAACCATGTTGAATGCTTCCAATGTTCGGATAATTTTAATGTTGACATATAACGTTACAATTTTATGTTAAAAATAAAGTAGTAAAATCGAACGAGCATGATAAAATCTATCAAACTTTTAGGATTAGGAGAACGCGATGCCTTTTATACTTTCCTTATACTTAAATCGCAACTAATATAACTACCCTCCATATAAAGTGCCCATTAAAAGATAGGATTTACTAAACTACTAACACTACGGGCCAGGTTTTCCCAAGTGTCTAATTAACTCGCTAGATATTTCGCTCTTTGTCTTCCTCTAACTCTAAGCTATTGACCAGGCGAAGTATTTTGAAGGTTTCAAACTCTCTTCCTTGATGGCTAAGAAACTTTGCTGCTCGTCGTCATCCTTACAAAGCAAGTCGATCCAGATCCAATCTCACTCAAGCCTTCAATCCATTGCAAGGAGAAGAAGAAGAAGAGGACCAAGCAAATATATCCCTTACAACGCCACCCAAATACGCAATTTCACCTCTTTCATCTCAGACAATATTCTCATATTCTCATTCCATGTGCGACCCCATCGGACTTGAAGGAGAATCTACGTCAATTCTCCACGAGAAGTTTTCCACAGCCCGTCTCGTAATCAGCAAAGAACTCTCGTTCAACTTCATTTATTGCCAGTCCCATATCGACGTCAAGCCACGCTTTCCACGGCCATAAACTTTCTGCCATGATTTTGTACTATATTTTGCATTCAACTTACACACGATGTCAACTTTTAGATGAGATCTCCTCTGTTGATGGCTCTATGAAAAAATTCCCTTAAATAAATCATTGCGGGATTTCGCTAGCAATACTTTCGTTAAAACAAGCTCTATTCAAAACAAACAGTTGAAATCCAATTCAAGAAGCCTATTAAATAAATCGGTTTACTAGATGGGAAAATATCTTTGTAGGCTAGAAGTTGAGTATCACATGACTGCAATTGATTTTTGATAACGAATATTTTTATGGGATCGGAATATTATTCAGAATCCAATTTGAAAATATTCCAACTTGGATAACCTGAAATAATGTATTTTTACAAGTTACATAAACAAATATGTATTTTTTGGAGTCAGTTATAATTAGTTTGATCTTCGTACTTAACGCTTACTCGGGTTAAATATTAAATCATTTTCCTTCGTTCATATAACCCAAACCTTTTGTATTCCATCGTCGTAATGCTTAAGGTTGTGCCACAGGGAGGAAAATTGTTTGAAGCAATAGGACACAAATATTTTTGAATTATAGAAAATTGAACTTTCCCCTGCCTTCCACTCATTGCAAGTGATTGAGGCAATTTCACCTCGCTGAGCGGATTTCTGCCTCCATTCATCCGTCGAAAAACAATACCACGGCCAGAGCAATAGTAGGAAGTGAGGTGCCATATGGTCGTCCTGTGTCTGTCACAACAATTCTGCTACACACTTTCACTACTACTTTCTCCTTTTTTTCTTTGGTCGTCCTGCCCACCTACCGCCACCTCCTTCAGCTCCTTCCACCCAATATTACCCAACACTTCCTCCTCCACCCTGCAATTCCTTTCGCAAACAAAACCTGCAGGATTCTGGATCGACTTCTTCCAGGAGCGAACAAAGTTACGAAAGAACGTCGACGGAATCTCTTTCTCCAATATTGTCTTCATCCTCCTCGCTCTTTGCTTAAGCCCATTGTACTCACGCTCTACGTGGCTCGCTTTAAATTCTTCTGCCAGAACCGATGAGTTGGACAAAAGACTTAACCACGGCAGTAACCACGACATGGAAGTATAAATACATATGCATTTATGTAACAGTTATCAATGCGTCTTAAAAAGTATCGTCAACACCAGTACGGAATACGTGGTAGATTGCAACTATTTTACAATTTATATAATGCAATTTATATGAAAGTATGTATTTCTCTCGTGTAATGACACATTCATAAGTTTTGTGGATGTGAATCTACTTTTGTTCTCCCAAAAGAGAAAGTGGAGAAAGTAACTCCTGGAAAGAGTGGCTTAAACAGTAGAGGTGGTCGGAGATGGGTATTATTATTAGTCTTTGTGCAAGTGTGGTGGTGGTGATGGCACCCTTGTTGAGACAGGAATATTCCTACTACAAATATTTACTTTGGGGAAACTTTCTCCATCTTTGCTCTGCTTTCACTTAATGTTGCTTCCCGAGCACCTCTCTCTCTCTCTACAATGGGCACAATCACTCGGATTGATCTCCTCCGATTTTGTAGGTGGGGGTGCGAGTGAGCCTGCATAGGTGGATACATATGTGTAGGGACGTATGTGTATCTACAGTGGAAAGGATAAAGGAACTGTGAGAGCAGATCTTGTTAATACTTATGTACTCGCACTATAGTAGTTAGTTTCCGCTGCTGATTGTGTAAATATTGAACCTATGCCTCCTCCTCCACGGGCATCAGAAGCTAGAAAACTGACAACAACTCATATTTCAGGGCGAGATATTGGAAATTTCATTTATCTACTTTTTGTACCCTTCTCAGTCAGTTGTATCGAAAAGGCAAGATGTTTTTATGAAGATTCACAAGAATGCTAAATTAAATTTTTAGTAGGATTTAAATTAAATTCTTTTCAACTTTTTGATGTTGATGTCAAAGGATCATCATCGATTAACTAATATTACGAACTTGTTCTATCCTAATTAATTTGTTCGAACTACTTTAAAATGAACCGTTGTCTAATATTTAAGGGCGCACATATGTACATGCATATATGCAAATAAGGGTTCCTACAGATGTAATCACGAATGTTTTCCTTCCTATTAAGTTTCGGTAAGTGAAATTTGGTCTAAATTGCAGATTTTCTCTCCCTGCGAGCGAGAGTTGACTGGAATGGAAAGAAGTATGTATAAGCTGCGAGGAGTTGAAAGCTGAAAGTCGGAACTTGAGGTTGAGAATAAAGCGCAGTTGGTTGCTTTGCTTTACTCTGGAAACTTTGATAGTTGGTTCAGTTGGGTGGTTGGTTGAAACAGACTTTACTTTCAAAAATTCCAAACTACCAACTTTGTGCTGTTTCAGCATCCTCAATTTTAACTTATGAGATATGGAATGGAGAGAAATGGTTATGGGTTTGAAGATGTGCTGCGAGTTGTGCTAGTTAGCTATGTCACGGCCCAAACTGCTGCCTGCCCACCAACGAGTCTACTTTCTCTCTCCTCATCCAGTTGACTATGCATTATTAGCGCAACGACTTTTTATACTGGCATTATGGAAATGCTATGAATGAGAAATGCTGCTGCTGCTGGTGGTCTGGCTTTCAACGGCCCAGATTATGGCAGGCAGCATGGCAATAAGAGAGGTGCAGAATGCGGAATTTCCAAGGAAATTTTTCATAAAACTATTCTTTATAAGTAAGCCCCACTTTAAGGGGAATCCATCTTGTTCAATAGTGAGGAATGTTTTCGACTCGAGTCCTTATAACCTCTTATAACCAACTTATTTGGGACTTGTATGCATTACGTATTATTATATTTCATACACCTCCAAGTATCATAGACGGCGAGAGTATCAAGTCTTCTTCCTGTCCTTTTAGGAAAAGAAGACTTTCCTCTTGCCGTAGACTTTCTGGGGAAAAAATTGCTACTCCGCCGCCGATTTTTATATTCTCAGTCAGTCCGACTGGAGTCAATTCTGCTATATGCACCCTCCACTGGCTGCCGTCGGTCGGTTGCTGCTTGACACGTTTTCATTTGCAAACTTAAGTTACAAAATTTTCTCTTGTACAATTTGTTGGCAGCGGATCGTGAAGGTTTCAAATGCGAACAAAGAGTGAGAATTATGATTATTACCGTATCCGTACTACTTCAGGAAACTTTATGCCAGCCTTTAATCAACGACGAGGTTAAAATAAGCTCGTTTATATGAGTGCCCGTGTAATATATATAAAATAAAATGCCGCTCTGACAATAAGTGGAGGTGCCGTGTGTGAAGGAAAGTTCATGGATGCACATACAAGTGCTGAAACGAGTCTACAATTTTTTTGCGGAAGGGAAAAGAAGTGAGACGAAGAGGTTGTTGAGCTAAGTAAATGTGGGATATGAGTTGTATCATCGCCTTCGGAAGAGATGAACTAACGCTTGGAATCAATATCTCGCCCACAGTTGGTTTAGACAAGTATGCACAAGATCTTTACTTTCTCCCTGCTCTTACTTACGTTGACCCGACTATGTATAACCCAAAGTGATGAAATAAACCATGTCGGAGTCTGTCAGATATGTTTCGAGAGCGTTTTAATGAAAAATATTTAAAGCCACAATGTTTACAATGTTTGAATTTTGCTTAGATTTCAAAATAAACACTTTGGAATGACTATGTCGAGTATGACTGGAAATGTTTTACAAATCTATTTAAACAAATATCATTTGTCGCTGAAAAGCTGGTTTACTTAAGGAATCGTATATTTAATCATATGTATATTTTAGTAGATTCAAACTCTTTGGTTTTGCTCACTTGCCAGGTCGTGAGTCGATAGGAAGCAAAAGTACCAGGAAGGAAGAGGCACGCATGAGAATGCATGCAAATATACATCCATCGTATATTCATACAGGGCCAGGTTTGCTTTCACTGAATTTTGGAATGCATGGATCTTTGAACGAGAGCGTGCCTGCTAAAGTTAGAAGCTTAAGATTAGCAGGAGGATGTTGCTTGCAGGAAAGCAATAGAGCATCGCGGTTCAACAAATGCAGAGTGTATTTCATGCTTCACTTTATTTTATTCGTGCATTTTCTACTCGGCTTCTTTTTCCTAATGTGAACCAAAGCAGGAGTAAGTAAAGGAGAGAAAGATAAAAAGAGAGGGTGGCAGCAACACCACGCCTCTTCCAACTCACTATTAATCCCTTCACCACCACATCATCCCATTTTCTGCAGAACTAACCGCTTTCATGTATTTAGACATGTTGATTTGCCAATTAAAACGGACGGATTATGACCGAGCTCGTTGTAAATATGTGTATGTAAATATGACAAGCAATGCCCCAATATTTCAAAAATTTGGAGTTATGAATTTGTGCTTCAATATGCATCGATATGGATGAATACGGAGCAACAAGTTACAAGTTCTCTCGATAGGATTGTGGATATAAATGTCATTCTTTTGAAATTACATGCAATATTTTAGAATTTCCTGTGCTTAGGATCGGAAATGTTTTATTTTTCTTGAGCTGAAAAAAATATATTTTGTGAGTAATTTCATTCCTACAGAACCTCCTGTTGTAAGAGTTGGGTTAGTTTTGCAGTATCTCGGCTTTAATAAATATTTAAATACGTGACGCGTGCACTCTAAGGAGAGCGCTCTGACATCTTTCGTTTTCATGCAATCAGATGAATAGAAATTAAATTCTTAATAAAAGAAAAAGTAAAATACAATTAGAAAACTTCATTTCAAAAGTTTAGTTTTGATAACATCTCATTTTCCTTGTAAAACAGCGTGCGAGTTTTTCGCAAGCTCAGAAACATGTGGAATACTTTGAAGTTTTGCTTTTCAGAATTAATTTTAGGTATGAAGACCTCGTCATTACTTACTCAAGATCTTGCCTTCAGTCAAAGTGCCGCTCAGGAATGCTCAGCATTCATTAAAACTTCAGAAAACTATTGCACAGGGAATTCCATTTCTCCTTCTTTGAAATTCTAGTCGAATTACAAAAGGCAAACTCGTAGCAAGTAGTCGTCGTCGTCATCGTCATCAAGACGCCAAACTGCCTTTCTCGCTCGAGACAGCCAAAACGTGGTGTCATGAGTTAGCTGCTTCTCTGACTTGTCCATGATAGACAAATATCTCTGTATACCAGGCACAGCGTTCTTAAGGGATCCTCGTAAATGTGTAATGCCAATTCACCGTTGGGATTCGCATGCAATTGTGAACCTTGGTGTTCGCAGATAGATTAAAAGTGGTAAGTATTTAAACTATTTGATAGGATAATCAGTTATGAAACTCGGAATTTTTTCTCTTCGCGTATGAATTCATCTGCCGATTAGACTTCGGATTAGTGCATAAATTTTAAGAAGAAGTGATGTCTCTGGACATGCAGTTTCTCAATCTCACACTCCATGCGATCCCGTTTGAGCAATTCGTATTACGAATTTCGTAATGATGATTTGCTTTTTAATCAATCCAAACTTTAGCTCCGCCAATTTACCAAGTTGACCTTCACTCTTGGGACTTTGACTTTCTAAACTTCAACCGATACCGTCATCTTTTATATATAAGTTACAAGTTTATCCTTATGAAAGTAAACTTGGGGCGAGGAAACTCAGACAAGTAAGAAGTAAAGGAAGGAATGAATCTCGGCCTACTTGGCTTTTATCTTAATTGCTTTTGTGACAGATTCACCGTGAAAGTGAGTTTTTCTAACCCAGTTGGTCGATCCAACGAAGGTTAATCAGACTGTGTATAATATGTAACTAAGGATAAGTGCATAGAAATGATAGGGAAAAGGTGGTCGAGTAGTCCTTACCTGTATGTCAACGGACGTGTAACAGAGAAATATCGATCAAATGAGATCATTAGAAGGTTTAGCACGGAAGCGTTGCTGGTGAGATAGTCTGAAACAGTAAAGTAATTCATATCGCTAATTAATTGATATGATTATTACATGATAATTTGGATGTGGAGTGTAATGTTATAGAGCACGCTCAGCGCTCGCGAGTAATTATATGCTATAAATTATCTCTACACCTATATAGTCCATGTAAATAGCTTTAAAAAATGTGCCGTATCTTACCGACTGCTAACCATGCATCGCAAATTCTTGCGCCAAATGGCCAGTGTCCCACTAACAAATACACAGTCGACAGCGGCATTCCAATCTGTAATGAGAAATTCAAGCGTTAATTTCTGTTGGTTGTACTACTAAACAAAATTCGTAACCTTTTACGTATATCAGAAAAATACATTAAATATTAATCAGACAGACGTACATGACTAAATAAGACTACTTAACGTGCATGTGAAAGTTTAATTAAAATAAATTTCAAAATTCATTTCAATCGTTGTTGTAAATATATCTTTGACTCTAGGCCAACGCCTGTTGTCTGTGACAAGATTAGTTTTTCGCACATACATATGTATATAATCGTGACATGTTTTTTGCAATGCAATCAATATTTTTTGTTGTTATTTTTTTTTAAATGGCAAATAAGAGGACAAGGGTCTTACCGAACCAATGAGAAAGTCGGCGACAGCCAATGAGAACTGCAAAATTTGTAAAACATTAATGGATTGTTGCAAGAAAGCCGAGATATATGTAAAACAGATTGTAATCATGTATGTAATCTAGTCAAAACGTCATAGATCATTATATTAGTCAGATAGCGCGACGCGTTCCTTTGTGAACAAAAGAGTGAACTTAAACGCCCTCTGATTTGTTGGGGTAGGCATTTCATACAGCTTAAAATTGTGCTCACTTTCTGCTGTGGTTAATTTTTTTACGGGTAGAGAGCTCACTAACAATCACTTTAATGCAATTTTCTATGTACTTAACTATACAGGTTCAACCAATTACAAGTTTATCAGGATTTTTTTAAACACCGATTAAACTAATAAACCAAAAGTAGTTGTTTAAATAACACCGACAATTCACAAACTTGTGCATATTTTGCCACTACAAGTTTACATGTATTTTATTATTTTTGCTGTTTCACTTACCAGAAAGTAGTTGCTTATCGTCTGCAGTTGTTTGTCAATCTTAAAGGAAACCATTACCAAAATGTTTCCCCCTACGGTAAGCAGTCCCAGACAAGAAGCGATCCAAGCAATAATGATTGTCTGGAAAAGGCTGTACCTAGAAAACATACGTAAACGTATTTAGTATTCATTGTCAAAATTTCACTTAATTTCGCCTTACATGCTTCATGGAAAGAATTTAATTTCCCCGTGAAAGCAGGGTCAATATTTATTTAATTAATCAGCATGAAGAAATTGGGTAGTGTACTAATAAATGTAATCATATGTGTATACTGTAAAAAATAGACTGGGCTAGTGCAAAACAGGGACAATTGTTGAACAGATCCTTATTTATAAATTTGACATTGATGGGTCAGTGGTACTTGATTACACAAGTACATACACAGATAGACAAATACTAACAAAATACAAACTTCTTATATAATTCCGTAAATAATTTAACCAAGAAGAATACATTTCATGACATTTCTTACTTTGATGCAGGAGGTTCATTTTCCGGCGGTGCGGGTGTGGACCCATTGAACATCTGAGCGGTCGAAGTCTCATTCTCGCTGTTGAAGAAATGTGATGAAATGGAATAGTGGCTGTAGCCGAAAGGTTCATAGCTCGTTGTTGCTGAGGAGGTGACCCCGCTGTGGGTGGGACTCGGACCTAAGAATATGGCGTGTGAACCCGTGTGGTGGTGGGTCAACGGGGGTGGGTACGCTGCACCCAATTGATCGAGGTTGTTGCTATTGGGGTAAATCTGACTATATCCGTACGTTTGCTTTTGTTCTTTCTTGGAGTTGTGAGCCCGAGCTTGACCATACTCGTTAATGCTCCCATAATGTTGCTCTTGACTTGTTTTACTGGATCCAGAAATTCGTAAACTACAGCTCAAGAAGAGAAAACATGTATGCACCTTCCAGCAGGCGAAGCGCATTTTGAACTTTTGCACTCCCCCTGATTTCCAAACTCAACAATGGAGTAAAAAAAGAGATATTTATCGCTGTGATTTGTGGGGCAAAAATATTATTGCGTCTGAATTTCAAGTCATTGTTAAATACTGTATGGTCACTGGAGGTGTCTCACCCCACCACTCAAATTCTCACGCAACTACATAAATGCATGTAGAGTTCAGTGCAACATTGAAAGCCTCATAATTTGTCGGATTTATGGGCAGATATACGGATGCATTTCTCTGGAAGAGTTTGCCACAGTTTTAGAAGTAATGAGAAAAGAACAACTCCCACCTTTCCGTTTACTTTCCCTTGAGCTACTCCATCAAGTTTCATAAATAAGTGAAGCACCCGACCAGCCTCTCCTTTTACACTTATTTTCCTTCACTCAAATAATACACTCAAGTGGTGCAACAGTGTTGGGTACGTCTGTGGCGTGATACATAATGGAAAAGTCAACACCCAGGAGAAACTCTGGGACTCTGGCTGACTTTCATGAAGGAAGAACTCTTGAAAAATAGTCGAGGAGCACTTTCACTCACGAAATGAGCGAGAAAATAAATATTTTGGAAATTATGAAGAGAACGAACGAAGGGAGGGTATGGACAGGGCAGTCAGCCTGCTTGTTTTGCAGTCTCCACGCTTTTTCTTTCCCTCTTTCTTCACCTTTGACACTCGCCGACTAATATGTTGTCCCTTGTCTGCTTTTTGGCAAGCGTCCACACAACTTTTCGTCCATAATTGCTAGCTGGTCGTAGGCAGCATGTATACGGATTCGTGAAATGCCACCGTTCCAGGACTCATGCATTGTCCGGGGTGAACCGTCTATGTATGTAAATCGGAATTTGTACAATAACTGTGTTTTTCTCTACTTTCTCTATCAGAGTCCTCAGATCTCAAGTATGTATTTATGTCTTGAGACACTTGCGATACAAAAAATTATGACTTAAAAGTGTCAACTTTACTTCACCATTGTGTGGGCTGAGAGAAAGTGTGTTGATGGGTGTCGTGTATAAGCTCTCAGAGTGGATTTCGGGATGCAATGATGATATCACTTTCTTTCTTTCCTCTTTTCTCTCCTCGTTCCTGGGTTCACTCGATCGTCCAAGAATGCGGCGTGCTTCTGAAAAGGAGCAGAGTGAGAACTGCGGTGAAAGGGTTGCTGTGCGAGTGGAGGAGTGAATTTCAACTGGGATTTCTGTTCATCTCGCTTTTTATTCAAGAAGAGAGAGAGAGGAACCAGGATTGTTCGGTGAGATTCGGTTTCCTCGCCTTTCTTTTTGGTGGATGGATGCTGCGATGTTGAGTCTTCTGCGCACCTAACATAACATCTAGGCCAAACTACCATCCAAGCAAAGCACTAGAGCTTGAGCTGATCACATCATAGTAATACCAGATCCACACGGACCTTCTCCACCACCAACTTGCACAGCCAACATTATGCTCAGAATGATGGCATACAGGGCTCCCTGGCTGGATGTCTGGCTGAAAGACCGAATCGTCCCTCGTTTCCGTCCTTACTTTAAGGTTTTGGCTGGACCACCAGTGATTGAGTCAGTGGCACCGAACCTATAGCATCCGTCCTTCCTTCTAGTTCCTCTCTCGGCGAATCAACCCACTTACTTATTACAACAATGTAGCTCCTCGGAAATGTAATCGCAGCCCTCAAGGAGCCAAGTGCTAGTTCACAGAAATGTGCATGTGTATCATGGAGAGAAGTGAGTGGGCACTGATAAATATCCCGCATATAAATCTACATAGTCATACAAGCCTTATGGAAAAACATAAAAAATGCATAAAATTGTTAAAAATAACATTTTTGTCAAGTTTATTCCTCAGATTTATGTTTGCCCTTAAAATTAACTCGAAATTTGATTCCAGGAGTAGCGAAATTTTGAGAAACTCAAACATGACACAACAACTTTCTCCCTAAAATTTCGTCCTCCTCGAGCATTGTAACGAGGAGGAGAGCGACCCAGTCAAAGATTCATCCACCCGTAAGAATGCTTCTACCCTGGAAGCAAGTGGAGGTTCTAGTGGTTTCGTAAGGCGTGATACGTGGCGGAATATATACTTTCTCCACTCTCTCTCTCTGGAGTTGTTGATAAAACCGGGTTCTGCCGGACGGACGGTTGAACGTGGTTCGTGGGTGAAAGTATCTTCATCTTGCTTTAAAACAGGGTAGAATAGGAACCACAACCAGCCAGGCAAGGCCATTCCCAGTTCCGAGAAACGTACTCAAGCTGGATGACGATGCAGACTCAGAGACAAAGGCTTTGAGAAGAAAGGAGGAAACGGACCTAACTCCCCCGCCGCTCCACACCAATCCAACCCAGCCACCCAGCCATACTCACCTCAAAGCAAAATTGCTTAACTTCCTACACGCTAAATTAAAACAACAAAAATATTTTGAAGAAGCACTCTACTCGCATCGTCTCTTTAATATTTGAAATTTCTTGAGAGCATCCATGTTTCGTTCGGGTTATAAACCTAGCGATGAAAAAATAATGGGCTACCGTTTGCAGCACATATATTATATTGCCCCTTATGGAGGTGAATGCTGTTGGATTTTACAGATAAGTAGTTATGTATACGTCGCATGCAGTTATATAGGATTGAAGCTATTCCGCCTCTAATTTTGTGTAATTGCCGCTGGGTGGGACCAATCAAACCACTGAACGTGTTCTCATTTCATTTTCACATCCGGCCCTATATCCGGCCAAAACATTAGCATGCCCATCAGCCATCAGCATGAACACTAATATTCATCTTTGCCAACATCACTTGAGTTAAGCCAAACACGAAATACCAATAAGCTTTTAACGGGAAGGATCATCACACTCTCATCTTACCAACCAACCAACCAACCAACCAAGGCTCAACAACGAGCAGTGAACTAGTGGTGCATGCCGTCGCTGGATGTATGTAATAAGCATGAGTTGAGTGAGAGAGGGTTCAGAGAAGCTTTAATACAATATTTATTTGCACTTTGAAATTCGCATTGATCCAAACCTTGAAGGAGCTTTAAAGTGGATGATGGTTGTTGTAGTGCTCGTTTCCAAGTACATATACTTCCCCATCTCCTCCCCCCCATGAAGTTGTCTTCTTGTTGTGTGCTCGTTAGTCACATGTAAAGTATTTACAACGCATACTTTGAATGGCGTTGTTTTCTCGTGTACATATGCTAGTCGCCTGTTTTGCATGGGATATGAAGACTGATTGTGACAGGGATTCCAGTTTTGTAACATAGTCATTCATAGTCATTCGTGTCACTCCCAGATGGAATAATGCAATCCTTGTTACGGTAAGAAGGCAGAGAGGAGAGAATCTCGAATCTCATCACAATGGCAGCTAACTGACTGTTAATGAGTCACGTAGCTTTAGCTGCTGCGGTACTTTGTCAGTTTCACGCTCAGTGGTTTACAATTTACAAATGAAAATGGTCAACAACAGGACGTTGCATGCATACATTTAGTTATATATTTTATACATCCAGACGCCTGTACACACGTGTGGAAATACATGAAGAACTAACATCTTCTAAATAGAATTCTCCATTTACCCACCAACTTTCACCAATATAATGCTTTCTCTCATGTTCCAGAGTTATCGTTTGACTTTACCATGATACAAATTAGGCACTGGACATGGACTACATAAAAAATTCCCAGCATACATCAAAGAGAAAGCGGTGAAACAATGAAGCGGGGATATGTGGAGCTATAACGTGCATACAGATTTAAGTTGGGTGAAAGTACCTCGTTGGTTGCCCATAAGTGAGAGTTAGTTGAATTGTGAAAGGCAGAAAGAGAGGCAAAAGGTAACATTTAGCACGAAACCAACCTAAAGTGGATTCCACAATTCTCTCGAGATGTGCAGATGGAGAAAAGGCAGAGCGAGCGAGGGAGCACACGAACGAAGGGAGACGCCTGGCCTCCCACCATTGCGTGTCCCTTATTTTTACTCGCACTACTATTCCTATAACACTGCCCGGAATTCGGTGACTCGGGAGTTTTCTTATCCTTTTCCCTTCCTTGGCATTATTATAGCGGAGAAATCCTTATCCAAATGGGTTCCGCAAAACCTGGCTGGCCCAATGTCTGTACTTGATTCCTTTGATCAGTTCAAACTTTTGCGTTACTTCTTTACCGACTGTTTGTGCAGATATGAGCGTTATCCGTTGAACTAAATTTGACTGGAAATATATCAAATATATGATTTCGATAAGAACAACAGTCGCAGTGCTCAAATGTTGCAAAATAAAAGCTGAACAGCAGATTCTTACCGAAATTTTATGGACGCTGATAAAACACTGAAAGTATCTGGAAAAAAATTGTGAGTACGATGTCCCCGTGCTCTCTAGTTTCCACTTTAGATTACGATGCATTTTACTATTATTAGCAGAGGAAGCCTATCAGAATATTCAGTGTCCTTACCAGGATTATGTCCGTGAAGTTTGAACATTCAATCTCTGCGAAACGACTCGTGCCTGTTCCTGTAACAGAATAAACAGATAAAATAGTAAATCTGAATTTACACACTAGATTCATGTCTCGAACAATGAAATGTGATGCTACAACTGCATATGTACATATGTATAGTTGTGTTTTTTATTCAACCGTCGTGCTCCACTGTCAATGCAAGTGGTTGAGCAATTCATAACAGATGATAAATGACAAAAAGATTCGAGTCATTGAGTAGTGAATCTCGAAAGATGGATATATTTTAGGCATGTATGTACATGTTCGGTATACATGTTAAGAATTGATATGCAATGCTATAAATCATGATAATTTCATAATTCTTTAAAATCTTGTTTTAAACGATAAAATCAACTAAGTTGTATGTCTAAAAATTAATAATCACACCAACACTAAGCTCATACGGTAACTGGAATGTGCGGTTGGAATGAGTATTTATTTTGGTCTGTGCATTAAAGTGAGACCCAATTCATATGCATTTTTTATGAAGAATTGCGCCTTTTTAAATGCACATACCAAAGCAGTACAACAGTTGGAATAAGTCGGCTGGTGGCACAAATGTATTTCTTCTTATTAAGTATGAGAATCTGCGATGGGCAAAACCACCCACACGAGGACCATGGGCATAGCTGATGAGTCAAGAGGGAGAGAAGAGCCTGCAGGACGGAAAATGGGCCACGCTGGCACTATAACGAAATGTCATAAAAACAAGAATTTCCTCTCATGCTTCTCTTCCCAGCCTTGATCTTCATTCATGATGCATAGACCTGAATCCCAAAGAACCAACTTTCTTTATGACTTTTTCGAGTCTCTGTCCGTCAGATGAAGTGACTGCTGACACATTTTCCTCTCATCATCCCGCATTCCAGCAACTAATGCAATAAGAGCAAAGTCCTACCGATAAAAATTTTAAGATGCAGCCCATGACATTTTCTACTTTTGAACCTTATGAAATCACAATCAACTTATGATTCCTTGTAAGTACTAAAATTTTGCATACCGTCTCGTACAAGATTCCACAAATGTACTACTTTCCCAAAATGCTGCTAAAGTGCTTTGGTAATGCGGAGTAATGTGCATATCCTGAAAATGTACTGAATTTTATTGAAGGCACATAAATAACCAATTCACAACTCAATGTTGTGCATAGTTGGGTACATTTTAAAAAGAACCACAGGACAGCGACATGTGAAAAGCGTGCATTCCTTGAGATATGAGCAATGCAATCCTCGTTCAACAGGACAGAAACCAATAGTCAAAGATGCGCGATCATCACAAATACTGTATCAAACTTTAGACCTTTGTCAATTGTGTCTCATAATCGAAACAACAATTGAAAGATGAACATTAATAGGAGGAAAAAAAATTGCATCGCGTTTGTTTCATGCAAGAAAAAAGAGTGAAAGTAATTGTTTCTAAAGGGCTAATCCAAAGCATTATCCATTATGCACGATTCTCAACTTACTTATTTAAGTATATATCCTTGCCCAACTGACCTGACAAATATTCAAGGTTAGTGCTACCAAGACCTCAAAAAAGAACTAAATTAGAGATAACTCGAGTCATCATTTATTTATGCAGATATTAATCTAAGAAGGGATGCAGGGTACAGATTTCACTAAGAAATAGTTGTCCGCTCTGCTACTTAGAATGTCAGTACAACTCTCAACATGTGGTAGATATGCATATTATGCATTCACCACAATTCAGAAACAAT